AAGTATGAGATGACCCGTCGCGCGCCCGCACCTGCATTTCCCCAGCATCTTCCTTGCTGAACTAGCTCAAACGTCTTCCACCTGGGCTCGCAGAACCTTCACAAAATACTGTACCGGCCAGAGCTCCGCACAACCCGTCTCACAGTGCCACCCCAACTCGCAGACGTCCTCCCGACTCACCTCAACACCACCTGCACGCCCCCAGACCGACTCTCCAGCTCTCCATTCCTCTATTTAAACCTCGTCCATCCTGCGTCCAACCTTCCACCACTCCACGTTTCTCTGGCCCCACCAAAGATACATAAGTCTGGTCGACCGTCAGGTTCCCGTACCGCGTCTCCAGAAGGACTGAGCATCTTTTTAGAGATACAAACGCCAGATCCTTCACAATGGAGACCACCTTCATCACCATCCATAGTAAGAAACCGCCTCTGGGGGTGGTACAGCGAGCACGACAGCTACAGAAAGTGCTAACCCATGCCTACCAGACTTGACCCCAAACGCCAACATTTTGTTTGCATCCGAGTCAATCGTAGACATCTTAGGATATGTGCCCGAGGAAGTCGTAGGCAGATCCTGCTTCGATTACTTCCATCCTGATGAGGTCCCGTTTGCCCGGAATGTTCACAGTCGCGGGGTGCAGCTAGACAAAGCAGCCGTGCTTCATTACGCCACCATTCGCTCTCGAGATGGCGAGTGGGTTGCTTGCGAGTGCGTGTTCACGGTTGTCTACCAATGCCTAGTGGCTTGTACCAGTATCTACCGCCGAGATGCGAAGAATGAGCGTAAGTCAGATATATCTCGATACGCAAGAGCCTGCTGACATCTATTTTCAGGACGAGCCGCAGAGGCACCAGCGGTTCGCCGCCTGTTCTCATCCTCACCAAGAGATCCTCGTTACCATATGTTGGAGCACCTGTCCCCCAAATTCAGAGCCCCGCCGCAAGAATCGCTCCTGGAACCTCGCGCTGCGTTGATCCTCAATCGCTTCACACGCACTTTGAGTGTGATGTACGCAACCGACGCCGTCTCTGAGATTCTTGGCATTACCGCCGACCAGATTCATGACAAGAGCTTCTATGAGTGCATCCAGGAGAATTGTCTTCCAGAAGCGATCAGGTGCTTGGAAAGTGCAAAGTCTAACGATTCTATCGCTTATCTCCGCTTCTGGTACCGGAATCCTCGTACGGACGACGAGTACGACCAGGACATGCGTGAAGCCAGTCAAAGCAGTGACTCCGAAGATGGTGGTGTGGAGCTGAATCACCGTGAGTCTCAGGAACGGATGGACGTTGACACGGATGGCACAGGTGACAGCGGCTCTCACGCAGGAGGCAGACTTAACCTTGCTGAGCAACGTGGTCAAAATATATCCAGAACTTCATCTGGCGACAGCACAGACCAAGAGCACAACTCCGCCGGGGCCATCTTTGATCAAGGTCACCCAACCTCATCCTCATCCTCATCTGTTGGTGCTGCCTCCAGCAGTGGGGGCGCTCGAGCCTCTATAACACCTGGACCAGGTCCTGCACCGTTCGAGATTGAGGCTGTCGTATCTTGTACTTCTGACGGTCTCGTTGTCGTTCTTCGAAAAGCTAGAGCACTTATTCCCCATTACCCAGCTGGAATTTTCGCAGCTCCTTGGGGTGTCGATGCTATCAGACCTCATGTTTATCAACCAAATCCACTGGTACCCTTCCACCATGGTCCCAACGCACCTATCGCGCCACCGGCTGGGCCTGCAGAGGTTGATTTCATGGCGTCGATCAAGGACGTCGCTGTTTTCGCATGGTCGCTTGCCGGTATCAATGGTAATATGGCAGCGTATGGTCGAGGTGTTCCAAGGGGTGAATCTCAGCCTGAGCATCTTCCAATCCTTGACCCTCATGGCCATTATGGGAAGCCATATCCTGGGTACTCTCCCCCAGAGAACCAAGCGCTTCTTAAATGGGACCTACTGGAGCGTCCTTACCGAGAGATGATGGACGCGCCCACAAGTACGTCCATGCAGGAGCCAAAAGTTCCATATCAACATCGCCGACAAGCAGGGTACCTCAGAGCGCAGTACAATGCTGGTAATGGTAGAATGGGCTCTGACAGGTTCGGTTCTTCGGCCCATAACTATCTTGGTAACTACCGCATGGGCTTGCCGTATCAGTCCAGTACCCCAGGACAACGCAACTCTTTGCGGTCACCAAACGGTCGCAGTAGATTCAACAGCAGTCATCCACCAAAGAATGGCAAGAACAACACACCTCCAGCGCCGGGTGCCACAGGCCCAAATGAGCGGTCCAAGGATAACATGTATCCCTATTGATTGGAGCTAACGATATATCAGGATGGCTTTGATTGGTCATAGGCGCTCCTTCGGTTGGGCGTACAGTATTGAATGGGTTAGGGTCAAGGATTTATTTGACTCGGGTTGGCTCTAATTATGAGTGGCTCATTAATGCTTGATACCAAGGTTTGCATTTTAGGACAATTTGAATTTCGTGGTTTCAAACACTTCATTTTCATGTGAATTCTATAAACAAATGTTACTTTGCATGTAGTCTACCTAGGTAGGTATATACGATAATGCTACAAATTATAACCATCGTCCAAAGCATAGAGCACTCAGACTGTGTTACCAACTTTGCGCTAGTACAAACATGGCATAGATCAAGAAGCTTGGGCCAGCACATCATGGGAGCCGCGACAGCTGCGATGAGGAAACCGTGGAATTTCGAGAATGAGCTGTATCTGACCTCAACAACACCCACTACTCTGCAAAGAATTTCCCTTCATTTGATTCCATTTGGAAAGCTGGTCCGATGATATAAATCCCACTGGCTTGAAAACATTTTTGCAGCTAGCACAATGGCCTCTTCATCAAATCCATACGAGCACTATAACACACCTCATGTGGAGGACGACGACTTAATAGATCCCGATGATGGTGCGTATCTCTAAATCTCACTGTCCAATACCATTTCTTCAATTTTAGACCGGTGTTAACACCACCCAGCAAATCTCGACGACCTTGACGACCCCCTTCAACCACTAAATACCCAATCCTCGCGCGCACCACTATCTGGAAACATAGCCTCGGACACCAGCGCTCCCCTCAATGAATCTTATCTCACCTCCCGTATCCCCGGAGAGGACCGTCGCGCGCCTACCAACACGATCGATGAATCGGTCTGGGAGACTCTCCGGCGCGACTTGCTAGCCGTGTGGTCGAAGATGCGGGAAGTCCTGTACCCCAAATATCTCTTCGGCGGCTCTATGCTCGAAGGAACCACATCATTGCGAGGCGCATACGCGAATATTAGAGAGGCAGGTATTCAGGGTGCAAGAGAGGAATTAGTGGGGTTCGCGGGACGGGCGTTGGATACGGACAATATCCTTTCACAGGGAAGCATGAGTGAGGGACTACGGGATTGGGATCTTTGGGGCCCGCTCGTGTTTTGTTTGTTGTTGAGTTTGTTATTAAGTTTCAATGCTGGCAAGGACCAGAAGACTATGGTATTTTCTGGGGTCTTTGCTATGGTTTGGATTGGAGAGGCTGTGGTTACCATGCAGATCAAATTGCTGGGTGGTAATATGTATGTCCTCCACGTCTTGCCGTTTCTTCAAACTAATGATATGTCTAGTTCCTTTGCCCAGAGCGTCTGCATCATAGGTTACACCCTTTTCCCACTAGTAATTGCCGCTCTGCTCTCGGCATTCCATCTCCCCACCATTCCTCGGATTCCAATCTACATCGTTCTTATCGCCTGGTCACTTGCAGCAGGTGTTAGTATACTTGGTGGTAGCGGGGTCGTCAAGAACAGAGTCGGTATTGCGGTGTACCCCCTGTTCGTCTTCTACGTTGGATTGGGCTGCTTGTGTTTTATCAGCTAGGTGGTCGCAATTGGGCAAAGCTAGAATTGTAATGTGTATAATCAGATATTAGCGAGAATCGGAACATCATTTATACCCCTGGAATTACGTTTGCTGAGGATGGAGTGATCTAGGATCGTCTGCATGGCCCCTAGATGAATTTCCCCCCAAATCTGATCATTTTTGAAACCTTCTTAATTTACTGGACTTTCTCTTTCATGATATTCCATTTTTAATAGCAATCACGCCCTCTCTCTACTCTCGTGTTCGCCTCCCGCTAGAGGCCATCATGACCATATCTGTTATTCAACATGTCTACCAATTATGAAGCACTATTTGCCCACTCAAAGACTCTGCTAAGATCCTCAGTCTCGATACTACACCAGGGCGTGACATAACTCTCTGCGCAGCCAGAAACTACAAGTTAGATTTTAATAACGAAACGACATCCAAAATTTCTAATTTTTTGATCAGATCGTAGTTCTGAGCCTCACGAATAAGGCTATGTTAACAGAAGTACGATGTTTAGCTGTGGTGCTGATTTGTCTACTTTCGGAGTTCTTGGGTGCGCAGAGAATTGTGTCACCCACTGGTGCTACTCACGGTTGAGTTTGATAACCAATAATCTCAAGTACCGCCTCAAATTCTCATCAATCTGTCCTGACTTTCAATTTCCCACAGATGGAGACTAGCCTTGCGGTGTGTCTTTAACTGGTAGTGTCGTGTGTGCGGTTTTCAGCATGTGAGTTCTTGGTCGGAAAGGAAGTAGATTATTATGTATACTCCCATCGAAACATCAGACCTGAATTTTCACAGAAACAAGACAACATGCTCCTGAACGTTACCTACCCTTTTTGTTCATACGTAATGCTATGGGTCCACTCATCTAATAGTCCCTTTCAAGGAGACGACTACTGTTTCTTAATCACAAGCACTTTGAATTCTGGAGTACATGTACCATATGGCTTGGTGTTTCTTTTATGGTTAGGCACTTGCTGGAAGTAGAACTGTGAGAGAGATAGAGAGTGATTGTCATGTAGTTTAAGTGGTTAAAGTAAGTGACCATTGTCTTGCAACCAATGTGGCATAGAGGTTACTTCTAGAACTATGGTATCGCTTAATCTCAGCAGCCACCGAGTATTATAGTTCGATTGCACATTGTATTGCACAATAGAAAGTAAGCTTGTTGTTTGTTCTCCTAAAATGAGTCGAAGTGCTGGAGGCAACCTCCGCCTGTAACTCCACCTAATTTTTATATTTGTGTCGGTCAGAAGGATATAGGTGTACAGCTGAAGCTTCTTTTGAAATAACGCTTTTAGACTCGATATGGGATGCAATTTTGGACTTCGCCTTTCGTCTTTAGATGCGATGATATGTGTATATTATCGCTTATCTATACCTCTCGCACATATGCACGTCCAAATGCACACTGTGTATATCCACTCCCATCTCACTACCTATGTCATGACGTTCTTCTTCATCGCGTCCTTCCTTCCCGGTTCCCATCACGATCCCACGATACGCAGAACAAGGCCCAATTGGTTCATCCAGATAAAGACCGCCTCGCTATGCTTGGTATGCCAAACTCCATCCCTCAATGAAAAACAAAACAAGTAGCCGTAATAGACTAGAAAAAAGTGCCTAGAAAAGAATGGGTGGGGATCTCCCTTCCGTCTTATTTTTGGAGGGCAAGTCTAGTGACAAAGGAGAGTATGGGGGACAAGTGTTATGACGACAAGATTCGTCGGGTATTTTGGGGGTGTAGACAGAAGATCATAGTTCGTGTTGGATGGAATCGATCTCAGATCTGAAGAGTCGTGCGTTTGCTTCATTCATCTGTAAAAAAAAGGTTAATACCTAGACTGAGGATTAGGGACTTGGAGAAAAAGGACTGACCTTCAAAAGCATGTTTATAGGCTTAGCTTCCGTACTACCTTCGAAAGCAGTAAATATGATTTGGGCGGTATTTGTTGCTGGCTTGTCTTCAAATTTCATAGCCTTCAGGATTATAGTGTTCAGGACCACTCGGTGTGTGTTCTCCTGCCGCATAATGAGACGTGCGACTTTAGGAAGATTGGAATCTGTTTCCTCTTCCTCTTCTAGACCTGAAGCGTCAAAAGACCCTGGAATTGCCACACCATTCTCGTCAAAGCTGACGCATGATCTGGGTACGTTGATCTTCAACGATCCTACACCCCTCTCTTTCCATCCTGCTTCTTTACTTTCAAGGGCGAAGAGTTTCGCACGTATTTGTAACAGCGTTGCTTCACCGGCTTCTCCATCTTCGATATGAACTACATGGTTGTTAGTATATTTCTGTGGCATTCTTATTGTAGAGTCAAACCTTTCGCTGCTTTACTAGCTTTCTTTTCTTTCTCTGTAGATGGATGGATGCTCTCCTCATCCCCTGACCCGACCGCTGCGTCACTCTCGCCATCTCCGCTTTTGTCTTCATCGCTTTCTTCAGGAGCTCCAAAAGCTTTGACTGCCTTCGCAGGTTTTGGGGCAACACTTTCATTCTCTTTGGCGGGAGCCGCAAAACTCGATAGTTTCGGTCCGGCTCCTCCCGCAAAGCCATTTCCAAGTTTCGAGCCAAAAACACTACTACCTCCACCGCCAAGACCACCAAATCCAGAGTTTGTGCCCCCTCCAAAGCTCAGCGCTGCCGCAGGCTTATTTGAGGGTTCGGCAGGTTTCGAGCCTAATGCACCAAACCCAGAAAGCGGCTTCCCACCTCCAAAAACACTCGGTTTCGATGCTCCTAAGCTGCCAAATCCAGATGTGCTGGAACCCGCGAGAGATGCAAACCCCGAACTCGCAAAAGCCGTCGGCGAAGTTTGCTTTTTCGTTGATGTATCGCTGCCAAAAACCGCCTTTTTAGGCTCATCGGATTTCGTCGATGTTTCGGTGTTATCAACTGGGGCTGTTGATGTATTTGTAGAGTCCGTCTTCGAGGTTACCTGCAAAAATAGTTTAGCAACTGTTGGGGGATTTCTTGATCGATGATGTGAGTGATGACCGACCTTGATTTCTTCCTCACCCACGTTGGTATAGTCCTCTGATGTATCACGGGGGCGCTTCTTCTCTGGTCCCAGTCTCTCCGTTCGGCTGCCATTCACAACTCCCCCATCAGCCGCAGATCCTGACGCGCTCGTAGGGCTGTCTTCCAGATCTTTGGAGTCGTCGTCCTGATCCCGGCCTCTTTTTTTCTTGGGGGAAGCTATGCGGTCTCTCATGTCCTCATCTCGCAGATCGGCAGTCTCTGCCTCTGGTGTGCTTTCTTTGCCCGTCTCTTTCATATCCTTGTCTTCACTCTCGACTTCCACATTCGCAGAGAATTGTTCGTTTCGTGACTCAGGCACACGGGTATCCGATATTGTAGTATGCCTGAGCTCTTCACTGGCTGCTGTCGTAGCAGCATCCTCTGGCATAGTTGTTGTTGTGTTTTCTTCTCCTTCAATCACCCTCCGCGCTGGCAAGCTGTGATTGGGCTCGATGACATCAGAGTGTTGATCGTCAGTTGTGTTCTTTCCACCGCTTTCCCGTGAAGCAATATATGCAGAAGCAGTTGAGGACATGGTGAAATCGAGTTGTATTCTTCATGCAAATGAGATGTTGGTGCGCTGGCGACGGTCGCGTCGATGCCCCTCAAAATCAAGCACACGGGCAGTCGTGAAGATCGTGCGGCGTCGGCCCTTTACGCACTGCTCCGAGGGGCCTTTAGCGCGTTGAGCCATCCCGGTCCGTCCTTGATAATCTATGCAATGAGATCGCTTTGTCGGCTTCTATAGCGTCAAACTCAAACCTGTACTCTACAACATCAAATACTATTTCGCCATCACAAACCACATCGAATAAAGGTAGATGAGGATCTTGGGAACCGGCCTCTTTCTTTTGCTTTCTTTCTTTCTTTCCGTTTACTCCAACATTAAAGAGAACGCCTACTTGCGATGAAACCAGGTCTGCTACGGTGTCTACCCGTTAGTTTTCATTCGAAAGCACAAGTCAACAAACGCTTCTTTGACTGAACCGCCCAAATGATTGCCATTGAATTTGGATCAGTTTGATCATGCTTGGGTCTTGAAATTTCTCAGGAGCTTCTAATTGGACTCCAGAAGATACAAGTGCGTGAAGTATCTGAAGATGAGAGATCGGTGTCAAATCTGCTAATTTTCAGCTACCCCTTGCTGACTTTTACTTTAGATAATAAAATGGCCAATGTAAGACTAAGGACTAGCTCTCAATAGACAAGATAAGTGGCAGTGTCTTTCTGCTACCTAGATACCTATCGACTCAAGCGTAGCAGGCGCTCTAGCCCGAACACAGGTACTCAATAGGCGGAAATTTTCGTATTTACCGAAAGCAGTTGACGAAATATGCGATATTTCGTCAATTGCTTTGAGTAAACATAAGATATTTCGCCGATTGGTTTGTTTGAATATAGTGTTTCGACTGACAATTATATCGCCCGCCGCGAGACTGGCTAAATCTTTTTAGATCCACCACATTACTGTTGTTTGCTCTGAATACGGCAACTGGTATAATGGGTAATGACGCACCCTCAGTGGACCGTTGGTTTGCTTCTCTCATCTCTGATACCGAGCGAGCTCCTAGAGTCTTACTTGAGGCTATTGCCACATCGAAGAAGATTCTACCGTCGTTAATACCTCTTGATGAAACTGAACAGCTACGTCGGAATTTGGGTTCAACCCCGGATCTTGTGGGAACAGCAAGCACCACCTTGCGGAGATTGTCTTTATAATTCATTCATTCATTAGTACTGTTAAAATCTTCTCAAGCGCGCTCACGCTGAACACCACGGTCCATATACAGCATTGGGACAGCCTTGCCTTGCACTACAGCATGGCCTAGAGCCTAGCTACAACTTCCTGGTATCTACCATATTACACTATCACTACATCGTGCCTCGCCGGTTCACGCACATCTCTCAGACACCCATATCCTGTTCTTCATCTCTTATTGCTTGTCGCTTCATCTTCTCCGACTCACTCGCGCCCTTGATCAAAGTACTCAAATCTCCAACAGGAATTTGAAATGGGAAATCAAGAGCTGCGAGCATGATTGCTGCGAAGATCCACCAACCCGCCATAGACGTAACAAAGGTACAGGCACCAGCAGCGACTTGCAACCGATGAGATAGTGCTAAGGAATCCGCTGCAGCCGCTGCGTTCGTGTTCCCATAAGCGTTGGCATTGTGCCAGAAGGATCCTGCGAGAAGGCCGAATGCGAGGACGAGGGTAAAGAAGATTACCACGAAAACCACATTGGTACGGAGAGAGCAGATCAAGTAAATCAGGCAGAGGACGCCCATGAAAACCAGGAAGAAAGCGAAAGAGGCGGTAAAACCAACTGTCTCAAGACCAGCAGCTTCTGGCTCGCCTGGGGGTGCGTATAGGCCATATGCGTAGTAGAATGGCTGAAGAGTTGCGGAATAAGCAAGCCAGAAAGCGCCAAAGCTTCCGAAGACAACGAACGGGAATGTGTTGCCTAGGAGAAACTCCATCACAGCACCAAGAATCATGAGCAAGCCTCCGAAGAAGTAATAAGTTCCACTGAGACGCTGTCAGATATAAACTTAAGCGAAGAAAAGCGAGGTAATGCTTACATTCCAGCTGCTCCATTGCCTCCTGAGCCTCGCCATCCCATAAGATCACATGAAAGTGGTGACAACGACAGGAGAAAGCCAACTATACAACTATTCTTCAGTTAGTATGCTGGTTGACAGTATCAAGCCATTGCATAAGGACTTACAGAGGGGTAGGGTTGGCGAAGGTTTTTCGCAAGTCACCTTTAACCGCATTTTGCGGAGAAAGATATATCTTCTCGAACAGCTCTGGAGAAATCGAAATACTGCCAGCAGTACGAATGCGTCTCAAAGCATCGCCATGCTCCATATTGATGTCGTTCATGTGATAGGTATCAGCTCCGTTGGTATAATTACCGTTTAGAGTTCCGTTGCGGGAGAAATCCTTCTCTAGAGGATCGCCGTTCGAGTTGGCTTGCAGTCTTGCTTGGGCGTTATGCTCAGTCGCCATTTGGTACGTGGCGGTGCTATTGTTTATTAAAGTTTCGTTGATGAATTGGGACCTTCTTTTCGTTGTTGCAGTAGTACGTGTGCTGGGTACTTTTGCCTCTCGGTTCGAAGTTACTGGGACACTGCGTTACCAACCCTTACCAACCCAAGGAAACACCTTCAATTGGGAAAGTGGCACACTGATGGAAAAGAGCTCGATAATGTTTCTTTTTGATTGAGGAAAGCAGAGATGTTCTCACTTCAACTTGGATTTCGCTTGAATATATGTACTCCTTCCCCTCACTCTCTCCACTTACAACCATAGAAAGATAAACCCCGGGCTCCCGTATTCGATTTTCGACGATCAGTCGATCTCGGCAGACAAGGTCTCCATCATATATGTACTCGGACGTGCATAAAATTGAAGAAAGCGTGTCTCGTTTAGGGCGAGTGCGGAGACCTCGACGAGGGGAATGTCTTGTACATGAGGAGTTATGCCTACGCAGATCTTGACACTACCAGGTCATTAGCAGAACGCGAACACCTCACGTATACCATTCAGAGATGTCAGGACCGCAATAGCGTCCTTTTAAGATGCTCGGGTCCTGCGAAGATGTATAATTGCCACCTTGCCGCCATTTTTGGTGAGGTTGTTCGGCGTTTCCATTTCCTGTTACCTTCTCGGCTACCAAGCACGGACTTATTGTATTCTGATACTCTCCTTCTTGTCCAATTTGGAGCAACAGTAAAGATATAGCTTGCAGTTGCATCTTCTCTCACCATCGAGAGCTCTATTTCGAAAGGGGCTCACGTCATTAGCGAAAGCCACGGAATTATAGCGCACAGCTATCCAATCGAGCGACATCAAAATGCTCTCTTTTGCAAGCGACCTAACATTGCTGACTCGTAAATTTGGTATTGTAGTGTGCCGGCTGAGGGGAAGGCGTTTCCAACTATTCAGAAAGTGGCCTGGTACCAACCTTGGAAGGCACCATTTGCTGTGTCGCTCTAGCGAAATGCGGGGAAGACACTAGCTGTGGGGAGGACTGTGGAGAAGGCTTTAGATGCTCAACTCCCGGCTCGGGTTTAACGATTCTGCGCGTAAGCCGTATCCGTATTTTCATTGATTTGTTTATGCACGGGTTTCATACGTGCTTTACATATAGTGTTATCGCTGTATAAGATCTAGCGATTTTCCGAGCTCACACATGGCACTTCTCCATCCCAAGCACACAAGATAGTCTTGTTGGCACTCGCCATCTTCCGGACAATTGATCTCTCGTGTCTTCAGTGTTCTTTGGAATGAGTTTGCGTTTCTGACATTTACTTTGCTAGGGGCCGCCTTTCTCAAAGCAGAGCAGTGTTCACTGCCACTGAATACTCAGGACGGTTGGTAAAGGATCTGAATTAGAACGGTTCTTTTGATACAATAACTATATACCTTCATGTCCAAGCTCCAACCTTCTCTGTGGAGGTTCCTCTGTTGACAAGACATGGCTCTTGGCGTGCTCAGCCAGCGACCCAGGTCAGGAGCTTGGGTCACAACTAGTAGGTTCTTACGTAGTTCTATCTCCGCCAACTTTATCCTGTTTGCTGGTGTTCTTCTCACCCATAGTTGGCTCGCGGTGGACATTATAACTGGCAGTAACCCGTGGACCTCCTGTCGATGCCTTCAACTTGTACCTAATAAGATCAACAGCCTCTCAAATGTCTTATTCTCTCAAAATTGTAGACGAACTATGCGACATTTCGTAAATTATCGTGAGCAAATATGAAGTGCCACTTATTTTGTCCACCGCGACAGTCACACTTACGTATCAATAGAAATGAAGAGATCATGTAGAGGTAAGCTACTAAAGCAATCGTTTTTACGGGCTACAATGTGTGTTATATATACATATCTCGAGAAAGTCATGTGTAAAAAGTACATTCGCTACCTGTCTACCCAGGTAGGCAGTCTCACGGTGAACAATATGACTGGCAGTCAAACACTATAATTGCTCAAAGCAGTACACGAAATATCGTATATTTCGTCAATCGCTTTGGATAAATAAGAAACCTCAGCCCGTATTCAGAAACTATCAAGGTAAGAGCGCCTCCAACGCCTAAGTGTCATCTAAGTTAGTATGGTATCAGAGGTTGAAATATCCACAACCAAGCCAGCTCACCTCTTTCCCACCTCGGTTTCTTCTAGTTTGTTCTTATCGAGGAGGTTCCTCACAAGACAAAGACAAAGCAGGGTAGCACTTAATTATCCTTTCGTTACTTCACTCAATATATCACAGTGTGATCCTTTTGGTGGTGCTAACACTATACCCACATGTCCCGAGCTCTACAGCTGTCCCATTGGAGGTTCGTGCTCCCACGGTATGTATCTTGAATCCTCTCGTGGATGACTAGTATCGTTCTACGATGATATATCGCGGCGATGGCCTACCAAGAGTGAAAATGTCTCCAGACATCCCTCGAATGTCATTCTGCCTTTATTTTATTGCAAGTTGATCGTTATTTGGCTACTTTCGAACTGCTGAGGATATCTTTATTTGATTAGCCCATCCTTCCCCAGAGATTGGCAGTTGAAGGTCAAGCATCATAAGAGGTCGCATCGATTTGTTCATATAACCTCGGTGTTTCGTACAATATTCTCTTTTCGTGGGCAACATGCTCCATTATTGCCAAGCGAGCAGAGTACGAGTACCAGTGTTGCAAGTCTGACGGGACACCTGACAACGGTAGAGTGGCAATATTTTCTCCGAAACGCTACGTTTACTCAAATTGAATAATACAGAATATTTTTAACGTTAAGGCTAAATATGAATATCACGGAAGGCCTCTTAGAAAGTCGTTTTCTGAAAGCGTTATGTTGAACGGTGTCCCGTCAGTGGTGCGAGTGCAGCACTAAACCCGAACAAAGCTCAAAGTGGACGATCTGTGTACCTCTCCATGTACCTCTCCGTGTACCTCTCCGTGTATCTGAGGATCTTGTATCATCGGTATACCTCGTGGCAATCAAGACGGACACGTGGGTATGAAGGATGGCTTGAAAGTGTAGCATCAAAAGTGACACGAATTTGAAGACCCCTAGTTGTGCTATATGAGCAAACATCAATAGTAGAACATGGGTAGTAGAAGCAAAAAAATTTGTCAGATTCTTCTCAGTGCTCACTATACACGTACTACCTTGCCGATTTTTCATATTAAGATGGTTAATAAGAAATGAAAAGTTGAAACAGAAAGAAAATGCCAGCAAATTGAGTAGAATGTTCTAAGTTAGCTCGGTTAGTAAGTAGTAAGTTTTGCTTTCGGCTTGTGATAACCACAAGATAGTTCTACATTTGAAAACATGGCATCGCCAGCAGCTTCCTTTACCTGCTTTAATCTTTCACATTTAAAACTTGGTATCCAAAAGCCTACACTTCTGGAGGATCTCTCCCACGGTTCACCCTCAACTCAAACGGACTGCACCGCCATAAAGCTTGGGCTCGTTTCCTCGGTTGATCTCAGACTCCTGACTCTCACATATCTTGCATGCGCTGCCACTTTTATTGCTATCAAGCGGAAGTGTTCTTATCAAGTCAGTAGGTCTCACTCAGGAAGTTGATGCAAGAACAAAATTGCTAAAGATTTGGTCGTTTGTGTTATTCGGAGGAATGTGATACAAGTTCTAGGAAAAACACGTTTGATGTTTTTATCAATCTTGTTTTTGGAGCCAGGAGTTTCCACACATGCTCGTTGATTGCAAGGCTCCGATAACGAGGCAAATGATGTGAAGTATTTGAATTTACATGTGAATATTTCTTCGTTTCCTTCTTTGGTAAACAGGCTTTGTCATGCCTGGATAAAATCATATACGCAACGATTGGCACTATCATTGGTTTGAAATGAGGCGGAGTCAGTAATTCAAATTATTGAGATAGCTCACGGGCACTCGCCTTTTGGTACTCAAATTACGTTCAAAGTGCTCGTGAACTTTCCGAGTCCTTTGCGTATCTCATCAATTTATAGTCTCTGCCGCCTGCGACCTACTAAAGACATGACACCACCTTCTGATACTTTCGTCTAATTCCTGACCCCCTTCAAAAATGCCTACTCTCGCTAGGAACATCATGTAATAACCTCTTTCTCGGCGGTACACAGCACAAGCGGCACTGACAAGAAGGACCCAGAGGCGAATCCCGGGATTTATTGACCACTAATGCGAGCAATCATTAGGCGCTGCTAGAAGTATAATGGGACAAGGAGGACGACTTGCAAATTCGGAAGAGCTTGTACTCTGCAAATTCCTACTAATGGCTTGCAAGTATGAACCTGATAATCCGCTAGAAAATATTGCGCCTGGTGTTGGACTATAAAGTGCTGGGAGAAAGATATGCGAAGCGTATGATATGATATCATATATAGGATTTTGAGAATCTCCGAAACTGGGTAACTTTAGTTCTTTTGCTGAAAGTGTACCAGCCTCGGCTTCCCCAGTGAGTTGCCGTAGGCTTGTGAGAAGAGCAGCGATCTTCTCATCTGCACCAGTGTTTGCAATGAATAAAGCAAAGGGCGTGGACCCATTTAAGGGGGAGTCATGGAAGCATTTTTGCGACCATGGCAGCACGCAGAAAGCAGCACGCGAATGCAAGGGAAAGCGTGGCTCTCTCAAGGTGACCGCTCCGATAATGTGGTCGAAACTGGCATTGTAAAAGTGTTGTCAGATGACGTTCGCTGTAATCGGATGTGGCAGAAAACCCACTGTGCTAGCTTAAGAGCTAGACTAGATTGCATAGTATGTAAACCACCACGAAGCCGAATTAGTTGTTCAAGCCCGTTCATGTGCGTTACGAGGTCTGTAGGGTCGACCTTCACTTTATAAGACTTATGAGGCGTGAGGTTAGTATTGGAGTATGTATAATGTCTCGGAGAAGCGACGACAAGAAGCTGTGAATACGAACTTCCCACATCGCAAGCGTCATAATAGCCCCAAGTGTGTCGTCTTCCTTTGCGGTTTGAAGATTTGCCAACCTCTTGTGGATCCATCTGATCGTCTCTGCACGGTATTGGAAGCAGTTTGGTGTGTTGCTAATCCAGTCTACAACTTCAAGATCAAGAATAGGACCTTTGATCTTTACTATGTCTGGAACAGTAGCGTTCGGCATCCATATTGATTGACGTGGAAACACTCCTGGGCTGTATTGCTCTCTAGATGTGGCGTTATAGAAGGGTTGAGATCCGTAGGGGAGCTCGAGCATTGGCCCATTGCTAGAGAAGAAGGTGTATGGAATCACTAGAGGGAGGTTTAGCAATACAGCGCATTCATGGTCATAACCTGACCATTTTTGTTCAAGAGTGTGGGTTTCGAGACAGCGTTATTAATTTATTACGGCCGTGCTTACGATTATCATTGTAAACAAGCGCTGGCTTCACATGGAACAAGCCTTGAGCACTCTCCGACAGCTTTCTAAACTCATTAGATTGGTTGGTCACCAATTGTTGGCTTAACGGCCTGATTTGATGGTTTTGCTGAAATCTCCGCGTTTCTGTTTCCCTACGTTCACGGTGATAGCCTCGAGCAACATGACTCCGGACGGCTTTTCTAGAGCGTTTTCGTTTGTCAGCTCCGGGATCTTCTTCGATGAACTCTAAGGTATGCTGCGAGCCTGACATCTCAGTGCAATGCAGTAAGAACGTGGCTGATTATATCTAGGCGAGCATTATTACAGCAAAGAGGAAAGCAGATTTTGATATTTACCAATTTACCAGAATGCAATTGACGATTTATAGCCTGTAATCGCGAAAATGAGAAAAGAAACGAATGGTCTTCGATCATATATATTTAAATATGCTTGGCGTAGAACAGCATAGGAGAATATAGGGAAGCGTAGGTAGAAAAAGACAGATGACTAATTTCCCGGTGCAGGTCTGTGCGTCTTATCACTAGACTCTTTTGAGTCAATGCAAGTCTTGGCAAAATTCATACCTGAAAAGTGAAGATCGCGGATCTGCACAACAACATCATATCACAAATTTCAACACCAACAGGGTGTACATCGCTGATGAAGCACATATCTATTGAATGCTTTGAAATTCTAGAGGATGACTGACTGAAGGCGAATACTGTTAGTTCCTAATGAAAGATTGTCCCCCGACTGGTCAGGGTGGTGTAATGGTAATATATAATAAGGTCTAAGTCTACACCTCAATTTGCAGACCACACATCACATCTTCACTACATTTCTCTTCAGCTTAGAACCCGCTTTCATCTGAGTCAAACATCTATCCCCACAGCTTCAAGAATTACCCTTACCCTCCATATCTCAGAAGACAATGTCTCCCAACATTTTTATCACCGGCGTTTCTGGCTACATTGGTGGTGAAGTCGTAGATGTTTTTGCTAAGAAACATCCCGAGTGGCAACTCGTGGCATTAGTCCGAAATGCAGAGCAAGGAAAGATCATAGAGAGCAAATATCCAGCTGTTAAAACAGTGATAGGAACTCTTGATGACCATGACCTCCTTGTGGAGCAGGGCAAAAATGCTGACGTTGTTCTGCGTGAGCCTTCTGTCTTTGTGTCTTAAGCAAGCTAACAATAACTAGAAACTGCATCAGCAGATCATATTGAGGTCGGCCGATCCATCATTGAAGGGACGTTCAAGGGAAAGAAAGGCCACTACATTCATGTTTCTGGAACTGGTATGCTGCATGATGTCCAGAATGGTTACGGAAATCCCTCGCCAAAAGTCTATAGTGACATTTCCGACGTAATGGAAGTTACTTCTTTGGACTCCACTCACGTTCATCGCGATATCGACGCAGCCGTCATTGCGGCTGGGGAGAAATTTGGCGTCCCAACGGCAATCGTGTCGCCGGTTACAATTTACGGCGTCGGACACGGACCTATTAAGACACGCAGTCTTCAAATCCCATTTTTGACAGAGGCCATTCTTAAGCATAAGAAAGCGTTCACTGTATTGGAGGGAAATAACATATGGGACAGTAAGCAAACCTCAGATCCAACGAGCTGCCAATATCTAACCTGGCTTAGACATTTACATCACTGATCTGGCGGAGGTGTACGCAGTCCTTACTGAAGAAGCTCTCAAGCCCAAGGGGGGGTCTGCAACTTGGGGCCGTGAAGGTTATTACTTCACGCAAACCGCTGAGCACACATGGGTTGAGGTGGTGAAAGCTATATCTGAAGCTGCTCAATCGCGTGGCGCTTTGCCATCGGGAGACATTGAGAAATTGAACCCAGAAGAAGCAAGCGCCATACATCCATGGGCCCCACTTCTCTGGGGTGGTAATTGCAGATCCCGAGGTGATCGGATTCGTGCTCTGGGATGGAAGCCTGTCGGTCCCGGTCTTTATGAATGTATTCCGGAGATGGTTGACGTTGAAATCAATTCCCTCGGCACTCAATCCGCGGCAACAACCTTCTGAAGTCAGTCCGGGAGAGCGTCTACCAACCAACCATTTCAGACGCAAAGTCTTTGCCAACGGGCTATAAACGTTTTACAAACCCGCTTTATGTTGTCTTTTTCAATAGTACATAAAAATCAAGCTCTGATACATTTAACAGGTGGTTCCCATGTGAAATCTTAACATCACTCCGTTACTGTAAAGATATACTTAACAGCCAAGAAATCAAAACTAAGTCCTGAAGTCTCACTTTTTCACTGCTTCACATTAACACTAATGGCAAGAATAACTTTGAAGTCAAAATGGAAACCAAAACTTAAAAAGTCACTCACCCTGAAGCGAACGCCCCATAAAAATACCCCTGAACACTCTTAATAATCACGACCGGGGTATTATAATCTTGAATCTCTCCCCCACTACCCCTCCAACATCACAACACTCTTCCATGCAAATTTTGAACAACACCAAAGTCAAATCAAAATGATAATCAAAGAATCGCACCAAGATGTGGCTACGAAAGCGGATGGGAAGGAAGGTTCCATGAGTAGGTGTCGTTGATAGATGAGTGATCTAAAATATGTTGCTGATAACCACGAAGGAATCTTTCTGTACCACCCTGTTATCCCTGGATATCCGAATGCGTAAGTCGTGAGATGACTTCGCAGGGTTTTGATACACAAGCTAACTCTGTAACAGGAGGTTTCCAGGTGTTGTGCTTTTCAGTGAGATTTATCAAGGTGAGAAAGCGCTTTTTTCTCTACTTGAATCAGCTCCCAAGATGATTTTACTTTGCTGTACGGGAAGCGAGACGATTCAACACGCACTTACGAGAGGCTCTTTTCTGCCAGGCTGAAGCTCAAAATCCAAGCTTCAATCTATTCCACGGAATTTTCAGGAAAATATTGCCTTTGCTCTTCTAACCTGCAGTCAACGGTTTTCAAGATCAGGGTTGACACTTGTCTTTCGCACTGCATGTGACCGGAATCTTGGTTGAAGGCCCTGGAAGATACACAGATCTTCACCAGTGTTTTGATTTAGATACACTAGTTCTTTTCTCCCATACACTCTTAACTAATCCTCTGCAAGTTACTGGTCCTGTAGCACGCTTTGCTCGCCAAATCGCTGGTCAAGGATATATCGTGGCAGCACCGTCATCTTACCACGAGTTCACTGGGCCAGAGCCTTTAGCATATGATGTTCCTGGAACGGATGCTGGTAATGAATACAAGATCAAGAAGGTATGTACATCTTAAAATCTGGCGTGAAACTCGCATCATCCCCTAGCAGTGTCTCGAGCATGATATACAAAGAGTCAGAGTAGTAATCTGTATCTCAGACTCTGGCAGGCTACGATGAAGACTCTACACTTTCAATCGATACTCTTCTTGCTTTACCAACTTGCAATGGCCGCATTGGAGCAACTGGAATGTGTCTGGGTGGCCATCTTGGTAAGGGTTCCTTCCCAATCCTCCGTTCACATTAGCAAACCAACTAAAATCCTTAGCATTTCGATGCGCTCTTGACTCCCGAGTCTCCGCGGCAGTAACATACTTCGCAACAGATTTACACTCCGCGACTCTCGGTCTAGGCATGAAGGACGACACTCTTGCCCGCTGTTCCGAGATCAAAGCTGAACTGGTCATGATCCACGGCACACTGGATAATCATGTACCGCCCGAAGGTCGTGATCTCATTCGAAAGACGTTGAGAGAAAAGGGAATCATATTTAGTTGGTATGAGCCAGCTGGCGCACAACGTAAGTCTTATCCTCACATGACTGTGGTTTATTAGCCACCGACAAGTCTAGCGTTGGTGAGCATGAATTGACATGAGTTTCAGATGCATTCATCCGTGATGAGCTTTCGAAAGGCAGATACGATCCTGCGATTACCAAGGTCTGTTTCGAGATGATGCTGGAGCTTTTCGGGCGCACGTTGAAATTAGATCTTGGGTCTCACGATGGAAAGCAGCAAGTGGTCGAGAATATTTGTTAGATGTTGTGCTTGTGACTAAGTGTTAGAGCAAATTTGAACTCAATCAGTGTGACAACACTCGCAAAAAACATCTGGAGAGAAAAGTGAGCCTGTTTACTTGTTGATAAGCGTGATAAACATCTCTTCGAAACACAGTACTCAACCATATCATGATACCCGTGGATTATATATTCTATTTCTGGCTGCGTGACACTTATAGGCAACTTCTCTACCTGCATGACACTCATTCATAGGTAACTTTTCTACCTCCCCCCAACTTGGTATAGATCAGTCTCAAATATTCACTTAAGTGCGATATCCAATACAACTCTTCAGAAATGTTTCATAGCCTACAACAAAACCTTCGACTCTGTAGAAAAGACCAAAAATGGCTCGGAAAAGGAGCTTGGAACCGTCACCTTGAGTTGATTTTAACAGCACTGAAAATCGTTTGTACAAGCTTGCCAAATTCTTTACTAAAATTTGAATGTCACTCTAGATCTTTCAGTGCCTCTTTGTTGAAAATGGCTGTATTCTTTCGCGTGTAGAATTGAGAGCGGGCAGGAGAGGACTTATGTATATACAAACTATCAGTATGTTTGAAACTTCAAGAAAGACGTCACAGAAGAATTACGATAGATTCAAGAGTTTCTCGATATATACTTGCATTATAAAATACCTTCTTAAGAACACTTGAAACCATCATCAAAACAATTTACAGCTCAAATCTACAGTCGGAGTTCTATCATCCTACTCACCTAGGTTAACTCTTTTCATGCCCCAATTCTCACCGACAGATACACTTTACCTACATATCATCTGAACTTTTCGCGTAACTGTATTAATCTCAAAGGCATGTCAATTCACGCTCAATTGCGATATGCAACAAAATCAAATTGGAGTAAGCGGATTGAAGTTCATGTAAGACTTACTACAGAGGCAATAAGTCCTCCCGTCAAAAGCCAAGACTAAAGTCCGGGGACCTTAAACAGGGCAATATGCAGTTAAGTCTATGTTGCCGTACAATGTTTGACGCTTAGATTTTGAACTCGATTTCAAAACAAAAGGTGCAGATACATGGCATTAGGTAACAAAAGAGACATCAAATGAAGAATGGTATCATATTATTATTTCCTTTCCCGATACCAGAACCAACTCCGGCCGTCCAAATAATACTAAAAATGATTGGGTATGAGCTGACCGGGTATCCTGCCAAAAGAAACAAAAACCAGAAGAAATGCTTAAATACACCCCCACCAGCCCCCAGATCCATCTCCTGCGTGTGCATGAATGTAGAGCAAATCCTTTCCCATGGTTCGAAAGACTCAACAAGGTGATTTATGAGGCAAGAGAATACAGAGGCGTATTCGCGACGCGTGGTAAAGCCAAGCCAAAATGTGCAGTGAGGTGGGTTCATCTGAGATTTCTTCAAAGAAGAAGAAATTCTCAGACGAGACACCAGCATGAAAACAGTTGTGACAGATGTGGGGGCCTAAGTAGACCAGGCTATTAAACACAAAATAATCAGTATACGTCTAGATAGTCTCGACGACGCGGGCGTTCATAGCCTGCTGGAAACCGGAACCGGAACCAGTACTACCTCCAAAGTCTCTGTCATAGTTCTGTGCCGCTGTGGGCTCTCCATGCGAGCTTGGTCCTTCGCCAAGTTTGTTCGCGATATCCATTGATTGACCTAGCGATGGAGCTCCGGGAAGGAAGATGACTTTGCTGTTTGCTGACTTGGCCATCGCTTGCATTGCCTCGAGATATCTGATTTGCATGGCTGGGGCGCTGGAAAGAATATCGGCAGCTTGTCTCATAAGTTTGGCAGATTCAACTTCTGCACGGGCGGCAATGACCTTGGACTCTCCGATACGCTTGGATTGTGCGGCCATGGAGAGGGAGTCTTGGAGCTCGTTGCTGAAAATGATATCCTTCATGAGCATGCTTTCGACCTTTACACCCCATCCCATCGCAACTTCTTCGATAATCTCTCCGATGGACTGAGCTACCTCCTCTCGGCGTTCGATGACATCTTGGAGAACTCGTGCACCAACTACATGACGCAGTGTGGTTTGAGTTCGCTCAACCAATGCCTGTCGAACATTGGAGATTCCAAAGGCTGCCTTGTGTGGCGAAGTGATGTGGTAGTAGATGACCGAGGTAAGATGGAGCGTAACATTGTCCTTGGTCATGCAAACTTGCTGTGGAACCTCTGCAAGATGGTTAGCACTTTTGCATCATACATCCTAGAGCTGAACATACCAACGATCTGAATCTTAACATCGACTTGGGTAAGTCTTTCACTTAGAGGATTGATCTTGACCAGTCCAGGATCGACAGCACGATAGAACCGACCGAACTTGGTGACCAGACCAACGTTTCCTTGCGCGACGTTTTTGTATGGATTAGGGCAGACGATACAACATGGAATAGCTCCTAGATTTCCAATGCAAGAGCCCAACATGTTGATCTACTAAGGGTTAGATTGGTAAAGCGCAGGTTTCGAACATAATAACTCACCATGGATCCATACCATCCATGCGCGGCAGTATCGTCACCTTGTAGCACCTGGGCATAGCTTGGTTGAAGATCTTCTCTCCGTGGTGGTTCGACGTGGACTAGAGGATTATCACTGCGACCAGCTGTTGTGCCCGAAGCTCGATAGTCTCCGTTTGTAGGAGTCGCGTCCTTGGTCTGAGGTGTTGTTGCCGACATTGTATTTGTATGCGCAAGTCAATAAGAAGTAAGATAGTTGTGGGTGATGAAAGTAACAGAAGTAGTAATAGAAGTAGTAGGATAAGATCACTTGATATTCTGCTTTGCTTTGTTTGTTGGTAAACACAAATAATATTTGCAGAGGAGAGCTCGACCTTAAGTAGAAGGAAGCTGTCGCGCGCGAGGGTGTCACTTCACTCGAGCTGCAGCTGGTACGAGATGGTGGTGTGGCCAGGGAGTGGGTCGACCTAGTGCGGGGGAGCTACGCTGGGCTGCGTTAGAGGCTTGGCCCCGTACTGTCAGAATGCACGCCCCGATCTTCTGCTTGCAAGGAGTTCTGGCGACGGTCGGGACGATGCGACTCGCCACAGTTTCATCGATGGGCCTTTGCCGTAACATCCGCTTACGTTTGTTTCTTTCCGAGTCGATATTTACATTCAAATACGAATATCTTTGCATACACATAGCATTTAGAAGCTTCTGAAGCTTCTAAAGCTTCTAAAGAAGTTACTAATTTTCTGTGTCCAGCAAGGCCGATTCCCAGGCTTTTCAATTCTCCAATGGACACATGCGTGATACGCTGCGCCTATCTGAATTACGGATTCAGACATGCTAGCGTCTCGGGAGAGAAAGCTTAGCCAATGTTTAGGCTTAATCGAGTACTAGCTCCTCTGCAGTATTTCGTCTTCCGTCCCATTCTCCCATTCAGATGTTCTGTTTACAGTATTTTCAAACGGCGATCGGGCTTGTACGACATCATCACTACTTGCAACCCTCAACCTCTTCATTTTGGCAAACAATCATGAGTTCACATCTCCGATACAGTCCGTACCATATCTGGTATACAAACGGGCTCACCGCCCCTTGAATGTCGTAAGACGAGGCTCTGCAGCTGCCAAAAGATGTGCGAAGCGTGCAATCATACTTCAACCAGGGCCAAATTATCGATATGCTTACAGGCAAAAATCCGCCCAGGATAATGCCTCATACGTTTTCTTGGGAATATCTACCTACTGGTGTCGAATATCTTCCTTATTTCGCATCTGTGATTCGACAATCCAAATATACCAGGGAGACAACCTTGCTTCAATTGCGACGGATGCTGCTTGCCGAGAGGAGGCAAACACCTTCAATGGCTATCGACAAGATCATGAGATCGTGTGTTAGTGCTACTTCACAAAGCACGTGTGTTCTCGAAGTTTTCCTAAAACGATTAAGTATGATTTCCTCCGTCTTACCCGTTTACTGACAGCGAATTAGATGAATTCTACTGTACTTAAGTGCTAGTATATCTCGCTTCACGGCTCAGCCTTGTAAATGCCAAGATATATCTCAATTGCAAGTGGCAATAACCAGTGGTTCACGCCAACGACAGTTTACCAAACAATGAATGAAGAATTCTTCTGCCTGCTCTTAGTTTTCAGGGACTGCCTAATTCATCTGCATCTTGCGGGAATTAATTTCGCACTCATCGCGCATCTTGCAACGAGATATCATCAGCGTCGCATTCTGCTCTCATCGTGGAGGCGCAGCTTACGACCCTCGAAAGAGATGGCTCGCAAGTCAAATGATCAAGATCAATAGGGAAAGCTGCGTGAAGCTCAAGGTGGACAACAAAGACATGTAAGTCGTTGTGTCACGGATTATATTTCTTACAACATAAGGTTACTTTCTGAAGCTTGATCATGTCCTCGAGCTGATAAATAACGAAAATTGGCCGAATGTATATGTCAGAATGCAGGTCGCCACGCCACGCAATGCTCCTCATTGGAGCCAAACAGGTTTATGGACCCTATGTCGGAGATGGCTATGATTGAAACTTCAGATTGTTTTTCAACATAATATAGCACTGTCCCGATACGGTTCGAACTATTTTATCCAGCGCTTCCCCATCTTCTGGTGATCGTCAGCAAGATCCAATACTCTCCATCACCCCTCTCGAGAATCTGGTTGCGTCTCAGGGCAACGTTCTAAGCATCCTCATAGACAAAGCAAACATTGTGAGGTATTGCTTCTAACATCTGAGTCCACCGCATATGTCGATTACTTCATCGAGCTTGTAGATAAGTCGACTGTGGTATACGAGTCTTTTCCCTATCAAGTCAATTCTCTTGAGCATTAATCACTCAACGCACATTCTAACAGTGGTTGACCCTCTGAAATTGGAACGCACGTATGCTTCTGTCGTCGCACATTCTAAGCACTTTGATAATCATACACGAGTCCGATTATCTCAACCCATCAAAGTTCAACCCCTTTTCATCTTCTATGGCTTGCCATCAGGCCAAGTATTCTAAACAACTTTCAACATCGAATATGTGTTTCTTCGAAAAGTGGCATGCCTTTCGACAGCGCTTGGCACTGACGGAGTACAACAGGCAGAGCAGAGCTAACCAACTACATGTTGGTTACCAACTTTGAGATAATTGTTGGCTTCATCTATGAACAATCGGATTGATATATGAGCAGGCTTGTTTGTTTTACCGTTGAGCACCCTCTGCGCACAAGTTGCGGACTTATCACTGGAGGATGTACGCAACAACTCGCAATCATAAACTTGTATCGGTAACAAACTTCGTCCTGTATGATACTGCTCTTTTATCTGGCCTGAGCCATATAGCATAAACGCACAAAAAAGTATATGATACCCGGTTGGTTGCACCGCTCGGAGCCAATACATGCTCAGGCGTCGCCTGCAGCACAGTCAGTATAACTCAGGCGGCATGTTGGGTCTACGGCACAGTGAGCCTTGATTTTGTTGGATCTCATTATCTCTTCCCCCCGTCCATCTCTACTATTGTCATCTGTTATTTTTCATTCTTCTGCCAAACGACGCCAAAGTTCAAATCCTGCGCAATCGTCATGGCGTATCCCCTTTGGATGGCTATCATGGTACCTCCAATCTCTTTCATGGCATGGAATTTGCAATGTCTATGGCGTAACTACCGTCTTGCTCAGAAAATGAACATTCCGATAATCGTCATACCAGCGAGCGGCGACAATCCAGTGTGGCTGCTGGTTGCAAAACCTGTTTTGGCCGTGTTGAGATTCATATTTGGGGACATTGATTTTGTGAAGTATAGTAACCCGGGATGGGAAAGTAAAGCGAAGTACAGAATGTACGAGGAACTGGGCGAAGCGGTTATTCATGTCAGTCCAGGGCACAATTGGTTGTATATTTGTAATCCAGATGCTATCAATGAAGTCTTCAGGAGACACAAGGAGTTTGATCGGCATCCAGAACTGCTAGGTAAATGCCACATGTCAACGAGAGTCGCAGAATTTATATCTGACATCTTAGTTAGCCATACTAGCTGTCTTCGGACCTAATATCTCCACGGTAAACCTAACGGACAATCTGATTTCATTTTTTGTCAAAGCTGAATAAATTCAGGCAACCGGAGCCGACTGGCAACGCCAACGCAAAATCACTTCTGCCCCATTCTCGGATTCCAATAATGCTTTACTATGGGACGTGTCTCGTCAACAAGCGTCCGAGCTAGTGCAACATTGGCTCGCTGCCAGTGAGCCGATAAGAACAACAGATGAAGATACACGCACGCTATCACTGCACGTCCTCTCTGGAGCTGGTTTTGGGAAGCAGTACTCTTTCCACAAAAAGGGAGAAAAGGCCAAAGCTGGCCATCTATACAATTACCGCGACTCGATTGCTCTTGTCTTGGAAAACTGTGTTCTCATTCTAGTACTTGGCCCAAAGCTCCTCGGAAAGCTCGCTAAATGGCGTATATTTGGACCGTTGGCAAAAATCGGTCAAGCGACGATAGATTTCAAAGATCATATGACGACTATGTTGATTGAGGAAAACCAAGCCATAGCTGAGGGTCGACCACGCGCTGCAACAATCACAAACTCTCTCATCCGAGCCAGTGAGGAAAGCAGGTCCTCAAGCAAGGCGGGGGAAGGGTTTAAAGGGTTAACAGAAGACGAAATTTATGGGAATATTTTTGTGTATAACTTTGCAGGACACGATACGACCGCGACAACGTTCAGTTGGGCTTTGTATCTTCTCGCAGCTTTTCCAGACACTCAGACATGGATGGCGGAAGAAATAATGGCTGTTGTTGGCGATCGCGATCTACAGTCTCTAGACTTTAAAGAGGTCTATCCAAAACTTGTTAGATGCCTAGCCATTTTTGTAGGTCAACATCCGGTTTTTACGATCTCTACCTCTAACAAGCTGCTAGTATGAGACAGTCAGGCTTTGGAATCCAGTTCTTGGTATTTGCAAGTCAACTTTCCTTGATCCCGTGGATCTTACTGTTGGCGAGCAGACTTTCTCTATCCCGCCCGACACTCGCATCGTTCTTAGTACAAATGGAAGTCAGACGTTGAGACGCTACTGGGGCGACGATAGCCTGGAATGGAAACCTCGCCGATGGGTTTTGGACTCGGGGACGAACTCGGAGGAAACGGGCGAGAAGGGCGAAAGCCTTTTTGTTCCTGCTCGGGGTTCGTTTTTTGCTTGGTCAGATGGCGTTCGAACCTGCCCAGGAAAGAAGTTCAGTCAAGTGGAGTTTGTGGCAACAATGGTGGCTCTGTTTCGCGATTATAAGGTCGAGGTTGTGCCTGAGAAAGGTGAGACAAGTTTCGATGCAAGGGAACGAGTGAAGAGAACGGTCAACGACAATGGGATGGTTTTGCTGCTGCAAATGAGAGACCCGAAAAGCGTCGGGCTGAAATGGTCTGCTAGGTAGGAAAACAGAGGTTGCAGCCGTCCATGATCTGTTGCGTATTCCAGGCTCTCCGGCCTGTGCGTTCGTAGTTAGTCTGAGCTCTTGGATATTTAGTATAAACCACCTATGCGCCGTCAATAAAAGCCTTAATGCCGAAAACTATCAATCCTTATCACAGTTCATGAACGAATGCGCCTTGTTGGGGCAAAATAGAACTTGGCACAGAGCGTTCCAGTCGTGCTTCACTGAGGCTATGCTACTTCGACGATGCCACGGTGGATATTGCCTACGAGAATTTCTTGGCCTATCAGCCTTTCAGAAGATAGCTCCTGGCTACTCTCGAATAAATTTCCCAATAATGAGTGGGTTTCCCCAGTTGCAGTGTCGCTGGACCGCGAATTGGATGTTGGATGTTGACCACATCAAATGTATAGCGTGCACTGTGAAGAGCCGAAGGACAATAATTGAAGCGCGTCAAGAGCGTATGCCAGAGGACAACTCCCTATTCGTTCTGGGGATACTGTGGTTTTTAACTTTCTACTGAGACGCTCGCGCATAATGGCATTCTATCGGGCAAGGTCGTAAGGACTAGATGAAGACCGTTACCATGATTACCTAAAAGTCACTATATGACATGTAGTATCTAGGTAATTGTAAGTGAGGGAAACCAAGAAATCAGAAATACCTTTATGTACATGTGTAACTTCTGCGTTAGGAACAGGTAACAGGACGAATACTTTATTATACGCGGAAGCTTTCTTCGAATAGGTTTGAATTCGGTCACGAGTCAGATAAATGACAGAAGATTTGAAAATGTGGATTTGATGCCGGGTTTATCAGTTCAGAGGTTAGTGACACATGAGAAGACTGAGGCTGACAAAAAGATAGATGTCCAGAAGAAGGGGAAAATTACGCCAGATGTGGATTAGCGTTGTCGTGGTCTTTCGACCTCTTCTCATTCCCCTTGCAGCATCTCACAAACTGCGCCCATAGTTCTACCCACTGCTGCGTGCCACTCTTTGATAAGACACGGACGAGTTCCGATGACTTTATCAATCATGGCCCCAATGATTGGTCTGCAGCCATATAATAAACGCCATATCAGTAGGAGTGGGATGGCCGACTCTGCTGGCAAATACTGGCGCTATTCACAATTCCTGGAATCTGGATAAGTATGTATTCAAGAGTAGGTGCATTCATTTCTTAGTGTCCAAGATTCATTTTGTTTGTCTGTCGTAACCATGGCTGTATTAGAAGAGGTTTCCTTTCTGGCGTTGTCCCACAACACATTTGCAGTCACAGGAATATTGATACTGCTTCTGGTATCAGTCTTTTACTGGGTAAGTCCATCCAACGTAGAATTACTCTCAACCACTGACACGTCTAGATCTCAACAAAAACTGACATCCCATACATTAAAGGCATTCCTGAAATTCCCGGTGCCCTGCCAATATTCGGCCACCTTCTGGCACTTGGCGACGACCATGCCACAGTTTGCGAATCCTGGTGGAGGAAATATGGCACATCCGTGTTCCAGATAAGACTTGGAAACACTCGCGCGGTTGTAGTAAACTCCTTCGAAGACACAAAGCGGATGTTAATCGGAAACCAATCGGCCGTCATTGATCGACCTACCTTATATACGTTCCACGGGATCATTAGCAGCACGCAAGGCTTTACGATCGGTAGCAGTCCCTGGGATGAGAGCTGCAAGAATAAACGGAAAGCAGCTGGGGCGGCGCTGGGAAGGGCGAAGATCAAGGATTATTTCGATATGTTTGATTTAGAGTCATATTGTATCGTCCGGGATCTGGCACGAGATTCGAAAGATGGATCGACTGAGATCTCAATACGCCCTTATATTCAGAGATATGCGCTTAATACTACTTTGACATTGTGCTATGGAATTAGGATGGATAGTGTTTACGATACGATGTTGCGCGAAATCTTGGAAGTCGGATCAGCCATATCTCTGCTAAGAAGCGCGAGCGAGAACTTCCAGGATTATATTCCTATACTTCGATACTGGCCCAACAATTCCAAAAATCGACGAAGTAAAAACCTCCGCGACCGAAGAGATACTTACCTCAATGCTCTTCTGAATCAAGTTCGAGAAATGATCAAGAAAGGCACTGACAAGCCCTGCATCTCCGCTGCTATTCTCAAAGATGAGGAGACCAAACTCTCAGGCGTGGAAGTAAGTTCTATATGTCTCTCCCTCGTCTCTGGTGGGTTTGAAACCATTCCTGGCACATTAACATCTTGTCTCGGTTCGCTCTCAACACTTGAGGGTCAAGTGTTTCAGGAGAAGGCGTTTATGGATATCAAACGTGTGTATCCCGATTTAAGAGATGCTTGGAGGCATAGTTTTCAAAGTGAGGATGTCCCATATCTCAATGCAATTGTGAAGGAGGCGGAGAGATATTATACTGTTTCCGCAATGTCCTTGCCGAGGAAAACCGTTAGTGAGGTTATATGGGATGGTGCAAGAATTCCAGCAAAAACTATGGTGTTAATCAACGCGCAAGCTGCAAATCATGGTATATTCTCCCTCCGCCAGCTTATCCATTTCATCACTGACCACCATAACAAGACATTGATCATTTCGGGCCCTCAGCCTCCGTGTTCGACCCCGAACGCTGGTTATCCTCTAAGACATCTCCTCCTGGGATTCAGCATTTCTCCTTCGGCGCCGGATCACGAGCTTGCAGCGGACAAATCATTGCTTCAAGACTTTTGTACACTGCGCTCCTCCGTATCATCAGTAGCTTCCGCATTGTGGCCAGTGAGAAATACCCGCCGAATACTGATTATGTGGATTACAATGGGTGTAAGAGCGCTCTGGTTGCTATTCCTAGGGATTTTGATGTTAGGCTTGTCAGGAGAGATAGCTTAGAGGGAGAGGTTAGTTTGGAAGAGTGCTTGGAGGAAGCGAGGGGGAGAACTGAGGGTTATTATAGGGAGGAGAGTGGAGTGGGTGTCTAGGGGTTTATTCTTCTGTTTCGCAGTATAGATGCATCCACATTACATCTTGTGTACGGGAAGGCGAAGTACAGCAATGTTATAATTGCAGCAATTATATGATCATACAACGATGGCATGAAAATACCGTACCAATCGAACGAATGCAATTAATTTCCCTGTCATTTTCTACAGGCTCCTCGATACAGAAATTCACCCTCCCAAACCACCTATTCCATCACGTGCCAGCCCAATCCGTCTAGCGCGCCCCACCTTCAAAAAATTTACAAAGCCTCAATTTCCATTCCAACTCCTCCTTTCCCTCTTCATCAAAAAGTAACAGAGCCAGCCACGACCTCCACCTCGAATTCCTGTCACAGTGGTGTGTTGCCAGCATCCTTCACGGGATGTGAGGCTCTGGAGATTGACTATTATGAGCCTTGATAGGAAGTTTGCCTCCCGTGTTGGTTCCCTTTGCTGGGAGCGAGGGGAGGGGAATGTCGATGATGGGGTACAGATGAAGAGAAAATCGTGGAAAGTCTTTCATGATTAATGATCGGTGGGGAGTGTGACGGGGAATGTTAGTGGTTTCTGGTCATGAGTTGGGGAGTTGATGTTTGTAGGATTGGAGTGGGACGTGGGATTTTCTGGCGCATGGTTTTGGTACGTGAGATGATGATGCGTTTGGTTGTGTGGGCTTGGGGATGTGTCAATTGTTTAGCAGATGATGCATCCCTGACTGCACGCAGTCAAATGCTCGAATTCATGAATGCGGTTAACAACGGTTCGATTTTTGCTCGTCACCTTCGTGTCATAGTGGTCGCGCAAAATTGGCATCACGACCAGGACAACCAATTTGCAACCGGGGGCGACAAGTAGTCACTTTGATGAGTGTCAATGTCAACATGAAGTTTTATGTTTGTTAATTTTGAATCTTATTTACTATTAATCTATCCTCTTCCCATTCATAATATGTCGTCGTAAAACTTGTAGAAATTAGTGTTCCTATTGCAAGGAACTTTCTCTTGGTCCTTTGTGAGCTTCAGAGGCAGTGGTTGCTGGGGAAGTTGTTCAGGATCTTCTTTCTCGAAATATTCGAAATCCCCACTCCCATATATCGTCGACCATGTATTCGAACTTTTTGCAGCACTCTCTTCATGTACCGCATCCTGTACAGCGATCTCGTCTCCCATTATCATGATCGGAATGGATCCTCTCCTCGATGACGGTGGTGTGATGACTCTATGATGCTTTGCAACATATCCCAACTTGACTCTCATCTCATCTTCCGCCAATTCAAGCGTCGACGGATGGACTCGCTGACCAGATGCAGTAAAATAGATTTGATCTTTCGGTGGAGGAGTTGGTCTTCTGTCACTGCCAGAATCACTACCAGATCCCAATCGTGGAACCTCCCAGTCGTCTGAGCCTAAACTTGGTCGTCGATGATCATCCTCACATGAAGCACAGAGACCTCTAGGACCCTCCGACCCAACCTTACAAAGTCTACACTTTGCAATCGCCGGCCACTCGCCCTGTTTCTCCTGTTCTCCAGCGCAATAAAACGAATCAACAGAAGTACTAGACGATTTCCGATGCAACGTAAATGGCTTGTTTTTGAAGGTGCCATTAAACGGTGGACTTATCTTCCCGGTAATATCGCGTCGCGTCTCATCCAGATAATCCGCACTCGTACGGATATAGTCGACGAATTTCTTGGACGAAGATTTTGTTTTACGGTGTAAGACCTGAGGTGTCGTTGGTCTGGTCGAAGGCGCTGAGCTGAATCCACCGGCTGGTCGTGGTGGTGCTAACCGTCCTCGCTGTTCAGGTCGATAATCTGCAGGTGGTTCCGCCTTTTCTAAATTCCCCTCTCGCATATCCTGTTGATATCTTAGCAACTTGTGGAAATCCGTATTTCCGCCCTCCCTCTTCCGCGAACTTGGTCGTTTAGGTCGTGGTAAATCTTCGCTCCCAGCTCTACTATGCGACGGATATGTCGGCCAGAAAGTATCCCTGGGTGGATCATTTGATCTCGATCTCGGCCCTCGTTCGTCTGACTTCCCAGTCGATAATCGCTGGTAGAATTTCTTTGTTGGGACTTTTGGTGTGTTCTGAGCGGACGAAGGTCTACCACTCGAGACTGCTCGCTCGTGCGTCGTGTGTATTATCTCCATATCTGAAATCTTTCGTGGTGTTTTGAGGTGTGATGTATCCTCCATAGCTGGATTCTCGATGGTTATATATTCTATATGTTGGCCTTGTTTGCGCATCTTTACATGTGTATGTGGTGTATATGTATATGAGTAATGAAAAAAGTGGAAATTTTGTATCTGCTTAGGAAATGAGAAATTGGAGATGAGAACATGCGAGATATAGTGACTCCTTAGCTCTTTGTTAGAACAATACCTTTATATTCATCCAACAAAAATCAATTGTGTCGGGGCACAAAGAGGTGTTTGTTATACTTCACCGTTCATTGTTAGCACAGCCGCCTTTTTGTTGCGTCGTGGCTCAGGTTCGTCCGCATGAGCGGAGTGGAGGAATCCCGATCATTTGCTGCTCAGTCCCGCACCTTGTGCCGTTGCTTCTTTCGCCTAAAAATAATCCTCCCATTCAAGGTTTGGTGGTGAGGATCTATCAGGTGCGAAGCGCAGCGCTTCCTGTTGTGTTGTTGGTGCGCGGATATGGGGGCTGGAGTGCTACACGTGCGGGTATGTCGGCGTGTTGGTGTTCTGGAGAGGAGTTGAGGTGCGCTTTTGGGTGGGAAGGGTGGAGTCAGTGGGTGCAAAGGTATGTTGGTATGATGATTGAATGGCTGCTGCGATTTGTTGGTATGACATGTAGTTTTAGATTTCTTGTTGGGTTTGGCTGTGAGTGTTGTGAAATTGTCTATTTTGATAGGGCTTCCGCGAGCCGATAGAAAATGACGTCACAGGCAACTTCACGTATCTTTGGGGACTTGACAAGATGTGTCTCTTTCCAAGATCATGCCTGTGTACGATGCGATTCTCATGAGTAGATTTCTATTTTCTTTGTTGGCTTTTCGTGTCACTAACCATTTGTAGCCACATCGCACATATTCGACATTCTCCACATAAGGTATGAGTGAACTATTACACATGGGCGAAATAAAAGCACAATGAAAAATGAGCTGAAACGGGAATTTTCGAGGAAAGGTAATTACAAAAACAAGAACATTTTATTCCTTCCCAAGAGCTTCACGCTATTCACTCACAGCTTCACGACTATAGTAATGGAACCTGTACCGTTTGGAGTATATCTCTCATACCTACGCATACTTTTAACCTCGTAGATTTATCTCCCATCAATATTTTCGTCGTCTTTGTCTGTCTCATATGCTAATAATTCTTCAAAGTAAGCCGTTCGTATTCAAACAATCAAACAAGGTATCTTTCCCGGTGTCGAGTTCATTCGAAGTGGAGTAATGATTCGTTCCAGAGCCTTTAACAATCTTCTGACCATTGAAAACTACTAACTTATTCTACTCAAACTCTGCCAGCTAGTTATTTTACAAGATACTGTCCAGATGAACCATCTTGTAACAGCTCCTACTCTGTGTTTCTAATGTAACCACCCATCACCTTTCCAACACAGGCGCCCCACCCAACTTACCTTTCCCCTCTCTCTCTCCCTTCGCTTCTTCCAACATTTGCAAAATCTCATCCCCATCACCCTCTAGTTCTTGTCTTGCAAGAAATTGTGTTTGAGTTGCTTTAATGTTTTCAGAAAATGCATACTCAAGAATAGAAGCACACATCTGTCCCCTCAATCATTCACATTCCAATTCCATCCATTATGTATGAGAAATCGCAACAAAGAGTGTATTTTCTGACTCATTGCCCAATGCACTACTGACGACGAGAATCCGTTTTGGCGAACGTCTTTGTCTTAGGTAGAGCTAGGAATGCTTCCTCATGGGGATCGAGATGCAAATCAACAGTCTACTTATTTCGTCGGCCGTATCGGATCCATTGAGTCATCTTTCCTAGATATACTTCTGTGATTCTTCTAGTGGACGTGTGGCGATGCTTATACAAATTATCAAGTTCTTTATAGTTTGAAATTTGGGTTTCAATGCGAGGAAAGTCGTTTCTCTGATATTAGGTGAAGATGAGTTGGAGGGGTTGCCTATTGTTGGTTTGGATATAAGTAAGTCAGGTGTAACATGAGTGAGATGGTTAGCGAGCAATATAAGGTATTGTTGGACGTTTCCAAGAAGACATAAATACTGATAGATTAATCCGTCTCGATAAATTGAACACAACGAGTCAGCATATACATACCTACCGTGGAAAATCACGTACAACAGCTTCACTCTAGAGGTTAACTCGAGGTATAACTGTGAAAAACAATTTTCTGCATTTTGCAGACGAATCCTGAATGTGGGTTATAAAATGGTCGGAAAGAAGCAGCTTCAACTTAATTATTTGGTCACTATATTTGAAATCTTTGTATTCCACCAACCACCAAAAGTCAGTTGTTTCCAATTATTTGAAGTTTCAGGACACCCAGCAAATGGAAATCTAGTCGTCTTTGGCCTGCCATGAAACGTAGATAATGGACCGGGGTCTAAAATTCTTTGCTTTTTGTGTACCTGTGATCTTTGCTTTGGTGGGTTACAAATGTGTCTGCTGCGATTGTCTTATATTTGTCCCCGCCATATACTTGTGGAAATCTTCACTTCTTTTTCCTCATGGTTTAAGCGTTCTTGACAGGATCCGACCAGTAGCAATTCAGGTTTGAGGCCGTGAATTATGATCGTATCATCGGATACCATTTCTGACCCATATTTCAATAATCTGCCAGAAATGTCAGTCTATCAAGTCTTTCCTACAGATCTACTTTATATCTCCTGAAGTCCCGTTTACGATCGAACCCAGTTATTATCGTATTTCAGCTTTTGTCGCTGAGACTTAGCCGGATTATTGGCCCCGTTCAAAGGATTCTGTCAGTTCAGCTCAAAAACCAAATGGATATCATCTTCAAGGGGCCGGTTCGAATCCGAATATACCCTGCATCTCTGGCGGATGGACGTGGTGAAGCATGGGTCGAGATGGAGGCGAGTCATGTGACCTCGCGCTAACTTCTGATATGGCGGGAGGTAAGTCTCGTCTCGCGTCCTCCCCCTTCCCTTCTTTTATATCACAGACAACCCAATTTCATAGGTCTCGTGCGCCGAGTCAACCACAAACGTTTTACTTCCTTGAATCAGATAGAAGGTGTCGTGAAGATGCCTGTTGGATTTTGACTCGATTCATTTGTCGATACCGATATATACCATGAGTGGAACTAAGATGCCCACTCGGCGACGTGGACCTCCAACATTTGGGGGCCCTCCGAAGTATCCCCCTGAAGTTTTTCAGTACGACGGGCGGATACAGTCTGTTACCTCCGAATCAGCGGCGACCGCATCAATTCCATCTAACGCCTCGGGAGACTTGACAGATGAGATTATTGAATTTGTTTCTCAAAACTCCACAGCTGGGGTTCCTCCGCGAAAAAAGCAGAAGTTAAATGGCGGTCATACATCAGATGATGGTTGGCTTAAATTACTGGATATTAACAAGCATTCGCAACTTGAGCACATTGTCGTCAACAAATGCGTTTGGGATATTCAGTGTTCAAGCTCAAAGCTTTCTAATCTGGTAACACCGGTCACTAGGAAGGCAACCAATCCAGTTGTAAATTTTAGTCGTTTCCCTAGAAAGCCTATGACTATTACTATTAATAATGACACACGGACGGCTATCCTTTATGCAATACTACCAGAAGACGAGTCGGCTCACAAAGACGTTCGGGTGGCTATGATTGTGGCACATGATTCGAACAAGTGGGCAAAAGAACAGGGTAGACTGTGGACAGAATTCGGCGTCCAGCTACGCCACGATAACGGGCATGATACCATTCGCCTGTTATTTGCCATTAAATGGAACATAACAGCTTCGCCTTATTCCGCTATCTCGGCAGTGAAAAGAACGGAAGCTGTGAGGGAGGTTTTGAATCGATATTTCCCAGATCCCAATGTTCACAAAAGTGATGTTTGGAGTCCGCAAGACTTCTACCAGAGCGCTCACACGCCCGAGAAAGACGATTCAATCACGGACTCATTAGTGGTTCCTGAGTTGGAATCCGAACTCTATCCGTTTCAGAAAAGAACAGTACAATGGTTACTTAGGAGGGAAGGCTACGAATGGTCGACTACCTCCAAACAAGTGGTTCCACACACTACTGCAGAATCATCGTTACCACTTTCTTTCATTTCGGTGACTGACGCCATGGGTCAACCATGCTACGTAAGTCATTTACTCAGTCTAGTTGCTTTGGATCTCAACCCGTTTCGGGAACTAGAGCGCGACACACATGGCGGAATTCTCGCGGAAGAAATGGGCCTTGGTAAAACGGTGGAAATGGTTTCTTTAATAACCTTAAATCGCAGGTCCAAGGAGGAGAGAGGGCAAGCGTTTGACGTGTTCACTGGTACTCAGGTTCGGCAGACTGCTGCTACCCTCATCATCGCACCGCCAGCTATATCGCAACAATGGGTTTCCGAAATCAACAAGCATGCACCGCATCTCTCAGTAGTTTATTATGAGGGTATCAGGGCGTCCAACGAGTTGATGACAGGCCCGGAGCTTGAAGATCACTTAGCAAGCGCAGATGTTGTAGTATCTACCTACAACGTTTTGGCAGTCGAGATACACTTTACACAGCTCAATCCAGAGAAATCCTTACGCCAAAAGTCCAAATATCCACGCCCAAAATCGCCTCTAATGACTCTTCAATTTTTCAGAGTCGTAATGGACGAGGCTCAGATGATAGAGAGTGGTGTGAGTAACGCCGCCGTAGTTGCGAGAATGGTACCTAGAGTGAACGCTTGGTGTGTGACTGGAACTCCAGTCAGGAAGGATGTTACAGATCTACTTGGTCTTTTGGTCTTCCTTCGTTATGAACCTATTGCTTCGACAAAACACATCTGGTCATCCCTTACCACTTCTCACAAGCAAGAGTTTCGAAAGTTATTCTCAAAGATCGCCCTTCGCCATAGCAAAATGAGTGTTCGAGACGAGCTGAAACTACCGCCACAACGGCGGTATGTAATTACAATGCCGTTCACTGCCATCGAAGAGCAGCATTATCAGGGACTATTTGATCAGATGTGTGAAGAATTAAATTTGGACAATTACGGTACACCTCTTGACGATGAGTGGAAGATAGAGGACTACACTGAGATTATGCGACGATGGTTGGTAAGATTGAGACAGACTGCTCTGCATCCCGAGGTTGGTGGACGCAATAGAAAGGCCCTAGGGCACAAAGACGGACCCCTAAGGACCGTTGATCAAGTCTTGGATGTGATGATTGAGCAAGCGGATTTCGCCGTTCGAACCGAACAGCGGATACTACTCGTCAAAAAGTTGAGGCGTGGACAGCTATTCGAGAACTCCCCAAGAGTGAAGGAAGCTTTAGAGGTTTGGACCGAAGCAGCTGCTGAGGCTCATGCGATTGTGGAAGAGAATCGGCAACTACTTCGAGAAGAAGTTGACCGCGTATCATCTAACAAGAAGCCCGCCGACGGAGCAGTGAAATCTAATATCATCGACGAAACGGATAACTCAAGCGATGATGAAATGGAAGGGTAAGTACTGTTTACATTGTCACTGAGGAAGTCTACTAATCGATATAGTGTTGATGCAAATTCTCGTTTAGGCATACTTCGAACTCGTTTGCGATCCGCACTTGAGATGGAACACGTCGCAATGTTCTTCTGCGCCAACGCTTATTTTCAAATCAAATCTAACAAAGATTTCACAAAACCTGATTCACCAGATTTCGAGAGGCTGGAAAAGCTTGAGACTGAAGGTTATGAATCTGCGAAAAGGCTGAGACGAGAGATACTTCAGGATGTGCGTATAGCCTTTGCAAGCCGCTATGGGTACGGGTCTCAAATACTAATCTTCTAAATTAGATCCATGGTAAAGCCGAGAGGCGCATGAAGAAGATAGCAAAAAGAGCTGATAGCCAAACATTCGTGCAGATTCCAGAGTTTCCTTCCAACCTTCCTAAGGGTGGTCTCGAGAGTCGTCGAATAATGGAACAACTCGATGCGCTTGGTGTCGCACTTGATGCCCAGGCGAATCAATTGGATGAGTGGAGAGAAGAAACCATACAATTTCTCCTTCGACCTCTTGTCGATGAAGACGACGGATTAGAAATTACTGGTGACGAGTATGAAGAGTCCACTAAAACACAAGATGAAGTAATGGTGTATGTGCAAGCATTACGCGCGGTAATCGCGGACCGGCACGATGCTCTTACTGGGCAAGAGAACAAACTTGTTGAGTACGAAGTTAAAACTGCTTTGCGTCTTGCTAAGGAAGGTGGCGGGGCCTTCCCTGAAAAGACAACAGAGCTTCTAGGTATTCGAGAGCAACTCAAGCCGCCAAAGTCTCTGGGCTTTGTGCGACGCGTAGTAGCTGAACTCCGTGCTTTGGCAACAAGTTTACGAACAGATTCACAGGCTGGCAATTCAAGAGCGCAAAACGAACTCTCGATAGTTGAAAAGCAACTAAAGACTACACAGAAGCAGTTGAGTGACCAAACAAAAGCATTGGCTGGATTAGAGAAAGAAATTGAGAGTTTTGCGAGCGTCATGAACACTAGACTAGAGTACTATAAACAACTACAGCAAGTCTCGGATATGGTGGCTCCGTATGAGGGGCCGAACAACGACAAGACACTTGGGAAGTGGCTGAAAGAGGAAGAGAAGCTCGTTACTAAGATCGCACAAGCAAAATCGAAACGAAGATACTTGTTGCATCTTAAAATGGAAGCGGCTAACCCACAGGAGCAGCGAATCTGCGTTATTTGCCGAGAGGGATTCGAGATTGGAGCACTCACAGTCTGTGGCCACCAGTACTGCAAGGAGTGTATTCAGCTCTGGTGGAGTGGTGAGTTCTCTCCTAGACCGTGATAAAACACCACTAACGTTTATAAGCTCATCGTAATTGCCCCGTGTGTAAAAAGAAGTTGATCCAAGCCGATCTCCACGAAATAACTTATAAACCACAAGAACTTTCCATCCAAGCAGAGGAAGTGCAAAGCCCATCCCGGTCTCGCGCCGTTTCCTCCAAGTCCAAGAAATCTGCGATCTACTCCGAAATTTCCAAAACTAAACTTGCCGAAATTAAAAACATAGATCTCGACGGCCCGTCCTTTACCACAAAAGTCGATACCTTAGCTCGCCACTTGATCTGGCTTCGAGAATCAGATCCTGGCGCTAAATCAATCATCTACTCCCAATTCAAGGACTTCCTCGATGTCCTCGCCCTAGCCTTCAAGCGCTTTCGAATCGGCTTCTCATCCATCGATAAACCCCGTGGCATCGAACGCTTTAAAGAAGACCCAAGCGTTGAATGTTTCCTTCTCCACGCGCGTGCCCACTCTTCAGGGCTTAATCTCGTAAACGCAAGTCACGTATTCTTATGCGAACCACTTCTCAACACTGCTTTAGAACTCCAAGCCATCGCACGTGTTGATCGAATCGGTCAACATCAGGAAACTAACGTCTGGCTTTACCTTGTCGATGGAACGGTCGAGGAATCAATCCACACTCTCTCGGTAAAGAGGAGGATGCAACATCTCCCGAATCACCCTCAAATCTCTAGCCGAAAAGGCAAGGAAAGGGAAAGTGACGAAGAGGTTTTGGTCACCGAACTTGAAGAAGCGAATTCCAAAGAATTGGAAATGGCGGGTTTGAATAAGTTGCTTGCGAAGGGGGGGAAAGGAGGGGAAATGGTTGAGGAGAAGGATCTTTGGGAATGTCTTTTTGGGGGTGCGAGGGGAGGTAGAGGTGGGAAGACGATTGTAGCTGGGTTTGACGGGGAGGTTGATCGCTTTTTGAGGGCTGAGGCGGCGGGGATGAGGAGGATTGAGGAGAGGGAGAAGGGAGAGAGTTCTGCTTCGGGATCTTCTTGAAGTTCGGTATGTTTGTCACTTGCGTTTGGAGGTCGATATTGTAGACTCATTGAGGCCAAGTGTATATTGTAGATATTTCTTGCAACTTTTGATATCCAAGTTATTGTACCTACGCATTTTGCCATACACCTACTCAACGAAACAAATACTCACAGGTAAACAAGAACATTGGTGATACACTGCATGAGAGGTCGAAGAAACGAAAAATCAAAATACTGATTCAACTACGTCGATCATTGACGAAATTTAACCTCAGAAAGTGAAATTCGCTATTTACGATCCCAGAAAAAAAAGCACTCTTCTTGAATCTCCTTAACAAAATTTCAACTATTTCTTGTGCCGCTGAATCCCAATAAATCAGCCATCTTCCAAATCGATTTCATCTATCGCGTTTTTCCTTAGAATCATCCAACCGTGAGTACAAACCAACTTCTACATCCCCTCACCCCACAAATCTTTACCCATACAAAACCACTAAACCATCCCCCTCGATCTTTCACTCTATATAATTCGCTCAGACAAGTACTACGTCAGGCGCAAAGTAAAAACGAGCCGGTTATAGAAAAGGCGTTGGTTACAACATGAATGGCCGTTCTTCTTGGATTCCACGCTTGTTAGTCTAGGCATCGAGAAATCAATCCTTGTGAGCGGAATGAAGTCGAGGGATGAGTGTCTAGATGTAAGCTAAATTTCAAAATCTAGTAAAAGCAGATGTTGGGTCTATTTATCAGATAGATGGTCAACCATAGAAGAAGCCTGGCAATCTCATGAGGATAAACAACAAGCAATTTAGAACCAGACAAGGTTGCCAGTTTGGTTCAACACGAAGACTTGGTATAGTCTTATCCAGAGGGCAGGGTTATATATTCACATCAGTAACATAATAACCGACAGCTGCTTTCTGTATTTTTTTGTATTTTTTTCTAGTTTTTGATCGTTTCATCTAATTATGTACCATACCGAATCCCATTTCCAATCCCAATCCCAAACGCCAACGCTGCGTTAATGCAAGCCCAGAGCCGACCTTTATACAATGAAGCGGCGATACAAAAAGGCGTTCTACCTCTTGTAAAGCCATGCCAACCACCAATAATTACACACGACCCCTTTTCTCCATTCCCATTAATTCCCATTACCACTTCCTCCCATGCAAATCAAAGTGAAAACTTAGAAATTGCTTCCAATCGGGACACCTTCCCGAGTTTTATAAGTGACGTTATTGACCGTGCGTGTATCCTCTCCGACCATCGTCTGCTGGCTGTCTCTCATGTTGCTCATTCCATCATTTTGTTCCATCTGCATAGCTGTTTCATTCGGGCCCGTTCCGAAATGTTGTCCTAGAGGCTCTCCGTCTTTCCCGAAGCGTTGTTCGTGTCGCTTGGTGCGGACAGCTGGGAGGAGATCGATGAAGAAGGAGAAGACGTAGAAAGTGAAGACGAAGGCGATGGCCCATTCTAGGACTGCGGCTGGGTTGTAGCGCTCGGTGCGGGAGCACACGCCGAATGCGATGGCAAGAGCGATTTCGATTAGAATGAAGAAAAGCTTGATCCAGAATGAGATGCGGAGGATGCGGTGTTGTCGGAAGTCTGGGCATGTTAGTATGGATCATTTGGTGAGGAGCGGGGAACGTACGAATTCCGAGACGCTGATATTCAGCGCAAATAAAAATTGCAGATACTACGTATCCAGCAATGAACAAAACCAAAAATACGTCGTGTAAACTTGGATGTCTTAGAGTATCAAAGATACTCAAACAGATCAATCCGACTGTGCCTACAACCGCAGCCACAATGCTCAACCAACTCAATATCTTTTGCGTCATACTGGTGTTTCTAGCGAGACGACCCTGGTGTCGTAGGAATCGTTCAGAGAGGAATGATAAGTCGAGGAAGACGGTGGTGACCACGCTTCCGGCGATGAAGAGAGGTTTGAGAGACTGAGCGCCCACGTCGGAGATGTAGGCGATTGTTTGGGTTTCGTCCATAGAGGCGTAATGAGGTTTTCCATCCACGTTCCAGTGGATGAGAAGGCCCATTAGCATACCTAGCCAGCAGAGGCCAGAAATAACTGGGAATATCTGGGGATATATTAGTTGTGTATGTGAGGATGGAGGGGAAGACAAACCCAGTATGATACTCCCCACATGATTGCGATTGTTGGATGATGCTAATAATGTATATCCTGATGAAACTGAATTGAAGCTGTCCAAGGTCCAAGAAAATCCTGTCAACAGAAGGAAATGAAGACGGTCGAATGGCGAAGTGAAAAACAGTGATGTGTATATCCTCAGAAGAATTATGTACAGAAGATGACGACCGGGCAACAGGAAATGAGTTATACTTTGGGCGAGACCATCCTACCTCATGCTCACCAAGCTCTTGACGGAAAAGCTCGCCCCAAACGCGTCGTGCTTAATCACTGCTAATGGCCAAGAAACCTATCACATCCCATGTTTAGCTGTGGAATCGATGCCTAGTGTTCCAGACTTGTGGCTGGTGGATGCGTTTGCCAGGTTGTTTAGCTTTTTCGCCCACGAGAGTTGACGAGATTTGATGACCTCATGGGTCTGCATCCGTCCTGGCTGAATAACGTCACTGCCGAGACGGAGATACACGCACATCACCCCGAGCGTTGCCCGTTTTAGGCGTTAAGCTCAGTAAGCGAGCGGACCGAGCTTGGATCCATGGTCGTACTCGGTCATGGTCAGGTGACTGGGTGAGCCTCGTAGATGTGGGACGACAGCCTCGTGCTCATCCACCTCAGCCCTGTGTACATCACTGTTCCCCTGCGACCGCGACAAGGTGATTGAAGATACCTAGGAGGATCGGTATCTCCACGTCGCAAACCTCGGGTCAGGACTTGGAACAGCGCTTCAACATGGCCGTCTCTCCTCTCATTGTCCCTGGTTCGGGAGAGAGAGGACCCCATTCGAAATCTAAACTCTCCGCAGCCTCTTCAGGCAATGGCACACCCAGTACTACCCTCGGAAGCAACAGCTTGAAAGATGTGGCAGAACAAATGAATGAGGAAGAAAAAGACAAATACGTTAAAGGTTATTCCTCATCTTCTTCACATTTTGCAAAGCTAACCCCCTCCAGGCAAAAAGGTAGGAGAAGGAACCTATGCAAACGTCTACATCGGCCACCACAAATCCGACCCCTCAAATCTCGTCGCCATTAAGAAAATTAAAGTCCAGCAAGAATACAAAGAAGGCATGGCCCCCGACGCTATCCGCGAATTGAAACACCTCCAAGAACTCTCCCACCCAAACATCATCTCCCTCCTCTCCGTCTTCTCCTCCAAAGACCAAAACCTAAACCTAGTCCTCGAATACCTGCCCCTCGGCGATCTCGAAGTCCTCATCAAAGACATCGAAAACATCCACTACGGCGCCGCTGACATAAAAGCCTGGATGGGCATGCTGAGCCGCGCAATCTGGTTCTGCCACGAGAACTTCGTCCTCCACCGCGATATCAAACCCAACAATCTGCTCATAGCTGCCGATGGGGAGATCAAACTTGCTGATTTTGGTCTCGCAAGGTCTTTTGCAGATCCATACCGCGTAATGACATCCAATGTGATAACCCGTTGGTACCGACCTCCAGAGCTGCTTTTCGGCGCAAAACACTACTCCGGCGCCGTCGATATCTGGAGTGTTGGTCTCGTCTTTGCGGAACTAGTAATTCGAAACCCATATCTCCCTGGAGACACAGAAATCGATCAGATCGCCAAAATATGCGCCGGAATTGGGACACCCACGGAAGAAAACTGGGCTGGCGTTTCTAAACTCCCAGAGTACACAGTCCCTTCCCCAACCACACCAGTACACGGCCCCGAGCATTACCTAGGCATGTTCGGTACCGCAGGCCCAGATGGCGTGGATTTACTTATGAAGATGTTGATATTAGATCCCAGGAGGAGGATTACAGCAAGGGAGGTCCTCGAACATAGGTGGTGGAGAGGCGAACCGAGAGCTACGCGCAACGAGGATTTACCGAAGAAGGGCCCGGGGTCGGGTTTAAGTAGATTGGGCGCGACGGAGAGTAAACGGCCTGGGATGGTAGAGGGGGTTGCTCGAAGGTTGGATTTCGGGGCGTGATAGAGGATAGGAATTACAAGGACTTTGGTTGGGCGTTTGGTTAAGACATTGGCGGCGTTTGAAAATTGGGAAGGTAGATTTCTGGGCCAGAATTATGGGTGCGGGTGGCACTTGAGTTAGCCAGAGACTTATCTTGACATGAATCTCTTATGAATTAGGTAGATTATATTCTATGTGTCTCAATAACTTCGTCTACTAAATACTTTACTCTCTATCACCATAAGCATCTTCTTCAACAGGTAGCTACCCTTACCTACTTGTCTAAACTACCACTAATCCCTCATCTTCCCGGGAACACAATTATCACCCGGCTGGTAAAACACTATAGCAAGATCATCCACTCCTGAAATCACCACATGAAGTTGGTATTTTATTCCCTCTACCATGACAGTGACGCGTCACATCATCTCAAAATGACCGCAATTTCCTACTCATTTGAAGCCCTCACACTCGTACACAACAAACCACACCACAAATCTCAAGTCAATAAATAAATGTTAATTATATCCTCCATCTCAATTTGTATATACAGCCCACCCTCATCATAAAAAAAATAACAATCTTAAACCCCCCCCAATTTTCCGCTCCAAACGCCCCTAAAATGCAAACAACCCACTCACTTCACGTCCTACTCTTCCTTTGGCCCCACGAAATCCTCCCTCCTAATCCCCCCTCTATCACACATCCCCCTAAAAATGCCCCCCTGTTCATAAAGTCTCCACGGCGTATCCAGCTCCGCAATCAACCCCTTATCCATAACACAGATGCGATCATAATTCACAATCGTCTTCAGACGATGCGCGATACAAAGAAGGGTCTTTCCCTTAAACCCCGTAGCGATAGTACGTTGGATCTTCTCGTCCGTTTCCATATCGACGCTCGACGTCGCCTCGTCACAGACGATGATCTGGGAGCCGCGGACGAGGGCGCGGGCGAGGGCCATGAGCTGGCGTTGGCCGAGGGAGAAATTGAGGCCTTCGTCTTCGACGATGCCGTCGAGGTGGATGCGGCCGGGGGTTTTGTCGTCGAGGGCTGCCGTGTCGGAGATGAGGTCGGATTGGCGGAGGGCCGACCAGAGTTCCAGATCGGTGTGTTCGTTGAAGGGGTCGAGGTTGGTGCGGATGGTGCCTTTGAAGAGAGTTGGGTCTTGTGGGATGATGGCGAGACGGGAGCGAAGGTCTTGGAGGCCGATGGTGCTGATGTCAAGACCGTCGATGGTGATTGAGCCGGCGGAGAGCTCGACGAGACGGAAGAGTGTGGACATGATGGAGGATTTTCCTGCACCTGTTCGACCGACAATTCCGATGCGCTCGCCACCTTTGACGTGCATTGTGAGACCGGAGAGAACTAATGGGAGATTTGCTCGATAACGCATTTGTACATTATCGAATATGATTTCTCCAGATTCAGGCCAGGATTTTCGGACTTCAATGGTTGTCAATGGCGCTTCCTCTTCGAGCTGAGTACCATAATAGTGGAGTCTTTCGGTGGCATTCATGCCATTTTCGACTTCTGCTAACTGTCTGACTGTGAATTGGATCATTTGAACGATTGACAAGATGTAACTGAGAACAAGTCCAGCGATAGATGGGTCGACGTTGAAACGTGATGTAACGACTAGGATACCCGTAACAAAGACGAGTAAATTACCGATGATATCCAGTCTTGTTGATAACCAACGTTGGTTTGCGAATGTGAGGAAGTAAGCGCTATTCATTTCATCAATGGCATCTCGAATATTGACAACGAATCTGTCTTTCAATCCGTATGCTCGGATGCACGCGGTGCCAGATAGGCCCTCGCTAAACTTTGCAAAAACGTGTGATCGAAGGACGGACTCGAATCGTTTCATTTCTCGAGCGGATGCTCTGTAGTATCCGGCAGAGAAGAGAAAGAGGAGGAAGAGTGGTCCAAGTGCGATAGCGAAATAGTGAAAATAGGCAATGATCAAGCCAAAGACAGATAAAATCATGGCCAAAGTGAGGAAGTACATTCTCATGGCATCTGTCAAGTTATTGTCCATAACATCGACATCTCTCGAGAATCGATTGGTGATGCGACCTAGTGGCGTGGTATCGAAGAAAGACATCGGCGCTCTGAGAGCACGCGTGATGGCCCTGTTCAACATGGTCTTGCTGGAGAAGGTGCCATACAATGTCAGGGCCAAGGAAAATGCAAAAAGCGCAAGTGCCTGTGATGCGCCTAGCGCACCATAAACTCCAATGTAAAGACCTTTCGAATATCCAAATTCTACAAAAATTAGCTTGATCTGCCGCTCAAGAACCAGGATACTTACTATCACTTGTCCACCAAGATAACCAGAGTGAGGTACCAATGTTCGCAGCTTGTGAGAGAAGCAGAAACAAGAGAACAATTGGTGCATTCAGGATCGACCCTGACGCACGGATGTAATCGACATAAACCGACCACGGTACACTCTTAACTGCTCGTTCTTCCGCTTGCATCAAAGCGACTCCTCGCTTACGTTTTTTCTTTTGAGATTTCTTCTCATCCTCAATCTCATCATCATTGACATGCTCTTCCTCTTCTTGCTTCTCCTCGACGGCAGTAGTCTCCATCAGCAAGCGGAATCCCGGGTGGTTCTCCATGAGGTTATCAAACGTATCGATAGCTTGGATATGTCCTTCATCCATCCAAATGATGCGGTCACATCGGTTGAGAACCCAAAGTTGATGAGTTGCGAGAATTCTAGATTTGTTCTTCAATAAACCTAAAATCGCGTTGTCAAAGATGTGTCGACCAACATGCGCATCAACAGCGGAGAGAGGATCGTCCATAAGGATCAAATCAGCATCAAAATAGATAGCACGTGCAATATTCAATCGCTGCTTCTGTCCTCCGGAAACGGTAATACCACGTTCTCCAATCTCGGTAGCATCTCCTTGGGGCAGCATATTTAAATCCGCTTGCAAAGCGCAGGCATCAATGACGTTATTGTACCTGCATGTGTCAGTAACGTAAGCGGAAATAAAAGGAGAACCTACCATTCCTTGTCCATTTCCTTGCCAAACAATATGTTTTCTCTCACGGTGGTATTTTGAATCCATGCGTATTGCGGACAGAATGCTCTGCTGGCGCCGATTGTTAGATCTCCCTTAGTTCGACGCATATCACCAGCCAGTGCAGCCAAAAGACTACTCTTTCCGCTACCCACTCCACCAATGACAGCTACCAACTCATTACGTCCGATCGAGAAATTTATGTTTTGCAATTTAAATGGTTCCCTGTCTTCTGTGAGTGTAGTAGCGTCGTCTGGCGTGCTGTTTCCAGACGAGATGGCATCAGGACTGGCTGACTTTTCAGCAGCTTTCTCCTCATCCTTCAACGTCTTCTTCCGTGCCTTTTCAATCTTGATTGCCTCCTTGGACTGTTTTGCACCAACTGGAATGCTATCGGGATCTTGTGTGGCAGTTCGTTCCCAGGTGAAGTCAGCGTGATCCATTTCCACTGCATTCTTGGCATTTTCATCGGGTTTTGCCTCATCCTCTTGTTCCTCGCTCAGTAAATACTCCTGGATTCGATAAACAGACGACCAAGCATCTGTGACCTGTCCAATGACTAATGGCAACAGGTTCAGGGGTATCCGCAGTGAGTTGAAGAGTGCAAGCGAAGAAAAGACATGGGCCGGATTCAAGTCATGATTCGTTAAGGAGTATGTAACAAATGCCAGCATCGAGGCAAAGATAGGCAACGACATCGAGACCGCGTTGATGGCATTTCTGATGGTCAATAAAACCTGAATAGCGGATACCTCACGGTCTCGAATCTGACCAAGTCTTTGAAGGAAAGCGCTTTCCCAGCCAAAGTACTTGACGAATCTCACAGCTTGTAAAATCTCCTGCGTTAGGCTGACCCGCTGATCAGTAATTTTGTTGATAACTTTTCTCCGAGCAAACAAGGACTTAACGGCCTTCGTAAGGAGGGGTAATCCAATAACAAGTAGTGCAAAACCGGCTAGTGCACTATATGTCAAGTTGACAATTAACAGAATCAAGGTAATGATGCAGGCGATCGGAGCTGTCCACACCATGTGGAAGAGACCTGACGCTTGGTCGACACGATATGTATCAACGGACATCAAATTGACCACTCTGCCGTTAGCCCAGCCAGTTCCATCACCCGCGACACCTTTCGCAGGATTAAGTACATTCTTAACTCCTTTTTTTGACTTCTTCGCCTTCTTCGGGTCGATCTTGGTCTCCTCTTCCTTGCTCGCTTCAGCTGCACCTTCAATTGCACGACCACCCGCCTTTGCTCGACCAGATATGCTCATGGCCTTTTCGAAGATGACGGAGATCAGCACTGCTCTTGCCTCTCCTCCAACCATCATTCCGCGATAAATAAAGTGATTTGTTCCCAGACTCTGAAGCATCTGCATGAATGTGATACCTATAACCAAGCCGATTCCTCGACCAATGTGCGGTGCTGGCTGTCCACTTCGCTGTGCGACGTATGCATCTGTGGCAAACTGAATAAGGTACCGAAGCGTATATGGTGAGACAACCTGAAGAATATTCGCGAAAAATTGACATGTCCCACCAATCCAGAATTCGAATTTGAAAGTTTCATGCAACGCCCATATTAACGGATATTTGTCTCCTCGGTCCTTTCTCTTTTTGAAGGAAGCTTGTAATTTGTCGGTCATAAGCTTCGCAGTCCGATTTGGGTTGACCGTCCAGATATCATTTTGTTCGAGCGGGCGTTTGTAACCAACCTGCTACGTTAGAAGTTGCTGTCGTACGAAGGGTGCGATACATACTGCCATTAATGGTGCCATCCACTGGAAATATATCAAACTAAAGAAGCCAGCGGTATGTTCCCTCGAAGGACTTCTTGTCTCCGGTACTGGAGGCACAGCACCCCATCGCAAAGGATTTACGTTCTTGTACCATGGTTTCTTCTCGACCGGCGACTCAGTAACCTGTGTACCAACACTTGTGTTTGTCGCATGACTGGCCAAACGGTTCACGTCCGGCCTCTTCTCTCCATCTCCCCTTTCTCCCTTTTCCGGGTCACGGTTATCACCACCCGGAAACGATCCATTCTGCGAACCCTCGATGAAGTCCTTCTCGATGAAATCGCTCTCGATGTTGTCCGCGTCTATTGGCTCCTCGTGGTTGGTGCTCTGGGCCGCGGCTTGAGGCTCGGGCAGGGCAGGCGCCTTATCGCGAGCGAAGTCGGTCATGGTATCAACGAGACGCGGGTCTGAAGCAATCCATGAACTCACGGGCGAGAGTTTTCACAGGTGAGATGTAGAATGGGGAAGTCGAGCGGCAAGATGCATCTCTTCCGAGTCTCCTCTCAGTTCAAGTCAAGGTTGTCTGAGGCCCTAGCACACTTTCGATGACTCCACTATGGCCACCAGTCCGCAACGGTTTTGTTGACCAGCCGAAGCAGTGTTCGGCCATGATTATTGAATGAGATGTATGGGCAAAAGGTGGCGGCATGGGTAGCGCTCTGTGAACTCCGTAGTGCATTTTGCCTCGGTGTGCATGCGACTCTTACAAGGATGCAAGATCGCAAAGTTGCACCAAAAGAGCCTTGCGGGCCCGTAATAAGCGCAATGGCCGCCCTAGTCGCCAATGCGACTTCGTATAGAATCGTACGCGCCATGGAAGCCAATCATTGTGCGAAACAATGTATGGAGGATAAGCGAGCAATCGGCTAGATCGATCCGGACTACGTCCGTGGATACGGTGGCCGAGACGCTGCCGCTGCAACATGGCTCCGTCTGCTTCCTCAGCAGAAGACTGCACGACTTCCTACAGTAGTACTTAGTCGCCGACAGGCTGAATAGTGGTGACAGGAAGGAATCACCTCTTCTTAGTCCCTCGGTCTTGATATTACGGCGGTTAATAGTATATAGAACGGTATACCCCGTTCTAAAGTAAACCCGATACCTCCCAAATGCCAAACTTACACAGCCCAGCCCATCTACCTGCCCTTGGCACGGAAGCTTATCTAGACGGCAATTACAAAATATGCATCCCGCTCCGGAATCCTTTATCCTTTCTCTGTCTCACATTTTTCAATCTTAATCATATACACGTGATCGACTTAATTTAAGAAAGCGTTATGTATCCATCCTAGGTCTCGACAAGGTGTCCTAACAATTTACACCGTTTGCTCATCAGTCCCCCACAATTAGTGTTAGCTTGGTCTCTCTCCAACATATACACAACTGGCTGTTTCAGGTGTTTTCTATTAAGGTTTAAGAGGTGGCGAAATATTGGGAATATCGGAACAAAGAGCACTACACAGAACTCAATCGTCTAGTACAACTCTGTTCTCAGAAAAAGGTAATACCCAATGACCGTGTTGATGGAAGAGCAAGTTCTATGAAAACAATCATTATAAAATCCTCTAAATACCGGTCTCGTGATGAATCATGAGTCATCCATCAACAGCAGCATTCGCGAAAACATCAGCCACAACTTACAAACAATGTCTCTTACAAGCGAAGCAAACGGCCTTGAACTAGATGGTACTACACGTTCTGACATACACTCCCAAGTGGAAATATATGAGCCATTGATGCCCGGGAGAGAACACCCTGGCCCATTCAACGAGCAATTAATCTGTGCCATTTGCTTGGAACCCTGTTCTCAAGAACGTCCAATGTGGCTTATGGAGAAATGTAGCCATGAATTATGCAAACACTGTTTTTCAGTTTTAATCCTCTATCAACATACTGATGACAGGTCTAGCAAGATCACCGGCAAATGCCCACTCTGCAGAGAACATGTAGACTTACGCCTAAGATGGTCACTTCCTCCGCCTTCAAAGTTTACTGTTTCTTACAATCTCTTGGGTGGTAGATACTCCCCTAAATCTTCTCTGGACAGATGTCTGGTTGGTATTAATCAAGATGGCCAGGGGGTAATGGTAGAAAACTCGTCTGTTGTTGAAATCCGGCAATTGGGTGATTTCACGGAAACATCCTGGAAACGGACAATGGGGTTGACAGTAACCTCATGTCCGACTTGCATTGAGAGTCATTCTCTTAATTGCACAAAGTCGCAAGCCATGTGTGAATCAACCAGGATTTCACAAGTCCTGGATTCGCTCGCAGCCGTGTGGGAACGTGATTGGATTTCCGGGCGGCTATATAGTACGGTCTCCTTCTGTGCTACTAAAGAGGCTCAGCCTGAAGCCGGCTATGAACCAAGGATGTTTGAGACTTTGGTACAAAAGTGTATTCATCGGCGCCGTGGGGATACTCACGATCCCAGCCGTCAGTGTTGTAATTCTCCATCGGGTTCTACTTCATACGAATTTATAACTTGGACTACTAAGGTACGAGAACGTTGTTTTTCTTCCACCTTACTACCTACATTACCTTTGCCCTGTGATCAGCCAGAGGACCGGAAGACAGTTTATAAAGCGTTAGTTGGCATCCAAAAGGTTCTTGCCATGAATGTTCCCGAAGTTCCAGGAGAAGACCTTGCGTCTTTCCTAAAGTTCAAGGGAGTTCGGCCTGCGACTACCAGGCTCGCACTAAATCTTCAAGAGCAGTTTGATGATGTTTTCCGAGAGGTTGCACATGAAACCGGAGGGGTGATCGCAACTATAAAGTCATATCTAGGTGTGCAGCCCCCAGTTCTGGACGAGGACTTGTGTCCGCTTGATCCACTATCGGATTAGATTTCTCCTTAGTACGCTCATTCTAGAGAAAATCTGGACAACTTATACCGCTGGATATTCGGATTCCTGATCCCCAACGAACGGTCATCACCATCAAAATGAGGGCGTACCCTCTCCTTGATTAACAAGTGCCAGAAACAGGAAGACGACAGCGTCCAATGTCGACCTCCAAAATCTGGTCAAGCCAAACGAAGAAAGCAAAAATAATGTAATAGTAACCCCTGAAAAGACGTGGTAGCGTGCGAGCGCGTGCAGCAACAAAAGAGAGTGTAAAAGCTTTTGTGCTAGTGAAAAGAAACAACGTCTGAAAAATTGTAAGAGTCTTATTTCCAACGGTGTATAAAGAGCCTGACTTATTACGCACTATATGTTTATAGGGAGTGAGAGAGTGAGGTGTTACTACGATAAATGTGGTGGTACAAAGTTAGACAAAGGTTTAACTAGAATATTCAAAGGTTCAAACACCTTAATGATAAAAGAAAATGAAAGAGGAAGGAAACAAAGAAAAGACAGCAACGGTCTTCTAGTAGAGTATATGATAAGTAACAACGTCAAAATTGTTTTTAATAATCGTAACCACAAAGCAGATGAACACAGACCCTAATCTTCTCGCGAAGAAAATCGAGCATGAGATAATTTCTACAGCGTAACAGAAGCTCAAGTAATAATCTATTGGCCATATATATTCTACCATACAGTCAGTGAGTAAACATAGTAAGCCCCGACATTGATAGATGGGAAAAAGTCAGCGTTTTTCTAGACAGCCTATAAGAGGGAAAATGTACAGTTATCTCTTTACTGCCAACTTACTAGGATCTTTCTTTCATTCCAGCGTGAGTATGCAAGTCAATTGAATTATGCTGTAAAAAACGTCCGTTTGACAAACAAGAACCATGGTTTCTTTGAAATACTGCACACAAAGAGCTTATAAAACGTGTGGCGGTTTTACTAATCTCCATAAAAGGTGTTTGTTGATGAATATGTTTCCCCTTTGCGGAGAAGACTTTTGGCCACTAAGAAATTTTGTAACGACTAGTGTAGAATCAACAGGAGTAAAAAAGATTTGGGAGCTGCATAAGTCGGCATGATATCGATCATAGAATTCTGCACGGGATTCTAGTAACAAACCGAAAGATTCCTTGTAGCTCCTCCGAAGTGGGAACTTCATCATAAAGCACTGATATAAATTGAATTTGTTAAGTAACAAAGATCAAAACCTACTCGTCGAGGTTCTATTGAGCATCATGTGAATCATGCAAATCTTAGAGAGCTGTCCTTTCAGCCGCTCGTTTTACAAACATGCAAGAACCCGTCGCTGTAGGCACGACTTTGATACCATAACTCATCCACTTCTTCTCTTCTACCTGTACATACGAACAAAGAAGTTTACAATAAATCGTTTCAAACTTTTGTAATCACCCCCCAGTAAGTCCACGGGTGCGAATTTCTGTAAATTATTATTTAGAGAGAGAACAATCTCTAATTCCTGAAAATAAAACCACGGCTTCCTATATCTTATTACAATTGATTAATCGCAACAATCTACTTTAAAATAATTACACTTTCGTAGCGCCAAATACAAGTATTTCGTTGTTATTCTACGTTAAATAGGATTGACTAACAAATCTGAAATCACGATTCAAGTTCCTCTTCTCCAAATTCTCAACCGACCTCTCTAGAGCCAACTCAAATCTCTGGAGACTTACAGCACTATCAACACAATGGACTTTACTGCATGAAAATTGAAACAATCAATAAAACGACTGATGCTTGTCAAATTTGACTCGATGTTTCCATCTACAAAGCTGATTGGTTCCACAATTCTTCAACGCACAAGTCAACAAAAAACATGACTCCCTCATGTTTTTCATCCCACTCACCCGCGTCAAATCCGCCTGCCCAAACCACCATCTCAGCCATAATGATGATATTCATCTCCCCGGATTTAACGAAAGTTCCGTCGCCGTTACCACCGGGTTGGTAATACTCCGTCACGTGAGACGGGTTTGCACATATATCCCGCGTTTGCTTTTGCGGTGCTGGAAAGAGCGGTGAAAGTTGAAATTCCGCTTGCGCATTCGCTTGTTGGAGTGGTGTGGGTTTTTGTTGACGTCCGAAAGGTTGGTGACAGTGAGCTGAGAGGGGTGGTCACGTTTTGTGTGTCAACTTTAAAGGGGAATATGTAGTTGAGGCTTTGGGTGAGGAGAGGTTGAATGATGGATGCCTGTATGGCTGACGCAGAAGGGTTAAGTGGATATATGAGGATTATATCACCATAATCGGACCTAATGCTTCAATCCGTAAGTCCTCTCACCTGGAGAAGGAGTATATGACTGTTTGATACAGAGGAAAGCTGCTCTCATATACACTCAATGAACAGCTTACCACGACCTCCAGCATCTCACACTCTCAAACCATCAATCAACCTCACCTCCACCCCCTCCTCAAATCCAATTCCCTTAAGATACTCCTCCACCCCACCATACCTCTCCCCAAGATACCGATGCATTTCCTCCACCCAAGCATCCGGACACCCCGCAAACTCCTCATCTAACCCAATACTCCTAATCTCCTTAATCCTCTCTTCCATCTCGACTTCCAACTCCCCTTCCGACATCAGATAATCATGCGTAATCGCTTTGATCGGGACTTTCAGGAGGAGAAGAACCAGAAAGATGATCATTCCCGTGCGATCTTTGCCTTGGGTGCAATGGATGAGAACGGGCTGGGATGTGGATATCGTTCGGAGGGTCTGAGATGTCAGTTAATGAAGAAGAAGGGGATGGGAATGTCTACTTCTGCAATTTCAGAACCACAGGCGTCGAGTGTGTCTTTTCCTAGGCCGATTAGACCGCGTGGTTGCATTACTTCTCGACCCATGATACTGATCGCGGCCATTCTTTGTCGGAATAACATGAGAAATGCCATTTTTCTATTACCGTTAGTCTCTTGAATCCGTCTACCCTCTTAACTCAATGCAAGGTAAGGATTAGGGAACATAAGATCTTACATTAAACTCCACCAGGATAATCTCTTGATAAGACAACGCTCAAAACTCTTTCCGTTAATATTGATCAGTTTATAGTTTACCCCTGGAATCTCAAATGGTCCCAGTAGCGCAGCATTAGATTGGAGTTCTTGAGGTAGCTGTAGTTGACCTTCTCGTTTCTTTTTCTGGTTTGCGTGCTCGGTGCTGACTTAATTAGAATACAGTATTATTGATTGATGAGTAGGAAACTAACTTTGTGCGTAGGTCTATTATAGTGTTTATCATGAATTCTTTTTGAATACGGCTACGATCATGCAGGGTTGCTTCGTCTGATTTCGGTAAGTCTAGATACGTAGGGCTTTGGATATTGGAGATTACCTGGGCGTGCTGAGCGGAAGAGGAGACCTTCTTTCATGAGTCTGAGAGGATGGGTAGTCAGTTGCGGATTGCGTCTGGATAGCTGTAGGTTATTATATACTTTTCACCCACGAAGTCATTTATCGTCTTGCCCACATCTCTAAAGTTCAATAGATTCTCAAACCCCGCCGGGTTTAAGATATCGCCCTCCTGAACGTCAAGTGACCCCTTTGTACTATCTTTCGAATCCGTCATCATGTGTTCAAGAAAATCAATTCAACTCCCACAACATGGAAAGCCGCGTGCAGAAGATCTACGAGGCTGTGCTCTGAATCAGTACGTCGTACTATATCTAATGTACGAGGGTACGGTGTGCGTTGTCGTCGGTCGTTGATTGAAGAGAAGAGAGGCTTGTTTTGTGGGGGGTCCCAAAACAAGGAAATTGGAAATGGAGAATTAATTTCCATTTCGGGAAGCTGTGGGCGTGGCTTGCATGGGTCTGTATGAGGCGAGATGTCTGAAGAGGAATTGAATTCGAGCGTAAGTTGCTTGTTGCAGTTGCTACATACTCACCTGATATGAATATTAGAGCTTTTGGTTGGTGTACAGTGGGAAGGGTAGTTTTCTATAACACAACCTTAAATTGGTATTGCTCTTGCAAAAAGAAAATGCTTTGTATATCAAGCAAGACCAAAAGGAGTTGTACGCTTTGACTAGAAATGTTTAAAGTTACCTGTGGTGTTCAGGTATTGTCGCTTTGCTGCAATTCCAAGAGAATCAGAGCTCGAAGTCTCTGTAGTACGGGATACAACAAAAACATGTGAAAGGCAGCGAGTCCAACCGTTCAACCGGTCGCCTGAGAGGCTTGTACGATCGGGAATTGCAAATGTTTGCTACACTCATGTACAGGCAAAGAGTAGATAGACTCTGCACCAACATTTCTCTTGAAGCAACTGCTCTATGTTGATTTCGAGTGAAGGGTTCTTCCAAATCAAGAAAGAAGCTCTCCATCTGGAAGAATCCCTGCGTCAATCATCTCGAATCGGCAGGACAAGATCAAAATCGCCGAGTTTTCAAGGCTGCACCTGGATGCTTGTTAATAGAAACATGATTAAGTTATCTGTCGTATCTTGTCTTAGCCATCGGCAGATATAGGTCCTTTTTACTGTTTTTTCTGTTTCTGTTTCTGTTTCTGTCTATGTCTCTACCAAACGCTTTCCAAAGGATCGCCGACCAAACAAACAAACCCCAGGTTTCGGCTCACCAGAAGGGCGGGAAGTGACGTCACCACCGCTCGAGGGGGGTTTGCGACCACAGACCTCGACCCTTTGCGTGGAAAGGAGCGGCAGTCTGGGAAATTGCAGCTAACCATTTGCTAGCTTAAACTATGATGCCAACAAGATCCAAGGCATCCTCTCATCAACTCTCATGTACTTTCTCTTTCACCAAAATTCTTGATCAGAACACTTTGCACGTACTCGAACATCACGGATTGCCTCAGCCCATACCCATTGCGAGCTGTGCTACCCACGATTGCGAGAGAACATCTAAATGACATCACCCAAGCAATAAGATATCTACCTCGCTGAGAAATACCTACACGCCAGCTCACCCCTCTTCGGCTGTGGAGAGAATACACTTGCTCTACGGACCTGAAACTGGGCTTCCCAGCATCACGAACATATACAAGACGTTGGCAACAAAGAACCACATCCTGAACAAAAAAACCCCTAACAGAATGGCGCAAACGACAGCAGTCGTGCCCACGGGTCCTATTGAGGACGTTCCGATGGGCCATGCTACTCACTCCTCCAAATTGGAAGACCAAGCTGCCGCGGCCGCGCTCTACGTCACCAAACCACAGTCTCAGACAAATAGCAACAGTGGAAACAGTTTCCTCGACAGCGACAACAAATTGTCTTCCGCCGGTATGTCCAAGCGACCCAACACATGAAATACAGTCTATGAAAGCTCTACTAACACCATACTAGGCGCTGCAGCGTCTCTTAAGTATGCGAATCCGCAGGATCTTCCAAGTTACCCTTCCACGGGGCTCAAGAAGAACACTTCTGCAGCCGGTGCTGCCGCCACAATTGGGTGGAACAATCAGAAACCATTCGAGCACTGGAAGCCGGATCCATCCGCCCCAGCTGCTGCCGCTGCTCTTTCTGCGAAAGACTACAAGATGAAGCCTCTATGGCAGCCAGAACAGAGCGCACACGGCGCAAAGGCCGCGCTTTTAGCACACAAAAATGACGGAAAAGTTGAGATTTGGAGACCTGAAGCAACCAGTGCTGGAAGCTCGGCCGCCACGCAAGCTTTTAAGAAATTCGGAGCAGGCCAATCATCACCTCAGATAGATTATGGATATACTGCTCTTGGTCGACAAGGCTCCTTGTTGGCTGCAACTGGCGCAATGTCAACGAGTCGAAAGAGAGCGGACTCAACACCACAGCCACCTTCAAAGCTGGAGACGTACCCCGACGAAGCTAACGCAGTCGCAAATGCCTTGAGTGCGGCCACTTCAGCTCACAAGAGTAAAAGACGCACTGATGCTTTGCCACAAGGTGGATCGGTTCCTTTTACGACCATGTCAAGAGAAATGTACACTTCTCACCCACCTGTGGCCCCAGAGGTCAATGAGATGAACAGGCAAAACTCACTGCACGCATCAGCCGTTGCCATGGCTCAGCAAATGTACAAGGTTCAAGAAAAGCAAGCGGAGGATAAAAGGAACTCGCACAGCCACAGCGGAGCTGTTGCTGCTCATGGCAGAAAGAGCTCAACCTCTACCTCTACAGATGAAGCGCCGGCGATGCGATTCAATAACTTACAGGAAGCCGCTCAAAAATTGGCGCAAGAGCGCCTTGCAAAGCTTCATGACGAACATGCTCAGAACCGCGAGTATCGGGATTACTATGGTTCCAGCAAACAGCCATCATCTAGACTATCAATCCGAGGACGAGCTCGTCGCCGCGCTTCTAGCGACGGAGGCCTGGACGAAGATCGTGAGCAATCCAACAAGATTCGCGCCCAGATGTCTATATTCTCAAACAACATCACTCAAGTGGACGAAAAGAAGCGAAAAGAGGACAGAGAGAAGTTGATTGCCGCTGCTCAACGTAATGTTACTAAGCGCTTGCATGGTATAGATGAAAAGGTATTCGCAGATACCGGAAAGGTGGCACCCTCGCTTCTCAACGAGTGGGAAATCAAAGCACACGCAGCCGCCCAGGCAAAGAGTGACAATCGCATGGAGAATCACGGGAAGATTCATATTGGTGGTGGCAAATTCATCAACCAAAGTGCTGTCGACCTGGTTGCCTCGAAGAACGTCCAACCGGTTCTAGATGAAATCAATGAAAAGGCAGAGGAGAAGCGACTTCGTGAAGCCGAATTGAAGGCCGATGAGGAGAAGGCTAGACTGGATGCAGCAAAGAAGAAGGAGAAAGAAAGAGAGGAAAAGGAAATCAATCGAAAGTTGAAACGTAAGTGTTCTTTTGCGTTTGTTGGAGCTTGCTTGCAATGCTAATTATGATCAGAACATGACAAGGAAGAAGAAAAGGCTAGGAAGGCAGAGGAAAAGGCAGCAAGGGATGAAGAGAAGAGACTTGCGAAGGAGAAAAGAAACTCCCATAAAGTTGAGGCTGCCGTGGTCAATGACTCAAAACAAGATGCCGATACTGCCAGAGCTTCAGAGGTCGTTGAAAGTCCGGTTGAGCATGAAGCTACCGAATCATCTCCTACCACAGCTGCCGCATCAGCGCCGCGTCAGCCATCACCCGCTCCAGTTACTGACCGCCCAGCTGCCATACGTACTTCCATGGAAGACCAGGCTAGCTTGCGCATGCGTGAAAATGCTGATGCAGCGAACCCTAATGACTCAACCCCCCTATCACCTCAATCGCCTACCAAGGATGGCGGTAAGGTCAAGAGCTGGTTGAAGAACAGATTCTCCCGTGGATCCAGCAAGGCGCAGAAACCTGCAGACTATCCAGAAAAGAAGGAGCCGGAAAAGTCTAGTAGCTTCATTGGTGGTGCGGCATTGACTGGAGCGAGCACCAAGAATGCAAGCAATGTGAGTCTTGGTGCAAGGAGCTCAAGTATTCGCGATGTTGCGCTTGCATCATCCGCAAGCAAAACCAAATCCCAGGAATCTTTAGGCCTAGCCACAGAGTCTGCGAAGGATAGACCCGCTAGTCGAGGCGATACCGTCAGCACAGTGAGTACATTGAGCACCGTTGGTCCCGCCGATGAACCAGAGGAAGAAGAGGAAGAGTTTCTTGAGGCGAGAGACAATTTTGACGAAGATCTGGCACCACCTCCCACTTTCCCAGCACAAAAAAGCAGTAGCCCTGCCAGATCTACAAAATTCGTCGAGGAGATTTAAAAGTCGCAGTAATGTGACGGAGAAGGATAGCGGAAGTCATAGGCAACAACATATAAGGGGATCCTTTTAGCGTGCTTGTTATCTGAAATCTGCTTTTATTACTTCTTCATACCCAACCTATTTAATCTTGTACATCCGGCAACATGGATTGGGGGGCCAGGAGGAATACCCGGATGGATTTAGCGTTTTATTTATGCCTGGGTTTTGATGTTTTTGGATGCTTAGTATGGTATTTGGTGTAAAATCTAGTATCTAGTTTCTAACTGAACTGTAAATGTGGTCTGATATATATATGTGTTGAAATGAACATTGAATGGAGGTTTGGATTATGTGTTTTGTCTATAAATTTAAACCGGATTTTTCGTAGTTGGTCACGTCAACACATCAGACGAAGCCTATGGTATCTACAGTTACATTAAGAGAGCACTACACTCAGTATCGCTCGTGTATTTTAATCAATCACATGGGCACGTTCGTATCTGGATGAATAATTTTGGTGGTCGTTAGCCGACAATATATTCCCTCCACATTTTGACCGCCGCTAATCCCCACACGACATCACCACACTGCTACCTACCATCCATACCGAATCCTGCAGCCAGCTTCTTTCACCTCCTAACGCTCAATTGAGCAGAGATGCGCACACCAGCAGCCCCATATCTCCCACCATAATCATGCCTCCCAAACCCATCACGATGTCGAACTTCAAACGCGCCCCTCAAGCTACCCCCCACCACAGCTCCCTCCTCTCAACCCTCAAATCCACCACCATGATCGAATCCAAGCCCGTCCTCCCCGCAGAAATTATCTCTAGGATACTAGACTACCTACCCATCCCCGACCTCCTCTCTTTCGCGCGCACCAGTAAAAGAATGCTGGAAATGGTATACGAGGACTCTAGATGGGTGCAGAGGTTACACGCGATGGGGCTTTGGAATGAGGGCGAGGCTCGGAAGAGGTTTGAAGAAGGGATGAAGAGGAAGAGAGAGGTGATGCGGAAGAGACATGAGGAGGAGGCTAAGAGACTGGGTATCGGTGTGCAGAATGGTGTCGGGGCGCAAAGGAAAGTCAGTACGACGCTTTTTGACGCCGGCGTAGAGGAGGAAAGACAAAGGAGGAGCCAGGATGTCAAATCTAGGGTTTCGGTCGATGGGTTTGAGACTCTGACGTTGGGATCGAAAGCGCAGTCCCCGATCGAGAGGGCCCCGATGCTAGATCCAGAGGCGCTGCTTAACATTTTCTCGGGCGTGCGCTCTATTCGTGGATCTGCGAGACTGGAATATGGGAAGATATATGCGGCGCTGGCGCCGTTCTATTTTGATCTTGCGAGGTCGAGAAGTCATGTCGATCCTGTTATTTTTCGGGTGTATAGAGATCCCGAGCAGCAGGCGCAGATGCTGGCTCATCTTACGGTCTTTGCGAAGAGTGATTGGGCTCAGGGTTGGAGACAGAGGGAGGAGAGATTGGTTACTATGATTGGAGTTTTCGAAAATGCGGTATTAAGGGAATTTGAGAAGGGATATGAGGTGTGGGATATAGATGGGAGCATGAGACGGTATGCGCATGTTCTTGGGGTGCTAAATGGGGGACATGCTGGGATTGAACTGTTTGTTCAGAAACATCCCATTTTTAATGAGAAGTTGGGGAATCCGATGGAGTGTATTAATCAGGCTTCGTCGGATGCTATCGCATTGGAACCCTCGAGGGAGTTTCTAGAAAGTCTTGCGGTGAAGATCAATGAGCAGGCGAATATCATTGATCGGGTTTTTCCCACTGGAGAGGATGTGCTGCAGGTATTCTTGGATAAAGTTGCGGAAGACATCCTCATGGAGTATGTAACGCCTCTATTTGATGAGGCACATGAGCGCAACCTTACCTCATACCTGAAAGCTGTATCTGGAATTTTCGAGCAAAGTCTGAGGTTTAGCTTATCACTTAAGCCTTCGAAAAACTCCGGCGATGACTTTTCAGAAAAGACAAAGGCATTGGTAGCGAGAGTGTTTGAACCACATGTGGACCTGTACCTGACGGAAGAAGCAGATCATTTCAAGAAGCTAGCAGAAAGCGAAGTAGATGAGTGGGATAAGCAATTATCGGAACAGGAAGCTACGAAAGAATCATTCTACATGGGTAACTTCAATCGACAAGCGGATAAGAAAGATTTCCTAAGCTCTTTCAAGAAAGTGGTCATGATGCCCGTCAACGTTTTACCTACTGCAATCACAATGCCATTTGGGGGTATGGGACCTGCAAGTAAAACTACTCTAGCTGCGCCAGTACCGAAATCACTGTCGGTTCCAGTCTCGAATCCACCTTCAAGACCGAATACTCCTGGTCATGGTCCACCGTCGCCATTACCCGAGGCTCCAACGGATGAATTGGCAGCCAAAGCTGCCTTGATGACCTCGAAGCTTGAAGGTATCAAATCATTGTTTAGTATCGAAGTCGCTCTCGACCTCACACATTCTGCGAAAGCCAGCATAGAAAGAGCGGCTCTTTTCGTCCGACTTGGAGGTCAAACAGGCGAAGAAGCTCGTGAGCAATGCGAGGCAATCTTTGTTGTCCTCCTCCAAATTCTAGGCACCCGCCACGTCAAAATTGGATTCGACAAAGCAGTGGAACATCTATCTAAATACAACCCTCGCGAAGTAAGCGAACATCAACAAGGTGTTGCCCCCCTTGTGACCTTCCTCGAACTTGTCAACGTCGGTGATCTCATCTCCCAGATGATAGACGTCTTCTACGAACAACAACTCGCGGCAACCAAACTGGCCGATCGAAATGATTTCTTAGACCCAGCTGTGAAAGCGAAAAAGAAGTTCGAACAAATGCTGGATGAGAGTGTTGCTGCGGGTCTTAACAAGGGTATCGACGTTCTCATGGATGAAGTCGAATACCTCTGCGCTACTCTGCAGAAACCAACAGATTATAATCCGCTCGACCCTGGTCCTGGTAAACTTATGGACTTTGATATTGGCCCAACCCTCGCTGCCAAACAAGTCGTCCAATTAGTCGAATCCCATACTAAAATGCTCAACGGCTCAACCGACAAAAACACCCTCGACGTCTTCAACCAAGAAGTCGGACTCCGTCTCTTCACCGCTTTTTGCAAGCACCTGAAACGCCAGCGCGTTTCCACAGACGGTGCCATCGCTCTTATCTCCGATACCAATCTCTTCTACACTTACATCCGCACGCTTCGCAACTCGGATTTACTGGAGTATTTCAAGGCGTTGAGGGAGTTGAGTCAGATATATCTGATCGAAGCGAAACACGCGAAGGATATGGCGGAGGTCATAGCTGATGGGGGTCGTTTCGGGGGCGTGTTTCGCGCGGAAGAGGTTTATGAGTTTGCGGAGAGGAGGGCGGATTGGTATAGTGTTAAGAGGGAGGTTGAGAGGGCTATGTATGGGATTGGGTGTGGGATTATGTAGATTTGGGATAGATGGTTGTGAAAATGGTATTGCAAAAGTTTGGATGTTCTTGCCGATCTCGTCTCCTTAGAACGATCTCATGTTCTCATATGGGTCCACGTTAACTTCTCATATTTAAATGGCAATATTTACCACCAACTTCACGGCGGCAATGGTTCACCATAATTTCAGACCTCTATCATCCTGCATGTTCTGCATTGCACAAACCTAATCATATCCGAATGAGCTCAAATCCACACTCTACATATAAGCCAACACCATCTGAGATTTTTACTGTAACACTACACAACAACTCAGCACTGTGAAACCTATCAAGAGCATGGTCGAATCCTGAGATTTGAACTCCCAATGATCACTTCGTCTGATGCTAGGTAGCCTCGAGGCAACCTAGGCAAATTACCCCACATTCTAAGGTGGGGTCGGGATATATGTCCCATGACTGAATGCTCATGTGTATATAAATCAAATATCTAGTGCTATTTCTAATTGCTACTTGTCTGAAAGTTTAAACTTAAAGCGCATCAAAGAGACATTGGATATAAGCCAAAATCCCTTGATCACAACGATTTACACCTGACTCCCCCTCAACCAACTCACCCAACACACCCACCTCACCACTATGGAAGCAGTCAAAACCCTAACCCTCAAATCCGGCACCTCAATCCCCTCCATCCTCCTCCCAACCTTCCAAATCTTCACCCCAGGCCACACCGCAAATAAATCCTCCATCCTCGCCACCCCACGCGTAACACACACATACGGTCCTCACCCCCGGCAAACACTAGATCTCTATCTCCCTCCCTCCTCCCCTTCCCCCAATTCCACTTTACACTCATCAGATCCGTCTCCGATCCTCATCTTCCTCCACGGCGGCGGCCTAACCCACGGCTCCAAACTCAGCCCCGAACATCCCCTGGTCTACCATAGCACCGGGTCTTTCTTCGCGCAACGCGGCGTCACGACTATCATCCCGGATTACCGACGTGTGGGCGTCGAGGGCGAAGACGCGGCGTACCCTTCTGGCGGCGAGGATGTGAGTTTGACGCTGAAATGGGTGGTCGCAAATCTATGTCAGGAGGGGGAACGGGAGGTTGTGGTGATGGGGAATTCAGCTGGGGGTGTACATGCTAGTACGTGGGCTTTTGACTCGTTGTTTCTTGAGGAACGGAAGGGGATGAGCGGGGGGAATTTGAGGGTTAAGGGCGTGGTGGAGTTAGCTGTGCCGTTTGATTTTGCGGAGGGGGTGGAGGGGGCGGCGGTGAAGTATTTTGGGGGGAAGGAGGGGGAGAAGTGTGCGGTTGGGATAGTGGAGGCGCTTGGGAGGGAAGGGGTGAGTAGAGAGGAGGTTGCGGTGCCGAAGGTTTTGGTGTTGTTGGGGGAGTATGAGCCAGAAATTATTGAGGGGCCGACGGGGAGGTTTGTGGAGGCTTGGAAGAGGGTTTGGGGAGAGGGGTTGGAGTTTAAGGTGTTAAAGGGGCATAATCATATTAGTCCGCCGTGGGCTTTGATGGCGGGGGAGGCGGAAGGAGAGAAGTGGGCGGAAGATTTGGTGGAGTGGATTAAAAATTGAGGAGTCAGATTGCTGGGTATCATTCTTCTAATTTTCTGACGGACGACGTTCTAGTTCTGAAAAATGAGTAATCAGCCTTTCCACTTTCCAAACTTCTGGTAATCTCTGAATAGTGTGGTAAACACAGATCTTCCACTAGAGTCCAAACTCTCATTAATCATCCTCCTCATTTCAGGCGTTGTAGTATCAAAGATTGCGTAGATTCCTGGGACCATTTTCTCCCTAATCTCAGGTAACATGCGCATCTCAAGCTGCAACCTTATATATGTGGTAAGAACATATTGCATATGTTGAGCAGCCATTCCCTTGGCTTTTTGTGTTGCAGAAGTAAGACTGTTGTGCTGCGATCGAGTGACTGATGAGACGCTAGGATCGCATATGAGAGTGAGAAGTCGGGTGTAGGCTTCGGCATGTTTGGCTCCGAGTTGGTGTTTTGTAGAAGAAAGCCATGGTGGAGGTGCCATAAACTTGGTGGTTTTAGTCGTGCTGTGAGGAAGCGGTATGAATAAACATCGGAGGAGGGCTTGCATGACTTGAACGACAAGGTGGAAATGTCCCTGCAATTTCAGTCGATGCGAGGTAAGCACTGCCTGCATAATTTGGCAGAGATTGAGGTAAATGGTACCCGCTCTCATAGAATGGAGGGATGGCCCATTGCGAGAGCACATGATAGTGATACTACCGAGTGTACTATCAATACTCCATTGTGACATACATCGACCCTAAATCAGTGTTAGGTTTGAAGAGCTGACGTGTTTGTAAAACTTACCTTAGTTCGAAGCATAAAGACCATTGTCTCACTAATAAGACGAAATCGGCGAACCTCCGTAGTCCTCCAGAGAGTTCCGCATAAGATAGTGTACATGGTGGTCAAATCAAATTCTTGGCTTTTTTCTTCGCCTTCGTCATTGGAACGTTTTTGTGTGTCTGGCAATGTTAGTACAGTGGTAATATACTTTCAAATCAAAACTCTCACCCTCGCACGAGGCAATCACCTGCCGGATGGCTAGAAGCTTTTCCAAATGCATCAACCCCGCACTGTCAGAACCAACCAGCAAATCTAGTACCGCCAGCTTTTCCTTTTGTGTCTTACGACTTGTAGCAAGTTGAGCTTCTTTGATAATAGCCTGCCGGCCGAAAGATGTCAAGACGTCGCCAATCTCACTGAGCTCCAACTTATCGCTTCCGTGGTCGCTAAACGTAGCAAAGAATATGGCGAGCCGTGTACCGGTGTCGAGTCCATTATCATTCAAGAAATCCTCCGATTTCATCAACGTAGAAGCATAAGTCTTAGTTGATGCCAATTCTGAGGGCATGATCTCTAGAGCAGGTAATGCGTCGAGAATGGACAGTAGGTTAAGCGAATGGTCGATAGTCGTTTCTTTTCTTGAAACCTTCTTTTCTAGCTTCTTCATTGTTGCTTCCATTTGAGTCAAGAGTGATTCCTTGAATGTCTTGAGAATATTTTGAAACCTTGAGGCGCTAATAATATCAGCCTCACTAAGAAGTGCGATCTTGTTGTGCAGTACTCTGAGCGTCACGTCAAGGAGAGCAATTTCCGCGTAATTCCAAGTCTTGCCCTTATTTTTAAAGTCGATAGATTTCATCTTCTTCTTAATCTGGTCCAAGGTACTAGTAAGGTATTCTCTGGTTCTGGCTTGATCTGGATTATTTGTCATTTGACTAGTACTCTTGTTAGTCTTGTCAAAGTAGTAGGGTCGAGATAGGTACCTTATTGTTAACCGGACAAGCTCCTTGAATATTGAAAGAGTATTTTTGTGGGTGGTGACACAACCTTCTGGAAAGATTTCCGCTAAAGAGACAAGAGATTGGAAAGACATATCCTACTCCTCATTAGCATACGAAACAAGCTGCGAATATACTAGGATCTCTCACCTCGTAAAAAGTCGGCTTGTGCATTACTTTGACTTGCAAACTAAGAATTGCTGGATCCAGAGGAAGCACATTGAACATAGGCTCTGCCATTTTTGCCATCATATCCGGCTTGAGAGACCACTTCGTCATAACTCGTTCTCGATCACTTTTAGAGAAAAGATCAAGGGGCATTTCAAGAAGTGACTGAATTGCGAAGGACTGCACCTCCATTGTGTCTTCTGACGAATCACCACCAAGCATGATTTCCAAAATAGTCGCTAGAACTGAAAGTTAGCAGGGTGTTACATGGCTTCGATATTTCGCGCGGTAACTAACCTGTGACCGGGGGACAATTGAGGACCAAATCATTGCGCAGAAGTGAGAGCCAAAGGTCACGGAATGTCGTTTTTGGGTCAAGAGAAGCGTCAGAGTCATCGGCAAGCAGAAAGATGTTGCTCATGATGTCTATAAAGCCAGATTCTTCTTCTAATTTGGGCCCGAGCCTACATAGATTAGCAGCTATTCATGAAAGATTTGGTACAGAACTTACATCAACACAGTAGGGTATTCAACAAAAAGAGTATGGACACAAGACGAAAGGGTCCAAGAGAACCCTCTATTTGTCGAGTGTTTGGGCTCATCGCGCTCTCCTGAAACATCAGATTTAAAAGCAAGAATGTTTCCAATCGACTTGTCCAGTACTTCGATAAACACATTGAGAAATCCGAGTAGTAAAGGCTCTATGGTCGTGTTGAACGTACTTCCCGGCTCTGTAGCATTCCACAACGAACACATGGCTCTAAATTTCTCCGAAATTTCAAGGTTATCTCTCTCTTTCTCAAACTTGGCCTTATGAATTTTTCGTAGATCTGATAGTATACTGGCGTCAGATTTGCACATCAACTCCAACTCTTCAAGAGTGGCCTTCTGTATCCAGTTGAGAGACTGGGATAGAATGTTCCACGAGCGCCATCTATATCGTTTATCCAATTGAGCGTTACGAACAATACGATAGAGTCGAATACCAACAGCATCAACCACATCTTCATTCGAAACAGCACCTGCTATAGCCTGTAAGATGACAGACACGGCGTTCGGGGTATCGTTGACTTCTGACTCCAACCACTCTAGAATTTGAGCAATTTGTTGAAGAGTCAAAGATGGCTCAAATATCTTTTGTAGCTCTTTCTGCAGAGAATCACCTTCCCAAGGGCTGAAGAATTTAAGTTCAACTTCTTCCCTCAATTTCTCGAACTTTACAAGCTCAGCGTGCCAATGGTGTAAAAACCCATTTAGATCACGAGCTTTCGCAAATTCATGCATCAGTGGTATCAAAACATCTGAGCTGACTGTTTCTGACCATTGATATCCATCTCTGAATGGGAGCTTCGTGATTTTACTCAGAAGTTTGCTGAGCAGGTCCTCGCTAGGATCCGGAATTAAGAACACATTGCCATCAAGCTTCAGCAGCGCAGCCACTAGGGACCAATCGGGCTCTTCCTCACTGAGAGCATATTGAGAAGTGACTTTGCGCAAACTTGGTAGATCAAGCTTTACCTTGAAGTGTATAGCACTAAGGAGCATTGAGTGAAGAGCCGTGCAGTTAAGCAAATGCCTTTTTGCTACAAACCCTTCCTGAAGAACATTGAAAGCATGTTGCAGCCATGAATCGTCGTGCTGTTTTCGGCGACCATTTCCATGCGTCTGAATTGATCGAATAGCTATATCGAAAAAAACCGGAGCAGTAGCAGGGTCTTGTATGACAAAGACTTTCGTCAGAGTGCTTAGAAGCTGGGATTCCGCATTTGCGAGCAAATCTGATCTTGCAGGTATCAGGATATTTCTAGCGGCGAGCATTTCTAACTCCGATTTCCAATGACCATCCTTTAAAAGTTGTAACATAGGCTTTGTGCAATGCAAAGAGAATACCATCAGGTCGTTCTCGCCAACTACTCGGCTCTGCCATATATCGATAAATGGTGAAAGCCAAGTGCTCGTTATGCGCGATCCTGCGTGGCGAGATAACAATGAAAGCCAGAGTCCCAATAGTTTGGCAGATTCTTCTGCAGAAGTTCGAATTGTTGATTTCATATATTCCGCCGTAAACGCCATATCTCGTCCGTTCTCCTGGCTCGCAACCGACTCTGCCGCGGTTGTAATAAAGCTCAGCACAGCGTGCGCCGCTTGTAAAACTGATGTAATGTTGACTTTACTCGCATTGGCGCTCTCCTCAACAGGTGTTCGTTTCCGTTTTTTTGAGCTCTTCTTTGATTCTTCCGGTTTCTCTTCTCCATTTTGTCCCGCTTCGCCAGCAGCTTTGTTTAGACCCTCGACGGTAGCTCTAAGAATTTCCGTAAATTTCTTCTCAACCAGTAGCCTAGCAGCCGTATTCCTCGGCACCGATTGAATTAAGTACCCCAATAGCCACCAAGCGTCTGGACTTTGTTGTGGAGTCGTATCTTTCTTGTCGGACAATTTCTTCAATATCCAACGTAGTAGCCATTCTTCTCTTCCATGGTACACCGCCTTATTTCTGAACTCTTTTACGCTTCTGCCAATGACCTCGAGATGAACACCAATAAATTTTGCAGCTTCAATAAGTTGGTCGTCGAATGGCGCGGATGCTTTCTCCAACGACGTTAAACGTTCTTGCGCAGCTTTTGATTTCGAAGCCTAAGAAAGCCATTAGCTACAATTCCAATCAAGCATTATCAGAAAACAAACGCACCATTGAGTACAATATTTGCGCTTCAAAAGCGCATTGTATCAATCGCAACCACAACCAATGTTTTCACCCACCATAACTTTTTCTGCCGACTCTCCACCACGCTAAACTTTCCATGAACCAGGAACTCTCACCGCCTTGACACAACGCCGGAGCCATCACAAGCTTTACCAAGCTCGCGCAACGCAACTGTTTACAGCTGTTCCAACAACTCATATTCTTGCGCAAATTCCAAAAGGTACGTCAATTGCATCTGCGGTTACCCAATTGATACAACCCGAAACTCGCGATGCCATTTGGGAAGCAACAGAGACTGACACGACGAAAATAGGAGCACGAGACGAAAAATGCCTGAAACTTCAATCCCACCACCTGTCGCGGCGCGTCCGAGTAAACCAGTTTCCGAAGCTCTTCTCAATGAAAAAGTACGGCATATCTCTCTTGTCAATCCTCTCATTCCGAGCCCAAACGCTAACAAAACAACCCAGTGGGACCGCTGTCTTTCCTCCCTCCTAATCCGCTCATCACTCGGTCTCTCCTTCGGTGTCGTCTTCTCCGTCTTACTATTTAAACGAAGAGCATGGCCTGCGTTTGTCGGATTGGGTTTCGGAGCTGGAAGAGCTTATGAGGAGTGTAATGGCAGCTTCTTGAGGACGAATCGGGACGGAGTTAGAGTTACAAGACCTTAGGGGGAGATTAATTGGCATTGGGGATAGGAGGGTGATAGGAAGGAAGCGTTGTACAGCGGTTAGAAGATGAAGCGAGAGAGTCAATGGGAGCTGTACTTGTACAAAGGTATGAATATACAGGGATCGGAATCGAAATGGTGTTTGCAATACAGATTCAATTTCCGCGTATACTCGGTTTCTGGGTACAGGTTCCTAGGCTAGGATACAAGCACTTGCCGGTGAAAGCGCATCGTCAATCTCCTAGTAGCTCTCTCGAAATATACTTTGAGGCACTCAGGAAACTTCAAGACCAAACACTAACCCTAGTATCCCCCCCCCCGATATCACCCAGGACACCAAGAACGGCTCTTCACCAAACCCTGCCAAAGAATAAGATAGTAATAACTATCAACAAACTAATATTTAACTTTAATTTTGATCATCGTTGTCATTCGATTAACTTCCCTAATTGCTACAAATACTAATGTTGGTTGAAAATCTCCTATGATTAAGAGTTTGTGGATTAAAGATTCCAGCTCCATCCGAGTGAGCAAGGTTTAATAGGTTACGGCATTGAACTGGGATTTATTTGAGACATCTCGATAGTAAAACCAGTACTGGCGGAAACAACTATCAAGTGAAGTTCTTCAAGAAGAGTAATATTCGTCGGCCCTTTCCCTCTTCACGTCTCAAAATCACACACAAATACAATGCTGAGAATAATGGGAATGCATTTATCAATCTGCTTGGTGTTCAACCTATCAGTCCATCAAATAGTTAACTTCTATACCCAATCTGCACACCCAGAACACCTCATAACGACCCATAATCCAATATACCACTTCCCTTACTCCATCTTCGTTTCCATCTACGACGTGCACACCTAGAACACCTCACACTATCAACCATCCAATCCACCACTCCCCGGAATCCATCTTCACTCCAACCAACCTACGACTTACTAGTTCCCCTCCTAGTCAACCCCCCACACGCACCCTCACAACCCTCCCTATGCACACTCCCCTCACTCAACCCATCAAACCTCCTATGTCCAAACCCCCTCACAAATCCATATCTATCATCAAGCAGCCTCGTTTCCTCTCCTTCCGTCCCCATATCCTCCACATCAAGAACATGAGCCCGCGAGCTGAGCAGCTTATAAACGCAATACGACGCTTTAACGAGGATAACACCTAAGATCGTAACGGTGACTAAGAGCAGGATGATCAAGATTGGGAGCTCGAAGGCGGTGATGGTTATAGCCGGGGGGAGTATGCGGCGCGGGAGACGGTGGGTTGAGAAGTCTGGGGGACGCCAGGAGAGGCGGCTGGAGAGGTATGCTGTTGTCATTGCTGTGGTGATGAAGAGATGGGTGGTTGGATTGTGATGGTGATTGTTGGGTTGATGATGTGTTAACGAGTGTCTGGTGGTTTCATTCTTTGACACTTTGACTTGCTATACTGCGGCATTATGAAAGGGAAAAGAGAATCAACTTTCGACTGTTGACTTGATTTGGTCGTACCTTCCTCGCTTAGTGAAAGGGGTGGTTGACGAAGGGGGAGGTGCTATGGTGTATGCTTCTCTGGGATAGTTTGACTTTTCGCTTGATCTCCACCAGACCTATGTTGCCGAATGGAAGAGAGATACAGAAGCTCATGATTTCATGACCTCAAAACCGTAAATTGACTTGGAGAAGAGACGTGGGTTCCAGCGAATGCTTTATGTAAAGCAGTGTATCTGGGAAGCAAACAAGGTTGGGCAATAAGTGCAATGATATATGGAAGTCTTGACCCTAGTTCATCCGCTTCTGATGCTTTGCACTTGAAGGAGAATTGACGGCTTGAAATTCCCCCACTTGAGAATAGAACTCCTCACCCATCTTAAAAGCATAACCCAAAGTAGAAACAGAAAACAGCGTGCTCCATGAAGGACTTAAAATTGTTTGACGCCTTGAAAATTGCCTACAGTATTAACAGAAAGATGTTAGGAAAAGCACTTGATCTTGAATAAAGAGCGAGTAGACAACAAAAGTATCTGACATGGCCAAACGAGATCAAGAAATAGAGTAGAGATGGTGGTCGATCCCAAGCAAGGTCCAAGTCTGCAAAATCCAAACAATAAACCGCATCACTAAGGACTGGGCACACGGAAATAAGTAGATAAGGTCTTCTCAGTACCATTTGTACCGATTCAGCTCAAACGAAGATATACTTCCACTCAACTGGCGTGTATCACTTGACAACTCCAGCCGACAAAACGACAATAACACGCGAGACTCATCGCATAGCTGCATCACCAACCTTTCCGTGCAACCTCACATCAGACAAAGGCTCCGTATCAAACTAATTTTAGCCCATCATCGTGTGACTATCCATCGTGGCAGCACAGACAACGCAGTACAAGAAAGAAAGGCTCGAAACGTTTCCCAAAGAATCAGATGTCTTTCGGCCCATCCGATGCGAAAAGAGGGTCGAAGCGTTTCGGTAGATGGAAGTTCTCGAAGCAGCACCCCCGGTTTTGATTTTCAGCGAGCCCCCTGAACGGGTATGGCGCGAGGTGCGGCGGTAAGCGAGTAGGAGTGGGCCGTACTCGCGTGGCTTTAAATTGCGAAAGCTGTGACTTTATTTTTGGGAGATGTGAAGGTCGGGGGGTGATTGGTTTGGTGTGGAGGTTGTCAGGGAAAGGAGAGATGGGTGTGGGATATTGGTGTTGGGAGTCGGCTAGGTGTAGTGTTGGTGATGTGGTATGGGGAAGGTATTTTTGCTGCAGATGCGGCGCCAACGATGAAAACCTTCCATTTGATGTTTCTAGAAGGAATTCTGTGAGGATGATGAACCAAGAAGATGGAAAGTCCTTGAATTTCGTCGATCATCTGCTGTGATTCGAGGAAACCAGCCGTGATCACTTGAGTCTAAATCCTGGCACAGCACTGACGATGTCCGGTACTAACTGTAATTGGTCCATGTAATTTTAGACGTTAGAATTTGTTTCGAGCAATTCATGCAAAACGAGGTTCGAGAGCACCCGTAGTTGAATCATGGAGCAGCGAAAAGGTGTTTGGCGGCCAGGTTGTCGTCTGGTGAAAAGATGGTATAAACTTTTAGGTAACGTTGGTATAGTCATCATGAATCCTCCGGCTGATGTGGTGTTCTGTACTACCTTCTCCTCAGGTCGTAGCTCTAAATCCCAAATGCAGTCAGAGAACTGGGCGAAGTATAAGTATATTTATATGCACCAACAGGAGGCTCATCCTGTAGGTTTGCGTGTCGATGGTGTGCGCAGAGTGCCAGGTACAAAGCAGTATAGCCACGTCTATTGGACCAGAGCACGAGAGCGGACTCTTGGTGGCGTTATTTTTGTCTCCATCCGCACTTTGTATGCAAGTAAGATTGGGACATATGCTTGTATTATCCGAAAGATCCCCAAAGACGACAGCTGCATGGCAAAGACGTTGCAAACCAGCTCTTTGAGGTTCTCGTGAGAATGGTTCAAGCATATTGAGATATGTTTCGTCTCGAGACTTGATCTTGTCAAAGGATTCCTGACATGAAAGCCTTCATTTCCCAAGTTCGGCAAATGCGTTTGACCTCCTGAGACGAAAGCCGGTTCCCTGCTGTTCTCTGTGGGGGAGCCTGAGAACTTGCTGATGCTTCAAAACTCGAGCAGCTGGGATGATAGCTTTTGAACCATCCAGGCATACAAGGGACATTTTGACACAACCACTTCCTCAACTAACATCTCGCGTAATCGACATCAGCGTGGCTCTTCCTGTTTGTGAAACCGCTATTTTGCTTGAGGGGGGAGAACTGGTGAGGCTTTTGACAGTGACGGAACGGAGAAGAAGAAAAAGAAGAAGAATCATAGGCCAGTCATAGTATTGAATCTTGAGAAAAGACCAGAAACGGCAATTCCGACATCACTACCGGTTGAGCATCAAAGCGGGCGCCTACACGTCGGAGGCTGTAGAATTGAGATTGGGAAAGAGAAGGTCACAGAGAATAAATCGTCGTGCTCCACGGTGGTTCCAATGATTCAAGTGACAGACTGTCGGACTGCACCAAAGTCTCAGTAGTAACTGCACTGCTCGGTCGGTGCATTCACTAGACCTCTAGAGCGTTTTCACAAAAATCCCGAACTAAACGGACTACCACGATTTGCGCTGTCAACTGAAAGGTAAATATGAGAGAAATATTTTCAACGAGCATTCCCTTTTTTTTTCAGTTAAATAAATCAGATCTCTACTGCAGATTCTTGGGGGTTGAAAGGATTGAACTGCTGTTCCCCGCTGTAAATTCGCCAATAATCATTTCCTAAAGCGAGGCACTAGCGGCTGGGTGCGGTTCGGTCGCAGCCTCCCTTTCCATTTCTCGCCAGGTGCCAGGTGCCAGGTCCGCCGCCGGGGTCAGACCTGACATCCCTATTCCCTATTTTCTGCTCGCTCTCACCTCCTTCGACATTACAAACACCGCGTCTCTCGTCCACCGACACGAAAGTTGTCCCATCAACTCTACGACTTGCCTCTACGGCACGGTGACAATTGCGGTATCTTCGCTCGCTGCAGACAGGAAAGCGATTGATTCTGTTTTGGTATGTTATTTTCACTTCAACTCCTGAACCTACCAAACCACCGCTTTGCGATCCATCGGAGCCTCAACCTGCCTGCCATCGAATTTTCGGACACCCGGCCACGTCACTATCTTGACCACCACTGTGGCATTCACCGTCGCGCCGATCATCGATATTGTGACGACTCTTCTATTTATACCCCTTTGTCCATGCCACCGTGGTGGTGGAGCTCTTGTTTTGCAATGGCACTCTCAGCCGGACTGATAGGCTTGCGCTAACATTTTTAGCATAGACTGCAACACCTTGAACAATTGAATTTGCGCCACGGCCACAACAAACCTATCACTGTAATCTACGATAATCTCAGAAATCAGCCAAGATGGGTTGCGGTATGAGTACAGAGGAGAAGGAGGGGAAGCAGAGAAATGAAGAGATTGAGAATCAGCTGAAGAGGGATAAGATGTTGCAACGTAACGAGATCAAGATGCTCTTGCTCGGTGGGTAAATCAATATCGCACATATTCTGCACTGCTAATAAATCATAGGTGCCGGAGAGTCTGGAAAATCGACAATCATTAAACAAATGAAGCTCATCCACGAAGGGGGTTACTCCCGCGACGAAAGGGAATCGTTCAAGGAAATCATTTTCAGCAATACAGTGCAGTCGATGCGAGTTATTCTCGAAGCGATGGAATCGCTTGAGCTTCCATTAGATGATCAGAGAGCAGAGTATCACGTCCAGACAATTTTTATGCAGCCGGCACAAATCGAGGGCGACAATCTTCCACCAGAGGTTGGAACTGCCATCGCAGCCTTATGGAAAGACCAAGGTGTTTTGGACTGTTTCAAGCGCTCAAGAGAGTATCAGTTGAATGACTCTGCCAGATAGTAAGCGCTGCCACCTTATCGATGGCTCATCTTGTGGAGACTAACATCGTGCCTAGTTACTTCGATAACATCGATCGAATCGCCCAGCACGATTATATGCCAGACGACCAGGATGTCCTCCGCTCGCGTGTCAAGACCACTGGTATTACGGAGACCACATTCATTATTGGCGACCTTACATACCGTATGTTCGATGTGGGAGGACAACGTTCAGAACGTAAGAAGTGGATTCACTGCTTCGAGAACGTCACTACTATCCTTTTCTTGGTCGCCATTTCCGAGTACGACCAACTTCTCTTCGAAGACGAGACCGTCAACCGTATGCAAGAGGCGTTGACCCTTTTCGATTCGATTTGCAATTCTAGATGGTTTATTAAGACCTCAATTATCTTGTTCTTGAACAAGATCGATAGATTCAAGGAGAAGCTCCCAGTCAGCCCCATGAAGAACTACTTCCCTGATTATGAGGGTGGAGAAGATTACCAGGCTGCTTGCGACTACATCTTGAACCGATTCGTCAGCTTGAACCAGCACGAGACGAAACAAATTTACACCCATTTTACTTGCGCCACCGATACCACCCAAATTAGATTCGTCATGGCGGCTGTGAATGGTAGGCATCTCAAACTCATACTTATACAATTTCATGCTAACATGTTCTAGACATTATCATCCAAGAGAACCTTCGTCTTTGCGGTCTGATATAGTCATCGGACTTTACAATTTGCTCTATGCGTACAAGAAGTTTTCTTCCTCTCGGATTCGCTCTCGGATAAATAGGCGTTCATTTTCAAAATTCGGCGGTCCCTTTATTATACCAACACCTGGCTTGCCCAACTGTACCATTTCATAATCCAAATCAAATCCACCAATCCCTGACAACACTAAATGTGGTGGAAACCTCGCAGTGACAATTGTTGGGAAGCTGTTGTGCACAAACAAGCCTTGCGTTTCGAATCTGCTTCATTGTTTTTATTGTTTGTTTATTTTTTCATTGCCTATTCATTTCAGCGCAGGCTTCTCTTGTGCTGGACAAGAACTCTCCTCGATTACTTTGTGGGCTGAAGTTCCAGACGATACACACAGCTTGATTGTGTGATTCTTAGTCCTTTTAATAGCGACGACAAGCTTCTTCTTTGAAAAGCTTGGTTATGATAGCTGGTCGGTTGAAATATTTTACACGCCCTAGCTGGATCTTGATGTCGTGGGCGGGTGACGAAGAGGAAGAGACTTTATGGGAATGGTGGGAAAGGGACTGTAAAATCAGACTCCAGCGAGGCATGGCGTGGGTGGAAACAAGGAGAGGCTTGTTGCCAAAATCTTGATGTCTTCATCTCGACTTTTCATCATTCGTGCATGTCTATGGTGCATTGGAGGTAGGGGGTGAGGGTGGTTTGAGTGAGTCAAGAAATAGCCGAATAGAGTGCTGATATGATATTTTTGATGATAATTTGCCTACTGTGAGCTGTGTCTGTGAGAACTAAATGCATTTGGGATCTGGTGCTTGATATTGAGAAAGCTGGGTTTGATTGGTCGCTAGGGTGTTGCGTAACCAGTTCAGGCTTCGAACGCTTTTGTACGACGTTAAAATCTGTCCACACTTCTCTCTACACCGCATGTGACAATCAACTTGATAATGCGTCGAAGATCTTTTTGTTCTGATACTCGTTTTTGACGCCTCTACTTTTCTGATCTACAACGCGTGATCATGCATCTTCTCCGTTTGCTTGTCATCACCTGGTTGTCGCTTGGAGGGCTATCATGGGCGTATATCGATTTCGAAGCGATCAGGAAGATTGGTAATTGGACGGCGGAGGCACGGGGGAGGATTGTTGGGGAGGGAAAGGTGGTAGGAGGTGGAGGTGGAGAGTTTGGGGGGTTTGATGGTGGAGGTGTGGGACAGAGTGTTCTTGGTGATTTGGGTGGTGGTGGTGGGGATGATGGGGAGGAGGTTGAGGATGTAAGTTGTTTTACTTTTGTTTTTGATCTGGTTGGGGAGAGGAGAGGGGATGGGATGGGGTGGAGGTTATGTTGGAGATGATACGGAGGCTTAGAATATCAGGGTTATGAGGTGGGAGTAGTGTGAATTTCTACTAATAATAACAGACCATAACAGCATCCCTTCAAATACTCTGTTCAGACCTATTATCTCAACTTGAGAAACCGGCACCTTTGAAACCTGTATGTCTTTCCCCCTTATATCCTCCTCATATCTCCTCTTCCTTATCTACCTCCACCTACTTATTTAACCTTACCTCCCCATCTGACACAAGCAGTCCCCAACACCCCCCTGCACAACTATAACTTCAGAATACCACACCTTCCTCGCCTCAACAGCCCGTCTCATATCTTCAATCGCCACTCGTCAGGCGCGTTATCAGTGGGATGCGGAGAGTAGTGTGCATGCGAAATTGGCTTGGTTGCAGAGGTTGTGGGCTAGTCGGAAGGGTGTGAGTACTTCCATTTCTCCAATCTTTCACTATTTGCATCTTTATGATATGAGATGGGAGGGACCCAAAAATGAGATGTTAGGGGAAATTGCTAACAAAGAATAGAATTCCAACGAAAGAAGTTTTATAGAACAACAACTTGCGTTATATAATCCTACTAGATGTTTTGGGAAGAATGAGGTGCTGAGACGGGGGGTGGAGGTAGTGGAGTTGGTTAATGATGTTATTGATGAGTTTAGGTGAGGGATGGCGGGGACGGGCGAGAGAGCGAATGAGAAAAATGGAGAGTTCTGGGTAATGAGGTGTTCGTGAGGTTGTGGTAATGGAATAATAATCAGTAGTCGATGGGATGTCGTGGACGGATAATGGACCGGTTGGTAAATTATGTGATTTCGTGTGTGAGACGGACAAGTCTTCCCGGGAAGATGTTAATAACGATAGTCCTAGTCTGGTGCTTTGAGAGGTTTCTGTCAAGAGTGAGCTTTTAATGACAAGACTACATTTAATCCAACAACATGAATATCTAAAGGAATAGACAAGGGTAAGGTATGAATGTACGACGCTATAAGTGTGACAAACATTTGATTATCTGATGAGCTTTGCAAGACTTGATACATAGATTAATCCAAGGCCTAGGGTGATAAATAGAGTCGATATCAATTGAAGCTTATTTGCGACTACCTGGGTATATCCTTTTTCTACCCAAACTCCCAAATGCCCAAAACCCAAAGCCTACAAAGCCTCAAAAGAGTCATTCAAATATGTGACGAAAGTCTCCCGGATCCTCTTAACCGGCACAGCATTCGTCCTATTCAGACTTATAAATTGTCTCCTTATCCTCTGTAGCGCGGGTAATCCGATCGGATTATTCGGCAACTCAACAACCAACTCCTCCTTCCCCTCCCCAACATCCACCACACCACCTCCCTCCCCAGGATGATCTTTCGCCCACTCCAAAATCCGATTCACAATCCCTTGTGTACTCTTATCCAACTCATACAGGTAATCCTCACTACTCGGCGCCTTCAAAACCGTAGCAGCATTCGGCCGAACCGCTTTCTTGACCCCCTCACTCCCAATAATCTCATCCCAAATCGCTTCTCCAGGGGGCGACTCGTCTTCCCAAACAACCGTGAACAACGGACTATCCCATCTCGTCATCGCATTCGGTTCCTCATATCTAAACACCAGATTCTCCCAACACTCCCTCTCATACGGTCCTTCCTCCGCACTCGCTTCCCCTCCAGCAGCCAACCGCTTCTCATTAATCTCCCTCGCATCCCCCACCGGAATCCCAACCTGTAACAAACAATGCGGCGTCCTCAACGCCTTAGCCTCACAGTAAAGCTGGTACCGCCACCCTTTTATATAATTAAACCCATCTAGAATCACTATATCCTTCGCGCTCAACACGCGCTTCACAGCGCCGTAGATAGTCGCGCGCGCATCTTTTTCGGAGGCGTTGTTGGAGCGTTCGTGGTCCCCTTTGGATTCGAGGTTGTAGACTGTGCGGGGGATTGAGAGGATGTGGTCTGAGATTAGGTGGACGCGGAGGGAGGAGGAGGGTGAGGTAGTTGGGAGGGAGGAGATGCGGGTTTGGAGGTAGGTGTGGAGTTGTTTTGCGCGGTGGGTTTTGCCGGATGTGGGGATGCCGGTTATTATTATTAACTGGCAAGTTGAGTTAGAGATTATTTCAAGGAGACTGGACAGCGAGTTGGGGGACTTACGGGCATTTTTGCGATGTTAGGTAGTGGGGTTGGTGGGATGAAGATTGTCAGATATTTGAGGCTTCGGCGTTAAGATGTCGGTCACGTTTAAAGTGGAAACTTTTATCTTCGTCGTCGACCTCACCGACTGTTGAACATTCAAGATATCACAATCGTAGTTAGATTTTGACATCTATCCGGATGATTGCCTAGTTTGCTTTCTTACATAATCGGTAGAGTGTCTTCTTCATGATGTTGCCCTTTTTCAGGCTAGATTGGATTTCGCTGCTAATACGAAGTAGTTCCTCAGTCAACACAATCGTCCTCCTCGATGCTTGCTTGCCTTCCAGGCATAGGGATAGGGAATAGAGCAAATCCTTAGCAATGTGGCCTCAATGTTCGCTCAGTCTACTGAGCAAGCTCAATTCTGATATGGCGACCCAACTCTATAGAGTTTCCTCCTTGATTTAGTCGCTCGTCTTCTCCAATTGGATAGCACCTAAGCACCGTTTCTTCGGCTCGCAATACAAAATCTTTGGTCCAGCGAGAATGGATGTTTAGGATTCATTAAACTCATTGATTTCAGGATTCTGTTCGGCTACAACATCTTCGGGCTGTTTGATGGCTACTACTAAGCCTTTGTCTGCGGAGTCTTGCGGATGTTGCGTTGTAGGTGCGACAGTTATATCTTGGTCATGTTCAGTGTCACCTTCCAAGAACTGTCCTGGATCCACGGTTGTAGTTCCGGGCTTGCTGTCTTGAGCAATTTGATCTGCTATATTCTTAGCAGCTTCCGGCCCTTTATCAGTCTCTGGCCAGCTCTCTATTTTCTTGGGACCAAACCTACCAGGTTTGTTCTTTATTGTAGTTTCTGATACAGAAACATCATTCTCATTAAAGGAAGGCGGGCGAACACGTCCCGTGGCAGATCTATTGCCTCCATACTCTGAGTCGAGGGTGGTCCATGTTGATCTAGTCCGCGTTGTCCTGCCGCCCTCGCTATCGCTACTGTCTGAAGAATCACCATCTATACTATCAGACGCATGTCCAGAAGATAGGTGAGCGCTACCCTGCCGGGCTTTCTGGAGTAGCGCAGCATATCTTTGGCCAAAAACATTATGAATCTGACTATCCATATTGTTAGTTTCCGCGAGGGACAGCTGTGGCTCATCTTTGGAAGCAGGTGTAACAGACATGACACCAACCGAATGCTCCTGCCGGTTTGTCGAAGTATTCAAGTCAAATAAAAGCCCTTCGCTATCTTCTGGTACAGTCCAGGCAACGATATCTTTCAAATGGCTTGCTAGATGATTCTTAAACAGCTCAGCTGAAGCGGACCGTCCTTTCTCAATAGACTCTGTACTAGTGTTTTCTCCTCTGACTGTTTCATCCCACTGTTTGCACAGCAAACACGCACCCTCACCAAATCTGTCCATTGGCTCCTCGCTCTGCAAAAGTACGCCTTTCAGGTCGGAACTATCGATATCTGCACTATGGGAGTGACCCAGGTGGTAGGCAAACGCAACCCTGTTAGAAACGGGTCCCCGTGGGCACTGCTGTTGGCACACCCATTCTCTACGGTGGGTTTGGAGTTCGTGAGAAAACCAGTCATCGCAGTTAGAGAATGTTCTCCAAATGCAACTCTCGAATGTGCAGATATATGGCTTCAGGTCTTCCGAAACATGGCTCTCCCATTCCCTCTGATTGGTTATCATGACCTGATGTCCACAGTATGGGCATTTAGACAAACTTTTCACATCCAAATTGCCTTTAGCATCTTCTGAGGACTCCAGATTCAATGCAATAAGATGTTCCCAATCTTTGGTAGAATGTAAAGTCGGCTTTTGCGGCTTTGTTTCTCCCTTTCCATCTAGTTGAGAGGATGGGGTTGATGTGACCACCGACTTCCCGGCTTCGTGCATACTTTCTTGGGTCCTTCCCAACTGCAGCTTGATCAAATGTTCTCGACGTTTTGTCATAGACTTTGCCAGCCTCTCAAGTAGCCAGCCACTTCCTTGTTGGGCGTGTTTGAATTTGTTCTTAACCAATCGCATATCTGCGTCACTGAAAGAAGTACTCGATGGCAAATCATCCTGCGCAACCGAATTAATGTCGACACCAGCCAGTCGGACTAACCGCTTATTGGATCCTTCCAGGGAGGCCAATAGGTCTTCAATCTCACAAGTCTGTGGCGCTTTTTGCTGCGTATCCTTGTTATCAGTACTCTCATCCGAGTCGCTAACACCCTCAGTCGACCACATCTCATTAGCTTCAAGACCAGAAACGATGAGAGAAGCTGCGTCAAGTCAGACTTCTAAAATTCTAGCTAAGACTAACATTCACATGGAAGCTGGTACGTACCTCTAGTGAGAGAACCTAGCATATCTCCAAGAATATTTTGCTTTCTCTTTGTAAGTTGAGAATCAGTCACATCTCTCCAACCAGACGGATCAGAGCAAAGGGTCGCGGCTCGACTTCTCCACACATCGAACCGCACCATTTCTTCTTCAATACATGCAAGCGATATATCGCGGTTATATCCGAGCATGTCAGCCTCACCGGAACTCGCCCTTGTAATTATGTTATGCAATTTTTTGAAACATGAGAAGCATTCTTCTTGCAGTCTTGCTACATTTTGCTTGTCTTCTGTTTCTATCCACAATCGAAGCCCTGATAAATAACGAGTCAGTACAAAGAGCAACTTGATTATGGATAGGTTACTGACCTCGATCTCCAACCGTGTCTAGCTCTCTCTCAGATGAACGTTCCATAGCTTGACGCTGAACTACTAAGTGGTCTCTTCATCCCCGCAAAAACCTATTCGGTCATGGCAAGTTAGTCTCGAGTCTTCAGCTTTACCAGTCTGTTCCACTCATGGTAAATCCAATTCTTGCTTCGATTGAGTGTCGTTGACAGCTCTCGCTTAGGCGAGCATGTTGCCGCTGATAGGGTGGAATGATTCCAAAAATAGGTAACATGCAGCAATTAGTCAGTTTCTGGCTGAACGAGGCTCAGCTACTGAACATCATCAAAATGATCTTGTAGGACTACACGACCGCTATCAATTAATTTCAATGTCGGGTATAGAGGTAGTAGGCTTGATCCTAGGAAGCCTACCGCTACTGATCTCAGCCGGCGAACACTATCGAGAGGGTTTCGAGCCTTTGAAGAAATGGAATCGCTTCCGGACAGACTTCATTGGCTTTATCGATAGATTGGACATCGAAAGACAACTGTATCATCAAATGCTGCAGCGTCTTTTACTATCAACAGGCGTTCCCCCTTATCAATTGCGACTCTTTATGGATTCGGAATTTGCGGGATGGCGTGAACCGACATTACTGAAAGATTTAGGGTTGCGGCTCGGTCCAATCTTACCTGCATTTCTCAGCACCATTCATACTATGAATGGATTGATAATGAAACTTCATTCTTTGTTGTCACTTAAGAACGGAAAGGTATCTCGATCGCAGACTCAACGCCCCTGAAGCACTTTGCTAAGCAAACTAATGACAGGTCGACTGGGCTAGAAGTGGTGGTGATCAATGGGATTACCAGTTGAAAAGAATACGACTGAGCTTCAGCAAAAGCGGACTTTCTCTATTGGACAACTTCGAGTCTCATAATCGAAAACTCCGTGAACTTCTCGATTCAAATGACAAGCTCGGCGGTGTCCAAAAGGTCTCCGAAGCCAAACAGCGTTTGAATCTTCTTCAAAACGTCAAAACTCTTGCAGACAGTGTATACGGTGCTGTTACCGATGCATGGAAATGCAAATGTGTCGAGCCTCACATTATTATGTTTCTTCTCCAGCGTTCGGAGGTCATCTCAAAGTCACCTGCGTTCAGGATGTCTTTCTCGATTCAATCCACAAAGAGCGACGCTAAAGATAACTGGATCAATCGAGATACGACTTTGTTATCCCACGAAGATCTGGGGACTGTGCTAGCGCTTCCCAAGGGAGAGCAGAAAACGACAGAGCTTGATTATCTGACTGTTCTGAGAAAGGATTTCGGAGCAACCCCTGTTTCGCATGTCAAAATGCCCTCACTTCCATACTTGGCACCGATCCCATTCGTAAACTCTTGCCAGTCTTCGCAAAGCGCAATCAATCGTAATATTACCAATGGGCGGTCGAGATCGTCACATTCAATCGACACTAGCTTTTCCTCTACCTCAACCACTTCTGATATGACGGACCTTTCTGATAACACGACTCTGTCAACGATAAGTTCTTCTACATCAATCTCTACTATGACAAAAGCTAAGCCGATCAAATCAAGGTGAGTGAGAGCTCTTTTGGTAACTACTTTTCTTGACTGCAAGTTTGGCACATGCGGGATACCATGAATTTTAATCTCTTCTTGGAAGCCGTCGACGGGTTCTAAGTTCTAAGAAAAGCTAGATCTTGTTTGATGTTGTACTGACAATATGACTTTCCTCTAGCCGTTGGCCCTTTTTCCGTAGTCCTAACAAGAAACAAGTGTCGGATATCTCACAACCGCACGCTACACCCCAAACTGCTAGTGAACAACATTCGGCATCTCTGCAGCTGTTAGAAAACTTTACCCATGCAGGTTGCACTCGGATTGAAGATCTTTGCTCGGTGTTGTGTGTACCTCCCGGACCTTCACCATGTATAGGCCATCTTGTTCGGGATCGAGAAACCTTTGAGTAAGTAATTTGCTTCACTGATCTGGGATCTCATCAACACAATTTCTCGACCAAATCAGATGTCGAAGAGATATAAAATTGGAATAGGAGATTACCACTACTTATGGGAATATGATCATAAAACTAATGTGTCCAAACAGGCTCCGATCAGCAATACAAAAGCAACTGGCCCCAAAACACACCACTCTGAAGACGCTACTTAAGAAACCGAAAAAGCTTTATCTCTTAAGTCGACGAAACCGCTATGCTATTGGAAGTACCCTAGCATCATCCTTACTGGCACTACAGACCTCAAGTTGGCTAGCCCGCGGCTTGGACAATGAGACTATTCTTTTTTATATGCGAAACGACCCCGCGCGAACGGACTTGTTGAACGAGGGTCCTTATGTCAAGAATACGTTTTATTCGTCATTGAAGAAAGCTACAAGTGCCTCTCCGAGTCCAAGTACTGTTGAGCAGGAAAGATCTGCGACACGACGTGCGATTTTTCAGTGAGTCTAGCAACACGTTCTTCAAAAGCTTCCAGAACCCTCCAGCGTTATTGACCATTTCAGAATCTGATTCAAAAATTCTAGCTAACAATAATCTACCTAGACTCGGCATTCTCCTTCTCGAACTCTGCTTCGGCGAGTGCATGGAAGACCAAACCGAGCTTTCGAAAAATCATCTCATTGATGGTAAACCACACTCTGCCACTGCGATCCTGACCGCCCAGAACTGGTTGGAAGAAGTAGAAGAAGAAGAGCCAGATCTAGCGCCGATCATTCGATCATGTGTTCTGTGCACATTCCCTTACAAGTGCGACTGGTCGAATGAGAAGTTTACCCAGTCCTTTTGTGCAACCGTTGTTGAACCATTGGAGGAGCTTTCAAGGAGATGGGATCAGGCAACGAAAGTATTACTTGCGTAGGCAATCAGATTCAAAATTTCAGGCAAGTTGACTAGGTCTATGAGCGCACCTAGAAACGGGCGTAAAGAGTATGTCTATCCGGTGCAAGACGTCTAAACGCTGGTTTATGACTGCATCAGCATGCTCATAAAAGGACTCGAACTTGATTTATATCTTGTCGAAAGGTTGTGCATCAGTGTTCTTGGCGTATTTTCTGTTCGTGAAGTTTCACGGATCAACGTAATGAGATGAAGGCGTCAAAATAATACATGTTATGCGCCATACCAATCTGAGACCTTCGAGAAAGTTGGCCTTGGAAGGCTAGAAAAGAGCAGTATGGACTAAAAAGAACACGATAACTGTAAACATAAATGTCATATACAAGGATGAGAACTTGAGTCGTTGTGGAGAGCAGATCTACTCGCACGTGCTCAAACTATGTAGAAAGGATGGTTGATTGCCGTCTACACAAGGTTGGTGGCCGACATATTAATGGACCAATAGCATTGTGCGTTGGTATTGAAGTGTTGCTATCTGGTATCTGATAGCCTATGAGAGCTGTGATTTAAGTAGGCACTGCCTAACCCGGGTGGCTCGCTTAAAAAAGGGGGAACAATTTCATCTCACTAGTGCACTTACACTCAACTTTATACCTTTTCAGAAATCCAGTATCCAGAAGCCCGCCCTCTTTCACCACGGCTTTGAGGTCCCGTCGTAGTACATGAACTTGCCCGACGTGTCCTCTCTGTTTGCAGCATCGATCACCTTGATCATTCCCGAGACGCTGACATCGACCTCGACCTCGGCCTTCTCCAAACCTAAAGTTTGAGCTCCAGTGTTTCCCATGTCAGTTTGGACCCAGCTGTGTCCAGTCAGCGTGCGAGCCATCGATTGCGAAATATACTTACCCAGGATCTAATGGGAAAGCAGTCAATGTGGGGTTCTCGAAATGAGTTTTGAGAGTGATATAATTCAGCGCCACCTTCGATGTCCCGTAGACAGAGTTTGGGAAGTTGCGGATTGCCATCTCGCTCAGGCTAGCCGCTGAAGTTCCGAGCGTTACGAACTTTGGCTCCTTAGCTGCCAGAAGCAGTTGGCGTACGGCCTTGAAGAGTAGAATGACGCCAAAGACGTTGACCTGAAGGTGCTCAAGCAGGTTGGAGATTTCGACTTCGTGAACCTGTGGGAAGACTTGGGAGATGCCCGCATTCGCAATAACGATATCCAAAGCGGTAATCCCTTGGCTCTTGATATCCTCGATAGCTGTAGTAGGGTCGGTTTCGGAGACGCTATCGATTTTAACAACAATCAACGAGCTGCCTTCGCCAGTGGGAAGTGCTTTCAGCGCACTTGCTGTGCTAGGGTTGCGCATAGCACCGATGACAATGTGGTTGGGGCGCGCGAGGAATCTTTCTGCGAGGCCGTAGCCCAGACCTGCTCCACAAGTTAGGACCATGTGTGTCATTTCATCGGCATTTGCGCACCTCGACTTGCACCAGTAATGAGAACAGTGGTTTTTGTAGCCATGATTACAACTTTTGTCCCTTAAAAACCAATCGCACGAGGTATGAAAAACGTGCCGGAGTACCTGGGTACTCTAAGAGCTTGGTAGGTTCATTACTGCTTATAAATAAGGAAAGCGTTATCTTACAAATCAGAATTCTTCGGGTTTAAGCTATAGAGCACCGAAAATATTGTATAAGCCCGCGATTGTGCAAAAGATAAATTATAAACAAATGCTCGGAATCCACTCACAAGTGTGAGCGTGAGTATTGTGTCTAAGATTAAGCACAGAAGTACACCATCATTCAATCTAATCTACCAAGATTTTCCAACGTCGTTTGACTGAGATCTGTGATGACTTCCTGCAACCGGCCATCGCCTAGCAGCACTACAGCATCTCGTCCGGGTTTTGTATGCTTTGCCAACACCTCAATCCGATGAGCAACGCATATGACAGTATGGCCCTTTTGAGTGAATTCATCGTCGATAATGCCATGTATAATCGATTCTGTGGTAGGATCTAGGGAAGAAGTAACTTCATCTAACAGTACGACTGGCTTTCGGCTAAAGCTCTGAGCCGTCTGGGCTTTAACGAGTGCTCTGCAAAGTGCAAATAGTTGCCCTTGTCCTACAGACAGCTCTGAAAACATGGAAAGCTTCTCGTCTAAAATATTATGTTGGCTTTCAATAGCGAACCCTGACTCTGTATTTGACCATTCCTCCACTTCAGCTGTACCCCGAAGCAAGTGTGACCAGAGGTTTGTTCTTTGCAGTATGGCAATTAAGCTCTCATTGGAAAGTATGGTGTCTGGGTCCAAGTTAAATCTTAAAGTCTCGTTGGCCAAAAGCAGTGGATCTTGGGAAACTGTGATAAAGCATCGTTGTCGTAAAACATCGAGCCTGACCTCCTTGATGTCGATACCGTCTATTATAATATGACCGTGTTGCAAGTCGAGCAGCCGTAGAAGAGTTAGGAGGAGGGTACTTTTCCCACTTTGTGTGACGTCAGATTTCCGAAAGGAAAATGAAAAACGAGCGAGTATGAGAAGACTGACCTGCCTGTACGGCCGCAGACAATGATCTTTTGACCGGATGAGATAGTCAAACTTAGGTTCCGAAGAGCGATTGAGTCTGATCTGAAGATTGAACTTATTAGCTAACAGTCAAAACTACGGTCCTTGGATGCACCTACACATAGGACGCGGTGATATCCTTAAATTCAATTTTCCCCTTAGAAGGCCAAGATTCCGCGGGATCCAGGAACGAGCCCTCGCCACCCTCAAGGGGTGTTGTCTTTTCAAGTGTCTTCAGGCGAGCGATTGCTCCGAGAGAGATCTCGAGCGTTGTCCAGTTCTCAACGAGTTTCAGCAGCGTGGTGTTGGCTACGAGCATAATATTAAGTGCGATTCCAACTTGGGTACCACTCACACGATCACGATATACTATTGCTATGATAACAACCCCAGTCGCAATGGCCGCCGCTAAGAAATCTAGGACGATATTAAGCCATCTTTGAAGACATAAGAGGAGATATTCTGGTCGTTGGGCGTTGTCCACACTCGTGATATTATCCTCTTTAACCGCATTTGACCAGCCAAATGCGCGGATTGTTTCGAGGCCCTCGATCTGGAATTATTAGATTGAGGTAAAGTTCAGTTCTTGCAGTTTATACATACCGTTTCTAAATAACTTGAGAAGACTCCGGCACGAGCTTCTAGCTCTAAAAAACGAAGCTGTCTAGAAGTTCGTAGATAGACCTTCTGAACAATATAAACTACAATCATACATGCTGGAACGCACACCGCAAGCCATTTCTGGGCTGTGAATAGAACTATGATTTGCATAGAGAGCTTACAGATCTCTGCGCCGGTTAGAATTTCTGACATAGTCTTAAAAAAGAAAGTTCAATGCTTACGGGTTACAATAGTCTGCAGTGCTGATGGTAATTGCTTATCAATCAGCTGAATGTCCTGACTAAATCTTCAAACTCTTAGTCCTCATCAAAATCGTCTGAAAAGAAAACTTTTACCTATTCAAGGTCGACCCATCGCTAGTTTGAGAGAAATAGGACAAAGGTGCTCTAGTGAGTTATTAGTTTCTATCAAATATTCCCAGTACCTTCGTATGGTATCGAAACAAAATGACTAACTTCGTTATTACATTTAGAAGCCGTTCATGTAAGCGCGACCCAGATTGGGGAGCTAAGCGTATAACCACAATCCTAGTAAATTTTTAGCGACGTTGTATATCTGAGATGAACAAGCAACTTACCACATCTGAGTACTTGTAGAGATCCACGACATGAATGATAGAAATAGGAATCCACTGATATAAAAGCCAGTATTGCTACCACTCGATTCGGTCCACAACTGTAGCCAGTACTGGGGTATGGTGATGAAGAAGGAGTATGACGCTGTGCAAATGAAAAGGAGAAGAAAGTTCTTCGAGCCGACAAATTTCAAGTAATAACCTGCACTCACATTAGTAAGTCCTTGGGCTTGCGTATATAGAGTATGTTACCATACAAAGCGGAGTCTCCGCTCTGTCTTGCAAGATCTATTTCAGCCTCATCTTTGGCTCGAACCAGCTTTTCAAATGTTGCCGAAGTTGTAGCGTTATCTTTGAGGTAATTTTTCGACGCGAATTTGGCTATAGATTCAGCCTTGACTTTTATACTGTGCCAGTTCCCCTGATCTATTATCCCATGATTCCCTAAAACGACCACGTGATCTGCAAATTGAAAGTATTGAGCTATTCATTAGTTAGACATGATGTTGAAGGACTCACATGAACTTACACGAATTTGAAACGAGAATAGTAGTGGTCTTCAACTGCCGCACAAGACCAGCCGGTCCGAACAAGTTATCGAATACAGTTCGCTCCGTGTCACCATCCAACCCGCTGAAGGTGTCATCTAGTAGAAGAATTTTACATCTCGCAAACAACGCACGCGCGAGTGTCTGCCAAAGTCAGCAAGTTTCTCTGCGGTTACAGGGCACATACCACACGCTGTCGTTGGCCTCCAGATAAATTGAGACCCCTACTCCCAATCTGTGTTTGATCCCCATCGGCTAATGAGTCGAAATCATGAGTGAGGCAACATACTTTTATCACGGTCCTGTACCAGGCTTCAAGATCATGAGTGACGGCATCGTCGATGTCTGAAGCACCAAAAATAGCTCCTTTGATGGTGCCGCTAGGTAGCCACGGTTTCTGGGCACAGTACGCTATCTGTCTTGTTGTAAGAGCAACGGACCCACTAACATGAACCACTTCCCCAATTAAAGCGCGCAATAAAGTCGATTTACCGCTACCCGTTGGGCCCGATATTATAGTGAGCGAGTTGGAAGGTACTTCAAGGTTGATGTTGTTCAAAATTCCTTCCTTATGACCAATTCTCAATTGCCGGATTTGAAGGGCAGGTCCGGGTATTGAACGATTCCCAGATGACGGATCCCAAGCCAGCTTGCTTGTAGTGGACTTGGGTAATGAGCCACGATTATCTTGTAGAGATGGGCGAATCAGAAAAGATTGGATTCTCTCAAATCCCGCAAAAGCTCCTACTGCGCGGGGCACAATTGTCATGACCATGTTTGCTGGGTTGGTCACCATACTTAGAATTGCTACGGTTGTGAACGCAGTCTCTGTATCGAGATCGACACCATGAGCCTGTGATATCATAGCAAATATAGCTAACGTGACAGCTGGAGAAAATATTCCGAGCGCATTCGCTATACTATTATCAGTCGAAAAATACAATGTCAAGTTCAGATACGGTGCATAACATACCAGATGCATTATAGTATACCATAACCCAGCGGAGCTTCGAAGCTACCCAAATCTCCTCTCTTCGAAGATACTGTACCCGGTGGGTAAGGCTCTCTTGCAAACCAAGCATCTTGACGACTTTCATGGCACTTATGAAAGCGCTAGTGGCTGCTATGCGACTCTGTGTTGCGCTATTCCATGCCTTTTGGCGAGGCTGTAAATGCTGGGCCACAAATCGACTCATGTGTGAACATACTGTATTATTTGAGTATCGATTTGGATGTGTCGGGTTCAACACTAACAGTAAATGAGAAATAGCGGAAGAGGCCAGATCCAACCGACTTCAAGAGCCAGGAGTCGAATCCCTACAAGAACTTCAATAACTTGAGCCCATGTTTCATGTACTATTTCTCCAATTCCATCTAGGCTATCAGCATCCGTGCTCATTAATGTAATCGCTTCCCCATTGTCATAAGCGATACTGGGCGACTCCATAATTTTCGTATAAATAATTCCAACCAGGGCACTCTTGGTGACAAGCTTCAATCTGTTGATACAATTTTGGTATATCGCGGTTGATAACTGAAATCTGCGAGTCAGCTGGTGACAAAGCAAAGAAGGGAAACATCTCTCACAGCAAGACCGACATAAATACCTATGGCGGACACAATCAGCCAATAACCACGATGGTTTTCTGGCCCCGAAGAGTCTGCAACAACATAACGAATGGATTCTTTGATCAGGATAGGTTGAGAATAGCGAAAGAAGATCGAAAAGATTCGGGGTATGACGGCAGCTAAGAACGCTCTTCGCACACATCTGAACAAGGCAACAGGCAACGATTTCTTCGTCTCGGGTTTGGCTGTGGTGGTCAGTGGCAGGAAATCAATGATAGAGGCTTTGACTAACCTCGCCGAGACCATGTTTGAATCATTGCATTTCTTGTGAATTCGGGCTTCATGTCTCGACTCAAAGCTGGCAAATCTTGATCGACGAGGAGCCTCTTGTAGCCTTGAAGCAGGATGGGATTTATCCACGTATATAATAGCCTACCAAACATGCTGTGCAATTCTTCGGGTGATTGAGAATTGCTAGACATGCCAAATAAATAGTTTTTCTTGCAACATTCAAGTAGTAAAAGTATACAATGTATAAGCCCTCGAGCAAAGACTGGGTGCGAGGCTTGAAATCCTGACGGCATGGTAAGTAGAATCGTATCACAAATTAGAGATACAGAAAGATATATAACAGCAGGATCCGACGGCTTTGGGGATCGTTGTTGCTCAAGCACTAAAAGAAGACTCAGACCAAACGCAGCAACTGACGAAGCGAGCAGAGATGTGACGAATATGAAGTCATGCTGTACGAGTAGAGGTGCAATGTATTTTAACAAGAAGAAGAACAACAAGATTCCAAGTGCCTGTAGTTATTATTAACACTGTATGTGAATGTTTGCAGATCTTGGGAGACAAATACTGACCGCCTTTGAACGTCCTTGCCAGCTTAGTACGTTGTTCATCCGAGAAACGCGTAGTTGTCTGATCCTGATAGGCAGGTACAACATAAATGCAGCAGCGCATACTGCTGATATAATATGGACAATGTCTGAAGGTTCCCAGACGACATATCCTTGCGAGATAGAATTGGCATGAGACGCCTTGTCATGCTTCGGAAATGGATTCATGATAAATAGGCATAAAAGATCCCGTGAGCAAGAATTCGGTCCACTGAGTCTTCTTACCAAAGAAGGTCAGAGCCAAGAACAAAACTTTACCAATATTTGAGCGCGTCACACAAGCTCTCCTGCCGTAGAGAGTCTTGGTGGTATCAAACGGTAAGTGTCACCTTCATGTTAAATCGAACAACTGGTGGAAGATTACATACCTACAAAATTGGCTAATTCATATCAAGCGATGTTTCCCACATTATTTCAGAGCTCCCCTTGCACCCGAGCTTTCTCGGAAAGATAGACCCGCGAGACTGCGACCTTCGCTTTGCCTTTGGGGTCGTAAGAACCAGTAAACCTACATGATATTCATACAATCTATGGGGTTCCAACAGAGCTAACATGGTCGTTCAAGGATAAACAACCAATAGAAGTACCCTGCATAGGTAAATCCCCGGAGGGAAACAAGCTTCTCAAAAAATAAGTGGAATGGCCCGAGGAGGATTTTTTGGCAGAAAAGTAGTCAGAGTGCCAGGTAAGTGTCGCCTATGAGGCTCCTACGAGTAAATCTGTAGAAGATACTAGTAAGCGCGCTTGTTTGACCTCCCGTGTGAGAATACATCAGTAGGTATGTTGAAATCTGCCCACCAGGCAAGCTGTAAACATTCTGGAAGATTACAAGTTACTCCGTACGCGCTTTAGTGACAAAGAGAAGCACTATAACCACTAAGGCGTCAGCATTGTAGAGAGATCTTAGACGTCGAAGCGGAATCTCTCCTTGACGTGGTATAAAGTTGTAAAATCGGTCAAGGTGCAACTGCCGTCGTGAGATTTAGGTACGATTGAGCTTGGTCCACAAGACACGTGACCGAAAATTACCCAAAGGGGTCGAGAGTCGAAATAACACTGGGCCCAAAGTTCATTGGTCTCTTTACTATACTAAGTCATCTGTTAAACAACAGGACGATTGTGAAAGAAATCCGTATTAATGTATAGTAGAACGATCAAAGAAGTTCGAGTACACGACAAGCATGCTGTTGCTAGATAATTACCTCGAACTCGAAGCGAGCACTAAAGATAGGCCCATTGTTTCAGATCGCCGCGTCACCGTTTACAGATTTTCAGACGATATGCAATGCTCCGGCATAGCCTGTATGACCGGATGATCATGAGAAGTCTATAGAAGACGAATAGATTCGAGAGAAAATCGATGGGTAAGAACAAGACATATACACGTACGCCTTAAAACAGCAAATGAACTCAACGAAATTGACGCCATCCACACATCCCTCACCCTCGCTTACGACAACAGGACATTTCCCGAACACGCCATACTCACTCATATCCACCCTCTAACCCAAGTATCCACGTACCAGAAACAATCGAGAAACACCAAGACTTTCCTCATCTCATCGCGAGCTTGTTCAGATGGCAGTTGGTGGCCAATGCACGGGATATGTGGAGCAGTATCAGATCTGATGCGACAAACGTTGTTGCAACGACGTGGGTTTGTGGAGAACATGAGGTGAGGTGTTGTGGACGGAATCGCTGGCCTTGAGAAGGTGAAGTACTGGTTTGAATATCTTCTGCTTCTTTCTTTCTATCGTTCTCTTTCTTCATCTCATCTTTACTTTCTATCAGCAGGTCTGCTTCTGTTCTTGGTTTTTATTCATTCTTTTCTTGTATTAACTTATTTTCAATCGTCTTACTTATACAAATCAAATCAACACTATGCCTTCCTTCAAAGCCCTATTTCTCGGTCTCGCCGTCCCACTTGCAATTCAAGCTCAAGGTGTAATCCTCAGCGCCAAAGGCGACTCTGGAGTCAGCAAAGGCCTCCAAGGTTCGTACATATCCCAACCCCAACAAACATCACGAACTAATCATTTTGCAGTCGACCCCAACGACCCAACCGACGCAAACTTCATCTCCCTCGCCGAAGTAACCGCCAATGTAGTCAACGAATGCGGCCGCACCCTCCAAGGAGGCAACATCGACATCGGCGAGAACGTCGAAAACGCCCTCGTAGCCAACGAAGTAACATCCGTCAAAAAGGGTAGCGACGTCCTCGTCACCATTCGTCAGGACAACGCCAACGGAACCGGTCCTTTCACCTGTGACATGGATCAGACCGAGAACTCCCTCGGAGCAGGCCAAACGCCATTGACAGTCAAAGAAGGCGCCGCCGGGTCCGGAACCGGGAACTTAACTCTCACGGTCACGATGCCTGCCGATATGGCTTGTATAGGAGGTACTTCCCCCCTTCCCTAATTCAAAGAATTGCGACTAACACACCACAGCATCAACAGGAAACATCTGCGCCGTCCGCTGCCGCAACGCCCAAAACTTCGGCGGCTGTTTCCCCGTGCAACAAACCGACACCGTCGCCTCCAAGAACTCGCCCGAGCAGATCGCGACCACGCAGACGCTCGACGGCATCAACAAGCAGGTTGCGCAGAATGTGAAGGATCTGCCTGCGGCGGTGTCGGCGATCGAGGGCGCGAGTCTGGAGGGCCAGGGAAAGGCGCTCGCGGAGGAGATTTTGGCGGCGGATCCGGTGGTTGAGAGTGCGGTTGTTAGTTCGGCGGCTGCGACGGCGACGGCGGGTGCGAAGAAGGGGAATGGAAACGCGAATGCGAATGCGGGTGGGAATGGGAATGGGAGGGCGACTGGGGGGAATGGAAATGGGAATGGGAGGGGAGGAAGGAATGGGAATAAGCGAGCTGAGGCGGGACTGAGATGGGCGAAGAGGGATGTGTAGATCTGTGGGTTTGGTGAGGAAGTTTAGTTAAGATTTACATGACTTAGAGGACTTGCTTGTCTCATGATGATCTCTGTGAACGTGGCGCTCCCTTTTGGTTTCTGATTACTGTTTGTTGTTCCCACCTGTTTAGTTCGTTTTGGCATGAGTGGTGATAATGTCGAAGTGGCGAGAAGTAAACTGACTCAATGTGAAAAAGAAGCTAGACGCCCATAACTTGATAGAATATTGGGCCACGAAGGGGAAAGGGAAAAGATTGTCGCAGCTCCCCTCTACATTATAAATCAAGAACACATAGTCAAGGACTTACAATCAAGAGGTAGGCTGTCAGTAGGTCATCCGATCTAGGAGCAAAGTTTACGTGCTCCTCTAGCAGTGATTAAAATGAAATTACTACTAATTTAGTAATATCAGTTGAATGGTAAACGAGACGATATTTCATAACGTAATATATTTAATGGTATATATGTATCTAACGTATCTTTATGCATCATCACTCAATCATCTTCATCATAACCTCATATCCAATTTACCAATTTCAAAAACGCCACCATATGCATCCATATCCCCATCCCTCATATACAGCCCATCATATTCACAATCTCCCTCAACTCCATCCCTCTTCATATCGACATCAACAATTTAACTGCCATTCAACCCCGCAAACGGCCTACGAAAAGCATCCGCGCCCAACCACCCACCCTTCTTCTCCTCCCCAGCCGCCGCACTACTAAACAACGGATCGTATTTCTCCTCCCGGACCTTCGACATCAGAACCTGACTATTCCAGGCCTGCCAATCGTAGAGACCGGCTTCGGGCTTGAAGATGTCGTCGTAAGGTAGTTCCGCCATGGCGCCCATGAAGGTCTGGAAGGGCTGAGGCGCGGTGGTGGAGGTTGGGGTGGGGAGAGGGGACCAGGAGGGCGTGGGATACTCGTGGTGGGAAGAGGAGGGGGAGAGCATGGGGGAGGACGCCGAGGATGAGAGGCTGGAGATGGAGGTTGAGGAGTGAGAGGTTGAGAGGGTGGGTTCGTTGTGGAGGGATGGCCAGGTTGTGTCTTCGTAGAGGGCGTCGAAGGAGGAGAGTTCTGCTGGGGATGAGGTTTCGATGTGCGTCTGTTCGAGTAGTGGGTGGCTGGTGGTTATGGAAAGCCAGTCTGGCTCCTGGAGCTCGGTTTTGAGGGCTGGTTCTCGACGGCTGAAGCTTGGGATGTGAGGTTGAGCGGAAATCATGTCTGAAGATACCACCGAGGATGTTCGAGTCATTGGTGAGCTTGACTCTTCGTTACTACCTGCGGAACTGGCTTTTGAAAGCTTGCGCTCTGTTCGAGTGATTTGGCGTCTCTTAGCTCCGTCGGTCGTGTATGAAGGTCGTCTCGAGTTAACAATCTTGCCGGTTTCGTCTCTCCAAAGTCGTTTGCGAGTGGCAAGAACACCGAGTCCCTCACCGCCAGCCTCGTCATCCTTTTCCTTGTGTCGAGCCATATGTCTGTCTATTGCAATTGTTAGGCCATGTAATTGCAAAATCACCAATAAACTCCGGATATTGAGTTTTTTCCAACTTCATATTGACATACCAAGCAGATCACGTCTTCTGAAATGGGCACTACATCTCATGCAGGTATTATTTCCATCCTTGTGATTCAACGCGTGACGGTGTAAATGCTCAGACCGGGAGAAAGATTTACCGCAATTGGGAAAATTGCAGCCGAACTTCTTTTTCGTGACATTGTCCGCCGAGCATTTTGAATTGGACGTCGAAGCAGATGAAATGGAGTATGAGCGAGTAGTAGCTGGCGCCATGTTTTTGATTGAGCGAGAGTAACAATTACTTTCCTGTGAGAAATGTCGTAGCTAATGAAATCAAGCTAAGAAGCTGCGGGTGAGGCGTGCAGGATCAAGATGAGTTCAAATTCACCAGAAGTTTGTGAATCAAAGAGGGGTCCGAAGGAACCTGGAGGGGAAGTTCAGTATATGTAACATTGAACGATCCGTGGACCGTAGCGGAAAGATTTCCATTTATTTGACTTTATGGAGCACCCTCTGTGCAGGAAACGACCCACGACCGATGATCGGGCATGCTCAACCGCGTCGGGGTGCCAAATCAGGTTGGGCGTCTAAGAAAGCGTGCATCTTCATGAAGGGAAGAGAGCTTCGATGGAGCACCACTACTGTCGGCAAGGGCGCTGTGCTCCGTCGAAGGCGTTAAGTAGCAGCCAGGAGTAGCGCTCCAGTCCTGTCAACTTTCATACCACTGGCCAGGAAACTGCTTGTATGTCACGATTAGCTCGGCCGCGGTGGATATCTCTCAATCTACCCTCTTCTCCGCCTGTTCGACTGCAAACCCCTGCTTCGCGGAGCAACGATTTGGAGAAACCCTTGAGCATCACCAGCATCTGTACGCTCAATGGCGTAGTAGAGCAGGCGTGCTTGACACATTTCCGCCTCGACGACGTATCACTGGCATCGCAGGGTGGGTGAGCGCGAGGCATCCCACGCCTTCCCTACTGCAAGAGCGCAAGTTCTGCAAGCCGGTCGAGCAAGCTCTCCATGGACACAACATGTCAACACCGCTTCAACGGCGACAATTGCGCGATCAATTTGTCCCGTTTCGGCAAGTCCACCAGCCCCTCGCCTGCGCTCGCCTCCCCAAGGTCGTTCGTAACGTATCATTGGCCCTCCTTTCTCGCCTAGATTTAAGAGTGTCAGGGTCGTTTGTCGTTGGGATCAACCATCGGCTGGTGCTCGCTCGAGTGTGTCCTCTCCCCACAACTTCGTGAGCATTTCCTCCATACAGAAGCGCGAATTGGGGAATTGAATTACCCCTCTACCCCTCCATGGTGGGGCTGCTCAGCGCCAGGCGGCGAGATTGGGGACACTTGCTGGGCCCGATGGCTGCAAAGGTCAATAAACTACGCCTCTGCAGCGCTTGCCCGAAGAAACGGCGAAATGGCAGGCGGGGTGATGGCCGTGTGAGAGTCCAATATCTTATCGCGCGTGAAATGCAAGTGCTTATCGCGTTGTTCTTGCAGGGTCGACGGAGTATTTTGGACTGCTTGGAAATCAAAATAATTGAAAGATGACGACAGATATTGAGGCTTGCCAGCCACAAAATATAGAAAAGGAAACTCAAGTACAAGTATCTTGAGGTATGACGATGACTGTTCCGCTGAGAGATGTCAAAACGATACTGTGACACCTTCGGACCGTTTAGACGGCAATGAACTCATTGCCGTGAGAAACAGATCTCAATACAAAGTACAAAGCCGTGCCACCACACCATCGGCCAAAGGCCCGTCGGCCTCAATGTACCAGTAGTCTCCTGCGAACCATGTATCATATCCAGAGTCAACAGCACTTGTACTGTATAATTCCTCTCCGTCAGTCACTACAAGGTACACTTTACAAATAGAGGGGTAGACCCTCCACCATCGAGCTTATGCAGATGCGGCTATCGTAGGCCCATAGCTGCCTCGGTGAGACTCAATTGCTGATAGGCACGGCTCGAACGATTCAGACGAATGACGGTTCCTTGCGGAATTGAGATACGGAATTCATTATCAATGGTATGGAGAAATGCAATCCTCGATATCTATCGGTGTGACTCTTTTTTACAATAAAAATATTATTGTTGATTATTGTCCTTGCCGTGAACAATGCGAACTCCGCAGACCGGCTAGCTGGGTTCCCCTACACACTTACACGGCCCCGCGGCAACAGTGATACGGTCTTCGCACGCAATTCTGGGGCTGGTAGCACAATAATACTGGAGAAGTACTTTCTCCACGCCAGCAATAAGCGCAAGAATACAACTGGCTGTAAATAATAATGTGAAGGAAACAAAATAATAACAGAATTGAAATGGTACGATTCAGCACCAAGAAGGTCTCGCTGAGCGGCTGGGAAAAGATCGGCGTTTGGCAACTTTGCCGATTGCGGTCTGGATGACAATGGATTCATGGAATCAGCTTCCGAGTCAGGAATCGTGGATGAAAGGGTTTCATATGACTCTATCGAGCCGGTTTGTTTCCAGCCATTTAATAGTAATTGGTGTATGTCGATGCAACTGGCGAAGGACATGTAAGAGCCTTGGTGTTTAACAACAATAGTTGGACGATCTTCAGGATTGTCGATAAAGGTATAGTCCTCCATCTCATCAACAAGGGGTACTTTCCGAAGATCAACAATCGATATGCGCAAAGCTGGGTGGCAAGCTGTAACTCTTCTTATCGGGTAGATGGCCCGATTCCCTATTTTTCTCGAAACAATCTTACCCCGATGCCCGTTGGGTCTTACTCCGATATCCGAATATCTTGGGCGACGTTACGTTGTATGGATGCATGCATGCGAAAATGCCCCGATACCGGTATACGAAGTAGGTGTCTGGTTTCCTTCACGGAGTGAGGGCCTCTTGTCAATCCAGATCAACCTAAGTGGTATGCATCATGTGATCAGTATCCTTCTCGTTGTGCTGGCCTGGTCGCGAAGTATATTCCAGAGCCGTGATCGTACATTCTGTATAGCAATAGCTAGGGTAGCAAAGTAGCTAAAGCATGGCGAAAGCCTAGGAAAAGAATGCAAGAAAGTCCCTGAAAAAAGATGGGCGCGATGGACGACTTATATAAACTCTCGGCTAGCATTTACTCGACATAGATGGGATGATGTCTTGTATAGGCTACGCGTTATTGGGCTCGAGCTCGAGCAAGATCCGAGTGGACGCTGCGACTGCTCCGCGGCGCGATTGACACTATCCCACTTAACATCTGACAACCTCTTGGGTTCAGAGTTTAATTCAACGACAGCTTCGGCAAACCGAGATGAGCGGGTGTCAATATGACAGCCTCTGCTCATAGGTAGCATTGTGGAGTGTCCTGGTTGTACAGGTCCGTTGGTGTCTTAGAACAGAACGAGATCGTCCATAGAAGCATGCTACAGAGAACATAGAAATCCTAGAATGACTTGACAGAGCCCAGTAGAGCTTTGGGCCAGAATGTCCTCAACAAACGAGTGAATGACAGGAACAAAGTGATCAAGTCGAAACGTCCCGTCTGCTCTTGCCTCAACATGGCTCGGAGAAGCGAGGAAGGAACAACATCAACAAATGCTTGCATTTTGGGAGGATGCGCAGTCGCAGGCTACCAACGACCTAAAAGAAGTACAGTAGACAGCGTATAATAATATAGCTAGCGTCAACTGACGTCGATTGATGATCATGTAGCTGGAAATCCTTCGATGTGGATGATAGCTGCAAATACATACCTCGACACTCGTCGAAAGGCTATATCGCGTCAAATACGCTGTAAAAGCAAATCGAAAAAGCTGTAAAATATAGAAAATATGTAAAGCAGACTAAGCTCGTTTTGTACTTGTTCAAGACACAGAAATGCGAGCCACTTCGTTTGCAAAAAATATAGAATTGAGCAAGGGAGCACACCATGTTGATGTACACTTGCTGGATCAGTTCCGAGAACAACAAAACTCAAAATCTTCGGCTCAGATTTTCGGGATGTGTCACTTACTGTTGTTTCAATCTTGATAATCAAGATGCTGTATATTGGTGTTTTATCAAATTGTTGTTCGGTAACGGAGAACGCGACGAGTGATGGATATTTTGTCCCATAATCCCCGTCAATGTAATTGGTCAGGAGTACTTAGCCACGTGATCAAATTTGTGTCAACTTCAAAGAAAGTTATCCCCAAAGTAATCACCACTTGCTTGCGACATACTTTTATGATACTCAACAATCAGGACATTGAATTGAGCCCGATCTCTTATTGCACTTATGTCCAACGTCATCTGACTGGTCGGATGAAGAGACATCCTTTTGTATAAGGTTACCGGAGTTGAGGAAAATTCATAAAAAGCTTCAATATCAGCGGAACGAACGACAGAATTGAATCGAGATCGCCCATCTCGTGTTCCTGGAAACAAAATTACGATCCATCTGCCACGGTTTACGGCGACCAGCTCTCAAGACATTCGTCCAAGGTATACAAGCTAGCTAAGACTATGGTGCTTGATTTTCAAGGTCTCCAGCCCCGAGAAGAAGACATATTAAAGTGTCTTGATGTTGCTCTAGTCAAAGACTTAATCTTGCCCAAACTCAGAATTCACGCCATGAGACGGGTGTTCCTAGACGGCCTGTTTCTTTGGACTGCACCTCCGCGAAGATAAGACTCTACCATTTAAATGGCTTTAACTATTACTAGTGGTTCGCTACTACATCGAATATCATAGAGATAATTTAGCAACGATATGATGTCAGTTTTGTTGTAACTTCTGATACGACAAGGAGATTGGCACTGGAGATATCTCTTCCGGCGCTTCACACAAATCGGTAGCTTACGCTGACCTTTTTAGACGATTTTAATAATAGATATCGGTGCTCATTCTATGAAAGCTCTATCCAACTTGGCTCTTACTACTGGCTATATATGCAACTGCATTGCAGTGGCACACGACGAACCATCACGAACGCACCGAGTATCCGGGAACTCTTTCTATTCTCTGCAGCAAAAGCGTTGTCCCTTGTGGTAATCATCGAGTCAAGGAGTAAGATCGCTTGTATCACACCCTAGCTAATAATAGTGCGAGCTGGTGAGGTCAAGCGATGAAACCAGCTCTTATCATCTTGTGACTGTTTTCACTGTTCAGGACGACACTAATTTATGCAGAATGACAATACCGCTGAATTTAATATAGCATAACTTCAATATTATACGCTTAGTATTCGAAATTGGGTAGTCAATTGCTTCGAATAGGGTTCTAAACATTTGCAAATGTCGCCAATATCGAAACTATTCACACAAACATGTATAAAAAGCTGCATCATTACTCCGTACGAGCTGCAATGAGTATACGTAAGGACAGCCTAACAAACCCGGAAAACTGCTGCAATATTCGAATGTCATCTGAAAACGACCGTCACTTTAAAGACTTAGAAACACCTCGACCGAAGTCCAGATGAGCTGGGGTTCCCGATTTGGACGACTTGTGGGGCGCTGCATAAACCGTGCCGTCGGATCTTTCCACTCTGAAACCTTCAACACCGACAAAACCGTTCATACAGCTCCCCTGCTTGACAAGAGTGGTCAGAGTGACTTGGACCAACATTTCTACTCAACTGTGATGGTTTGATCTACGTGAAATACCACTAAAGACTCCGCACTGACAATGCAAAGTCAGATTCTCACGATTCTGGGCGACACAACAGCATTGTGCCCAGGCAAGAATGTGACTTGTTGTCACGTCCAAGGACTTTACCCAGATGGTAAGGTCTCGTCGTCGAGGTTCCGCTTTCTTCTCTTCTTGCTGCATGTTCTGTCGTATTCTTTGTTTTTGTTTCCTTTTGCTTCCTCTGTTGCTCTGCGAGACATGATGCCTTTTCACTTATAATTTTGTAATAAACCTATCGGAGTCTATCACTTGGACGTCCATGGTTCTTGATTCCTCGCTGGGAGAGGGTCCTCTCCTAATACCTTTGTTTTGCGAAAGCAACATGCAAAAACACCATCAAGATGACCCCGCCAGTGCGTCAACAAGTGGTGGTCCGTCTGCAACAGTTACAGTTATACAACAAGTCACAGTCAAAGACCCAGCAGCTCTTATAACACCAGGCCCAGAGCTTCGACTCGAACTTCTACGACGCGATCCTTTGCCTCAAGATAACAACAACTGTGGTCAGCAAATCCAGCAAGCCTCCCAAAGTGCTTCCGAAGCCGCAAGGCAAGCCTCTCAATCAGCTTCCCAGAGTATTCAACAAGCACAGCAGTCAGCTTCTGAAGCGGCGAGACAAGCATCACAGTCGGCTTCCCAAGGAATACAGCAAGCGCAACAACAAGCGTCTCAATCTATAGCTCAAGCATCAAGAAGTGCGTCGCAAGCTGTGTCGTCCGCCAGTTCTGCCATAGCTAGTGCCCAATCATCGGCGTCCTCCGCTATTTCGAGACTCAATGGATCTATGGACAATCTCAAAGCGAGCGCTTCGTCGGTTCAGGTAAGATGAGATGAGGAGGGGATTCAACATTGTGTAGCCCTTTGACCATCTGGGCTAACAATTTGTAGGATGGAGCATCTGTGGCCGTTTTACAAGCCGGTGCTGCAGTCGCTGCTGCCACTGGTACGTTGAAATGTAACTAGCAGAATAGTTGAACATTTGACTAATATGTCTCAGGATCTGCTGCTGCTGCCGGCTCATCATTCCTTGCAGCGGCTGCAAAAGCAACGCAAGGAGCCGCTTCTTCAGTGGCAGCTGTGGGAGTGAGTCCACTAAGCAAGAATGATCTTGATCATAAAGCTAATTATGTTCTAGGCCGCAGCTGCTTCCACAGTCGAAAATGCTAACAATGACGCATCTGCCTCTCGGATAGCAGCAGTCACCGCAACTCAAGCTGCACTGGCAATTGTAGGAAGTATTATCGCATCTGCGTTGATAACGATCTTGATATATTTTCTGATCATCAGACACCAAAAGAAAGCTAAGAAGAGAAAGCAAGCAAATCGATCGATATCACCAGTATCAGAATATCCATCGGATTCCAAATTTCCTCATTCCGACCAAGTAGGGACCACAATCGCTGCATCTCAGTCAGCATATAACGGAACCAGAGATATACCAGGGACCAGAGATGCGCCAAAGAATGACTCCGAAGTTTCTCTCTCGGATTTCCCAGCAACACCCTCAGGACTTGGGCCTTCTGACTTCAACAAACTCAAGTCAACATCAGTCGCATGGAATCCGTCCAATCCACCTCAAGCGCCGAAATTGGGACAATGGTTAAAGGTGCAAGATCCAACAGTATCGCCCTTCGGATCTATTCGTTTACCCACTGATACAAAATCCAACATGCCTTTGGGAGGACAACTCAAATCGCCACTTCAAAACTCGTACATCCCACCTCCGTCATCGACATATCGGCCCTCACCTGCCTTTGTTGAAATCGGAAAGGCCAAAGTACAACAAGCCATGGTTCGCTCCGTCACAATCTCCAAAAGCCAATCCCAACGTAAACCACCACCTCCACAACAACTTCCGCCCGCCGAACCATCACCACCTATACCTTCTCCTCCAAAATTCACACCAGACACACCGGTAATAAGCGCCAGCAAATACCCCGGCTATAGAGAAAGCAAAGCCAGCGTTTGGATTGACGATGTCCCCTCCTCGGGCATCCCAACCCCCAAAAGCCCAATACGAGAAACCCGTCCAGCGACAGAAGAAACCTCGCAGATGGAGCTCCCTGCCTCCCAAAATCCAGTGCGCACGACAGCGGAATGGTTAGACTCCATCCGCGACGCCGCTGATCCTCCACCCGCTATCGGATCACGCTCTTCTACGAGAGATATCTCGCAACAGCGGCGCGACTCGCGGAACTCCCGTTTTGGATACAACCGAGGAGGGTCGAACCAGAGACCTGGTTTGGGAGTTGGGATGGGCGGACCTAGGTCTACGAGACCGCCGGTGGGAGTGGTGCCGATGAAGAGTTATAATGGGGAGGTTGGGCATGTTAAGGGATTGAGTCAATTCTTTTCGGGCGATGAGAATGGGTTGGGGAGGATGGGGAGTGATAGTACGGGAGGGACTTTGAATTCGAGTCCGGGGGCTAGTAGGAGGGGGAGTAGACGAGGTGGTGGAGTTGGAAGAGCGATGTGATTTGGGGCAAAGATGATGTAATGGCAGGAATTTAGGTCGATGGAGGTTTTAAGAGGTAGGTGTTGGGGTGTTGTGAGGTTGGATTCGCTTGCGGGTTCTTGTGAATATATACCATACCATACCATACCATATAATTTGAATAGAAAATATATAAAAAGTAAAACCTTACATCGATGTAACGTTGAATGTGAATATCTCTGAGCAAGTGTTTGTTCTTAATCCTAAATTTGCGTTTTCTCTTTCAGTTGTCCCATGTCCACAGTCCAGCTGTCTATTGTAACATGACGCCAACCAACTTCAAAACCCATTGCCCTCAACACCCGTCATACATACCAACCGACTCTCCCTGCCATTTGACTACTCAGGTGAGAGCCGAACCATGGTGCCAGACGTCACAGTACCGTATATACGTAAACCACATGCAACATCCTAGAAGCGAAAGGAGCAATAACCTCATCCTCACACCTTCACAGCAAGTGACCTGCATGAAACCATGCCATCTGATCATATCAAGAGATCACCTGGTAAATATTATCAGCAATCAAGGAATACCGTAAACTCGCTAATGCCCTACCTAGATCAGTGAAGGGAGAGGCACAACATGAAGCGACAAATTGTAAACCACAATCATAAAATTACTCATATATTTCTAAACATTTAAAGAGCGTAATCTAAAGAGGTCTGTTTCCAAAAGAGCGTGATATCCAGGTCCTATACTCCTGAAAATGTGCTGGTACAATAGTAAATGACAGACTATGAGTGATGTAAACTCCATGTAACCGAATTACTGACAACGCCTGAGAGATGGGGTATTATTCGAAAACTCCGGTATGTATGTATGTATGCATTATATCGTTCCCAGCTCGCCCGCGGCCATCATCATGACCAGCAGCTCTTGTATATTTTTGGTGATTTTCTTTATATTGTTTCTGTAATTCGACCGCGATTGTAACCATTGATATCGTCCCCAGGGGTCATCATCGCCAGCGTGGTGGGCACCAATTCCAATTCCAAATCTCATTCATTCCTTTCTTCCTTCTCGCAATCATCGAAAGACGGAAATCTCGAGGCAAATTCGTTGCGGAAGGGCCTACCAAAACCCGCGACACCAACGGCTATCCCCGAATCTTCACTCAGAGGTGTCGGACATCACCATCCTCAGATGTCTCCTTCTCCAGATGCTTGCGCTCTGCGCTCCACTCGGCGTCTTGCTGAATTCTCCGTTGTGCCCACCACGCGAAATCACCGGCGCTGTCCGCACGGCTACGTTTGCGTGTATGTGTGCCATGGCTTGGTAGGTCCTGACGTTTGCTGTGGATCGGGAGGGTGGTGAGGGTGAGGGATAGAGGGAGGGGTTTGTCGAGCGCGAAACGGACGGCGCGCGGTTTGCCGTTAGGTGAGGTTGATAGGGATGATTCTGAGTATTCTGAAGAGCAGCTTGATTGTCTGCTGCGAGGGGTGTCGTCTGAATAGGTTGAGGAAGAACAAGACGAAAAGCCTGAGTTTGTTCTTCGCATACGTCTGAGTTCGTAGTCTCTCTTCTCGTCGAATCCGAATGCTGATTGTATTCCAATGGCGTTCATGTTGTGTGATTGAGGAATGCCTTTATACTTTGTAGCTCTGCTAAACAAGTGGGCGTTTGCAATATGTACTAGTTCTTTGAAAGTGGCTTGGAGATATGAAATGTCTTGCTGGATAATGAGGCTTAACGGTAGGAATCCGAGCTTACCTATATACCTACCGGTGCAGCTCACCCATGACGAAGTAAGAATGATAGTTTGTTTCGTCTTCGGTCTGCTGCTTCTGTAATGCTGGTTACCCGTCGAATGGGGTAAGGCGGTACGGAACAAGCCTTGATGCTCCTGTTGAAGGTTGATGTTGGTGCTGCGGGCGCGGATGCACTGTAGGGGTTCGCGGGCGGCGAGCACAGCCGGCTTTAGCGAGGCGTGCGAAAGGGGCTGAGCGACCAACCCTTGTGATCTTGAGGTCGGGAGATTTTGACAACTTCAACATAAACCTCACAAATTGCCCATCAACTCTATTACTTCGAGGTATCTGGCGATTTTCTTTCTATTTTAAGAACTCTGGCGTGAAATTGTATACCTCTTTGCTATTGCCTGGAAGTGGGTATTCCGATTACTGCCACAAAGCGATGCTCTTGGGTCAGGACGCCCCAACTCCAGCACCAGCACAACCACTTCGGATATTCAACCTTGACCTCATTATCAAAACACCACACGTGGAATCATCACATTCACCCTCTAATGATCCCAAATCCTTCAAAGAACCCTGTCTCTAGTCTTCCAAATGCTTGAACACTAGCGGAAGGAATATTTTCAATCCCGTGGATCATTAGCGAATGATCCCCCACGACGAAGGATTCAAGTGGCCAACTTCGAGTGCCGGTCAGAATGAAATCATTAGCCAAAGTCAATGGAGATTGATCGACATTTCAGTATCATCTGCGGAAGGCATATGCCCGATGATTGAAACAGGCAGAATTTGTTTCTTGTTTTAACGTGGCGAGAACGTAGTGGGTGGGCTATTGCTGATTTGTACGAGGAGGGTTTGTTAGTTGGTTGAACATAACTGGGAGTTAAAATTAGTAAGGTCTCTGGTGTCATCTCTCTGACATAGACTTATGGTCTAGTCCTAGGTCTTGGGCTTTACGATAACCACGAACGTCAATTTGGATCAAGTGCTTCGAGGAGACTTGATATCCGCGCTAGTTCCGGTGGCCAACTCAAGCTATGGAGAAACAACACAACAGTCATTTGATTTTCACTCATCCAGAATTGGTTTCCTTTGTTGATTTCCGACTTTCCTAGACAAAGAGAGACCATTGTCGTAACTGCCAAACCGAAATATCCAAAGACATGTCAGAAGCAAAAGGGAAGCAGTTCTCCTTGAACGCTTCCATTGTACAACACCAACTCACCCGCTTCTGTGGGACATCAACATAGCTCTTTCAGGTTATTTGTGTTGTATAAGACTGGCTACTTGTTGTAGTCTTCCATTTATCCAGAGAAAATCTCGATCTTACTGCCCTTATCACGCAGTGGACAAAAAGTTCCGGATTGTAACATCTGTAAATTTTGGTGTAATTCAACCACCATAAATCGCAAAAATAACTACAAAATACTAGAACGGTCAGAAAACATGGTCAGACAGTAGTCTATTATCTTAGAAATCAGTTTGGAGCGTATAGTTCTTGTCATTGTTGAGGTATCTCATTCACAGCGAGTGTGCAAAGTCTGAACTTTTTTGGTTCGTCCGCGTGCTTGTTTAAATCGCAGCTACTTTACAAAACAACAAAGTCACCGTCTATTGATCACAGTACTGAAATTTAGATTTCCTTTGAATTAGACCAAAGTTCGTACCATTATTACGACAATTCGAGATAAAGAATGCTAACCAACTGTGCTAAATTATATCACACTTTGCAATATTACTTCAAAAGCAAAAATGGTTGTATAAATCAAAAATTGCACGGTACACCACATCCAACGAATGTCACGGTAGACCAAACGCTTCACCATTATTGACAACTGTTTTTGCGATATCAGACACAAAGTCACGTTAATGAGATAAGGTGCTCTTGCAAATCACGTTATCAGACCTCCTTTGGAATACACCTTATGGGACAATGACTTATTATATTGTAAGTAATATAAAACATCAAATATATCCCATTAAAAATCTCACGTTCCATTATCACCTCTCATTTAATCCCATCTTCCTCCCTTTCAGTAAATCCATCAATTCATTACCACCCTCGCATCTCCCATTCCTTCAAAATTAAGATAAGCACCAAACACCGGGTATAATGCAATCATCCAACTCCCCAACCAAGCCCACATCCCACCTCAGCAGTTCCACCCTCACCCCTCATTTCTCAACCTTGAACTGTCCCAAATCCAATTCCAACGCAATAGGACTACCATAACCACCTCTCCACCTACACCTTATTAGCTTCCATCCCTTTCACCCAACAAAAAAGGATAGAACTCACACAGGACGTCCCCGCGCATCAAAAGTCAATCCTGGAATCGTACTCGCGCTTTCTTTTCGCTCTTCCATATCCCCACCCACAATTCCGGCATCCGCACTTATGAGCGCGAAATCCCTGGTGTCACTCCCCTTCCTCTCCACATCGTCATAGTATTTCTCTTTGGTGAAGGTTTTGCGGAGTTGAGTTCTTCTTGACGGTGGTGAAGGGGATGTGGATGAGGTGCTTGAGGAGAAACAATTTCCCATTTTTATTTTGAAGAGAGGGTGTGTTGTAAAAGCCACCGAATGCTTTATGGGGTTGTTGTTGAGGTATGAGTTTTGTGTTGGGTGAGAGGGTTCTGATGAAGGTGATACAAAAGTGCCACACGGAAAGCGAGTTACACAAATCAAACAACAAGGTTTCAATATTCAAGCCTTTTCTCTTTCAAGAAACGGACATCCAAATATCATATACCCTCCTCCCCTCCGACCCATTCTCGTCCCTTCTCTTCCACCCATCTACCATTCTCGCCACCCCACCTCAAAACCTCACATCTCCACTAAACCCAAAAAAAATCCATATCACCGAGAAAAGGACCCTGAAAAACTTTACTAATCGCCCTAATCTATCTCGTAACACCCTAACCACGACTTTCCAACCAATAAAACCTTGCCTATCGAGACCTAAGCCTTAAACTAGCGCCCGGAATCTTACACACCAAATCCCACCAGATCTACACACCAACACACACACCAACAGCCACAGCAACACCGCAAAGTAAGCATTCTGCATGCACGCAACCACGTGAATATGTCATTTGAACATTTCAATACACACCAACTCATCAACCTCCAAAACCCCAATACCCAAAGTCCAAGTATCAAACAAACGCAACCTCCAGATGAAAAAAATGCCTATCTTGCCAACTTCTCGTTGTCAGCCACATAAAAAAATCTTTCATATGAAAGACCCGCAATACCCAGAAAATACGGGTCGTTGGGAAACGGGAACATCCGCTGCTAACCACATGCGTAAAATGCCTATCTTTCAAGATATCTTTCTCCGTATCGTGCCTTTTTCTACGAGGCATTTAATTCAATTTTCAATTTTACATCTTGATTTTGCGGCGGTGAGACGAAAGACTTTCTTTCACTTGAAAATCTAGCCGCGGGAAAAGAGTCGCATCGCCTAGATACTTCGAAGTAATGCTAAATGTTGAAAAGCCAAAGCGTCAAAGAGTCAGAGTAAAAATACTAACATTCGTTCATACACACATACAAATTTCTTAAAATACAAGATTGGATATATACGCTTCCATTCCTGAACCCTCAGACAGACAAACCAATGAATCGCTCGAAATTCTCCCCAGCATGTTCTAGGAAACCGCCCAAGATTGCAAGATTAAAAAGTGCCACGAGTGCCAGCGCCAAGAGAGTACACACAGAAGAGGCTATTCCCCGCTGAAAGATGTTCCGTATTCCCTTTCTTCATATCGTTGAATTTCCAGTAATTTTCCCTCCAAATCAAAATCGTGCTCGTATCTTCATTATTTTCCCATTTTCTTTCGTGAAAGGATTTCACAATTCATCCTTAACTGCCGAGGTAGCAGAACCAACGGCACTGCTCACACTGCTTGCGAAATCCTCGACCCCTGCGCTGGCTTGTTTAACGATATCACTTGCACCCTCTCCCGCAGAGGCGGCAAATGAAGCAAGTTGAGCACGAGCTGACTCTACAGCTGACAATAGTCTCGCTTGAGCGCTTTCCACAGCACCTTTCTCTGGCCCATAGATAGCTTCACTGACCTTTGCTTGGGCAGTAGCATAGGCATCTGCGGCAACTTTGGTAGCGCCTTCGAATGATCCCGTAGCTGTACCATAGATGGCTTCCGAGATGGCCTTTTGCGCAGATGAAGCGGCGTCTGCAATAGAGCTTGAGGCTGCTTCGGCGTATCCGACAGTAGTACCGTAGACCTTTTCGGACGCGACACTTTGCACGGAACTATATGCAGAGGCAGCTGCAGATGATGCTTGTTCAAGCGTACCCTTCTGAGAGCCGTAGAATTGAACGCTAGCTGCCTCGACGACGTCGTTGACACGGGAAGAGGCAGTATCTAAGATGGCTTCGATGGTTGGAGGTGGTGTAAAGACGGAAGTGACTACTGAACTTGCTGATTCATATGCTTCAGATGCATATGAAGATGCAGATGAGACGGCGGCTCCAGCGCCGGTATAATAAGCTGAGCTCAATCTGCCATACACACTCTCAGTGAAAGCAGGTTCTTTACCCACAACCAATTCACTGATGATTGACTGGACGACAAAGTACTGGGACGCAGCGGCCTCAGTGGCCTGAGCTCCGTACTCCTTGGCTTCTGATAAAAGACGTCTACTGACGAAGTACGGAGTTGGTGCTCCATAAATCTGCTCACTGGCCTTGGTGATAAGAGCCTCCCAATTCTCGCTGGCTTTGGAAGCAATTGATTCAGTAAGTGGAGTTTCACTGCCATAGACAGCACTGGATACCTGAGATGCGAGAGATTCTGTGATTGGAGTTTCACTGCCGTAGACAGCGCCCGAGACTTGAGAAGCTCCCCCTTGGACGTTTGCTGCGAGAACAGACGATACACTGGAATAAGAGCTTGATGCAGCGGCCATCGCAGCGCTGTATCTCGACGAAGCCATTGCGGCTAGACTAGCGGTTGGAACAACGTCCTTATTCGCACCACCACCAAGAGATGAAATGGAGGCTAAGAGTGAGCCCAACTGTCCAGAGGCTTCGGCCACAGCATTTGAGTAATATGATTGAGCGGTACTCAGAGGTGCCTCGTAGGCGTAGGTCGCTGTCGATGTAGGCATAACTGCAGACGAAGCTGCTGAAATGAATTCAGTATAGCGGGCGTGAGCCATACCAATTCCTGCATAGTACTGCTCTTGCATTTGTGCTAGTAACTTCTGCTTCTCCAAATCGCCAGTGGTAATTGCAGCGACATATTCTTTGGCCTCCTTGTACCTAGATGAAGCTGCATTGAGCCCTTCTGAGAGACGAGATTGAGCCAAAGCGCTTGCAGATTCTAGTGCTCCGGGAGGAGCACCGTAGATTGCGCTAGATACAGACGAACCAGCCGCTTGCAATCTTGAACTTGCTGCAGCAACGGAATCCGAGTATGCAGCTTCAACAGAGCTGAACATCTGTTCGTGGACAGGTTTTGGCTCTCCAGAGATCTGAGCAGACACGACCAAGCGTGCTTGAGAATATTGAGCAGAAGCTCTGGATAAAGCATTGCTATAAGCGTCACTAGCTCCTGCAGCAATAGACTGAGTAACCGGTGTTGGTGTGCCGTAAATAATTGCGCTGGCACTATAGTAGTTCAAATTAGCAGAGCCCTCCAACATTCGAATCGAAAACTTACGCAGAAACGGCGTCAGCATATCGACTTGCGGCAGCACTGGCCACAACCTCTCCTGTTCCCTTCTCCGCACCATACAAAGCAGTACTGGCTGCAGCTAAAGCACTAGAGTATTTCTGTGCGGCCAGTTCAGTGACTTGGTATCCTGCAGTTGTTGATGGTTTCAAAAGCGCCTCGCTGACGGCTCTTGTGATATCAGCATACTTGTCACCAGCTTCACTTGCCATGCTTTGAACCTTTTCGCTAAAGGTGTCTTCGTCAGAATCATCAATAACATCCTCAAAGACGATTTCTCGAGCCTCAACGTGTTGTGCCATCGCACCGCCCCAAACTTTCTTTGATGCAGTACCGGAGACCGAAGATGCTACCGAGCTTGCAGAACTTGATGCATCTGTGACACTCTTGGAAAGAGAGCTGGCGATGGATGATGTTGCAGAGCTGAGGGAGCTTGAAGCTTTAGAGGCGCCGTCCGAAACCCGGCTACCACCAGCGGAGATTGAAGAGCTTGCAGCGTCTGAAAGACTAGAGGCCGAGCTGGAAACTGCAGAGGCTGCTGACTTTATTCCAGCTGTTGCCTTTTCGGCCATTCCAGGCTCCTCCCCAACAATTGAAGCAGAAGCTTTTGCAGAGAGGCTGCTCGCGCTCTCTGTAGCAATAGACACTATACTCTCTACAGTCCCCTGCTGAGTTCCAATGATAGCGCTAGAAGCATCATTCGCGAGACTGCTAGCGCTTGAGCTAGCAGCCGAAATAACACTCTCGACGGTCCCTTGCTGAGTACCAACAACGGCGCTGGCGGCTGAAATTACACTCTCAACGGTACCTTGAGTCCCAACAATGCTTCCTGAGACTGATGCTGCAATAGAAGAAGCCGAAGACGCGGCATGCGCAGCAGATGCTGTGGCTTTGGACACAATCGACTCGACGGTACCCTGCTTAGATGGTGCTACAGCCTCTTGGGCTTCCGAGATCTTCTGTTTGATGTTCTGGCCAGCCTTCACAGCTGCTGCTGGCATATATTTATGACTCCAATCGTCGCTGGTATCGCCGGCAGACAGCTTCCAGCGCGCAGTCTCCTTGAGGCTGGCGAGTTCCTTGGCAGCTTCCTCGGCAATATCCATTGCTTTCGTCTCGACCTCTTGAGAAGCTGACCGAGCGTATCGGATACCAGAGTGCTCAGTGACAACCCTTTCCACATCACCACGCCAGTGATCAAAATTGCCTTTCAACTTGTGGTATTTTGTCCAATCTTTGTGAGTGATGCCATCGGTCCAGGCCCATCGCATTCCTATTTCTTGTAGACCCATGTCTCTGATGTAATCCAAAATTTCAAATGTATCTGATGCAGCTTGACTGACAAGCGAATTCGTCTCATCGTCAAAGTTCTTTCTCCAAGTTCGTACGGCTTGTGCCCTATCCTTGATTGCGATTCCAGCTTTGCGGACAGCGGTGCTGATCTCTTCCTCTGATTCCTCAATATCCTCATTGTTTTTGATAATCGAAATGACGTTGCTCTTCAGATTCTTCAATGACGACTTAACTGTTTCTTCCAGCTGTATAGTGAGGGCTTTTCCAACTCCCTGAGCTTGCCCTTGAACTAGCTTCTCGGTGACCTCAGTCATCCGCTGCTCTAACTCGTCTGATCCTTCATCTGCTGCTTTAGCAAACTTCTGTTGCCAGGTTTTAAGGTCATTAGCAACAATTTCTTGTGCCTTTGCCCGAATCTCTGCTTCTGATGACGGGGTACTCTGGACGGCCGTTGAGCTCGATGTACTTGTGGTTTCTTCGACGACAGATGATGGGGAAGGAGTCGATTGAACAGATTCTGTTGAGGCAGTGGAAGTTGATGTTGCTTGAGTAGTGGCTGCAACTGAAGTTGTACTAAATGGTGATGATTAGCTCTGTCCAAGAAACGATGGATGATAATATCTTACCTGCCTGCCTCCTCAACCGCGGCTTTGAGCTTTCTGCCATCTCTGTATCTTCCCAGACGCTCGCCAATTCTCACTAATTGTGGCTCAACATTCTCGCCGTACAAGATTCTGATTTGAGGCCAAATAGTACGCTCAAGGAAAACGTAGCCAGTAGTCCAAGCCCACTTCGTGTATGGGAACGCGGTGTTGACTGTGAAATCACTAGCACGGAGATATCCGTCCCGGGCGTATGGTTGGATAGCAGTGTATGTTGGGAGGATATTCCCGTAGTATGTTTGGAGAGCATTGGTCTTGACGATTTCATAGTAAGGAGCCGTTGCTTCGTAGGCCGTGTTGACATGTGGCCCCAGGGTCTGTTCATATTTGCCCTTAGCAATCCCCTGGTATTTTGAGACCTGCGGTTGAATGTTCTTCTCCCATTGTGTCTGGCCAAATGCCTGTGCTTGCGCAACACGTGGAGAACCATACTTCTTCCCAAGATTGATCGCAGGTGTGATAATCTTGTTGTCTGCAGTAGTGTAATATGGCCGGGCGATCTCGACGTATCGTGCCGCGTACGAGTTATAGTATGGTTCGAGATATGGAGTAACAGTGGTTCTTATCTGGAAATATGGCTTGCATATCTTTGGAGATGTATCCGTAAGTTGATCTATTGTTGAAGGACATCGGAAGAGGATAGTAATAATCGAATACCAGGTTAATAATCTGGCTTCGTCAGTCAATAATCTCTACACGACGGCTGCCAAACATACCTAGATACTATGCTGAAGACACCGTATCCGCCAGCCTTTTTCGTCGTCCTCGATGGTGTCAACTTTGGAGATATCGCCTTTCCATTCAACGCATCGCCGTTGATGGCTTTGCCGTTGGCAGCTTTGCCATTGATAGTTTTGCCGTTGGCTTTGTGTCCTGCCTCGGCCGGCCGTCCGTTAGATTTGGCACCCATCTCTACAGCATACAATTCCCAAAGTTTTATTTTTTGATGATTATGTTTGACGTCTCTGGCCCCAGCGGAGGACTTTATGGGATGAAGGAGCTAGGTAGGTAGCTTTGGTGGATCTGACGCTCAAACACAACACGGACCAGTCGAAGGATTCGCGCGGTTGATGTCGAACAAAAAGCACACCGTGTAAACAGAAGCGCAACTCCTGTATAACGGTCGGAGGGTTGAGAGATGAAGATAAATAAAATCAACTCGAGGCTGGAGTCCGGGCTCCAATCAAGCTGTAAATATTGCGTCGATACAAGCTGTGTTCCTTGTCCAGTATTCCTCGATCTGGGTGGAACTGTCACAAGCTTTGACTGGCAGCCCGCGGTTTATTGGTGCAGCGAGCAGGAAACATTAGCGGAGCCAAGCCAAGGAACGTCATCGTACGCGGGAAGAGTGAACACGGCACGCGCCTTGGATAGTGGTATTCGGGACCGATTGCATGTTATTCTCTTATTATTTGTTTTTAAACGTTCACAAAAGATATAGAAATAAGTCAAATTCTTATTTACCCAGGCCGAATTGACTTTCCATTTATGCATAGGATAGGCTATTAAGTCTCCAACTAGCTGCTTTGCCACACCCGTTGGACCGCTGGAGATACCACTAAGGAGAATACTAAGCAATACTTGATTTTGTTAGACTGATAATCATCTCACTCTGAAGTTAGTCAAAGTAAATCGCGAATTTTATAAGCTAGACTCACTATTCTATTTAGTTCAAGTGGCTAAGTAGGACTCGACATGTATCAGTGCTATCGGTGACGCTATCAAGAATTTCAAGACGTTCCAAATTCTGTAACAAATCTATACTAATGGCAAATGACAAAGTCTGGTATCGAGACAAAGAACTCTCATAAACTATAAATCCTCCTTACCCTCCGAGATTTATACTGAAAAAGCATGTCCTTCCTTACGGGGCTACCAAAAAGTACATACGAACATCATGTGACCTTCTGATCAGTCCACAAGGTCACATGTCGCTGGCATGTCTCGTTTAAACTGGGGCTCTACTACAATAGGATCGAGTCCTTCAGCTCGAAAAGAAGCCACATTCTTTCATTTTGTGTTCTTTTCATCAATTTCGTACTCTCCGTACTCGAAGTTATATTATTTTCCCTAAGGGATATGGATCCCTTTTCCGTGACCGTGGGTGCTGTCGGCCTTCTTGACTTTGCGAATAAAGTCACAAATGGACTCATCGACCGATACCAAGCATTCAGCTCAGCTCCAAGGCAAATGCTCGAAATTGCAGATCAAATTACCCTTTGTGCTGGCTTGGTGGATGTCTTTGCTAAAAGCGTGGATGGAACTGGAAAACAAGATTTTCCTCGCAAGTTCAAGGCCGATGCTGCAGGATTGATTACGCAGGTGAGTTTTCAGAAAGAACGAAGTTGGGAACAGAATTCAATTATGACATGTTTCGCGCCCCTTACCACCTTGAATCTATTGGAACTCATTGAGGTATCTACAGTGTTATAGCATCCTAAAAGAAATCGAAAAAATGATACCTCATGGGTCCCAGAAACCCGGATACACAGAACGCCTAAAATACGCCTTTAGCGACGAGAAAAAGATCAAACAACAACAAGAAAAGCTTAAACAAGTCCAGCACATGCTTATGTTTATGACCACCTGCTGGATGTATCAACTCCCTAATCAACCTAAGGAGCCTCAAGTCAGTTCTTCTGCTGGACAGATTCCATTCGGCAGTTTCTCTGGTTTCATGCAGCAACTTCCACTAGAAATTAACATCAAAGACCCGAATGCTAGTTCCGCACAGAGCATGGGATACGAAGCAACACTAACTCTGAAACCCATCGAACCACCGACTGGTTGTCAAGGCAAAGAGCAAGAGCTTAAACAGTCACGTGAGCGTATGGATGGTAGGAAGTTAAGAGGAAGTTCCAGGAGTAGAGAAACCAACAAAGCCTTGTCTATGTATGAGAAGCAAGCACTGGAAAACATGAGAAGGAGTTCTTATTTTTCGGCAAAACTACTCAAACCACCTTTTACAGTACAGCGCACTTCGTTCAATTTAGATCCTCCAAACCGGGACAGATCTGAGAGAGATCGCAAGGAGGAACATTCGGAACAAAAGAGGACTGAATTTGCAATGAGAGGAAGTGAAGATGAAATGCCTAATTCATTGATGACCAAGGAACAAGCAGCGAAGGGAGTTGAGAACATACTCTCAGAAGTAAACTCCCCTCTTCCTCCTACTTCATACTACCTAACTTGCAAAATTAGTGGTTTGACGACGACTCCGAACTCTCAGACATGGAAACATATCACACGCCATCCCAAAGCCCCGATGAAAGTCGTCCAGGCCGCAAAGGCTCATCGCCAAACACACGTCACATAATTATGGTCGAGCCCGCTCCATCAACATCTCCAACCCCGCGCAAACTTGATCCATCACCTAGTGGAGGACTTTCTTCCAGCGATACACGCCCTTCGCCAAAAATCGGTCGACGTCGAAGTTGGGACTGGCAGTGTGACGGGTGTCAGAAAACGGTCCGTCTGGAACTCTCGTGTTGTAAGGGAGTATAGTACTAATGAGACATAGCTGTTTTACTCGGATCTGCGATACAAATGCAGAGATTGTGATAACTTTGACTTCTGTCCTCATTGTTACGATGATATCTGGCATCGACATCCGAAATCTAGTTTTAGAGCCAAGCAGGAACTTGTGGATAAATTCTGAGATGACTTTTTGGAAAAACTAGACTATTACGATATTTTTTATCCCGTGAATTCACTTAATGTTCTTCTGGGGATTTCCACGCCAATAACTTTCTATGGATAAGCCGGACTGCAGAGGCAGATCAGAAACAAAACTGTGTTCCAAACTCCAATATCTGCCGATCGCCGACAACTGTTTCCAGAAATACCCTCTTTTCTAACGATATTTTTAAGAATTGTTGGTAAAAGAAACCTTTACTCATCCTCAGCAGGCTGAGCAGGCTCAGCACAACCAAACGCCTCTCCAGCTTATACACTTCATCAGCACCCTCTCCTTCATCTTCAAACTTTCACCTACCACATCCAGCTGACAACATTTACCGGTCAAATCCCAAGCCTTACAGACTAATATAGCTGATAATACAATTGCACCTCGACTTTCCACTCCTCTTTATAACTCTCCCTTCATCCCTCCATCGTCAGCTTCACATGCGCCAAAACCTATAAAGGAAACTTCGTCATGGTACTCCAGCCACGCATTTTCTTCATGATGAGGCTTCTGACAGTGTAAGTTAGCTTCGGCTGATCCTGTGCGGAACCAAGGAGGTGGAGATTTAGTGGAACGCGACGGCCGTTCCCGAATGGTACATATTCTTTATATCGTTTACTCCGCTTCTTTCAAGGCTAATGGACTAGGTCTTTGGCATGTTGTGCATAAGTACTTCTTTCAAGGGCACTAATTTTCGTTGCATTAGCAGATCGGCGATTTAGAAGAAAAGGCGGCTGTTGTGACGACTGAGATGAGGGTCTTTTACCCCAAGCTATCACCTCAAAGGCAGATCATCATGTCACATAGGCCACGCATCGCTTAGCCATTAGATATGTGCCCATGGTGGAGATGTGGTGGAATGAGATTGCCGAAGGATACATGACTATGGTACCGTGGCACGACACGTTCCTCTATAATTGTCCACTTCTTTTCCTCAGATACAAGTACACAATTCTTGCCTATTCTCACACCGACAAATCCTTTTCCCAGGTCACTACCACAAACTCCTTCACACATCAACCGCCTAGAAAACTCCCACAGTAACCGATGCCAGCTATTCATTCAAGCACCAGGCTTAGTACAGCCTTGCGAATACACCAACCCCTTACGACTCATTAGCATTTGTCTTCCCTCGCCTTCAATGAACATCACTTACGGTAAAATCACAACATTGAGGGTTCGAGCCACGGTCTTCGCAACGATACTCCAGCTCTTCCACACTCTGCGGGAAAGGAAACACTAATTGCGTGTCAGCGATACTCCATCTTTGTTTGGGTATTCGAATTAGGGCTGGGAGAAATAATGAGGACTTACCCGGTTCACATGTCAAATACGTTGTCTCGGTTACGCCTGCACCGCAGCATAGTGGGAGTTTGTTTCCACAAATAGAAGCCTGGCGGGTTGAGAGGGGAGACGCGGTTGCGAAAGCCAAGGTGAGGGTGGTGAGGACGAGAGTGGAGAAATGCATGTTGTGTTGATAATAGAGGTTGCTTGTTGCTCAGATAAGTTTGAAAAAGTGTTCTAAAGACGAGTGTGGGAGATGATGTGAGTGAGGAGATGGATGTGGTTGCACGCTTCTCTTTATACATCTCCGTGTACAAATCCAAGCATTAAACTCACTAACCCCCTCAACAACGATCGACATGCCACATACGCCATGTATCACCTACCCATTAGACTTATGGAAAGGGTGCAGATCTAGCGCAACGCGACTCGACATATGCACTTCGTCGTTGCCTTAGCAAGTTTCCCGCTCCTTTTCGATACTTATCCCCTCTAGGTTTAAGAGGCAAGCCTCTAACTCCACCGAAACATGCATTACCGGCTGTTGATCGCTATGTATCAACAAGGTATGTAGATTTAAAAGAAAACCATAATGAATTTTATCAAAAAACATGCCTACATCTAATCTTTTTCATTTCTAACTGCCTGAGAAAATTCCATAGTTAAGATGCTTAAATTTGTGAAGTTAGGAGCACAAATATGGTGCCTGTATCTTGAATCCCGAGATGCAAAACCCAAACCACCCTTCGCATTTCTCCTGCTAGTTTTCTACAAGAAGTTTGGAAATCTATGTCACAAAACTGGTAATCTCTTTTATCCCTCCGTTAACATGAAAATCAAGCCAGAGGATCCACAAAATCGATTGCTATCCCGAATTGCTGGTAACTTATCAATATTACCCAGTTTCTTATCCTAGGAAGCCACTCACAGTTTGACAACATCTAGGTCGTTGATTGCCGCAAATGTTAGTGAGATCTTGTGAAGATGTCGGAGTTCTGTCAGCTATTCCCATAACATCAGCAAAGGTATCTTCTCTTTGTTTGTTTACGGGAAATTAGGTTATACGTACGCCGGAAACAGCCTAGAGTGACGATACCCGCATCGACAACACAGCAGTACGGGCTAAGATCATCGCTGCTTCGGGGGCATATAGCAGATGCGCGGTTTTCGAGCGGTGAGCCTGTTGCAAAAGCTAAAGTGAGGTTATGAGGATGAGGGCGGAGAAATGTATTTTGTGTTAATAGTGGGAGTGTTTGTATACACTGGAAGTTGGAATCGTAGAATGACAAACGTGGAAAATGAGTGCGTGTTACATTTCCTTACTGGACTGAAGGCTCCTCCTTATATCTCTCTCTTGCCCATTCCAAGCTTTTGGTCACAGACTCCTCTCTATTCAATACCGTCAGGTTACACGACACGCATCACTAAGTGATCAGACTTGTGGAACCAGGTTGGTTAGCTTTTGCTGATCCTGCGTAGGTGGAGATCTAACCAAGACACGGCTCGCGATAAACCGGTGTGGTACAGCGCTTTTCCCGCTCCCTTTTTTAATGTACATGCAAAAGTCTATGTCGATTTTCGCATTGCTGCCTTTCATTTTGTACATGACGCAAAAATATGGATCACTTAATTTTAAGTTCTACCACACGAGTGACGAGTCGCAAGTTGTGGAAGCTGGAAGGAAGTTCAGCACAGATCATAGCAGATTGGCCACTTCACAGCCCGAGATTATACTATTGTGAAAGAGTATATAGATATGGGATCCTGACTTCTTGCGTTTATATACTCTTGCGTCTATATACGAAGTAATTACAAATATACTCTAGAAACACCCAACTATTCTAATCTTCACCGAGTCGTTACACTGAACGCTTCTCTTCGAAACTCGGTATTAAGCTTAAGCATTTGGGGGATCACTACAACCGACCGAGTTTGCTATCCCCTTTAGACTTATCAGTACATGCTCATTCTTAATTGAAAGAAATTGACTTAAAAGAGTACGACAACATCTAGGTGTCAACCCAGCGTTTGAGCAAGCAGAGAGTAATTGGTCTGTACTAAGTGGGGTTGTGAAAGCTTATTGAATGTTAATTAAACTACTCTCTCGAACTTTCCTCGCCTTTTTCTATAATAGAAAGGTAGGGGTGACACCGTGACAGGTGGGAGACGTACGTTGTATACAATCCGTGTTAAACTCCGCTCCTCCAATAATATCACAGTATTGTGATATTAAGTCGGCTCCACAGGCCTCGTCGTCAGACTGACGCTTTCGAGCGGTGAGCCGGTTGCGAAGGCTAAGGCGAGAGTAGTAAGGAAGAGGTTTGAGAACTGCATCTTAGACTCTTGGTTTTGGTTGCTAGGACTGATTTACTTCGGTAAAGGTAGTGATACAAAAGAGATAGAGATGAGGTGTAATATCGGGATTTACGAGTCCCTTCTTATATCTTTCGTCTCGTCGCGCCGTCATCATAAAGGTTACAACAGGTAAAGTCCGTAACCGAGAAACCGAGGACATGTACCGTCACGCCACATGAGTTAGGGGTACGGTCTAGCTTGTAGTACGAAAGATTAACTTTTGCTGATCCTATAGGGGTAGTGATCTGTTCAAGATACGGCTTCCGAAAACCTAGATGTAACTACAGCGCTGTTCCCGCTTATTCTTAAATACACATCATTATATGAAACTTCAATTCACCGTTTACATTTTACGTCTTAATCAAAATAACAAGTTCAAATATAGTGTTTATAATCAACTTTCGTGTTTAGCACCTTGGCCGCGAATTATTAAAACTGCGCGTAAGCTCTACACAAGTCACAGAAGACTGTTCACTAACTATCCGTAGTTTATACTACTGTGAAGGTCTACAAATACATAAAAGGCTCGACCTTTGCGGCTATACACGGTGTAATTACCATTTATACTATAGAAGTATCTAATTAATCTAATCTTAACCGAACTTTTGTACTGAAAAGCCCTCTTCTACGCCCGAAATTCAGGCTAGGCACTAGGAAGGTCACTACAACCCCTAGACAACAATGGATCCTTCAAACTAGTCAGCGTTAATCTCCTTTCGAGTGGAATAAAGGTACTTACAAATCTCTGACAACATCTAGCAATTAGCTCATCTTCCGCACAAACAGAACGCAAGTCTGCTGCACTAATCGGGGTAACGAATGCTTGTAGTGTTTTAATAATTGTTTCTCGTACCTTTCGTTCCATTAAGGCAGGGAGAGAGTTGGGAAGACATACGCTGTCCACAATCCAAGCTGATTAAAGATCCTATGTTGACACGACAACATACCGGCTGCGAGGTATCTCCACAGGGGTTGACGACGGTTTAGCGCTTATCGAGTGGTGAGCCGGTTGCGAAGGTTACTGCAAGAGTGGCAAGGAATACGGTAGAGAAGTACATCTTGAACAACAGATTATTGGAATTACTGATGAGACAGAAGATAGAGATGATACATACTATCGAGACCTACGAGTCCAGCTTTATACGTTTCCTCTCGTCCATTCGGCATCGCAAACTTTAGAACAGCAAACTCCGTCTCCATCAACCGAGAAACATGTGCCGTCATGCCACATAAGCCACGCATATCTTGGCTGTTCAACTTGTAGTACGAAGATTTAGCTTTTACTGATCCTATGCGGGTCGAAATCTGGTGGAACGCGGGTGCCGAAACATACTTGTTTCTACGTCACTCTTCCGAGTTCATGCTCTTTTATTCCCCAAGAATCCAAAATAAGAGAAACCCGTATTTCGAGCAAATTAAACCCCCAAAACCAAGCATCTCTATCTACCCAATCTCATCCAAATGAAAACAAAGTCATTGAAGTAACAACACAAAACCCTCCACTTATTATTCCTGGCCGTCGATCCCCAACTTTAACTTTCGAATCCTCCCTACGTCGAGTCGATCACAAATACCCACTAACAAAGTAAGCTTAAGCAACTACCGCCCCGATCCGTCGCACTAAGTATCCCCACACCGCAGTCTAGTTCAGATCCCCACAGATAGTGATCTACTACACCAAAAAGTTTACAGTCAGGATCTGATCGGAACCAAGACCATGGAATTGTCTCCTTGTTCTCAGATAGAAAACCCAGGTAGGGTGCGGACAGAAAAGTCCGGCTTTAAAACTCTCAACGAAGACTTCGAAGTAATTCACGTCAATGATGACAGTATCTATAGCCAACTGAACAATTTTCATAGTACTAGCGTACTACCCTGCAAAAAGTTCAGTACCGTGGATTAAAGCTCTGAGACAGCACGGGAATACTATTTAGTGGTCGCCCTTAAAGTGCCTTGATTCTAAGTCACACACGAAATCAGATCTTGGAATGAAAGCGCAGTTCTGGAGTAAGAATCCATGGTATTGAAATCCTTCTATCAATCCAGTATTATCTTCTAATTTTCTTTCATTCTCGGTTGTCGATTTATCTCATGACTGCGAGTTTACATTACAAAATCCGGACTTTTCTGTCCACCTCGTGACACGTTCATTTGGTAAGCAGAACCTGGGAACATGCAGGTCAGTAGACTTTGGGGTGAGACATAAGAAGAATTGTCACTGGAAAGTAAGAATGTACGTTTGGTGGCACCGAAAGGGAAGGGGACTTGCCGATACAACAAGCACTTTTCGTGAGGCGCGTTCCACCGAACCTCCACCTTTACATGGTGACTGAAAAGAAGCTGACTTTACGAATCCGTACACGGTGATACAGAATTGTGCACATATGTGGAGAGTCGGTTATTAAGATATCGCGCGAAGTATCACAAGTGTCAATCCCCAAGCCACGCGTAGTTTGTATGACATGACAGTGTATCTTTTCCCGTAGATGTTGTTTCTTTTCCCGAAGCTTACGATAATCGAGGGAGGGAAGGAGAGGTATGAAAGGGAGCTCTAAGTCATCATACTCTCTTTCATCTCCAAGCTCTTTAGACTCTTCAAAATCATCGAAGTAAACCAATGCCAAAATAGTAGCTCAATATGTATCTCCTGCTCCCATCCTTACAACACTCACCATAGCATCCGCAGTCGACTCACCACTCCAAGCCCGCCAGTTCACCTTGTGTAATGACGAGCATAAGCCGTTCTGCTGCCATTTGATTTTAGGCACATACAGGGGCTGTTATCGTCGTACGTCTACTTACTAACCCTCCAAGAAAGTATGAGATGGACATTTATTAAAACATAAGCAACCATACCAGTACCAGAAGACGAAGACGACTTCGCAAACTGAAGATCAACCCCTATGCTGTAAACCTGTAAGCAGCCTTTTCGGCTGCGACAGAGTGTGGTCCTAATTAGTCGTATAGGCTTTCTCACTACTTAGAACATATGTCGATCCCAAAACCCCCCAATCATCCAACACTTGATTTGGTTGACAGAGGGATGTTTCAAATGAGATTTATAGTTTTCTGTTCTTTATTCGAGTGAACGTTAGAGCACTGTGAGGGGTCGCCTAGGCTATGGTATCTAGTCCAAGAAATAAACTTCTGGTGAGGCTTCTGATCTTACTATTCTGAGTGTCTTAACGTCTATCATCTCGTCTAAACTTTGGGATTAGTTCTAAACATAGTTCTCTTTAAACACAATCCTAACCTCCCATCCAAGCCCTCCCGTTCTACCCTCAACACTTTACATTCTACACAGCAACTTCCCAAGCCTTAAACAGAAACCAAAGATCTACCTCTTAGGCCCAAAGAGGAATCCACATCCAAAAGCAGCATCAAACGTAGAAATATACTTTTACCCATACCCACTGAAGTGAACGTCTACCTTCCACAAACCCCAACCCATCCACTCACAAATCCCATGGTAACGCATGTTTCTGGAAGATAAAGACTAAATCCCGCCTCTGCCTCTACCTCAAATCCAAAATTCCATCCCAGATCTAGCACGTGGAATATAACCCGGCACCGCACCACTAAATCACAAAACCCAACAACACCACTTCCAGCACGTCAACGAAAGAATAGTTCCAACTCCGATAACCAAAAAAACGTATTCATATTTCATATTCAATTTCCCTTATCAAACCCGATCTCCCAGCACGCCGCTTTGTAAAACCCTTCACTCACTCATGATTCCCCCCATCATTCAACCACCCAACTCACAAAAACTCATGTCATACCACACTCGTCATACCACAAATCATTAATCATACCCCATCCTCATCAACAACCAAAGACCAAAAACAACCGCAACAACAACGACAACAGCTTCCAATAAATTGGAAAAGAGCAGAAAACGCACGAGGTTGAAGCCGTAGAATCATTACCGACGTCCTCCTCTGCATCCCCGCCCATCATAAAAAAAAAGCATACAGAAAAACGAATCATAAAACCCATGCAACCACCCATCGTATACGTTCACAACCACCCATCATCAACAACCCTCCTCTCCCCCTTTCCCTCCCCCGCAAAACTCAATTTCATCTCAATCTTCGGCGCATCCAGCGGTGCCGAGGTCTTCGTAGGCGATTTCTTCGGACTCATCTTCTTCTCGATACACGGCCCACACCTGACGTCGCGTGTATCCCAGCCATCCTCTGCGGCAGCCGCAACCCAACATCGGAGACCAGCGTGGACGCCACCGTAGAACTTTTCCTTGCAGAGACGTAGGGTGGAGCCCATGACTTTTTCCCATCCCGAAATGCGCATCTGGTCGCGGAGGGTGTTGCGTTCCATTTGAGTTGGAAGGCAGGCGAGGATGCCGTTGACGAGGTCGAGGTGGGAGGAGATGTAGTTGGTGGCGTCCCATTCGACACCGCCGACGTAAGGTGCTGCGGGAACGGGTGGGAGTTCCTGAGGGAAATGTTTGGCCATGTAGATGTGATATGGATTAGAACTGTCGAAACTGCTGTTTGAGCCAATTGAGGATATTGTTGAATAATTGTTGTCGTGGTTTAGAATGTCGTTATGCTTAGGAAGAGAAATGACATTAAGATTATGTAGGAAGATCCAAAAGACTTCCTTGGTGACGTTAGAGACTTCCTTGTACCATATGGTGTAAGGGCGCGGTCGTCGCATTTCGAGAACAAAATCAACAGGTCTTTGAGACTCGCTGGCTTCTTGATTGCGAAGATAGCTTAGGAGCGTTTTGGCTCTGAGAGTGCGTTCTTTGACCGGTGCGGCTTTCAGCCAGGCGAAAAGGAGATAGCTGATGATATTCCGCGTAGTGAACTCACTAGGTCCTTTCTTCTCCTCGTCGAATAGCATATGCAAAAGAGCTGGAAACAGTGTGACCTGTATTTTGTTGAGATGGTGTAGAGCAAGGGCTGTGGTGGCGAGCGCTTTCAAGCAGAGGAGGACCTCATGCAACAAAGCATCTTCATGTTCCTCTCTACAAGAAATTAGAAATTTTGTTCACGGCACAAAGATTAGACGTGTAAACATACCTCCACTCCACTTCCATAGTACGATGTAGTAATCCGACAATCTCTTCCATCCCGCCAAGACCGACGAATTCATCGGTCCATGCAACTGTTTCATTACGGAGGAGCAGCCGTAATTTGTGAAGTCGTCCAACTTCGACAAGCTCTGGCTTTTGATTTTTTCTTAGATATGTGACAAAATCATCTGGTGTCTGACCCTTTGCTTTGGCAATCAATGTCTGAGCCACTGATGTACCAACAGCAGCAAAAGACTTGACATCTCCTTTGACGCTTTCTGAAGACTTCGTTCTTGAATGTCGGCTCAGCGTCCCTTCTGGCTTGGTCGGCTTTGCAGCTGACGAAGTGTCCTTGCTACTGCCCCTTGATAATGTAAAAGTCCGACTTCTGGGACGCTTGCTCTTAACTTCTGGTATCTCATGGGTCCCAGAGGTAGCATCAGCACTTGAATTGCTACCCGTGGTCCCATGTTTTGCCTTCTTGGCAGCCTCTTCTGCCCAGTCCTGCCTGACAAAGTCCTTCTTCATAGCTAGCGAAAGTCCCCTCATCTTACCCCGCTGATTCTCTGGGATATTTCGTCGATCAAGCATTTTTTCAAACTGTTCATCTATATTGCTATCTTCAAGAGGACTCTGGGATTCATTTCCGGACGGTTTTGCTTTTTCACCCCTGAAGTTGGTCACGGCAGCCAGTACTCTCTGCCCTTTGTGCTGTGCATTTTTGTCTGATGTTGTCGATGACGCGGTGGTCTTCCTTTCAAAACTTGGTCGTTTCTCCTGCGTCACATTCCTAGAAACATCTGCGCTCTTCCGCTGGCTTTCTCTACTGACCTTTCTCGTGATATCCTGTATACTGAAACTGCTTGGGAGATAGGTACTTTTCGGACGTTGCTTTCCATCACGGTTGCCCAGAGATGGTTGAGACCCAATGTCGTTACCAAAATCACGTTGTTTTCCAGGAGAATATTGTTCGGGGGTGTATAAATCAATTTCATCCTCCAAGAATTTCCCACCCAGCGGCTGCTTTGTAAAGTACTCGCTCGAGAATTGCGCATAAATTGGTGGCCGCGACGGCTGGGACGGTGACGATAATTGAGGGCTCTGATTTTCCTTGTCTTTGGCGATAGCTGCCTCCTCCTCTGCACGCTTCCGTAGACTCTTCGAAGACTTTGGGCGCGAGAGAAGACTTGCGAGATTTGTCGATGACTTGGTTTTCTTCGGCTTGTCAGGTTTGTTGTCCTTGGACTTTGATTGCTTGTCGCTGTCTCTACCAGATAGAGATTTTAGAGATATCGAGCTTAGAGTTTTCTTGTGTAGAGATTTGTATGTCGGCTGCTCGCTCGTATTCGGACGGTGACCATCCTTGAATTTCTTGGGTGACGATGGCGGACTTAGGGTTTGTTGATTCTGGTGAAGTTCTCCTAGAGGTTGATGATGGTAATATTGATCCATCGGCTGAAATGGTGCGTTATCGTAAGTCGGGGATGGGACAAACATGTCTGTAGGTGAGGGCAGAGCCTCTCCACCAGATGCCGTACGTTTGTGTATGAATGTCTTCAATACTGATGATTTGACTCGTTTGTGGTGACCGCTCTCGGGAGCTGGGTAATGCGATGCCATGTTTTCAAAATTGAATGAACTTTAGAACTTTGCTACAATGTTTGAAATCGTTTTCTTCATAATGCATGGAAGATGGTTGTTCGTGCTATCTCGAGCCTGGAGGTTGCTATCAATTTGTTGACGATCGTATTATTTTGGTTGCTACATGGTAACCACGCTAGGATCACATGGAGAAGACAAGGATGTTCCGATGTTCGGGCCGGTACCGACGGGTCCACCTCCAAACCACTGTACTATGAAGATGATTCTGAAAATCATTGCAATTCAGTCCGTAACGTAAAATTTCAATATCGAAATCAGTTGGAATTTGTTTGAGGCGCGTTGACTTTCATGTGGTTTGTTTCAAAGGTTCGCTCCCTCCTCACGCTCCGAAGTGCACCAAGAAGCACACTCTGTGACCTCACCAACCACAACCCAACTTCAGAATCTACGCCATTCAAAACGAGCTTTCCGTAGCTGAAGAGATATCTGGGAGTAATTGCAGACTTCGCGGGTGAGTCGTCTTAGGTGTGGTTCAGTTTCTCTCAACCTAAAACCTAGGCATCCTTTGGCGTTTTAATACAATACAACACTTAGGGCTGGAATTGAGCGTTGAAGCGTTGAAGATACGTCAATAACCGGTCGTCGAAACGAGTGGCCTTACTCTCCATCAGGTTGAATGTTTAGGATTGCGTCAGAAATGAGACAGGCATAATCTGAAGCCTTTGACACTTCCCTCTCTTGTTAACAAGTGGAAGATTTCGATCAGTCAATCCAGACCGTACGAATTGCGGAATTAAGATCTCCTAATCTCAATGTTTCTTGCCTAACCACGATGCCTCTTGAAAGCGTCGTTTACTGACACTCCCTGTTCCACATCTTCCTTCACGCGATCATCTGCGCTGACGAGCTTTGGTAGTAGTTCAATGACATCAGCTACTTTGTCTTGCGGTATTGCAACAACACCATTGACAGCATCGAGGAAAATGAGGTCTCCTGGGTTGATGAGAGTACCGTCGATATTTAGGGGGACTTGGATTGCATGAGGCTTTGCTTCTGCATTGGCTCCAACGACTGACGTTCCAGTGCTCCAGATCTGCAGCAGAGCGTCAACATCTAGATTAACGTATTGTAAAAGTGCTAACAAAACAGTTCGAATATCGGAGTAAAAATGCGCGCGGGTGTAGATAGCAAAAGAGTCACAAGTGCATGGTAACGGTTTAGCTTACCGGCAAACCAGTCGATTTCAGCTCTTCAATATCTCTCACCCTTCCATGAACAACGATACCTCTAGCATTCAAGACTTTCATTCTCAACGCCATGATGCCCCCAAGGACAGCGCATTTTTGATCCTCGGGCTGGCTTAAAATCACAATAGAGTCTGATTGTGTCAGATCAACGTAATGCTGTCCAGATGGGATATTTCCTTCGGGCAATTGAGCAGCATCCTTGCCTACTTTCGAAGCGAATAGCACCGTTGAAGCTGGCGCAATGGTAATCTCGTTCTTTGATGCAGTTCGTAAACTGGCGGTTCGGAGGCCAAGATCGGCAATGAAACCTGCATTGGGAACTTTGAGCTTGAGGAGAGCATCGGCGATGTCACATGCGGTGTAAATCTTGAGGGCATTTATCTGTGATGTGGTGGAGGTTGACGTAGCCATGTCGCGGCGGTGGACCTTGTGGTCGCAGCGAAGACGAGGTTCACAACCAATTGAAGACGGCAAGACTCTGGTTAAGAATTGCTTTTGAGATGTGCGTTTGACGAGGTGGGATAGGGAAATCATTTGACGGATTGTAGCGATGGGAAAGAGAGTGGTGACGATAGGTTTAGGACCGACGGAAATGTTGGAACAAAACCATGGTGCAATGCGTATCTTCAGCCTCAGGCACTTTGGCTGGCATTAATCAATGAATAAACTCGCTTCTTGTTGTAAAGCGGGGAAGGCCGTATAAAATTTGAACTTGGAGAGGTGGCTATCAATTGGCGGAAGAGTTATACTTTCACTGGAAGACTATCCAATGGTTGCCACAACTTAGGACTTGTTGAGAAGCCACTGAACGGGACGACTTTGAGAATGGCAGCCTGCGTTCTAAGGTTATTAGCAAGCACACCTATACTTCCATCTTCTTAGGTATTATTGCTATTGCTAATAATGTATGTGGCCTACGGAACTATCCATGCAATCCAAGCATCTAGAACCAGAGGGAGTTCAATTAACTGATCGGCAGATGAATCTTGTCCAGACCTTTACCCACACAATTAGTTACCCTTCTATACTTTTCACGGCAAGAGTTTCTTTCGTCTGAAATTCCATGTACTTACCGAACTGGTCCTGCGTGGGATATTCCCATGCAACAAGGTGACATTCGTAGGATGCTCCATGTTCCGACAATGCAGGTGTTTGCTGCCGGGCCGCAATCTTCTGCATGGCCCGTCGCAATGTGATGGCGTGCAGCGAGTGTTCCGAGTGTATCCAAGTTACAAAGCGGCCATTTCCCGTGGATGTGAAGACCCAGCTCCTCAAAAGAGTCTGTGGTACAGCATTTCCAGGCGAGTGATGGGAGAGGGGTCGTCGAGGACGACGACAACAACAACACGAGGCTGAAGGGAGAGGAAGGGTACGGTGGTACACATACGACGAAGTATATCGAGCACAGATGACGCAGATAACATTAGACTTTAATCCGATTGTGCGGGACCATCCGCCCCCTCCACAACCCTCTTGACCACGTCGACTGACTTCCACCGACTCCCACCCAATGCAACCATATTATTTCGTACGTCGAGATCGTCCCAGCGCAACTGTACAAAAAATCTTCCTTGTCTCGTCTCGTCTCGCACTCGCCCTGCGTGCACCTACTCGAGTACGCCGACCCAGTCACCCAGCTTTGGCATTCCCATCCCTCCTCGTAGCGGACGACCAGTATCGACTCGAATCGCTTCCACTCTTCCACTCTTCCACCCTTCACCTTCCCCTCCGTGCAGCTTGACCGTTATTTCTGCCTGGATATTGCGTCGACCACCCAGTACTGCTGCGACCACCAGAAGGAATCTCCCTTGGTATCGAATCCCGCCCTCTATCCTGCCATCGGGACTATCAGAAGCATCCCCGATTCGCAATCACGCTCTCGCTGTGAACCACCTGCACCCCCAACCTATCGACCGCGCTGATACACACAATTCTGCCTCTCGGCTGCATCAATCGCTACCGTCGGCCACGCAAAGCACGCTCGGCGGCCAGAAGGTGCAAGAGCCAGCACAACCTCTCCCAAAAGTTCCAGAACCGAAGATAGCAAAAGACTGACCTCGAATAATTTGGCGTTCCCGTTCCCCTCCCACCAAATTCCACTACGATTTCCCGATACGGCCATTCATCCACCAAATCACCCATTGCCCACTTCCCAGCCTCAGGGAGCCTTTCCCGCGACCCACCACTCCGCATAGGATTGCTGCTGGCTGGCGTGTTGGCGCCATCCTCCTTCCCCAGAAGGCCAGAGGGCAAGCTTCTGCGGGTGTCGAGATTATCATGTCTATCAAGTAAGTCCTGTCGCTCTTTCGTTGTTTTCCTCCTTCATCGTCGCTTGCCGACTGCATTGTCTACCATCTCTCATTCTGCTACCTTTCACTCCTTCTCCACCATCATGTATCAATTCCACCAAGATCAGACAACCTACACGATATTGGCAGCCGAGAAGAAACTAAAGTCAAAAAGTTGGGTTATGACCACGCCCGGGTCTGAGGGTTTTATCAAGCTTCCAAACGAACAAATTCTCTACACCTCACCACCAAGAACGAGCATACAATTATCTACACCAAACCCCTACCCAGCTGCCAACCCATACTCAGCCAAGTGCGATTCGGGGATTGTTTACGTCACCAATCAAAGGGTAAGTCATCCCGATGCTGTGCAAAGATTACATGCTAATCTATTGCAGATTGTATATCTTCCAACTACGCCCACGGCCGAGCTCCAATCTTTTTCCGCCCCCATTCTCAACTTGCAAGACACCTTCGTTCGAGCTCCATTTTTTGGTGCCAACTACTGGACGGCAACAGTGAAACCCGTCTCAGGCGGTGGTATTCCAGCAACACATTCCGCCGTTGAGTTAAAATTGACTTTCAAGGAGGGTGGTGCGTTTGACTATCATACGATATTCGAGCAAATAAAAGAGAGGTCGCATCAAGCATACACAGTAGCACGAGATAATGGACAAAATGGTATTGCGGACGCTGGTAATATTCATCTGGAGCAGCTACCCGCCTATGAAGCTCCAGCCAACAATGCGAGAGAGCCAGATGAACCCCGGATACTAAGTCCGGTACCTGTGAGGCCAACAGGTCCACCGGCTCCGGCTGTGAGCTCCCAGGCGACCACGACTGCAGCAAATCTACCTGCACCAGACGAGCCACCGCCGGGATACGAAGAAGCGCAAGTCCAAGCTGTTGGAATCGATTTGGAGCAGAGAATGCGCAACGAGGCCGAGAGGGGGGTCTAAGTAATCTCCTTATTCTTTCGCTATACCCTTTATATTTGGCGCTTTGTATCAAGAACTTGGCGATTTATAACTTCATCTGCTACACGCATAGGGCTGGAAAAGGCGTCGGATTGTTTATATTCGGAGGAGTTTAGCTGATCGGGACATCCGGGTTATGATAATGCCGAAATGATAGTATAGAGATACTATCAAACGATACCAAGATACTAGATAGAAGATTTCGCATATAGAAATCGCTCGATGTCTATAGTTTAGATTTTCAAATTAACTTCTGCCAAACTTGTAAATACAATGATAATCACGTGATACTGTGCATGTCCGGAGAGATCCGTCCACCCAATCAGCATCACTCAATTCCAAGCTTTCGGGTAGCTTCCCAATTTTGCGATCCCGACACCTTCGACATCAACACCATCATCACATCTCAACCCACACCCTTCCCTACCCTATTCTTCGAATCGATCACGATGGGTCTCTTTGATAGTTGGGCGGACCTTCTTTCCGCTGCTACGCCATGGAGCGAAGCTGAGGCAGAGGCCGTTAGCGGTGGTACTGGGACTGCGGCTACACCTGCGAGGGGGAATGTAGGCGATGAGTTGGTATGTGCTGTTTTCATAATACAAATTGAAGGATGGACGATCGAAAACGGGGGCCTCGATGTGAGATACAAACGGAGGGGCTGCAATGGGGATGGAAGTGTGAATGGGCAGGATGGGATGAACATCTACGATTGGGATTATGGATGTAAGGGACGATCGAGCATATGCTAATCCCTTCTTTTAGCAAGGTGCATCTGCTGGCGACAAGAGTGCCGGACAGGAAGAGAGCACACCGAAGCCTCAGAGTGTAGGAAAGGAGGACGCTGCTGATGAAAAAGACGACGAGCCTGAGGAAGAGGAAGAGGCCGAGGAGGAGGAAGAAGAGGAGGAGGAGGACGAGGAGGAGATGGTTGATCCAAAGGAGAAGTTTGAGGAAGGTGAGTTTGCGGTATTTCTTTGGTCGATTGGCGGGGAGTCAGATCTGGGGACATGGTCTACTGGAGAGTGGCGCGGATAGGAGCAATTGGATGTTGGATGGGATATGATTTGATACTGCTGTTGGGAACTGCAGACTCCGGAGGCAATGTTGCGATTGAAATTGATTACTAACTTTGTATTGCAGAGTGCAAAGAGTCAAAGCAGTGCGCTCCAGCTAAGCACCACTTCGATCACTGCGTTGAGCGTGTCAACAATGCAGACAAGTCGGCTCCTCATGAGGACTGCGTGGAAGAATGTTAGTATTTTCTTCATTAGACGACAAATCATGCTCTAACATACAACAGTCTTCCACCTTGCACACTGCGCCAACGAATGCGCTGCACCAAAGGTCTGGGCAGCACTCAAGTAGATTCCTCAACCGCTTTAAAACGACAATACCGAGCTACCACCTGTCATACGAATAGATGATGGGGATTTGAGATAGGTTGGTTAGGAAGATATGCTTGTACAGAACCCTTTTCCTCGCCGACAACCTCAATGTTTTTGTATCACCTGCAGAAAAACATCTTCTTTTGCGCTAGAGAATGCATGTAGTATAGGAAGAGTTATTAGACGTTTGTTTTGATTTGATTGTTAGCAGTGTCCAGTCCTTTCCTCAACTCGTCTCAACTCACGTGTCTACCCACCCAGCGGTGTTGTTTGCTTTATCCGAAATGGCCAGCTATCTGGTGACTGGTATGGCCAAGCCTCGGACTTTCACAAGACAATCTCGAAGCTTAGCATCACGACAGCCAACGATATCTCCGTACTTCTATCTGATGAAATACCAAAATGAACAAGTTTTCGGGATTCCGTCCCAATGTGATTGTGACATGTCCATTCTGGGACACCGTTGATCGACGCCGCTGCAGTGAACCAACTTCTTATCTGCGAATCCGTGAAGCTTCCCCTCACACGCGACCACATCTATAACAAATCCCCTCCACCTTACTCTTATCAGGTGAATGTCAAAATGATTCCATCCTCAGCGGATTGATCGATATATAGACTTTGATCTTGAACTACTTTTACGAGTCAAGATTCAGACGCAAGCGAACGACCCGTCCCGAAACTAAGATATGGGGAGCCAAGCCGAAGACGATGCTCGGAAGAGCCAGGGTCTTGAATACAGTTCTGACGTCAAATCTTCTTTTTCTGATGAAAAAGACAAGTCTCTTGCCATTGAACCTGCTCAAACACATAATCCTCCGCTGAACGAAAAGAAATCTTATACCGCGACTGAAACTCCTGTTCCTACGAAAGAAAGTCCAAAGGGGAGCGCGTCGCATGGAGAATCTATCTTACCTGGCTGGACGAGGATGCGCCCACTGCGTATGAAAGCCATGGGACGCGGCAAGAAGCCCGGGGAGGGCACGAATGGAATTGTTACGGAGAGGAGTGGTAGTGAGGAAAGAGGGGATAAAGATTTAAAAGGCGTGACGACGAATAATACCACCGCGAGTGGTGCGGGTGATTTGGAGGGCTTGACGCAGATGACAAGTGATGATGGATTACTCGATGGTAGTGAGGATGGGAATCAGCGCGGAAACGCGATTGCAGACACGAGCAGCACGGTGGTGTATAAGGTTTATAAGAGGAGGTGGTTTGGACTTGTGCAGTTGGTTTTGTTGAATATTATCGTTAGCTGGGATGTAAGTAGCCGTTGCCCGCTGACTCCGTACCACATGCTAATCTCACATTATTTGTAGTGGCTCTCTTACTCCGCGAGCTCGAAAACATGCGCAGAGTATTATAGTATCACGGAATCGCAGTTGAATTGGCTGGCGACTGGATTTCTCTTTGCGTTTGTGGCTGCGACGCCGTTTACTATCTTGACGTTGAATAAAGGGGGGCCGAAATCATCCATTATTACCGCGTCGGTATTGCTGTTACTGGGGAATTGGATTCGCTATGCCGCTACACGGTCTGGAAAACATGGGAACTTTGGCGGTGTGATGTTTGGACAGATCTTGACGGGTATTTCGCAACCCTTTGTGTTGGCCGCGCCGACGAGGTACTCGGATATGTGGTTTACAAATCGAGGAAGGGTTGCTGCGACTGCTGTGATGAGTCTGGCGAACCCGCTCGGTGGTGCGCTGGCGCAGCTTATTGGCCCGTTTTGGACGAGTTCACCGTCTGATGTTCCGAATTTGGTGTTGTATATCTCCATCATCGTAAGCTCCCTATACTCTCCCCCCATAAACCGCTCCTAACATACCAACCTAGGCAACCGTCGCCTGTGTCCCATCATTCTTCCTCCCCTCCCACCCTCCCACACCCACCTCCCCCTCCTCCAGCACCCCCAAAACCCCCCTCCGTCCCTCCCTCCACACCCTCTTCACCACCCCCGAATTCTACATGATCTTCCTCCCCTTCTCCATCCTCGTCGGCCTCTTCAACTCGGCCTCCTCCCTCATAAACCAAATCCTCGAACCCTACTCCTTCACCGAAGATCAAGCCGGCATCGCGGGCGCGCTCTTAATCGTCGTCGGTCTCGTCACCGCAGCCGTCACATCCCCCGTGATCGATAAAACGAAATCCTACCTCCTCGCCATAAAACTCCAAGTCCCAATCATAGCCCTCTCCTATCTAGCCTTCACATTCGCCCCGCAAACCCGCGAGCTCGCAGCCGTCTATACCATCCTCTCCATCCTAGGCGCCGCGTCTTTCTCCCTCGTCCCCGTGGTGCTGGAATATATAACCGAGATCACGCACCCCGTGAGCCCGGAAGTCACGTCTACGATCTGCTGGTCTGGCGGACAACTGCTCGGTGGGATTTTCATCGTCATCTCCGACGCGTTGAGGGACGGCCGGGGTGGAGAGGATGATGGAAGTAAGAGGCCACCGGGGAATATGTATCGCGCGCTCGTGTTCCAGGCGGTGGTCGCGATGGTGGCGGTGCCGTTGCCGTTGTGTTTGGGGCTTTTTGGACGCGGGCATGGGGTTAGGATGAGGAGGATTGAGGAGGATGTGGGGAGGAGAGAGGAGGGGACGGTTTGAGGGTTCGGGAGAATTACAAATTGGGCATTGGGTTTGGATATTGGGTTTGGGCGTTTGTGTGGAAGACCCTGGATTTGGGTTTCCGTGTGTTTTTGGGTAATGGGTTGTTTATATAGGTCACTTATATGCGTTGGGTGATTTTGGTTAATGGGTTGTGAATATGGGTTTGGATATGAATATATATTTATTTTTACTCATCCTTTTTCTCTTTAAATGTCAAGGGCTTTTGCTCAAACAATCTTTGATACACTAACACTCAAAAGAAACTGCCAAGCTAGGCCCAGAGCAACTCCCGAACTAGGCTCTCGTTGTAGTAGGACCACGCATCTTCCACTCCTACCAAGCCTACTTTACGGAGAGTCTTTTAACCTTTGAACTGTTTGCATAATGGATTAGAATTTCGTTCCTGGAAAGATTTATGAGCTAGGGATGTTATTATTAATACGCATGTCCTAGCCTACCATTCAACTCAACACACACGGATCAAGAAACCATCATTCAAGTTGATTTGTATGTCATTAAGCTAGTAAAATCCCTTATTTCCATCTAATATGCATTCTCATCTATCGGTAATTTCAATCCTTAAATACTACACCTCACCAACTAAACACCCCCCTCTTCCGATCAAACCCCCCTCTCAACTGACTCTCCGGCTTAACCAGCTTCCCTTGCAACACAGTAAACTTCACAATCCCCTCGCAATCCTCTGGCTTCACCCGCGCAATCCACATACACTGCGCCGCCCCCATCTCCTCCCCCTCCACCACCTTCGATGGCGGCGGACACACCTCTCCATCCAATTTCGCCCGCTGCACGTCGTCCAGCCCAAACGCATCCGCTTTCCGATATATCATCACGTTCGCTGAATATTTGTGGCCGCCGACGTGCGAGATGAAGTAGATTCCCACCCCGCCCGGTCGCTCGTCGTCGAGATCCCGGAAGAGTCCGCAGGTGCGGAGGTGCCGCTCGAATTCTTTGCGTAGGAGGGGCGCGGACTGCCCACAGCGTGCGTCGCGGGTTTTTTGGGAGCAGAGGAGGATGAGTGCGCGGTGGGGAGAGGGGCGGGAGGTTAGTTGGTCGGCGGTGGGGAGGGGTTCCGGGAGGGATGCGGGGATGGATATGGGTAGGAGGGGAGAGGTGTTTGTGGGTGCGGTGTTGATGTAGGATGTTATTAGGGTGTTTACTGAGGTTGGGGTAACGTTTTCGATGATTATGAAGGCGGGGAGGAGGAGGACGGTTGTGGGTTCTGCGTAGTTTGTTGAGTGGCTCGGGGTGGGGATGTTGGAGGCTGAGAGCATGAGTTTCTGGGGGATGTTAGTATTGTATGGGATTGTAGAAGAAATGCTTACTCCACTCGTTGGTTTTACATCTGCCTTCTTCTCAATGGCTTCCATGACACTACCTTTCTCATCTGCCACATCCCGTACCCAATCTGACTTCCCAGTTGCTACTAGAATATGCGTACTCCATCCCTTCACATGTCCATATAATTCGTCATCCTCGTCGATTTTAAACCCTTTCGGATATTTGACATGACATGAGCTACAATCATGATCACAGTCCTCTCCATCGACAGCCGGATCAACCTTCGGAAATAGCTGATCTAGAGGTGTATTATTTGGCGGAGTCCCAGGCAATGGTGTCGTTGACCCAGATATTGTCTGCTGAACCGTATTCAGTATCGACTTGAAAGCAGAAGACATCTTGCCGGTGCGCGAAGGCAGGAACTTTGATGTTTTGGCTTGGCTGGAGACATGGTTGGTTTTATGTGACATGATGAAATACAATGTGGGGTCAATTGAACTCCGTATCCGTATCCCTAATCAGATGAAGCTAAACTTAAAATAGCTTATCAGATGGCGCTAGTTGAAGCCGCGTGTGTTTGCCGGGACGAAGCAAATATGGGCCAAGGTTCGGCAACGACACGAGAGACTTGGTCAATTGACTTCTTTTTATATCACAGCTCTCCGCGTCTATAAGCGTTAATATGTGCGGACTTAACAGTCGGTCTATTCGGTGAATTCGTTGTCATACAGATGCTTATCTGATATGTATGTCCGCGCAAGCTTTTACGCAATTTCTAGGTAACTTTCGAGTTGCAGCCAACCAAGTTGAACCGACTCCCAGCCTTGTCACACTGACCTCCAAAACAATGCATCAATTTCGGACCGGCCTCGTACGCTAGCTCTTTTGCTTTCATTTAGGATGTAGGTGTCCTATATGAGAGCGATGCCTCCAAAAACCTTGCTCTTCGTTGGAGCTCCAGAGTCAAAGGCGCTGAAGTGGGATGAAGAAGAATTGTACGATACATTCTCCGAACCGTTCAATCGCTATATCGACGGCTCAGAACACACAAATAATGTGTTATTACCGCTCACATCTACATCCTTCTCTGGAATTGCTATCCCACAATGGCGTTCATTGACACTCGAACGTGGTCACCTGACGACCGGAATGTCACAGGACCACGGCTGGCAGCCCGAATATAGAGGTGCATCTTTCTTTACAGTGTCCGACATAAACTCATTCGTGGAGGAATATACCCAGAAAACCTCTTTCGGTGATCACCAATCAAGCGTCGAATCTGTGGATCAAATTCTATCTCAATTCTATGAGGAGTCATATGCTCGACATGAAGAAATTGCTTCCTCACAGCTCCGTGCTGCGTCAGATACGACCAACTCGAGTGTTAGCCAGGCGGATACGACATCTTTCAATTCGATAGAGTCATATAATGATTCTCAGCCTACTCATCCGAAAGATATACCCAAGTCTGGTCCCCTGAGTAGCTTACAAGAATTTCCAAATGCAAGATATCTCAACGCTATCCATCCCCAAGTTTTCACCGTCAATCTGGTTGTTGGTATTATCTCAGTACCGTCACCCCGTTCTATCAGAACTAGACGCGGAATGAATGTGGAATTAATCGAAACACTAGTTGGCGACGATACGAAGTCAGGCTTTGGAATCAACTTCTGGCTATCCTCGAAGAATGATGATAATGGCTTGAGAGCCAGCATCGAGTCTCTACGTCCACAAGATGTTGTTCTCATGAGAAACGTCGCTCTCAGCAGCTTTCGAGATAAGGTCTATGGATATAGTCTCAGGAAAGGGCTGACAAAGGTCTATTTACTGCATAGGAGCCGCGTCGATCGCAAAGATCATGGGGGATGTTATTCGACAAGCGATCTTCGACGTGCTACTGGTGGTATGGATAATGCGCAAATCATGAAAGCCAAGATCGTAAGGGAATGGGTACTTCGATTCGTTGGGGGGACGAATAGCCGCCCAAGCAGACATCAACAAGCTTCAAGCCACCATGAAACCTTACCACCTGATACGCAATGACTTTGTCTTTAGTGTAAGGTACGGAAAGCATATATTTCCTCAAATTGGGTGCTCAACATCATGTTGCTGTCGATACTCGTTGTGTTCCTAAAATTACATGTACACTTGTGCCAAATGTATCCACGCACTTCGCCTCCATATTGGCATCTTAATGTCTGAGAACACCCTGAATGAATTGATCGACTGTGCTCACCGAAGTGTGGGATCTCCATCTCCTACTCGAGCTTTAAAATCCTCAAATTTTAGAGTATCAGATGTGAAGCGTTTAATATAGAAGCTTTCGATTCAAGTTCTATTCTGATCATCTCCTAGTCGATGGAAAATGAGCCTAGAAGTCTAGAAAGGAGAATAGATCAATGCCATTAGAGTGAGCAGAGTCGCTTATTTATTCGTACCACCTTCTTTTTCATTACCCGGATGAGGCTAAGCGTATAATTTGAAGGGCGTTTTGCAGGGTGTTCAAGCTCTTGGCATATGTGACTAGCCGCACTGGTCCCGATTTTCAACTTCCGTTTGCAATAACCTCAGCTTCTTTCAATCATAGCACAAGAACAATATCCTCTTGCATTATAGAGCAATTGATTTCAATACCTTCTGTCGTCAAGGATAGTGTAATCTCGGTTTAGCCGACACAATGGCCTCTTTACACGGTCAGTTCTCTCTTTACAGCCACGCTTTGCATTTAGTGACCCATTCTATTTTAGAAACGGCCCTGAGTATCAGACCACGTAAAAATGGTGTGCAGCAAAATTCAGACACTTCAACGATAGAAGGCTCATCCAAAGAGACCAGCAACAATGTCGTCAAGCCTAAAAACTTGCCCAGAGGGCGGAAAGGACTTTCAAGGGATGATAGAATGCTGAAAGGAGTCAATAAACTTATCACGACTATTTATGTGGAAGCTCCGAAGATCCAGGAGAATACTAACGAGGAAGTTACGATCAAAAACTATGATTCCGTTACCTCATATAATTGGAGAGATATCGAGCATCCAACTATATACGTTCCAGGCAAATCTCACACTTTTTCAAGAAACTGGAATCCAGGCTAACCAAACTCTAGGCCTTCCTTCTGTACTATCATTTCCTACCCTCCCAGTTCAACTCCAAAAAGACAATTCCACGCGCTCCAAACCCCGATCTCCAGCAGCAGCGCTCGATCCCCTATTCCAATCGCTTCTGCACCAACACCCTGACTTTGACATGTCTCCCATACAGCTAGTAACCGACCGCAATAGTCTCCGCAACTTCCTGTCTTTCGCCTCAAACGGTCCCGGAAAATGGCGCATTGACGTTGATATGATTAACGACACTGTGTTCTTCAATCAATGGGAGGAGTTTCGACTCATGATGATAAATGGAAACCAGGATTCGGGGTTTGGTCATGCTTTTGAAGATTATGTTACTATTAAGCCGCCAACGATGAAGGACATCATACATTATGAGCGTGTTGCGAGGTATGAACTTGGGGGGTTGAAGTGTCTGGTGAGATTTGAGGCCGATGCGTGCTTGAGTGCAGATGGGAATGACGAAAAAGAAAGCTCCTCAATTCCTACATCCGATCTTCCAGAACCAAAACCCTCAAACCCCGTCCTCAAACCACCGTACAAACTCGTTCACGTCATCTCTCGAGGTCACGACATCAATCCAGATCAAATCGTCGAAATCAAATCCTACTCCGCTCCCTACTTCAACACCAAGAAAACGCTACCTCAATTATGGTTTGCGCAGACCAAACACCTATGTATAGGCCGTCATAAAAATGGACGTGTGACAGAGAAGTTAGAGATGAGGGATATGACCGAGGAGCTTCAGACGTGGGAGGCGGCTCATCAGGAAGAGTTGAAGAATATGATGAGGATTATTAGGGAGGTTAGAGATATTGTTAAAGTGAAGAGAAGGTGCACGGTTGTTTGTAGGACTGTGGAGGGGGTTAAGTGTTTGAGTGTTTTTGAGAGGGGAGGAGGGGGTTTGGTGATTCGGAAGGAGGTGCGGGAGAGGTGCTGGAGGGAAGAAGGGGGAGCTCGGCTTTATTGACCCGTAACAGGGTTTTAATATGATTTTGAATACAGGAAGGTACCGGTAACATAAGGAACAGGTTGACTTGTTAGGTATGAGTGCGTAATTCCAATGCGCCTTTCGCAAAATATTAACGACATTCTCTATTGCAGCAACTTCGACGTGAAAGTAACAACGGGTTTTCTAACAGCGAGTCCATTATTCGTTACAGCTTTACAGTCTTCATTTTCGCATAACTAAACTACATTGTAGCACGGGAATATCGCAGATGAACTCTCAGTCTGTGCTAAGAATCCGTCGTGTTGTAAGTGTCGAGATCGGCAGGTCTTTTGAACAGTTGCACTTCGTTATCCTGGGGACTATCACCATGGGCTTCGGTGAAGCTTGCAGTGACGATTTGGACGGTCGTTGCTTCCCCTTTTAATTTTGCAGTTGCTTGTGGAATTCAAAAGTCGCTCTTGCCAAACGAAGCGCTGGGCAGTAGGTTCTGAGGAGTGGAGACACAGAGGTCTGATTTAACAAATCCCTCAGAAAATATGCACGGCATTGGGCCTCAATATAGGGCAAAATCAATCCAAGCTTGTGAACGGCATGAGTGCAATCATCGATTGAGTTTGATTGAGAGTGCATTAGATAAAGATTAGAAACGCTGGCAAATGAAGGTATCCTTGTAATGTATCTGTATGTAGTTCACTCGAAAGAACTAATAACATTAATTATATTGCGTCAATTCAATCCACTAAATCTGCGATAATGTCCCAACCAGATCGACTAAATATCGAGTCTCGACTGCCACTTATCTTGTTTACCTCAAGGTACACATGTTGCATAGAAATTTCCACCATACTCTTTCCAACTTTCCTACATAACTTTGCTGCCAGACAAATTGTGTCACAATTATCCTTAGTTATATGAACAGAATCTTGATTAGAATATGACACCAAGATAAGACATTCCAAACTCGAACAGAATATGCTGTATAGTCTTCATTTACAGTAAAATGAAACAGACCATTAAACTGAAGCACTAATCTGGTACATCCCCACCTATATCAATGTAATGATACTAGAGGTTTTGCCGGCTGATACTTTCCAATTTATACACAGATCAAATTACCTGCAGGTTTGTAGTTTTTCCTACACCGGTGCACTGATATTGGATATTTACGATTGTAATGAGGGGGTGTCCCGACACTAAAAGCGAACCTACACGCTTAGCTTCCATGTCATCTCAGTCAACCCGTCGAACTTTCACAGCCCATCCTCATAGGGTATGCGGCTTTCGAATTCCTAGAAGCTCAATGTGTCACTGAGCATCTTTATAATAAATAATTTAATCCGAAAAGCAACATCTGGATTTGATTAAATGGTAAAAGCCCATGGGTTTCACACAACTCGACGAACAGGAGAAGATAATCTGGCAGCAAAAAGAAAGTAAGAGCCAAGTTCCCCAACTCTATAATCTCCACACGAGGCTCGAAAGAACCTCCAAAAACTCGTTATTTCCCCAGTACTTCCCCGGGATTTCTTTTAAGGCCAGCAATATCCGGGTAGTGGTTTTTAGATTTTGATTTGCCCTGTTGCCCATCCACTTGACAAGTCGACCACTTGTTTGTTGGTGACAGTATGGCATTTATTGAAAACCATATTATCTAAAGACATTTGAGTGGGAATGGGAATAGGAGTAATATAGAATGGCTAATGCTGATTTGCTTTCGGCGTTATGTGGTACGTAGACAGTCGCGTCACCCACTGGGGGAAAACGGCATTTGGATTTGACAAAATTACAGACCCGAGTAGGGAAGAACTAGCCAAACAGGAGAAACCAATCTATAAACCAGAAGTAAAAAGAAAGGAAAAAAAGAAGTTTACGCGGGCGAAAAAAAAAAAAGAAAAAGTACTTCACGTGGGCAGAACAAAAAACTCCAAAAGATAACTCACTTACCTTGTAACATTCTTTTTCAATTTCCCATGTCCTCTTTTGCAAAATCCGAAGAGCTGCTCAGTTACTCCTTAGAGCCGGTCCGTGGATTTTATTTTTAGAGACGGGGATATCCATAGAACCGTCTGTTGGGATTGGGAGATTCACAGCTATAAAATCCACTTAACAAGCTGACCAAGTCATTTCTGATTGGTGACAGAATTACGCGTATTTAAAACTATAATACCCGAAAAACAAGCGAACGGTGAATATGAATTGGTCTGGTATAAAATCGCTGGTACTTTGATTTGATGCGTATTCCGCTAAATAACTTGATAAAACTTAATAAACTACCCTTATCATGTAAGAGAGAACAATATCATAGGGATTACTCATGTTAGGGAGTGTTTAGTTGTATTTTTACACGTCAATTATAATAAACTGGGGAGAAATATCATGAAATGTATCATCTTACTACTACGCCTAGGTCTGCTACTATTTCTTTGTGCATAGAACATTAAGGTTTTGTTTTTACCTCAAAGTAATATAGAACAGATTTTTGAGATTCTTCTTCGTATTAAAAGATTATAGTCGAAAGCCTATATAGTATTGAGACGGGCGATAGCCACAGGATATTTAGTCGATTAATTTGACACATTATCACATATTTAGTGGATCTGGATATGACATTTTATATTTAAAGTCTGGTTCTGTTTTGGCCAGATATTCTGTTAAGAAGGAATCGAATATCTGCTTACTGAAATTTGACTAGCAACAAGCCTGTGTAAAAAGGGTATAGTCGAAAGCCTATATAGTATATAGGCGACATAAGTGGCCACGAGATATAATATTTAGTTATTAAATTTGACACAATATCACGTATTTAGTGTATCTAGATAACACATTGTCGCATGTTAAGTGAATTGTTTCGAGAAGACCATATGCAAATTTCTGGCTAAGAATTCCTCTCCAATCTTCTAGCCCCCTTTGGATCAACAACCAAAACCGAGTCCTAGTACAATTCACATCGCTAAATTCGCCAAACTCTCAAACATCTCTTTCCTCATTTCCCTCGCCATATTCTTCCTCTTCCTAGGAGCAATGCACTCATTATCCTTCAATGTCTTCTCGGCCCTGTTCAACATACTTCTCGCGCACTTCATCTTTTTCTTTTCCTTCTTGATCTCTGCCTCTGATTTTGGTCGAACCTCGTCAATTGCTGCCTGAGCACTCCTGATCAAAATTTGTGCTCTGGATAGTTTCTTTTCGGCACGACGTCGTCGACGGGCCAGCTCGGTCGCTTTCTGAGCCTCCGTATCAATTGTAGCTTTGGATAGTGTCATTGTCCCGGAGGTTGTAGAGGAAACTGGGTTTGTTGTGTCGAACGACTATTTATGGATTAGCTTCTAACTTTCTGGAGGCACTCATGTTCAAACGTACTGTAGTAATGCCGAACATTCTGTCCTCGGGTGGTGTCGCCCTTTGGGATTTGCTGCTGGGCCCATCTTCTTCAATGACCGCGGCCATCTTGCTTTCATATCAATCAAGACTATAGACCGGAGTTGCTATGGTTTGAGTTTTGAGGAAGATAAAGATTCATGTGGGTCTGTACGCGCAAGTGTTTGTTTTCATATTCACTCGGCAGAGCTCGCGTAGAATCAATCGGAAAAACAAGGTCAAGATGCTGTTGCTATCCCAGACTTACCACCATTTAACATGTAAAGGAACAAAAGCTGGTCTTCTATGATGGTCTGGAGACCTTTGGAACGTCCCGCCAAAACACCACCTGGACGTTGAAGTTAAAATATCTCATCCTGATACACTAAATATGTGTTATTGTGTCAAAATGATCGACTAAATATCGTATCTCAATCGCCACTTACCTTGCCTACATCCTACATAGTGCTTTCAACCGTACCCTTTTGGATTCGTCGTACACAGGCTCGTTGCTAGTTAAAATTTCAGTAAGCAGAATTCATTTACTTTTAAAACAGAATTTGGATTGCAATTTAACACAGCAACTATGCCACTATTTGGAGATATCTCAACCTCCAATAGAAAAACTGTTTATTAAAAGTCAGGCTATCATCAACCCCCCTCTTAGCCTTCAAATATTGAAAAGCCACAGACTTTTCTACCTCCATAAATTTGGTGGAAAGTTTTGTCGCACTAAATCTGTTAGTACCTCATTTGAAATACTCCCTTCCCTCACGTCGCGTTCTAAATTCGTTAGAACGCGATTCATTGCCGGCATCGGATCTTCAACAGTCTCTGAAGATGACAATACCACAACTTCCATAATACTCGTTGTTAAGATGTCCGGGGACTAGTGATACCAGCGTTAGCTTCCCCAAGATTTGACAAGTCAAAGAGAAGGAGGAGTAGACCTGAAGAATTGGATGTTCTTTCACTTCCTCCGTCACAAACTCTCCCTCCACAGTAAAACTATGTTCCAACACCTTGATTCTCCCTCGACAGAGCGAACATGTCGGGAAACTCTCGACCTTGGGTTGTGTCAATATCCATTTTCGAGCACAGACTAGACAGAAAGAGTGCTTGCATGGATGGGCATAGGCCTTGTTCGTGATTTCCTCGTGGCAGATGGAGCATTCCCCTGCGCCTGAAGCTTCGGAGACAGAAGGGTTTTGGAGATTGGCGAGCATGGTGAATACATATGTACGATTGCGATGAAAGAGAGGAAGGGGAGTTGAGATGAGAAAGTTTGTAGTTTATATACTTTTATGTTTTGGGGTTGATTCAGAATCAATAGTGATACTAAAACTCGTTAATCAGACGATAACTCTTCAATCATCTAGATTAATGTGCCCAAATCTGTTCACAACTGTGGGTTTTATCCTAAAGAGTTCATTAGCTGTTTCATTCACTGTTCAAACTTGTGTTTACGGTCGGTCTACTTCGCTGATGAAAATGCCTTTTGTATCTGCCATTCGTTTTGCTAAGCAAGCCGAATCTATTGTGGAATCGATCATTCGAGGGCTAAGTTTTTCTTGGCAAGGTATGTTATACTTTATATAATGAGGGCTTTGTGACGTCGCTGGACTGTTTTTATTAAGTTTCAGCAAGGGAAAGTGAAAATCTCCAACCTCCTCTCCAGCTGTCAAATGTGATCTTGACTGACACTCTACTGCCCACCACCAGAAGCCGTCTTCCGGTTGAACTCACAATTATTTCCCTTCTATTTCCGAATTCCCTATAGTCAAAACTTGACTCCCGAAAACCACATGAGATAAATTTCTTTGTGATAAGTCCATACATAGATATGTGGCGCTTTTGCTATTGTCGATCCGTCATTATGGAGACAAAGAGTTTGATTTTGCCACACGCTGAAGAAAAAGAAACCTTGGATGTAAAAGAGTAGCATCAGAATTTAAGCAATAGCCATGTTTCTTGTGTCTCAATTTTCTAAGGAGTCGACATCGTTGCGATAGCCTTCGCATTTGACAATATGCAGGAAATTAGTTCGACCCCACAGCTTCGAGAACCCCAAATGACAGACGAGATTGCCAATCAAGCACAAAGAAATTTTTTTGAGGAAGACGTGGTCATGAACAACAACGAATCGGCTGCAACGAATAACATCGACATGACAGGTGTTGGAATCCCAACTACAACATCTATGGAAGACGACAATAAGACACCAACAGAAGTGGCGCAAGGAAGAAGACGTAGTAGTGATTGGCGAGGCAGTCGCGAGCAAAGAAATCTAATTGAGGAACGACGCCAGACATGGCGCAAGAGTCAAGATATCCAGATTCAGCGACTCTGGAACACTATTAGCAGCAACAACCAAGACATCAAGTACCCTGGCTTCGCGAATATCGACGAATTCGAGGAAGCTGTTTGTCCCACTCCTCCTGTAAATCAAGCATTGGAACCAGAAGAGATGGGATTATTCTCGGTGGATAAAGACGGGAAACCAATATTCAGTCCTGCGATAAGTAAGATGAATCAGGAAAGCAACTACGAGGATGATCACGAGGGACCGGAGAACATTGGATTTGATAGATTGAGGAGAAGGGGAGGAGTTGATGCTGGGACTTTGAGAGCACATTTACAAGCGGCTCTTGAAACGAAGATGATGTGTCGGAATACAAGCAATGAGGCAGAGCGTCTTGCGATAGAAGTCGAGTGCCAAGATATTATGAATCAGATGGACGCTCTCACTCTCCAGTAGCGCTCGATTAGAAGGGAACGAGCACAATCATGGGGGAGTGTCTGAATGTAATCAATCAACTGACAGGATCCGCCGAACATTGTGAGCGTTGTTTTGAAATTTTATACACAATTCTTTTAGCCTATTCTAAATGTGCTTCTACCTTCACTTGCAGGGTGGAGGCAAGAACTCTAGCTTTAGAGATGGTGAATGATTGAGTGTGTGCGGTAACTGCTTCTCAAATGCAACTTTCTTGTGATGAAAACACACCGGTCCTATTCAGTACGAGCAAAAGGTAAATGTGTCAATAATAATTGAAAACTACGACCTCTACTTCAAAGCTCAGCTTGCAGGCAGTGCAAAACGGGAATGAAAATGTAGATGGTCAGATTGTGAGTACGTAGTAGAGGCTACTAATGAATCAAAAATGAAAAGGTGAAAAGGATGCTGAGCACTCAGATGTGGGAACAGAAATGCCAATGACAGAACAAACGCTTCTGTGGTTGCTATGTTATTAGCAACTTGGGTTCACTACAAATTCGGAACTGCAGAACAGCATAAATAGAGAGACAGGAACTCTCTACATCTTATATAACAATATCTTTGATCGCTTTTACACCTCGCTAAACAAAAACGTCAGAGATATGTCTTCAAAACCTAACACTACGGACAGCGGTACCCAGACGGTCGACACACACGACGAAAACGAGCAATGTAGCATTTGCTATGAGCCCTTCAACGATAAGACAACAATCTTTCCCTGCGAGCACAAGACGTGCTATGAGTGTATACGTCATACGATGAGAGCGCAGATGCGAGTGCAAAAGACCTGTCCTTTCTGCCGTGGAAAAATATCTGAACTAAGTCATACGGCCATAGTCATCGAGAAGATAGCGCCGATAAATTCACCCATGGAAATGACAAGATCACAATTTCCAGTGGAGGATTTGGATCTGTCCGGCATGGGGTTCGAAGAGACAGCGATTGTGAACGTGACTAATGCTGTTCGAGCGGCATCAAGGAGACAACGTATTCACCAGGCCGAAATTGAATTTGAAGAGACAATAACCCAATTGGAAACCCGTTTCGCCGGGTTGGTCGAAAGCCAGACATTTCTCAGTAGTCGGTTATCCCAAGAAAGAGATGCGATAGAAGATGTATTCGACGACTGTCTTAACATAGGAGTATCAATAAACCATTTTCGTACAGCAGAAATCAACAGGGATGAAGAAGGTAATTTCGACGAGGACTTCACCTTCCGCTCCTTATTTCAACGAGTACGCGGGCTTCGACAGAGGAGCGAAGAACGTTTAGATAGGCTTGAAGATAGGATTAGGGATGACGCGATTGAAGCATTGGTCGATGTTGACTCTTGGGATGAACTGCCATTCAGATCGGAAGACTGATGAGGTTATAATCTACATTTCAGCTTCATTAGATAACACAGTAGGAGATAAATCATACTCACATAAAACCAAGGCAATCTCCAAATGATAAAATCGTGCCAATCCTTAACCTAACCCAACTTCGAGCATTGTATAATTCATGCTGTATTACGCTTCGGAAATAAAACCAAGACAGAAAGATTTCAGGAAACGACCTAGAATTCGAGAGTGTAAAGTTGAAAACATAACAAAATAGAAGATCTAGAATTAAGAAAATGTAGTAAAAAGAATAATAAGGTTGTAAACAAGAAGATGGGGTTTCACTACCTCATACTTCTGGCTTCCTGAAAGGGGAGTGCAAAATACCTATAAAGAAAATCTCGGGCAAACAACATTTCTGAGGACACAAACCAGACCATGAATGGGCCAAAAAAAATTGAAAACATGCTGTTTAGGCTCAACAATAAAGTGCTGGAACAGATAAGTCAACGACAAAGCAATTTCTTGTGCGCTGTAATTGCTTAGCAAGAACAAAGTGCAAACGCAAAAAGTGGGGAACAGCACAAAATACAGCGAAACACAGCCTGTACTTATGCTATTATAAAATCCAACATATTTTCGCATCTCCATCTCCTCCACATACTCACAAACATGTCATCACAACTCAATAACCTGGAGGGGTCCCAAGAGGACATCAAACGAAATGAGAGCGAGCAATGCGCTATCTGCTTCGAGGGCTTCGTCGAAAAGACGACCATTCTTCCTTGCGAACATAAGACATGTTATGATTGCATCGGCAAGACGATGTCAGCGCAAACAATATCCAGCAAGACATGTCCCTTCTGTCGCGGAGAAATCGTTGAACTGAGTCGCACAGTCGTTGAGAAGATATCAAGCGGTCAGACCTTGGATGAGGAAGCGGGGCCGTACATTGAGCTGCCATCTATGCCTGATTTCGAAGCCGAAAGAGAAGAATTACGAGTTGAAGCAGCACGGTTGGAAATGAAACAAGAGAGTCTTCGCCGTCGAATGGACTTTCACGAACGAATCAGGGTTTTGGAGTTCCGCTTTCTCATGCTTACCCGCAACGAACGATTTCTTAACGTTCGATTACCCCGAGCAAGAGAAGCGGTAGACCGTATATTAGACTCCAGTCTCAATATACAGATATCAATGGGTCAAGTTCGCTCATCGGATTATCGCAGGGACAGTCATACTTTTGAGATTGTGGACCGCCTCACTAGTCCTTTACGCGTACGACTGCACATGCTTCAAGAGCAAACCCTTTCACTCAGGGATGAGTATGACAACAGAATTAGGGATGCCGCGCTCGAAGAGAATCTAGAATCTGTCCAAAATCTATTTGATGATTAGGACCAGGTGGTACCTAGGAATCTTGAACATGGTGGGATCGACGTTGTCTCCTGGGATATACTGCCATTTGGGACGGAAGACCAATGTAGCCACAACCTTCATCTCAGCCTCAACAGATAAGAAAGCAGGAAATAAATCATGACGGAAATGAATAAGAAAAAGATCTTTACAGAATAATATCGTGCCAGTAGTGCCAGTCCAGTCAAATCTCGAGCAATGTATGATTTATGCTGTATTGCACATCAAAATAAATTCAACACAGCAACCTTTTCCAAGACTTTAGAATCAATAGTGTGAAAGTGGCAACACATAAATGGTCCTGTATAGCAAACGGATTCGTAAAGGTAGAACGTGACTGTTGTCGACATGAGGTTGAAATTCGCTTCCACAATGTGGGTCAGCAGTCAAGGCTAGACCATATTAGGAACGATTTACCAGTTTCAGACCCACTCCCCTTGATTACTCCCAGGGTTCCTTCCTCTATTGATATCAAAAGCTCAATACATGCAGCAGTGACTCCTCTACGTCAGTAAGCGTTGAACAGTTCTGTGAGTTCATCCACATTGAATTGAATCTTCTCACAGCCCAAGATTCGGCGTGACTCATTCTTGAGGTTTGTGAAATGCATCTCGTATCCACATTGATCAAATCGAGAGGATTGAACACTACGGCGTTGATCATTGAAGGCTAACAAACTTCGGGCCCAAGTAAGAAACCCATCATCGGCAGAATATACGTTCCGTTCAATTGTATATATACACTCACATTCGCGTACTCTCTGACGCCAAAAGTTTCCTACTCAACGGCCCAAGAAACGTGACCATCAACCCTCCACTACTATCAAATTCCGACACATCACTTCCAGATTTTCCCTCCTCCTGCCTCTAAAATGCCAGACGAATTCAACATGGACCGCGACCTAACATGGAACGGCCCACCCAATCCCTCAGACATCCAGACCCAAGTCCAGAAAATTCTCTCACAAACCCCCTACGCCTGCGCTTCCCTCGAGAAACTCTCCGGTGGCTCCGCAAACTACGTATATCGAGGCATATTACAGAATCCTCTCGAGGATGGAGCAAAGACTATTGTCATAAAACATACAGAAGGATATGTAGCAAGCTCACCGAATTTTAAATTGTCGAGGTTGCGCGGTGTACGTACCTACTATATTCGTATTTACTAACAAACGATGGCTGACTATGGCAAGCACTATGAAAACACAATCCTAACATCCCTCCAATCCCTTCCCCCCATTTCCACACCCCTTCTCAGCATCAGCACACCCAAAATCTACCCCCTCCCCTCCACCACCAACACCCAAATCTTCTCCGACCTCCCCCTCTCAACAGACCTGAAAACATACTGTCTAACCCACGCCCTCACCACCCCCCAAGCAACCCACATCGGGCACTCTCTCGGTCTTTGGCTCAAAAGTTTCCACGTCTGGGGCGCAGACCCAGCTCAAAAAGAGCTACGCGAGAAAATAAAGGAGAGTACGGAGATGCGCGCGTTGAAATACCAGATCAACTATCCCACTATGATCGCCACAATCGAGAACTTCCCCGACCTGCTCGAGGGTAGCCGCGCGGTATTCGAGGACGTAGCGAAGGATATCAAAGCCCGCCTCGACGCCAACGAAGGAGAACTAATCCACGGTGATTTCTGGACCGGGAAGTACGCTTCCCCTTTCCCCCTCCAATCAAAGAAACTAACACACTTAGTATCGTCCTCCCCAACACACCATTTCAAGACACCCCCTCAACCCCTACCCCAATCTACATAGTCGACTGGGAACTAACCTGTCTCTCCCTCCCCTTCTTCGACGTCGGCCAGATGTGCGCCGAGTTATACGAGCTGAAGCTGTTCAAGAACATCGACGCCGGTCTTACACTCATAAGCTCTTTCATCTCCGGCTACGGGCCTGTAAGTCGCGGTTTCGCGTTCGACGTCGTGATCTTCGTAGGGAACCATTTGTTGTGCTGGGGCACGCGGGTTGCGGGGTGGGGAACCCCGGAGCAGATTCGCGAGGTAGTGGTTGTAGGACGTGAGATGGTTGTTAAGGGGTGGGAGAAGGACGAGCGGTTCTTTGGGGAGGGGCCTTGGGGGTCTTGGTTCAGTTAAGATGTTCACGATGAGTAGGTTGATTTCAAATGAGTTTCATTCCGCTTTTGAACGTGCATTCGAATACCCCTATTATACACTTTGCTCTGTCATACGCCATGCCAAAGCCACAAGGCATAGACCCAGCTTTTAGCCCATCAAACCTCCCAGACGCCATGCTAAAGCTGCAAAAAAAAAGCTGCAAAACTCAAATCGTATCATCATCCCGTGATCATCTACTCGAGCCCGCCTTGAAATCTCATTCCCAAGACCCAGCTATTTTCGAACTCCACCCCTCTCCGGACACGTGTGCCTGCTTTCTTCCATACAGCAGCGCCGAGTCCCACGTCCGCGACGAAAAGTTTCCATATGCCGTCGTGGCTGATCCCGTCTTCGTCGACAACACCTTCGCCCAGAACCATGGCTTCTAGAAGACCTTTCTTGGGAGCACCCATTGCAACAATGTAATTCGCGTGCATATATAGTGGTCTGCCGTCAATGATACATACCTTGCCACTTGTCGGATCAATACCAGTTGGGACGTCAATGGCCAAGACTGGTGCCTTGCTTCGGTTTACCCACTCGATCAGTTCATAAGCGGTCGCTTGCTCGCCCATTCTTAGCTCTTCGAAAGAAGTTGTGAGACCAAGAAGACCATCGACAACAAGCGCCAGAGGTTCTGTGAGGGTCTTGGCGTATTCGAGCAGTTGCACTTTGTTTGTTACCTTACCACCGAGTCCACGGAAGGCTTTGATCTGAGTTCTGAGGGGTGGAAGAAGGTCCGTTTCGCGCTCCAAGCCGAGGACACAAACATTGACGTTGATACCATGATTGCGCAGATGTCTACCGGCGGCAATGGCACGAACCCCACTTTTGTTATTTCCAGCCAATATGACTGCACTGGGAAGATTGCCTCCTTTACTTCTAGTCGACGTACTACTACTAGGTATTATAGCAGTCAGGGCGACCTCAGCGATGCCTCTTCCTGCGTTCTCGGCCATCATGTCTTCGGTAAGACCGACTTCATGATCAGCGATATTCTCTAGACTGAGCATTTGGAGGGCAGAAATTGGTTCGATGCGTCTATCTGATGGTACCAAATAGAAAGAAGGCTTTGCAGAAGGCTGCGGAGCTTGCTAAAATTATTGTTAGTCCCTGGTCTACGTAGACTAAGGGATCAGTCAGAGCTTACTGAAAGAGTTCTAGAAGGACCCGAATTGATAATGTTACTTCCTTTCCTCGAGATCGGCTTCCGATTCAAGCTGAGTTTACTTTCCGCTCTTTCTGTTCGTCTTGAGTGTCTACCACTTCCACTGCCTCTCTGACTCGCCCTTTCGTCACGGTCACTATCACCAGCTTCGCTCTTCCAAGGATCTGCTTTCGTTCTTGTATTACCATTCGGCGTTTCAAGAACATTCTCTGTGTAATGCAAGTTCTTTCCACCGGCTGTACCAGGTTTGCCTTTAGGCAGTCGGTTGTGGGAGACTAGTCGATCCTCATCCGCGACACTATCTTCAGCCTGTATCTGATTAAAGACGGTGTGCTTGTCAAACTTAGCCAGGTTGTCAGCGAAATCAAAATCACCCATATCCTGGACATCGGTCGCATCCTCTGTAGCCCATCCGTTTTCATCGCCCACCCCACGTCCCCGCTGCTTTTGTCTTTTCAAAGTAGAAAAAGGTTGAAAGGATGGATTGGGCTCAAGTAGTGGAGTTTGTCTCCAGCCTTTCTTGGTGGTCGCAGTCTCCTTTGCTGGTGTAACATCGGGCTCCTTGAATTCCTCCTTCTTTGCTTGACCTTTCCTCCGACGAGCTCTTCTCGCAGGTTTTTGTGCCGGCTGTTCTGAAATGTCTTCGTCTGCGACCAGCTCTTGCAATATTTGAGCTTCCACGCCCGGAACCTTGACTCTATCACTTTGGTTCAGCTGCTGCATAGGTTGCACCAATTCCGCGACAGGGGTCATATCGCTGACAACGCTGTCATCTCGGGGCCTGGCAGTCCTCGTAGATTCTGTCCTTTCCATGGCGCCATTGTTCCATTGTGCCGCCGCAAAGTGTATTTGGCTCGCGGGCTGAGGTCTTTTGCCCATGCTCAAGATCGCGGGATCCTCAAATGTCTTGGGTTTGGCAGGAATTAACGCGGGGGGTGCGACAGGTTTGGATGCTGGTAAGGGGGTTGGGATGGCTGCTTGAGGAGGTATCGCATTCTCATTGACGGCTTCCACAAGCTCTGTGATCTCCGCTGCGTTGATTGTAAATTCGGGCAGAGATTTTCCACTTGCTGGGTTGGTGACTAGAATACGTGTATTAGCACGATGTTCTACAAGACCGCGCAGGCACGTTGAAGGAGTCTACCATTTCTCAGAGTTAAGCTCCTGCCAGGTTCAAACCCGCTCACTACTCCCCTCAGTTGCGCTCCTGGTGGGTCGCTGAGAGTAACGAGCATCGTGAGGCCGATGAATTGGTTCGCCATATTTATGGTGGGGGTTGGTCGTCGAAGGTCGCACTGCTTAGCAGGAAAGTTGGATTGTCATGCGATCACTCGATGCGCACAAAAGTGAGCGTCGTTGGGGCGTTTCACTGATGATTGTTCGATCTCTGGACGGGTATGGCGTGTGAACTTGTTGAAGGGACTCGATGAGTGCGGTTGTTGTACTCGAGTCGGAGGGGCCTTTGGGGAAGTCGCGTTCTCAGAATATATTTTTACTAACGCTTGCTGGTTCATGCGGGAAGGGAGTCTGTGCAGACGGGGTTCACCCCGTTGCAGGAAAACCATCACCATGTGTAACCCGAACTCTGCCGCTGAACATCAGATGAGCTTGAACTTGGAGCTTTGGAGATGTTTTGAGTCAATACCGTACAGCTATTACTTAACCCACTCCTCACGCGGGCGATCTACCAAGTGTATAAGCCAATAATTGCGCCAGAGTTTAGATTGGCTATTGTATAACACTTCACTCACTCGCCTGTAATTTGATCTGACAAAACATTCAGTTCAATATATAAATTCTTTGGATATCTAACCATAATTATCTTGCTCTACTTGCATGTGATTTACATGTAACTCCAGCCAATAATCAATGCCCTGCCTCTGAATAACCATAACCTTACTCCACATCGAGCCCAAATGCTAGCAACGCCGTGCAAAATGCTGTTTCTGTCCCAACGCTCAGGCAATGTATAATTCTAATCTTGACTACCCGTACGCCGCCATAAGCTCCTCATCGGCATCGAAATCGTCCCACTCGTTCGATTTACTTTTCTTCGCGGGCTTTTCTGACTTGGTCACCGGTTTCGAGTACGCGGCTCCGGTTACTCTGGGATGCTCCATAGCTTTATTGACGCTGTAAAGGCTGTTGTAAAATTGAGCCACGCGGGGATGTGCCATGACCTTAGACTTATCAAAATTGTGTACCTCCAGCCCCTCTTGGCTGACAGCTCGACTAAGTGCGACATATGCCTGACCGTTCTCGAATATCCTTTTGAGATCAATCTTGACACGTTCCAGGGTTTGACCTTGAGCTTTGTGGATTGAAAGCGCCCACGCAAGAATGAGCGGAAGTTGTGTCCGTTGGGCTTGTACCTCCCCGCTTGGTAGCTCAATCTTCCACTCTTCAGGCATCACCAGCAAGGATCGTTCAGTCCCGTCGGCAAGAGAGAACTGGACTAATGGGTATTCTCGGCCAGTGTTCGGATTTGCGTCTTTGTTGCTGGCAAATTTCGCCGTCAGGCTTGTCTTTTGTGTCGCCTTCCGGGCTTCCTCATCCACAGGCTCTGCATCGTCCCCAAAGAGCTCAGGGTTCTTGTCGTATATTTCAAAGGTAACTTCGCTCATGAAAGCAATCACTTTTCCAAGAGAGCCATTCACTAGGCCCTCGTCCATGTTTTTAATCAGCATTACTTGGGCACCTTTCTTGAGCTCTATCGTTTTCGGGGCCATCATGTTGGATAGAAGTTTGTCTCGCATATTCTGGTCCGTGACTGTACCAGTATCCACAGCGTCATATCGATAGCTTCGTCCAACTAGTGACCGCATTCTGTAGGCATTCGAATTCTCGACCTCATGTCTCATAGGAAATCTAAGAAAGAGTTAGTAAGAAAACAACAACTGAGGGTCCAACTAACAGTTCCGTAGCTTCTAGGCTATCTTCGAAATTAGGCTTTCGATTCAGCTTTTTGAATGCCGCAACAGTAGAATCTGTAATTTTACCCAGGCGCATTTCATTCAGCATATTCGCAAATACAGGATCCTTCTGTCGAAAGACTTCCGTTAAGCCAATTGTATGATGAATCGCCGTCGACCACGTGCCCGCATCGAACGCAAACTTGATACCTCTAGCTTTGTTATCAGAATCCGGAACTGGGGGCAGTTGGAAGAAATCTCCGGTGATGACCAGTTGTATCCCTCCAAATGGGCGTCCATTGTTTCGCATAAGCCTTGCAATCCCTTCCAGCTTATCGAACAAATCGCCATCCACCATAGATATTTCATCAATAACTAGAATCTTGGTTTTAATCCAACGGTTTTTAGCTTTAGGATTTCTTCTGATCTTCTTCACAAGGGTAGGAACATCTTCTTTCCCCAGTCCGATACCCCCAAAACTGTGCAAGGTGACGCCACCAACATTGCATGCCGCAAGACCAGTCGATGCAGTGACTGCCACGCGGTCGCTCTCTTTCCTATACTTCTTTCGCAACTCTGCGATGATCGCCCTCATAAGAACCGATTTTCCAGTACCTGCCGAACCCGTAAAGAAAACACTTTTCGACTGATTGACTACGAGATCTAGTACTCGCTGCTGCTCCTGACTCAGGCTTATCGGAGCCATCTTCATTGTACTTTTCTGATGGCTATTTATTATTGCTTGTTGAGCTGGATCAATTTTCCTCGCCTTCTGCATTTCCTTGAACTTCAACTTTTCCTCTCTAACAGCGCTTCCTGTGTTGTTCCAAGGCAGTTTCTTCTCTTTAGGTGTGTGATTCCACTTTGAGGGCTTAGGACACTTCGACGAGGGGTGGCTTCCCCTGCAATGCATGCATATCTGAGTAGAAGTAGAACTGTCTTGAGTCAGATCAACAATGGCATCACTCTCTTCGTCTCCCGCAGGAATTCCATCTTCCTCAGCTCGTTTATTTACCCATGGTAAATTCCTCCGTTTGGAAGGCCTCATAGATGGATCAATTCCTGCCGAAGGTAATTCTGCGCTCTGAATAACTTCTCGTTGGCGTTTTACACCTGGGGGTGTTCTCCGGTGAGAAGGGGAGGAGGATGGCCAAGTCACAGCACTACTTGATGGGGCATGGGCCATTGGAGTTCGTGAGGTGGTACGGGGTCCTTGCGGTAGGTTGTAACCAGGAGAATCCGCGGGCTTCTTTTGAGAAACTGGTCGAGGAGGAGCTGACATTGGCGGTACAGCATTGGATTCGAATTCAAGATCGAAGTCATCGTCGTCGAAATCGTTTTCGAGGTAGGGCGCAGCTGAACGTAAATCAATCCCCGGATTGGTTGTGGCAAGAGCATCCTGCGATTCGATGCTACTGTTCTGAATCTCTTGAAACGAGTCTGCCCTACTAAATACCGAGCCATTCTTTGTGATAGCAGAGCCTACGGTGCTCGCAGTGTTTGACCTGGGCTTTTGACCAATATTCGGAGATCTAGCGCGCAATGGTTTCGTGGCGGTGGACTTTGGATTGATTTGAGAAGACGGATTTGCGGAATTCCTATAATTCGTGAACCCGCCAATCGACGATGTTGGTTGTCTTGAGTTCTTGAAGCCCTCCTCGATATTGCCGTTTTGTGATCCGCTGCTCGAAGGAAATAGTTGCTTTTCAAGGGCAGGTCTAGATGTCGGCGGCTGATCTGCAGACTTAACCACAGCGCGTTTCAACATCGCGTCTGCTATCGAGGAGTATGGACTTCTTGCATTGGTGATGGCTTGCCAGCCGTGGAATCGAAATTGTTTCCCACAAGTCGTAGTGGCAAAGTACTTTCGTGTGGCCGCAGAGAACGCTGAAGAATAATTCAAGCCAGCCGGCATGCAATCGGTTCGATGTATATCTGTGGAATGTGGCTGTCGAGGAGTGAATCGAGGAGGGGCAAGGTGTTTTGATTTGCGAAAATATACTTCGGTACACAATGCAATGCATGTTTTCGCGTTTGGGGTGAGTCGCGACCCCTCGAAGACGCGTTAATTGGGACCCATATATTTGATTGGTTGTAAACGAAGCGAGGGCATCGACAACCCCCCTTTTCATCACAACCTACCAGACCCTCAATTTCCACAAGGGATGACAACACGACCCGTTTCAGTGGCCTTTCAATAGTCAACAAGGCTTTGCTACACAGATATCAACTTTAAGTCTCCCACTTACTCGGTGTCCCATCTGCAAAGCTTTATTACTTGCTCTTCTGGAGATTGCAGGTGTCCAACCCGATCATCCTGCTTCTGAGTTCAGGGAGGTAATAGCTGCTCTAGCATGGAATGCATACCGTCGAAAAAACTGCCCAGTTATGCATCCCTTCTGACCTTTACTGCCACATGCGTTGTTTACAATTAACTATCGATCTTAACAAAATTAACCATACAGAAAAGGTTTATTTTGCATTATTTCTCTTGGACATCATCACGGGTATTGCATTTCGAAGTCGGTTGAGTTTCAGGATTGGCGTTGTGGAATGGTTCGATCATCAATGGGTTTTTCTGGTGGCTCTCCTTTCGATTCTTTGGCTATGCCAAGTGGCAATAGGGTGCGCAATTACAAGGCAAGTAGTAGTCCCATCTTCAAATTCACAAAGTGCGGTTGAGGTATTGGAACTCATCAAATCGGATGAATTTTGCGGCTCCAATGCATCTGAATACAAGTGACTAATATCGGATCCGAAGCATATTGGCCTTGTTTTCATCATATCTTATGGCGTTTCTCTGCATTAGCAACAAACTGTATTCTCGAGAAACCACTTCACTTTTATACCTGTCCTTCCTCCCACTTTTTGTATCCGCTGTTATTTACCGAATCCAGCTGATGCTTTGCATCTCTCTACGTAAGAGGATACTCTTCAGAAAATTGCGATTTTGAGGACATGTGGTCACGGAACATGGCGCTCGCTGTCAGATGAATAGAAATCATTGACTTGGATTATCCTGTTTCCGTTTCCTAGATTCCAATTCTACTTGTCAGTTTCACATACCGCAAACCGTCAGATCTCGTCCTTTCATAGAAATGTTAGCCTAGTACAAGTTACATGAGTTATCATTTCTGTACCTGTCGCTGTCTGCTTCTATTACCAGAATGTTAGCTTTTGCAAGGAGGAATCACAATTGGGGCTTTTTTTTCAAGTGTTGCGGTGTTACAAGTGAGCTAAGGCTTGGAAGTAACAGCCTATGCTCTCTTGTGGTATGATATGGTAACTTGGAATTCATCTATAAACATAAGAAAAATGGAGCTGCATTTTTCCATTTTAGACATCCACTCTATCTCGAGATCATTGTCCAAAAGTAGTTTTTTTATAAAGAAGTCAGCGCTTTACAGGCCAACGCAATGATATTCTCTATTCTAATAACTTCAAATTCTAAAATTCTATGCCTCTACCCATAAACCGTAACGCCGAATCAAAGCCTTAATTTCCAACCGAATTTCCCAGAAGAAGTCTCCCCACATTTCATCTTCTCCGCCCCTTTCCATTTCCCTTTCCCTTTCCGCCTCCCCTTGCCCCTCCCATTCCCATTCCCATCCCCCCACACACTCTCCTCTGCGGCAAAACAGCCACCACATTCACCGTCTTCCTCAAATCCAAATTTGGCCTCAACTCCAACCTAAAAAACGTCTCATGATCAATCTGACACTTCAAATCCCATCTATCCACAACATCCCTAAACTTATACCCCTGCGCGAACCAGTGCACATGGCTTATCTCCGTCCAATCCTCATTCAAATTCTTCGGAATCGCGTAGTAGCGATGTGAATACGCCAGCCCGAAATCATCGCGCGAGATGACGTGAATGCAATACGGCGTGTCGTCCTTGATTGGGTTATTGGCTACTGCTTCATCCGACAGGACGTCATGGGGAACCCAGGGTTGAGGGACAGGTGGATCTCGACTTCGCGGTGGGAGGTTGAAGATGCGGGAATTGAAGTTGTAGATTTTTTGGCGCTTGACGGCGAAGCTTAAGAAGGATCCGTATATTCTGTCGTGAAGTTCGCGGTCGGGGTTGTGCCAGGGTTTGTTGTTTTGGGATGTCCAGGTCAGGTGTGCTTTTCCGCAGCAGAAGACGGGTTCGAGGATTGGTGGGATTGATTGATTCATATTGAGTGCTGATTAATTTGAATGCAAAACTGAATTAAAGCGTGACAGAATGATGGAGAGGAAATCAAAGCAGATTCGAGAAGAGATATAGTCTTTGTGATGCTGAAGTGATATTCACACAAGTTGGACGTTGTTTAGTTGTGAGTGAGAGATGCTTCTACGGAAGGCCCACATGATGGCGAATTCAGTATGATTCATCTCGATATCTCAGAAGTCTTTGATATCGCTTAAGAGGTGAGGTTGTTGACTGCTGATTTTAAGAAATAAGCTCATTCTTGCCACACTGCTCCCGGCGTGAATCTAGGAATATTACAAGAACGGAAGACATCTCGGAATACAGGAGCACAATCATTCAGAACTCTTTAAACAAAGATGTATAGTTTGTTTTCATCAGCTGTAATGATCCAACATACTACCCATATCCCCAATGAGGCTTGATTCACCCATCCTGAACGTCCATGGAGACACCTCAGACACTTCAATCCAACGGCCCATTTCTCAATACCATACTCTTCCCCACCCCTCCAAAACCAATTCCTCCCTTCAATCTACCATCACCAACCAGTTTCAACCCTTCATCATCAAACCCAAGCCCAGCTTCCCTCCAAAAGAAAAATCAAACCCCCCCCAAACACAACCCAACAACGCCATGTCCATGCTAAGCGGTGTAATGTACTCTCCTCTCCGTACTTTTCCTTATATCAACTGTTCATCAGAACGCATATTGTGGCACGTAATTCTACGAAACCATCCCGTCTTCCCCATAAGCCAAAAACCAATAAGAACAACCCTCCCAACTAAGCTTCTAAATTCACAATTCCGAAAAGGCTCCCATACATTTCTCCTACCATATAAAACACCCATAAGATCACACGAGCGCAAATTCCATTCTTCAAATAAAGCTTTAAACCTGACACCCGAGAATGATTCAACATGCTTCAATTACAGGTTCTTTTCGGCAGTTGAAAGGTATGACTTGATTCACAGCTCTTTTAGATGACAAGGTCAAGATATCTTTCAGTTTTAGATTAAAGTTGACGGAAAAGTGGATTGTATAAATCTGGCTGTTCAGGAGTCGAATATCGTATGCAGTCGAGGGAGGTTAGGGCAATATGTGAAAACGTGATGTTATAACCGTTATATATGTTTCGACCAAGTATCCAAAACAGATTTTACATATCCCATCCACAACCTACCATATTTCAACTCCTCAAAAAGCCGAAAAGAACATCCCGGAAGAAAATCACACCACGAGAAAATATCACAAAAACAGGACATCTCATTTCGAATTTGCATTTCCATCTCATTGATACAACCACATACACCCATACCACATCCTAATTCAATCCCTCCTCCTTCTCCTAAAACCTAACCCCTTTTCCCCCCACTACCTCCACCACACCCAAAAAATTACAAAAGAAACCAAAATTGTATACTGTAATTAAGTATGTGCATTCCTAACCCTCACATGCCCAAGTGCAAGCCCAAAAATAATAAGCAAACTCCAAAGCACCATGCAAACCCAACCCATCCACCCAACCAACAGAATGCCCAACCTCACCCACCCTAAAAGCCAAGCCAAGCCAGCCAAAGTGAGAAAGTGGGTGTCATCATAACAATCATTCATATACAAAGCTCGAAGTTAATTTTTCAGAACGTCTTTCAGCCCCCTCCCAAACAGCTCTTATATTTCCAGCAAGTAGCAAAACGTTCACGCCTTCTCAGGTAATTCACTGAGCTTTCTCGGTCTCCCAGGAGGTTTCATGGTTTTGTCGTCTTCCTTCGGAAGACCGCCACTACTTGTTCGCCTTGCGATTGCGATGCCCCCACTTTTACGTCTTGGGAGCGCGGAGCCGGGGATGGGGATTACGCTTTCCAAATCCCCTTTACCGTAAGTGTTGCGTCGATTTGGGGTGGGAAAGTCGGGTTCTCGAGATTCATCAAACTCGATGTTTGACACGCTTTGAGAATGTCCGTGGCCATGGGAGGCGGCAAAACTGCCGCCGATACTTGATCTGGGTCTTCTTGATTCATATGTGGTTGAAGAGTAGTTTCCTAGGGGCGTTCTCGCGCCACTCATCGATGTCCTACTTAATGGTCTGGATAACTCGGATCTGCTGAGTGGTCTGTCAGGCCGAACATAGCTGTTGGCTTGACTTGCTCTGCTACTAGGTCTACTATCCGAGCTTTCGCGGCCCTCTCTACCTGTGACAGGACCAAATGATAACCGACTTATACCTGACGTAGACAGCCTGCTTACATGCTTTGCTGAAGGTGTATCGTCGGATGGGGCAATTGACGAGTGGCTGACCGTGCTTCCACTTGCTCGTTTCCTACTTCTTATCGTAACACTGGAGGGCATAAAGTTATGGCCTAGCGCTGAGCCATTCCGAGGAGATGCCCGAGGAGGTGTATTTACAGGAGCTGGTAATTTGGATCGAACATTATGAACTCTCTGCTCCAGCTTTTGCATTTGCGCTGTAAGACTTCGAAGCTGTGTAAGTGAGGCAGAGTTGGGTACGTTGCGTGTTGCAGGTGCTTTCGTTCGGACGTTCCGTATAACAGAAGGCGTCGCATCTCTTCTTCGAGCTGGGGTCGGTGCGGCAGATCCTGGTCCTCTTGAGCTGCGCAAATTTCCTGATGGGATTCTTGTCGCTGGCTTAGGCGTCGTGCTGGAATCGCCAGACGGCAATTTGAGCTTGCTTTTGTGTGGATTCATTGGTGTTTTCGCTACTGGCTTCGCAGTAAGTGATGCCTCGGACATTGGAGGAGACGGAGGAGTAGGTGTTTCGGAGACGGTATCGACAGTCGAAACAGATTTGGTATCTGGTGGAGTACTGATCATAGGCGACGAAGCTGCAGAATTGAACGATCTTTCCGGGTCGAACGCCGGAGAACTTGGGGCGGTAATATCGGTCGATAAGGAACTGAGTTGACGTTTGCGCAACTTGTCTTGTGTAATCTCAGCTTCGATTCTCAGATCCGACAGCTCATCGCGGAGCCTCTGCGTTTCGATGCGTAGGTTTTCTCTTTCCTTTTCTCCAACCTTGATCTCCTCTTCTAACATGACGCCTCTTTCAATTGCGACATTATACTTGGATTCTAGGTCCTCTAAAGACGACGTCGTATTGCGCGCCTGCCTTTCGAAATCATCATTGGCCACTTCAATATCCCTAAGTCTTAGATGCTGGGTTCGGTTGGCATCTCGCAGTGCCGTAATCTCTTTCTGCAGCGTATTTTGCGCTGAGTTCGCTTCTGTCTTTGCTTGTTTGTATTTCGTCTGAGATATCATTAGCCACATATTTACCTCACAGCAGAACCTGCCAGTCCCCAAAAGAATGCATACCTTCCACTCATCGACCTCAAACCCTAGACTTTCTACCTTTTCCCGCAGCGCTTTCTCTCGCTGCTCCGCAGCCTCAACATCCTTCTCAAGCTCCGCCTCTAATTCCTGACTAGACGCTTGAAATTCTGCTAATTCTGCTTCCAACTGTTCATATTGCGATTTATAATACGCGATCTTTTCCTCCTCTGTCGCAAGGTGGGTCGGTGGGGAGGACGGTATTTCGTCCATCGAGATCCTGTTTGCCGTAACTCCTCCAAATCTCCTATACGCAATCTGACATTCGCAGGCTCTCTCGTTTGTTGGAAATGCGAACCACAATCCCTCCTCCTTTGAATATCAGACCTACGAAGCTTCCTGTGTGCTTATTTCGGGAGCGGTGTACTTATGTAAATGTTCGAGGTCCGCGCGCTGGCTGTATTGTTATCGCAATCGTAATGAGCTTCGTGGTCGGTCGGTTGGTCGTTTCGTATCCAGTGATGTGTGTCGTTATTATTATCCTAGATATGCTGGTGGATTATTTCTATTCGTGGTGATTTGTTGGTGTCGTTGCCGGTGTCGTTGTCGGTGGTTGTCGATTGTCGGGGTTGTCGTCGATGAGTTGTTGTGGTCGTGGCTGCTCCCTCCTGAAATCGATGCGCCTGATTAAATTCACACCCCTGCATGTCGTCAGGGGAACCAAACCCCTCCCGATCTATCAAAGACCTCACCTTGACATTCATGGATAGCTTTGTCAAAACCGCGTATTATTTGTTTTCTTTTGACATACGCACGATGCATAACATTACCTTTCATTATCTACGCGTTAATCGAAGTTTGGTTCCTTAATCCTGCCAGAAGCTGTCTCCACCGCTTGCACAACAAACACGAAGGCTTTAATGCTCGGCCCACTTAGCAGAGATAGAAAGACTTCCATGAGCTATACTTAAAGAAACTACTTATTCTGCCCATTTAAGAGTTTGATCATCAGTGGGTATATGTGGTTATTTCCTTGATACCAATTGTCATTAACATTGTTACCAGCTACCATCTTCAGGTTTCTGTTTCATTGGTGATTCATGTCCCACAAATGACATGTGATTCATTGATGAAAGCCATCCATTACTCCACCAGACTTCAAGGTCATGTTTAGAGAACAGTCTATTATTCTATCTCTCCCCATTTATCAGATATACAATTTACAATCCCAAATTCAGGATATTCGACCGCTTTCCCCCCATATATAATATTACAAATCCATCTTCTTCTCGTGGGTATTAACATTATCCGAATCACTACTTGGAACCGCACCCGCTATCGCAATTACATCCTCAATATCTGGACCAGAGAATTTCTTGCTCGCGCTCGTGAACCACGTTATGGCGGCAATGAACATAATGGCTCCGACAGCAGCGGAGGTGTAATTCATATTTTCTGACGTTACGGGAGAGACAGATGGGAAGTTGAATGTGATGCAAGCGAAGACGAGATATGTGAGTCCGATGGCGTTGACGATGATTGAAACCAGAGGTTTCATGGCCCATGGACCGTTGAGTTGTTTGTGGCTTCCGTGGAAGTAGGAGATGAGTCGAACGAGAAGTGGCATTGCGTAGGAGAGGTAGAACTATGGGAGACAAGTGTTAGTGTGTACCGGGAAAAGGCTTATTCGAATCTCTTTGAAACAAGGACACTCGAATGGAACTTACGCCTTCAGTAGCAATCGCAATTACGGTATTGAATCCGGTAACCGTCCCAAAGTAGATGCTATTGAAAGCCATCTGAACGACAGTTGCGAGAACAATAGCTACAACAGGGATTTGATGCTTCTTCTCGACCTTTCTGATGATATGAGAGAAAGGAAGACCTTCGTCTCTTGCAAAGGCATAGAGTGATCGAGCTCCTTCGGCCAACAACGCGTTCGCCGATCCCATATTGATAACGACGATGAAGGAGGCTAAAAAGCATGTTCCGACATTACTGTTGGTGGAGTCGTGGTAGATTTGAATCAGTGGCACGAGAGTAGGTGTTTCTGCGACCAAGGTGATATCTCCGATACAGAAGCATACTGAAACGAGGAACACGAATCCGGTAACACAGCCTATCCATACGGACATGACTATTGCTCGAGGTGCTTGTTTGCTGGCGTCTTTGATCTCTTCGCACATCTATTGGAGGCAGAGGTTAGTCTCCTCTGCAAACGGGGAAGATTCCTCGAAATTAACTGAACTATATTAGGGTCTCGTTACTTACGTGGGCTGGAGCGTCATCTGTCAAATGTTGTGTTAGCAATATGTTCTGGAAAGTAACAATGGCAGTTAAGAGAGACTGCTACAAGCGAGCGAAATATCCACCCCAGGATAATCAAAAACAACAAGCATAACTCAACAGGGCGAGGACACTTACAACAACACATCCCAAACGCCGGCTGCAGAATACCAATAATCCCAGCCATTGGAGCACTAAAGCCGGTGAAGTTCTGGAAATCCTGGAACACGAAAGACGCCGGTTGCTTGTTCTGGTTGCAAGCGAGAATGGTGCTGATAGTTGTGATAAAGGCAATGATATTGAAAATCAAAAAGCCTTTCGACAGCTTATCCAGCACACTCGAACCCCACAAATTGATGAAGGTAGCGATCAACGTAAACCCATATGCAACCAGGACAGTATGCCATCTCTCGATCGTGAACGAAGGGTGGGTGAGCTGCGCTTGTCCAAGGATAAAGTTGGCACCGATAAAGGAATTCGTTGCGCCCATTGCGAGAATTCCTATGCCAAGATTAGAAAGTTTTCTTTGAAAGTCTTGGGGTTTGATTTACCAATAATCATAAACCAGCCGGTTATATACGAAAATTGTCTGCGAATACTCCTAGGAGACAAGATGTACACCCAGGAATATTGTCCTCCTGCCACTGGGTACTCACTGCACATCTCGGCCATTGAGTAGGCGACGCATAAAGAAACGCAACAGATTCCAACCCATCCCCATATCATTACTGGTGGTCCTCCTGATGTGACGCCAGCGACTAGAACACCACCGAGAGCGCTCCAACTGGACGATTGATCAGTATTTGATTCAATAAATAAGGAAATACAACGCAGAATCTGGACCAACATACCATGATACTATTGAGAATGAAAATCCGAGCATACCAATGAACCCGAAAGATCTGGTGAGTTCTGTGTAGTTTAGTAAAAGACAGATAAACACAGTACTCTCCAATTGACGATTAGCTTTCACTCACCTTGTTCATATCCAAACTGCTGCAAAGTAGCATCTCTGCCATCTCCAACAGCTTTAGTCTCAGGGTCTTCCATAGCGATTTTCTCAAAGAAAAAGGGGTATCAAAAAGAGACAAAGCGAGAACGAGATATAACAAAACTCAAAAATATAAAGGAGAATCGAATACAAATCTTTGTGGGCAAGAACTGTTATAAAGGTATACTCTACGTATCTATGTTTCATTTCACCTATCAGTTAACTATTTGCCTCCCCAGTTTTCTAATCGCATTACAACACACCCCATCTTGAAATCCTTATCGGGCTATCGCGATGCATGGTGACAGGCGTCATGCAAGACCGACATGTGGATCCTTGCAGAGTCAAGTTATATCTCCTTTCCAAGTTCCTACACATACTGCCGTCAATTAACTCTCACCTATTTATCAATCATCTGCAAAGCCTCCAATTGATATCATTTAAAGGCGAAGTATTTTTACCTAACAACTCCAACACAAACAAAGGAAGCGAGCAGGGAAACAAAAGTGGAGTTTGACGGCTGACTAGGCTGGTTTTAGCTACAGCAATTAACGTTAGCTTTCCCGGTTGTTTCCTTATCAGAGACCCTTAATTGCTCGACGACGTCTCTGAATTAATGCTTTGTTTCTGTCATGGAAACAGAGATGATAGACGGCCACTGACTGGTGATGGTTATTGGCAATCTCCTCCGGTGAGCGGGCCGACGCCCGATGATGTACCCGGTTGTGTGTCCAGCATTGAGATGTCTGGACGTCTCTCATCTAGCCGGCAAGCAAGCCGATAGTCATAGAGAAACGTTCGAACGGGTCCTTTGCATGGGCGTTTATGATGTGAGTTTTGCAGTTCTTTTCCGTCGAGAATCTCGAATGAGATGATTCTTGTCAAGTCTTCACCAAGCAAATCGTACATGCGACAGATCATACTGATTCATTCTACCTCGAGACCTAGCGCACCCGATGGTATGACCTCGGAAATATAAAATCAAAGGTATCGTGTCTGTGTCTCTCACATGTACTTCAATTCTCCTTTGTACCTTGCATTTAGGTCGAATTTGTAACACAAGATCTGCCCAGTGGTACCACAGATGGACGTACCAGTAATGTTACTGACTTCAAATGTCTCTGACTTGGTCGTACATCAAGCGATAGAAACACACTCGAGAGTACCATGAACTCCTCAAATCAATTACAATATCTCTCAATCTCCTTCTACTTCTTTACCCCTTTCCTCCTATCCCACTCATCAACCATGAGAAATGGATACTCCAATCCGAATCCACGTCCTTAGCGACGGCACTAAATCGCGTCTCGTTGAATTTCCTCGTCTAAACAGTTTTGAAGACGTAGATAAACTTTCAGAACCAAGAACCACGCATTGGAATTTGCTCAGTTGTTTCTCACAACGAAAATATCAAGCAAGGAATTCAGAAATCGCTGACAAGAAAAAACAAGACCCGAGAATCTCAATACCGCCTACGATCCCACCTTTGGAATTACTGAAGTCCAAGATGACGGCTCAGGTTGAGGCGAGACCTTATGCGTGGCCGATGGATGGGGCGTTTAATCCGAGGACGACAGCGTTGGTGATTATTGATATGCAGAAAGATTGTGAGTTAAGTCTTCATTTACAAAAATTTGCGTTAGCAATATATCTCAGATGGTCACGTTTTACACCCACATCCCTCAAACACAAAATCTCTCACTCTCTCACTCCCTTCGCCTCACCCAAAACTAACACACCCAGTCTGTTCCCCCGGCGGCTACCTCTCTTCTCAAGGCTACTCCCTCGCCCCAATCCTCTCCCTCATCCCCCGCCTAACCCACCTCCTCGCAACCTTCCGCACCCACTCCTTCCCCATCTACCACACGCGCGAAGGCCACCGACCCGACCTCTCCACGCTCTCCCCGCGCGAAGCCTCCCGCTCCAAACTCACCTCCGGCCTCGGGATCGGCGACCCCGGGCCCCTCGGCCGTCTCCTCATCCGCGGCGAAGTCGGCCACGACATCATCCCCGAACTCTACCCCCTCCCCTCCGAACCCATCGTCGATAAACCCGGACGCAGCGCGTTCGCGCACACGGACTTCGAGCTGATGTTGAGGATCAAGGGGATCAAAAATTTGGTTGTGTGTGGCGTGACGACGGATGTTTGTGTGGGGAGTACGGTGAGGGAGGGGAATGATCGCGGGTTTGATTGTGTGGTTGTGGGGGATGCGTGTGCGGCTAGTGAGGGGTTTTTGTGAGTTGAAATTTTTCTTTTGGGGGAGTGAGGGATGTGGGAGGGTTGGGTGTGAGATTCGAGGCTAATTTGACTAGACATGATGCTGCTCTCGAGAGTGTGGTTGCGGAAGGTGGGATCTTTGGCGCGGTGGCTACGATGGAAAGTATCCTGAAAGCGTTGGGGGAGGAGATGCCGGAGCATTTGAAGGAGAAGTAAATGGGTGGTGCCAGTCTGGAGGCGGATACCAAGAGGAAGGGTAAGTCAAAGTGTTTTGTAGATTTATAAGCTGGAATGAGATACCTTGCGCATACATGTTTACTTTAAAATAACTGGAACAGCTGGATGTTTTGTTAGCGTATAGGCTTTGTGTGATTGTCGACCATCATGTCTTCCAAGAAGAATAGTCATTGTTCAAGTATTTCCAGTGGAACCACATTTTCGTTATATGCCAATACCTAACCGAAGATCAGAAGCGCTTGATCTAACCGAACTTCACTATCAATTAGACCAACGTCAGTAGTCGCCTTCAAGTTCCTGTATCTTAATGCAAAAGTGTCCTTAGAGGAGAATGAGTTTCGAAAGAACTTTTTCAAAAATGCTATAAAAATCCTCAAGATTTCTACTCCACAAATCCAGCTAGCAAAATGGGGTATATAACAAACAAAAAAGAGCCAATACTCCATCCAAGCGGAATCTCGAAAGAAGCAAGGCCTGATAGTCCATCCAAATGTCCTCAAATCCATATCAAACTATCGCCGCCCACCACCAACTGCAAAGTTATCAAACATCCAAACCCTCGGAAATTTCCACCACAAATCTCCTCACCTTCACCAGCAACACATGACCCTTGATTCTCTCATACCTGGCTCACAACCCCTTCAACCCTCAAATCCGCGAAATGTCCCTCAACACCCTCCTCCGTAACCGCAACCCCATCGCGCACCTCGAGCGGTTTACTCCCAAACCACCCGTGCGCCGCCTCATCCATTTCCATCGGCGTGAGCGGTCTGCGGGCTTCCTCTAACTCTATTTCTGTCATCTCAGGGAGCGGGATGTCTGTCGCGAGACTGGGGAGGGCAGGGAGTGGCCGCTCAGAAGAGCGTCGGACGCGCATGATGAGCGAGGGTTCGGAGTCGGTGCGTGGTGGGAAGAGGGTCGTGAAGGCTTTTTGGATGGCGGGGGAGTAGGCGGAGCCGTTACCGTAGGAGGTGATGTTCGGGTTGTCGTGTGATGCGGGGATACTGGGGTCTTGGGGGGTCTCTTCTATAGCGCCGGAGATTCCGAGGCCCGGGGTGGTGGTTTGGGTTGAGAGGATGTAGTTTGAGCCCCAGGAGGATGTCGAGGCGGTAGGCGAGGATTGGGCTTCAGGGTCGAGAACACGCTGGGATGGAGGTTAGTTGGTGTCCTTCCATATGATCGTGGTCCATTGAATCCATCGCTCGAGCACCACCTGAAAATATATCCCAATATGCAAAAAAGGCCAGATAGTGGAGGAACTTACAGGTTTCGGGTTCTCCCTTAGCCCTAAATTCGCCACAATCTCCTTCTTAGCAACTGGTCTATACTTTTGAAGATGAAAGCCAAACCCAGTGATGGCAGACAATGGAGCGTCACCGTTCACAACACCATTCAGACTTAACATCGAACCTTCTCCCAAGTTTGGTCGACATCTGTGACAACATTTGAATTGACATTCTCCACCTCGTATCGGGATCCATGGTTTCTGTCCAGCTTTAACAATCACGCGAGTGGGTAGATATCTGGAAAAGCGACTTTGAGGTGGGGTAACAAAGAGTTCGGCAGATGAGTTTGGGTGAGTCGTCTCGGATCTTGCGGTGTCTAGGACCTGGTGTGTGTTAGATGTGATCTTTTTGATGTTGTTGACACTCGTTGTGGTTGTCATTGGAAGAGACCCCATCTCGACTAGCTTGACGCAAAACTTACATGAGATCTTTGTTCAAGGATTCTATTAATCTGCTCCTGGCTGTACGAGTCAAGTTGTTCCTGCGAAACCTCTTCCAAGAAGGCTATTTTGCTCATTCGCGCGACTGGACCTCGTTTTGGGGGTGCAGCTGGCCGCTCAAACAAATTGCCAAATGCATCAAGAGCTGGCTATCATTCAGATTAGTATCGTTTTTAGCAGCACACAAACGCAACTTACGAGCGCGTTCTTATCGAGATCATCCTCCAGCAGCAATTCGCGATCTTGAGTACATCTATACAACCATCCAAAAGACCCTGGATTACAACAGACCGAGCATCGAAACTCTGTTGTGTACAGACGTGTCATTGTCAAATGGGTACATGACGGATATTTCGGAGTAGAATGTCGGCTTTGCTTTATGGTTTCAGTCGAGGATCCATTCGTTTTGGAGTCTTGCGCAGCCATGGTTGTTGTCGGTTTGCTGGGTACCAGAAACAGTCGAAGGCGATATCCGAGTTTAAAGAAGCTCCATGTACTCTGTTCCTGAGATCGATGGTTTCGTTGTTGACAATCTGACTTAATTGAAATTCCCCCGAGTCGCTGCTGTCTGAATTGTATGAATAATGGCCTCACTCGTCCGAAGCTTTTCGAAGATGAGTCTCTGCAGTGATCTGGTGTCAACAAGGTTCCAGCCTCCTACATGGATTTTCCTCCACTAAGCGAACAATTCACCCTAAAGCTCCAAGTCTAGCCGAGTACAATCACGACGGGAACCTTGAAGCATTTCCCCCATAGAACCCGTGAGACGAACCTGTAAACTCCTCTAGGTTAGCATCCAGTAAAAAAGCGAGCTTCATACAACTGGTACTAGTTGGCAATTCACATTTGATCTCATACTCGTGACACATAGCCCAATATGAGTCAATTAGCGCGATTTGCATTTCATGGCCACTGAAGCCTGCGACAGCGGGCTTACTCAACGTTCTTTTATACCCGGAAAAATGGTTGATTGACGTTGGATTTTGCTCAGTTTGTATTCGGGGGACCAGCCTGTGGTAGATGTTAGCTACTATGTGACAGGCGATGCGTTATTGTTATCAAACCTCTGTTAGGAGATCTTGCACTCAGCTTTTCATTCAGACAACTTAACCATTCCATTTTGTAGATGAATTGAGATAATATTTGTTACTCCATATTCAGCCAGAAAGAGCTGCTTTGAGTAAGTTTTCCCTTGTAGGTCTTCTGCGCTTGTTAATTTTTCGTGCCAACCAACATACTCAGTGATAGTTGCCCTTCTGTGAAGGTTTGTGGTTCTCTAATCAAGACTGACGAGACAACGAATTCGCCGAGCGGAATATCAACAACGAGACTTTGGTACATCGCTCTTCTCCTGACTTGTCGAGCATCCTGAAAGCAATCGCTTGTCCCGCAAACCGCTTTTTGGAAAATGGGCCAAGGTCCGTATTCGTGGATCTTGTTATCGACTCGAATCTGTAGATTTCTGAGCCGCCCAGCTGCTAGGGAACACTCGGTCTATTCTCGAACTGGATCACAACACGGGAGACCTAACCAGATATCGAGTGAACCGTAACCTGCCTCGTTAATCACCACTAAGTATAGGTAGGTTGGCCTCAAACGATGTCCGGCCCATATTATTCACAGGTAGCACAAAAGGAATATCCTATAGAGCTTTGTCATCATCTTGCCATCATCTTGATGTGCTCTTGATGCAGCAATCATGGAAGGAATTGAGAGTGGTCGGCCTTCGAAGTTACCAAGGATAAGGTAAATTCTATACTTGAAATCCAGAAGATGGTGTGAGATACATAAGTTGCCTTAGTAAGACCTTGAATGAGATACAAGACCATGGGAAAAAGCAAACAGTCAAATCCAGTTAGTGTTCCGACCACGAGGCTAGGTAAAAGGCGTTAACGAGGACAGCACATGCACAATGATGGCATTGTCTGCAGCGTAAGCTTTGTTGTATAAGTGGATAGGTATACAGCTCAACCGGAGAGCTCATGAAGTACCTAGGTAGTGCTCCGATGGTAGATTACATTCTCCATGAGTGTGGTTTTGTTTGCTACTATTTGCGTGTTTGACAAGGAACGTCATCGAGAGGAAATGAGACTTTCGATGAAAGGGGTAAATCTAGAGTACCCAGAAATACTCAATGTCCAAGGCAAATAACAGGGCCACTTGACAGTACTCGGCTGTATATTTGCATCATTAAGCTTTCTGATACTCGAGGAGAAGAGAGAGTGAAGAAACACAAGCGAGGTCGTTGTTGTCCCTCCAGCCGGATGAGGTTACAGACCCACATCGACTAGCCCCCTGCCGGTTCTTAGTGGCACCTCCGCATTTACTCTTGACCCTCACCTCGCTCTGCCAGCTGGGGAGTTGCTTTTGCACAACACAACACCAAAACATCGTATCGCATCCCTCCAACCGCCTCCCAATCCGTCACGAGCGGACGAGAGAAACTTTGAATAAAGGTCAGTTGCTGCGAAATCCCCTCTCAATCGCATAACTTCGCGATTCGTGTTCGCGCAAGACTCCGTCTCACCCTTGTCGCGACAACCTCGGCCGACTCCCAAGTATCCGACGTAAACAGAGAGACAGAGAAGTCACTCAATCGAAACACCTGCTATCACCATCAATTCATATGTCTTGCGACTATTGTTAAAATCCGATCGTCTGCTAACATACGATCCAAAGTACTCGATTTTGCTGCCTCACATCTCACCCCTCACAATGTCGGTAAAATTCGAGAAAGAAACAATCAAGCAGACTGGCGGCACCATTCCAGACGTATCTTTGAGCCAGACCCTCAAAGAAGGAGCTTCAACCTTGAAAGATGGCAAACATGGCTTGGTACACAATGCGGGGGTGCTGGTGACCGGTGGGAAGGAGATGGAGGGGACTAAGGGCTACTTGGCGGTATGCGATCTGTCCAGCGGTCGGGCATGTGCAGCAACTGACTTACGATCGAAATGCAGGCGTACTTGAAGCAGCTTCAGACGAATCCTCTCCGCACGAAGATGTTGACCTCGGGGACGTTGTCCGCATTGCAAGAGATCCTGGCTTCGTGGATCGCAAAGGACCGCAACAAGAATGGCCATTACTTTACTGCTCGAGTACCTAAAATGGCTGCTTATGGAGCTTTCATCAGTGCGCCATTGGGTCACGTATTGATCAGTATCCTCCAGAAGCTCTTTAAAGGTCGGACAAGTTTGAAGGCCAAGATTCTTCAGATCTTAGTTAGCAATTTGATTGTAGGTTTGATATCTCGTTTGCTGTAAAGACTGGCTAACCGAACAAAAGATTGCGCCAATCCAGAACAGTGTTTATCTCGTCTCGATGGCAATCATCGCCGGCGCTAAGACGGTGCATCAAGTCCATGCAACATGGAAAGCTGGTTTCATGCCTGTCATGAAGGTCAGCTGGATTTCGTCTCCATTGGCTCTAGCCTTTGCGCAGAAATTCCTACCGGAACACACCTGGGTTCCATTTTTCAACATCATTGCATTCTTCATCGGCACCTACGTCAATTCGGTAACGAAGAAGAAGCGTCTTGCAGCTCTCCGCAAGAGATATCAGGACGAGAGAGGTTCGAGACCCGACGACTACCCAGGACAACCAAAATACTAGTTGATTTGAAAATTTCAATTGGATGGAACCGATTTCCGATCAGGTCTTTTTGTACATGGACTAAATGCGACTAGCTGGAATTGGAAGAGCTATAGTTAGACAAATTTTCCAACGCTTTCGACGGTTGAATAATGAGTGGCTTTACGATGGATTTGGTTTGTGGACGGAGTGGCCAAGCTTGCTTTGATCGAAAATGGCGGGTCACGGCAGATTGCCATCTTCGATGGTTTGTGTAAGTTGGGGTTGTTCAGTGTCCCTATTACTCGGTTATTCGAATCTATTGGCGTTTATGTACAGTTCGCAAAATTCCCATGATCGATGTGCTTCCTAAGTTTGTGGCGCAAATCAACACGTCAACTTGTTTTACATGACACATAGGAACAAGTATCATATTACTGTCAGATGCCAACAGCTTCGTACAACTAAAAGGAACGATACACGCTGCTGACACTGTGATTCCCAACAAGTGCGGAGCATGTATTTCTATTTCTTACTTCGCCTCCCTATCATCTTTTGCCTCTCTACATACTTACGTGCATTTACTTGATTGCCTAGATTTCATTTGTTTCCTACCTGAGTTCCCCGAGTCGTCATAGTACTTGAGAACCTATTTCTCGGTCCGGATTATCAAAAGTTGAATACTTCAAGGTCATACTGCTCGAAGACTCGAAGCGTCATCAATTCTGAAGTTCTGAGCAACTTCCTCCGCGTACTTATATCTCAGTATCTTTAACAGGCATGGCCAACAGTCTACAACTAAGTGCCTTTCCACGTCGACCAGGTCTCTACGACCCACAAGCAGGAGGTCGCCTTCCCCCAAACTACCTAGGAGGTATGGGCGGCCTCCCAATGCACCCACGCCGTCGCGATCCCTACATGGCAGCCAACCTCCCACCTCACCACCATGGCGGCCTCGACCCACGCATAGCAGCAGGACCACTCCGTCGAATGCCCCTCCAACAACGAACCCCCTACTATTACGACGAAGACCTCGACCCCCTCGATCCCTCCCTCGCCTACATGGGCAAACCACGCTCCGTCCCTCATCCCCACATGCACATGCCCTACGACCCTTACCACGCCTACCACCCACCCTGCTCCTGTGGCTCTCACCACTCCAACAGCTGCTCCTCCTCCAAACTTTCCTCCTCCTCTTCCTCCTCCTCCAAATCAGACCTCAAAACCAAAGACCTCTTCATCCGCTCCAAGATCTACTCCGTGCGCGCCTCCTACCTCGCCGAATCCCCCAAATTCGAAGCCGAGCTCACGAAACTCATGGACAAGAAAAAGGAAGACCAGATCCCGTCGCGCATCATCAGTCTGCTCATAAACTACATCAACAAGGAAAGCTATTCCAACGACAACGTGCTCGATGAGGTCACGCTGCACGTGGTCTGCACGACTGTTAATTGTAAAAGTGCCGCGGAGTATGCGCTTGAGAGGCTGAAAAGGTTTACGAAGGAGGGCCATGAGATTCCTGTCGAGGAGCTGTGTCAGATTTGCGTGGCTATCTTTTGTAGTGAGAAGGTCGAGGAGAAGTTGAAGGAATGGTTGAAGACGCATATGAAGGGGGCGGGGAATGAGGCGCTTGGGAGGAGGAGACAGGCGCTGCTGGGGGGGTGTAAGAAGTGGGTTGAGTTGATGGATAAGAAGCCTGAGGTTGGGACTAGACTTGAGGTGCTTCTCGATTTGAGGGTTAAGGATGATGAGGGGGGGTATCGGATTTTGTGAGGGGGAGGGATGGAGGGTCTGAGTTTGGGAGTAGGGAATGGCGTTCAGGGGGTGAGTGCAGATACGAATGATGTTATGACTATATACGGTAACGCACATATGGACACCAAAATGGCAGTTTCTTGTTCTTTTCTGTCACGATACGATACGTTAGGCATTAGCATTAGCATAATACACGTTTAAATTACTTATTCACACATTCCCCCTTTCCCTTTCCCCTTTCCATACCCTATTCCCCATTCAACTACCCCCCTCCTCAACAATCCCCCCTCCCAACATCCACAAAACGTCATAGACAGCAAATCCCACATCACATGCAGCCAGCCTCCTCACATCCCGATACGATCTGGCAATTACACAAATCTAGCCGTTACACAATCGAAAACGTGCATCTTACAATCCGAAGACACACAAATGCTGCAAGTGTGGCTTTTTTGGGATGTGTTTGCTTGCTGGACTAGATCTGTATGTGGTGTGTGCTGCGGTCTAACCAGACATGTGAAGAAAAAGAAGCGAGGGAGGTGATATCTAAGTGGGTTTGGTAGGTGGGCCGAGGAATTTGGTATACCATGCAGTTCCTTCGTGTCTAGGTTACAGAAGTCTGTGGTTCTTATTCCTGGCGAGGGGAAGAAGGAATTTGTAAATGTTGCTGGTTCATCTTTCTAGCTGATGTTTTAGACCACAGACTGTGGTATTCTATGGGATGTACTTAAATGTATGAAGTCGAATATACGCAAAACCGAATTTATTTGTGGATGAAAAGCTGGAGATCGTACCACATCAGAGAGTTCCACTATCCCCCCCGCTCCCTTTCTTATAATTGAAATACACACTCTCGTTTCCAATCAGAACTTATCTAGGTATCCCCTTCCAAATCCAAACCCCGCCCAAATTTCCAATTCCCTTGCCCCATTCCACCTCCTCAACCCCTCATTCAATCCTCCCTAACCCACGCCCTCAACTCACACCACACACCATGGCCCTCACACCACAACTTCTCCGTCCCCACCATCGGCGTCCACGTCTCGCCATCCCCAATCACAATATCCATCTCAGAGCGTCTCACCGTCTCATACGCTTCCTCTTTACGGATCTCCCTCCATCTTCGACAGTGGAATGGTGTTTTGGCCGCCAGGATCGTCGAGGTGGGCGTGTTGCGCTCTTCGATGGGGATGAAGTAGTGTGTTGATATCGTCGTTACGGGCGTAGAAGAGGAGGATGGGGCTGAGGGGATGGTGGGTGTGGAAACCCGGGGAATGCGACTGGGGGTTTGTGGAGGTGTGGGTTTCAAAGTTACGACTTCGACGACGGCGTAGAATATACTGGTATATGGGAATGGGCCCTCGGGGTTGAGCGCTGGGGGTATAGCGTCAGCGTTCAGGATACAGGCGAGGAGACTTGCTATTAATGGGCCTGCGGAGCGGGAAGGCGGGACGTTGTTATGGAGGGTGTTTGCGGGGAGGAGTTCGAGGAGGTGTTTGTAGGACAGGGGGATGGCGTCTTTGCAGCATAATGGGTTGATTGACATGGTGTTAGATGGGATGGACGTAATGGTTTCTGTTTCGCCGATTTCTTCCCAGGGTTCTTCTGGAGGAGGATCTAGATGGGATTAGCTCATAGTTCTGATGTTAAGGGGGTTGATATACCTTTTTGTAAATGCTTGTTTATCGTCTCGCGCACCTGAGAGAATGTAGGGAGTGACTCAGAGAGGGTTGAGAGTTGGGCTCTGATGGAGAGGGGCATCATTTTCTCGTCTGCTATCAGATCTTCCTCCAAAAAAGATGGGGCTGTGGTTGTTTCTTTCTTATGGTGCTTGCGAGAAGCGTTTGGTGAAGCATTTTCAGCTGATTCATGATGGCGCGCAATTTGGTGTTGAGTCAGTGGTTTGTTCGTGAACAGTATCGGAAAATGCTGAGGATCCTTGGAGTAGGAGATGTTTGGGATTCAGCTCAGGTTTTGGTGAATAGGTGACCGAAATTTGTCCTGAACTAGTCATCATGATTTCACTTTCGCAACCATTGGCTAACGTTGAATTTCTTGTCTCAAAAGCCCCATGAGGAGAGCTGGCAGAGACCCAGATCTTTCTAACCTGAACTTTAGGAGTACGACTTTTCAGAACGTTGAAGTCAACAACGACTGGCTTTATCAAACACACGCTGCGAGCATTGTATCAATGTGATTCATTGGCTCTGTATTGATTTTCAACTGACACTTATTGTCTAGCAGGAGGCATGGTCGCGTCGTCTAAAATTATAGTGAGAATTAGCCAACACAATATACATATTCAAGATTCGAAAAGGGCTTAGCCACTAATTTTCCAACCCAAAGAAATTGTTGTCAAAATTGCCATGCTCCATTTCGCCTCCTCCACCAGCACTTAAGCCACCGCCGTCCACGAACATATCATCAAATACGCTATCATCCGCGCCAAACATAGTTAGATCGAGGTCCATATTATCATCACCACCAACATTATCCAAGTCAAACGAATCTGTCAATTGTTTGTTGCCATTGCTGTTGGTATTATTTGATGTATCCTGTGATATGTTTGTAGCACCCGTTCCGTTGTTTGTCACATTCTGATCCTGTGACATGTTTCCAAAAGTGGATAGATCAAAGTCGTTGCTCTGCGTCTGAGTCTGATCTTGTGAGTTAATGGCAAAAGAAAAGTCCATGTTGTCAAAGTCCATATCAATATTATCGTCATTATCATTTGGGATATCAAATAACGAGTCAATTGACGAGTCTTGTATAGCCGAGTTACTGGGGTCGTTCTGCGTATTTTCAGTATTAATGCCAAGGCCGATTATTTTGTTATCACCACTAGCTTGTGTTGAAGCTTGAGGAGATGGCATTTGTAAGGGTTTAGAAGCCGGCTTTGGAGGTTCAGGGGCTGTAACGATAGATTCCTTTGGCGGATCGGGGATTGGTTCTGGCACTTTCACGACAGGCCGTACTGATTCCGGGCTCTTGTTTAAAGGTTCCTTCTTTATCTCCGGACTTTTCGACGGCTTCGGGGACTGGTGAGGTTGTTGGAGTGTTTTGGATTGACTAGGAGCCCGGTTCATGGCTATTGTGGGAGAAACTGGCTTCGGAGCCGGAGTAGGAGTAGGTTCGGGTGCCTTTTCTGCAACTGGGATGGGATTTTCGAGAGCAAGTCTTTTCGATCGACATTCTTCAAGATCTCTTTGAAGGACGGATTTGGATTGTAGCTAACCTTCCGTCAGTACCAGTACATATCGTTAAAGAATGTGCAGCTCACTATGTCGATTTCCAAGTCGTCCAATGCTTGCTGAAATTGCTCAATGATGGTAGGGATGGTGGATTGCGTCCGAGTAGCTCCAACTTGTGCTTTACCGCCTTCTTTATTGGAACCCTTTAATGCTCTCCCAGTCTCTATGAGCTTTGGATAAGTTAGCGAGGCTCAAATGCCATGCACAGAGGCTACTTACAACTGCATTGAGCATGCTTTGAAGCACGTCCAAGGGCTGCTTTGGTCTCGCGGGCGCATCTTGCGCCATGATGGATAGTTTGGTGGCTGGACGTTGGCGATAGAGTATGTTGAGATGAACCTGAAATTTGATAGATTGAAGTATCTAAGTATGTGAATATGTGAATAATTCGAACGTGAACTGAATAATAGAACTCGAGAATGAAGGGAGAAGTTCGGCGTGGAAGCTCCAGAACAAAGGGAACAAAGAAAGGGTCGAGGAAAGTGACGCAGATGCGCGACCGCGACCCTAGCTTGTGGCCCGTGCGCTTCGCACCCCACAGCACTTTCTGATACGGGTTTTATTTCACTTATGTTGTCTTTCCTGAAATGGACTTCAAAGTCAAAAGAAACGTCTCTATCGATGGCTAGAATACCGTGAGAAGAAGCAGTCATAACTTTATCGGGACTATATATTTTGCACTATCCATTAATAGAATCTGGATTGAAAAGAAACATCAAGCTGCAATACCAGGCTTGATCGCACGTTAATTTTCTGGGCTTTCACGCGGTGGCTGTATATCGGAGCCTCTTGTTCGGTAAGTCAAGACTTTCAGTATGTTCCTTTTATACGACAGGGCTTTTAGGTAGGTAGAACATGCTTCATTCGCTACTTGGTGCCACGTAGGAGCTGCTACGAGAGAAAACTTGCGAATGTTGGTCCTGAAGTTTATTCATCCATCAAAGCTAGCCAAACCTCCAAGTGTCGTATGTCATCGGGATGCATTTTAGTTTTAACCTGCAATTCAAAATATCTTCTGAAATTCCAGCGTCTGAACTGGGCCGGGGTTGGCCGCACCTTACGAATCGCCATCTCCCAGCATACACCTGACCACAGCAGGTCATGAAAATAGTATTCTAGTGATGCTGGCCAACTCACTAGATCTCTAAGAGCATCGTAAAGCAGGCGCATACAGTCTGCCCATTCAGGCGTATGACCAATGGGCTTTATAATCGGCACCTCGCCCAAAATTTGGTAACATTGCGAGGGACATTGCTTGCTGATGCAACCAAACGATTCGAAAAATACGTGTAGCATTTCATGCATAAGGGCCAGTATGAGCAGCGGTATCCAAGTTGTGGGACCTCTTTTATTATCATAATCAGCCCAGACTCGGATGATCCCACGAAATGGAATAGTTGCATCCATTTTGGTAAGTCCCATTTGAGGAGCATGTTCATCATATTCCATTATGACTTTAACAAGTTCTGGATCGAGAGCTCCGAAGAAGAAGGCATCATTGAGGAGTAGAAACCAACTGTTCAAGAAGGTCTGAGGATCCTCATCTTCCCAAATCGGCGAATAGAGTCTTAATATCTGCTTAGGCGAAAGTCGCAGCTCAAGTGGAATCTCATTGTACCAATGAAGCGCCCGAGCAAAGTCTCTGGTATTGTAGGCTTTCCATTGTGGCTGGAAATGCCAGGATTGAAAAAGCTCTTGGTCGAATGATGGATGTGGATCGTCTGAAGGAATAGTCTCGAATTCGAAGGGTCGAGGCGTGAAATTATCAGGGTCGTCTGGAAGAACAGTCTCTCCTGGAGAGACGGTCGCTTCTTTGAATGGCGGAGACATCAAGTTAGGATGATCGCCTGATGGAGCATTCTCCCCTTCGAAGCATAGCCTCTTCCGATGATGAGCATCGTCTGGAGGAACAGTATCTTCTTCGAAGGGCCGAGCCGTCGCTTGATGAGGATCGTCTGAAGGAACACTCTCTTCTTCAAAGAGCCACTTTGGCAATTCATAAGGATATGGATTATCGGATTGGTCATCAACGTCCCATTTTCTTTGTTTCCTTTTTACGAACAATACATGTTCTGCAACATCCCATTTAACGTCTGGTGGGAGCTCGGAACGCATGCGTGCCTTTCTATCCATCTTCTCGTCGGTTGTCTTAGGCATCTTGAAGTTGATTTTGATCTGTAAATTGGAAATAATCAGTAATAGATCAGTAATTCAAAGATAAAGGGTCAATACTTCTAGTGGGTACAAGTTTCACAGAGTTGTGTTATAGAAAAAAACAAAGGTGGTGGTTTTTGCAAAATTGCTATAGAGACAGAAGATCAGGAAGAAAAGGATATTTCCTAGTTTAAATACCCTATTCTGCTAGGACCTCGGAATTCTAATGGATGAGATACGAACATAGGAATGGTATTGCAGTGTGAATTATTTACACGTTTTTGTTGAAGCAAGCTGATGAATCACAGAAACTTGGTGTTTAGAGGAAAAAAGGTAGTTGCAGCCGAGAAGAAAGAGCATTTGAAACTTCACTCAGAGATAACTTGTCAGAGATAAGAAGAGATATTTGACTTCACATACTTTGTTCTGAGAGCCTCTCAGGCTAGAGGAGTGGTTATATCTAACAATAAGGTAGTTAATCCTACAATTAATATTTAAACATGCCTATACAAATTTGTTTCCATGTACGTTACCACATCTATATTTAATTAATTCACACTTAGAAGAGTACTAATCTCTCATTAACTTCAAACATTCTAATTTTCATGGACAATTTACAATACAGAAGCACTCGGGATTCATAGCTGAAAACGCCAGACATCTAGAACCACGTCGGGCCTCCTTCCAAACATGTAAATTGTCTCAGCAAGATTCGTCTCCCATCTATCCCATAGGTCTCAATATTTCATGCAGGCGTCTGCACAGGGAACATATGGCGGAGGCCTCACATGCACATCGGCTCGCTCGGGGCTGAGGCGGAAGCCTTACCACACTCCCCAAATGTATATAATGACGGATTGTCCACGTCTAATCTACACATAGCCAGCAACACCTCTACATCATTCGAAAGGACCTACCACGATCTCAGGAGCCGCTTGGCGGCCTCCTAAGTTCCAGGACCTAGAATTCTTGGATTTAACTTAGCTTCTGCGTCGCAGAAGTCCGCCTTGCAACGGCGGACTCTGCGCGGCTGTCAAATCAATTTCAAACTTCCAAAGACCTTGCTGGATGCGTGCACCACGTGACCAACACTACTTCGCAGGCCTTTTTCACCAACGACAGTCAATCAGACTTCGATTTTTATTTCTACCATTTTGATGGATCGTCAATAAGCAGTCTATTCAACAACGCTGACTTCGACGGGGCGCGGCCTATAACAGATGGGTGGCCGAGGGTCAGACAGCCATTCCAAGGTGCTTATCACCTGCAGTCTGACTTGCTTTCCAATGTAACGACGGATAACTTCACTGGATTTAGCTCAGTTTCTCTCATTCCTGCCGGGGTAGATCGCGGTGGGGAAGAAGTACCATCTTTTTCGACTTCTTACTACAACGGACTTCAGCGTCCTGAGGATGTTGAGACTTTACGGATTACAGAGCCCAATTTCTCCCCAATCAATCCACCACGAGGTGATCTTGAATTGTACAGTGCTACAGCTGGACTGCAACTAAACAACATTTCGCCCAATTCTGTCTCTGTACAAGCACTAGAGTCAAGCCATTCGGTTGACCTTGGCCCCGCCGGCGACGAGCCCTCTGCGACGGGAACTACACTCGCACCCACAGTGGATTCATTGCAACCGCGCTCTTCTACGCCTTTAGACTCTGGCAGCTCTCCGAAAGAAAAAGCGGTCCCACAGATTGGATGTACATGGCCACTATGTATCAAGTCATTCTCTTCCATGGCCGACTATAAGTAAGCACTTCCCTAGCTACCTCTCAACGCTTTCTAACACACTACCAGCCACCACTTCAAAAACCACTCCAAGCCCTTCCTCTGCACCATCTGTCCGGCTCGACATGCAACTAAACGTCATCTAGACCGTCATGTTAACGAGCGTCACAGCAATGTTGAGAACTACTTCTGTTCGGTTCTAACATGCAAACGATCACGCGCGGGTGGACAACCATTCCGGAGGGTGGAGAATTGTAGGAGGCATGTTGTGAAGGTGCATCAGCTTTGTGATGCTAGTATGGATGGGTTGGATATGGATGAGGAGACTAGAAGGGTTAGAGAAGGGAGGAAGAAAGGGAAGAGGTAAAGGATCTTGCGACATGTTTGATTGTGAAATTTACTTATGACTTGGAGACACACACCTATTTTACGAATTTTTAAACTCTTCATGATTGACGGAATCACATAACTGTAGTCAACTCCCGAGACTTCTTTCCTTATATTTTATTTCTAGCATTGGAGATACAATGTTATTTGTTGCGTCGATGGACTGACGACGACAGAGGTGGTCTCGCTTACCACCGGGCGATTCTCACGTCCAACCGGCAAGCTAAAACTAGCCACCATCGGATGTGCTACAGCAGCCCTACTGCACAACCAATTCTGTATCCAGTACGGTGGTAACCTAATCACAGCCCTAAGCACTGCCGGGAAGAAAAGAAGGTTTGAACCTTATATCGGAAGAGGTATTGATCGACTGTATTGCAAAATTTGCTGCTATGGGAAATTGAGAGTCTGAGGATGAATTAAAGGAATGTGAGGATTGGGTGAAGATGCGTGTTTAGAGGTAGAAATGCTCCGACGGAAAGGTGCACAAGCAGTAGCTTTAAGCGGATGTATCTCCCGTCTAGTTATCGGTGGTTATGTCAATCGTAGACGTTGCTGTCCGTGCAATAGGCAAAGAGCCGCTTCTAGGATGCCTGGACCGGAATATCAATATGTAAATAATAGTTATATTTTAACTGGAATAGGAAGCTCGTATTTAATACAACTTCGCAAGCTACCCCTTGCTTCTAGGCTTCCCTCAATAAAATATGTATAGCTCATCCTGTTATGTCTCTGAGGAGTGTGAAAGCACCTGCATAATGCAATTTGCAATGCAGCAAAGCGCCAATAGCACACCATGCATGAACGATTTTACAGCCACATAGCAGAATCTTTTTGGTCCTTCACAGGTTACCGTATTGTGAATATTGTTTTGTACTGTCATTCCAAACTTATTTTGTTGTGAATAATATAGGATTTAATTGAAGGAAGAGAAGGAAATACATCATTTGTGACAAGCTAAAAGTGATGGGTGGATAGAGACACACATAACGTGGCGGGGGGGTACTAGGTGAAAACTGTAACCTTTTGAGAAGAGGAGATTCGAGGCTCAATTCTGTTTTGGTTTAAACGTGAATCGAGCTTGTTTATTAGTTACTGGTATGTCTATAATGAATAATAAAGATAACATGACCTCATGACTTTGCTAATATGTGAATGTTATTTAATCATCCTAATACCACCTCCACCTCATCTAAACTCACCCAAGCTGATGCATCCCCACTTTTCAACTGGCTCCCAGGCTTCCATCAAATGCGAACTCTTGCACCTCTGCACGTCCATCTTCCTCATAGATTCTGTTCCTTCTACCGGTCTCTCTCGATCTTCCACGAACAACATCCGCCTTTCCCCAATCTCCATCATTACGGCGTCTGGAACTGGAGCGGTTTTTCTCCTCTTGTCTTCCCCTCGTCCTCCTCTTATCTGTTCTTTTATTCCATTAAACTCTTGAATCTCATATTCTCGATTCCTCTCTCCGTCCCGCATCTTTCGCCCGTTCTTTCGCGGTTGTCGCAGAAAGTGAGAGCAGCAGACAGAGCTCCCCTCAATCTGCGAGAAGCTCTCCTCTCTTTCCACACAACACGACCCATCTACTTCCGCCGCGGCAGCCCTCTGTCAAAGCTTCTCTCACAGTCGTCGCCTGCCTTTGCTCTTCTCCTGCAAAGCGCGTTTCCTCTTGTCGATTCAATTTCTCGCCTTATTTCGCAGTCTCCTGTCGATTTCCGAGTCTTCAAGCGCGCTTCTTATCGTTCGAGTCGTACAAGATCGCAAGGTTCAGCGCATCGCCCAAAGGAAAAAGCTTTCATCATTTTCACGTTGTCAGCTTGCTTTCTCGATTTCCATCGACCTACTTGCATCGCCGACCGAGTTGCTTTCTAGCATTAATATCGCACATCCTCTGCAACTTTTTTCTCAGCCTCACATTCAGCATCGATAAACTTATTACGCTATGGCTGACAACGGTCCCCCTCCTTCGAACGCACAGCTTCCGCCTCCCCCGCAGACGACTGCTGGTGCACCAGGCTACGATCACTCCAATGGCCAGGGCAACCATATGCCACCACCACCTCTGCCACCAGTCATTATTCCTCAGAACACAAACCCAATTCCGACCGCCATCACTTCTCCCATGGGCGAGAATGGCGGAGTAATGTCACCAGACAGCGCGGGCGGCTTCGTTCGTCGTGCTGCCCCCGAGCCAAACAAGCGTGCTCTGTACGTGGGAGGACTTGACCCTAGAGTCACGGAAGATGTCTTGCGACAAATATTCGAGACCACTGGTCATGTCCAACATGTCAAAATCATCCCGGACAAGAATGTTGGCGCTGTTAGTATCTCCTTTCTTTTGTGTCAAATCCTCGAGAATGTCAGCGATAAAGGCTGTGCCCAATTCTCTATTAAAGGGGTTTCACAATACTTTACTCTCCTTAACTTTCTTTTGTCGTCGAGATGATGCAAATTTTGGGCTCGCGCAACTCGCTAATCACTACCCAGGAACAACAGGCTAAAGGATTCAACTACGGTTTCGTTGAGTACGATGACCCCGGAGCTGCTGAGCGTGCTATGCAGACCCTGAACGGAAGACGAGTTCATCAAGCCGTAAGCACACGAAACAGCTTTGGTGATGACCTCTGACAGTTTTAGGAAATTCGCGTCAACTGGGCTTACCAATCCAACACCTCTAACAAGGAGGATACCTCTAACCACTTCCACATATTTGTGGGTGATCTTTCTAATGAGGTCAATGATGAAGTCCTTCTCCAGGCATTTTCTGCCTTCGGCTCCGTGTCGGAAGCTCGTGTTATGTGGGACATGAAGACTGGTCGCTCCAGAGGTTATGGTTTCGTCGCCTTCCGCGAACGCCAAGATGCCGAGAAGGCTTTGAGCTCTATGGATGGCGAGTGGCTAGGTTCTCGTGCTATTCGTTGCAACTGGGCAAACCAGAAGGGCCAACCATCCATCTCTCAACAGCAACAAATGTCAGCGATGGGCATGACCCCAACCACTCCTTTCGGCCATCACCACTTTCCTACCCACGGTGTCCAGAGCTTCGACATGATTGTACAACAGACTCCGGCATGGCAGACGACTTGTTACGTCGGCAACCTTACTCCTTATACCACCCAAAATGATCTCATTCCACTTTTCCAGAATTTCGGTTTCGTTGTCGAGACCCGCTTCCAAGCTGATCGTGGTTTTGCGTTTGTGAAGATGGATACCCATGAAAATGCTGCCATGGCCATCTGCCAACTTAGTGGCTACAATGTAAATGGTCGCCCACTGAAGTGCAGTGTAAGTTAACCTTTTTGTTTCAAACTTAGCATCTACTGACTCAAACTAGTGGGGCAAAGACAAGGCACCTACTCAAGATGGGTTCCCTCAAGGTACACCAACCGGCTACAGTCCTCAAGGTGGACAGACCCCAGGTGGCTATGGATCTGGAGCTCAGTCCGCCTATTTCCCTCAATACGGAGGAATGCCTCAACCAGCTGGACCTCAATCCGCTGGACCAATGTCGACTCAACAAGGCCAGTTCCCTCCTCAACAGGGTGGTTATGGAGGACCACCTGTTCCATCGCCTGCTCAGTACAGCCAGCCTCAAATGGGTTACGGAGGTTCTGCAAGTGCTGGTGGTTACGGTCGAGGCCAACAACAACCTCCGACCGCTCAATGGAACGCGGCTCCACAACAAAGCTTTGGCAATGGCTTTGGTGGATATCAAGGTTAAGGAAACGATTTTCATGCGTTCGGGTCACGACTCTCTTATCTTCTGACGATTTTCGCCATCCCGAGAATTAATGCGGGATATAAATTTTGGTACTTTTAAATTATGTCTCTGCGAAATGCTTTTCCCAGCGTTATTGGTCTATCGGTCGCTTTTGACTTGGCCGTCCAGCATGATATCTTGCATAGGACTCTCTTGATATGCTTGCGCGTTTGCGTTTCTTCACTACTTTCCTGTATTTCATTAGGCATCTCTTCTTTAAAAACTTGGAAAGTGTGTCCTTTGATTGTGTCAAAAATGAAACCCCAAAAGTTGTTCTTTCCTAGGCTATCTTATCTGTCGATGATGATTTGGATAAATTGTATCTTCATTCCCGGCAAAAATATTGTTTGTTAATTTGCCGGCCGGGTATTATGGTGTTTCTTCTTTTCGTTTGGTCGTAATGAGCAACGAATCTACTATAGCGACTACCCAGTTTCATCGTACCTTACCACCACAAATATTAGGACTAGCCGTTCTAGATTGATATCTTTACAAATTGGATTGTTGAGTTGGATGCGGAAAGGTGGATGTGGATTTGGTGTCGAGTGGTTGTGGAGTAGGTAGTCTTCAGGAGGAATGGAATGAAATATTGATATTTTGTTTGGCTTTAATGATTCATGTGTACCATCTGCGAATCCCTACGACTACTGTTTAGTTGTTACCTATTTGAATGAAGTGGACTAACTGGTACAATACTTTCAGCACACGGGATCACGCTCCCAAATCGGCTAAACTGTCCCGATCCCTCTGAACCTCGGCTCCCATCGCGTCTCCCGAGCTTCCATCACTCCAGCACCTCGTGTCAAACTTCCAGATCTTTAAACCTCATTTCTCCCTCCTGTATACCAAACTCATAGGTCTCCAAACACCCTCTTGCCCCTCCTCTTCCGCCTCTCAACTCGCGGAAAACCAAAATAATGGCCGAACCCAAACGCATACCCCCACCAGACCCCTCCTCACCACGAAAGCCCTCTTCCTCCTCCCTCCTCGCCTGGGCTCCTTTATATCTAAAACGCGTCGATCGCGTAGTTGAAAGGCTGAACAAGATTATAAGTACGCCGGCGGGAACGGATTCGTTGTTGAATGCGGCTTGTTATTCTGCGTTGCTGGGATCGGTGGTGTTGGAGCGGGGTGTTAAGGCCAGGGCTGGGGAGGTTGTTAGGAGGGCTGTGGGGGAGGGGGGAAAGGGATCAAATGGGTTTTTAGGCGGGGGATTGGGTTTTGTAGGAGGATATTTTGGGTTAAAAGAACTGGGGGGTTTGGATACAGCGAAGAGGTTAAAGGTGCTAAGTGCACTGATCTCAGAAATGCGTATGATGAGTCGATTATTCGGACTTTTCTCTCTCTGGGCATGGGGGAAACGCGTTCTTCTGCGCTTCAGAAACGGGGAGATTGGAGATAGAACCGCGCTGGGTATTGAGAGTGTGCAGGTGTTTGCGAACATAATCTATCAAGTCCTCGAGAACGGCGCGTATCTCAGCGGAAAGGGGGTGTTGGCTTGGAATAAGGACCGCCAGAAAGCGGCGTGGTTATGGAGTACAAGGGCGTGGGGCGTGCATGTTGCGCTTGATTTTGTGAGACTGGGGAGGGAGTACGCGGGGAGAATGAGGTTGAGGGAGAAGGTTAAGGAGGTGGGGGAGGAGGGGATTTTTGTGGGCGAGGGGGAGAGTGAGAGGGTTTTTTGGAGGAGGTGGAAGAGGCAGATGGTGACGGGGATGGCGTATGCGCCGTTGATTGTGCATTGGGGTACTGAGGGGGGGGTTCTGGGGGAGGAGTTGGTTGCGGTGCTGGGGTGTGTGGCGGGGTGGTCGGGGTTGAGGGAGAATTGGAGGAGGAGTGGTGAGAAGTAGGGTGGGTTGAGGAAACTTAAATTGTGGGGTTCTAGTCTATGAGTGGGTAGTCTGGAAAGGGAGGGATTCTGTGACGGATCTAGAGAGTGTGTGAAGGAGAATGTGTGTTGATACCTACGGGTAGACGAGGAAAAAGAGACATGGCGTGCGTATGGAAACAGCAAATCTGTATTATACCATAGAAGCGAGGCAGCTGCATCAGATATAACGGCCTTAGATGCATGGTATTTGGCTTACCGAACTTAGAAGAGGCTTTAGAAGGAACGGGATATAGAAGACACCGGATACCCACTTATTTATCGATGTAAATACTACTTACGAATTCTCTTGTCTCATCTTCAGTGTTGTTGGAGACTAGCATGTGTCTCTACCATATAGAAGGACAAGACTTGGTGAAATCTTACTTCCTATCAAAATAACTTGATGAGCTATCCAGTTCTGTAACACGTTACCTATAGTCTAGGCTCATAAGAACAGGATAGATGTGCTTAATAATAAAGAGGTATTGCAGACGAGTCATGAAGCGTAAACGCGAGATAATGAAAGAACCAGATCGTTTACGTAAGATTGGATTTCTGGTTTCTCAAATGCTGGGTGAAGGGATGTTTTGCTCGCTTTAAGTGAGTACTGTCTTGGGCGAAAGGTTTTTATTTTGTGAGAATGGCAAGTGGTCAAAATGATGATGAGGGAGGTTGTGGTGGAGGTGGATATTGAAGGCTAAGAGGCGGAGAAAGAGGGAGTGACGAGATGTAGTATGACGGTTTGAAGAGCGGGTTGGGATAAGCAAGGAAACATAGAGGAAATCTTCGAGTGCCTCTCACTGTTAATATGGAGTCTTTGGGTTATGTCACGTCTCATTTACTAATATCACTAACTACAGATTCTGGCTCGCCAGTTAGCAGTCGAACGAAATTTGCGCATAGAGATGCTGCGGAATTATATAACGACTCCTTTAAATATGTGCATACTTTCCACCTGTAACGTCCCGTGAAAGAAGACACGGATTTCCAAATTTCTGACTCACTGGCATGAGATTCGTGTCACTACTTTTTGACGCAATTTAGAACTCTGGTATTCTCTATTGTATTCTTGATAGCCCTGGGATATAATTTTCATTGATGAAACATGTATTTGTCATGGCAGAAAGCGATTTGGTGGTTGGTGTGCTCAGAAAGAGGGCACCTACTTAAGATGGTCTTGGCCTTGTTGTTAGGATTACCGAATTGCGGAGCACTGGTTGTGATTCAAAGTGCCTCGATGATATGAGTGATGCGTGTAAGATCAATCGAGGAAGAGAATCATTCAAACCCGTGGAAGAATATGGAGAGATGAACGGGTGTCATCACGTGTGAACAAAAAGGGGGACAAGATTAAGCGAGACAAGCGACTTTCACGATACGATCTTTCTAGGTTCAACTTCTATGCTTCCCGCGGAGAACAGCATTTCGTATTGCACCAAATGAAAGAGAAACACATGTTGCACTACCCTGTACCGTATCAATCCTCGCGTACCATGACTACACTGGTCAAGGTCTCCTCCTCGCCCGCAACTTGGACAACCTCATCCGCAAGCGTTTTGAACCGGAGATAGTTATACAGAAAACGACCCATTGGACTCGCACACAATGTTACTGGCCACTCCTTGCTTTCAGCTTCTTTTATACCCCAGTCTACTAATTGCGTACCACCCCCACGCCGTCGGTAGTCAGGATGAACGACAAGCGAAGACAAGTTAACTTGCTTCTCGGCCCACGGTGCAAAGTAAGTCTTGAAGCGTTGAGAAGCTCGTCCGAAGAATGCTTCACACCGCTTCTTATCTGCATCTTTTCTTTCTTTCTCGGCTGGGTCTGACCAACTAAGTCAGTATGAAAAGTATCTCAAAGTGAAAAGTAATAAAATGGTTGAAGTACCCGCTCCCGTCGCTGGCGTTAGGACAGCAAGATTCCATACGGCATGGCCAACTGGTGTACAAACAGTATTGCCGTCGACCTCGACAGCATCTTCAAGCAGATAGACAACGTATTTTTCAGGTTGCGCTAAGTAGTTTTCATATTCTTTCCTGGTCCATTTCCAGTGATCTTCAGGAAATTCATGTCGGTACGGATAGCAATAATGGACCTGCGGCTCCTCGGTGAAGCCTTCAATATGGATCCGAGTGATGGCATCCAGATCTTCCTTGGAAGCGGTGCGTAGGGTAAAACCGCGCGGGGAGATAGAGCCGCCTCCCATATTTCAGGGTACGGAAATTTGAGGAATGGATGGGCTAATGAGATTGGGTAGGAATAGGAGAATGATTGATGGCATCCCAGCCGTGGTGAAAACGAGGCGAAGTTGAGGTTTTTAATAGCTCTTTTTTCTAGTCTGGAATTCAAGGCATGGGACTGATGCCTCCCGATCTCCTCTTTGGGATGCATGACAAGGCTCGCCGATTGCTTACTCGGGCCTAGTGCAAGCAGCCACGACAGCGACTGCCGTCCACGGGATGGGATTCGAGACAACGCGTGAGGTCGATTCTTAGAGGCCACTCATGCCAGGGCGCAAGGAGACTTGAATGCAGCCTCACCATAGGAAGCGCAGATAGGATGTCGGCCTTCCTTCATATAACACACGCCGAACTCCGCATTGGTGTTGCCTCCAAGATGTTCCATGCTCGTACGAGCAATTCACGCTTTGCAACATGGTCGATTACGAGTACAACGATGGACAAGAGCAGCTTGGAGTTGAAGATGTGCTTGAGTCTGTTGGGTATGCCGCCGGTTTCCTAGATGGATGGGTTGCAGCGCAGACAAGTGATCCATCGACAAACACCTCCCCTGTCGGGTCACGTGTTATAGAATTGCCTGCAGAAACACCGCACGTGATGAGCACAGATGACGACCACAACAACATCACCAATAACCTGAACCATGCCTTTCCAGTCGACTATGGTACGTCGAATAAGAGCTTATCACATCCAGAAATACCCGCAATTCTCGCGAGTGGCACAGAATGGCCCGTTGTTACACCTCAAACGATGACCATCTGGCAGAGTCCCGAGTCAATCTCAACTTCTTCAAGTGACGGACGGTCACCGCCATACGGTTGGTCAAACAGAGCTCATGATGTATCTTTATCTACTACAATCAGTAATTCGACTCGGGCAAGCTCGAATTCCAACGATGTGTTCGAAACCAACACAATCGTTTTCATTCCAGTCGAAACCCCTCTTGAGAAAGCCGGCACACGCAACAAGCGAGTCTTCCCAAGTTCGCAAGCCATCGAGAAGTCGGTACGAAATGTGAACAAACGCTCGAAGCAATCGAAGAAACAGCCTGTATGTATTCCGATCAGTCGGTCCTGGAAGATGTCAGCTCACACGAATCTCAGTCAGGACCAGGCGTGACAAAACCAGCCACTCGAGGCAAGGCCGTTGCTCAAATGGTATGGCGGGCTTATGGGTCTGAAAGATGCAAGCCAAACGAGGAATCGAGACTTCGCACTGCTAGGACTAGGGACGTTGGTGCTTGTGATACGTGCCGTAAGAATAAACAACGTGTAAGCTGCCACTGCCGTTCCACGGGCAAGATCATTTTGCTAACCGCTCAAAGTGTGATCAGTCGTTGAAAGACCTTTTTGTGCCTTGTGACAGATGCGTGAAGAAGCCATTTAATCTTCTCTCGATGCCTTGCTGCCGTATTGAGATTGTTGATATCAAGCTCTTTAGGTTGGGTAGGTTTGGTTGCTTGGACATTTACACATCATTCTAATGACCTCGTTCTCGATATAGGAACCACAACTACACCAGCTACTCTTCAGCAATGGATGCTTTCAAAACAAAGCCCGCCTGAAGGTTCCATTGTTCTGTATAATGGAAACTCGTCGTTAGGACCTCCACGGCAGATCTACTTAGCTCAAGAGGTTAACACCACCACCTTCCCGGTGACCGTCACTCGCTTTCATCCTGGGCCGCAAGATACCACTGCCTACAAGTGGACTGATACAGCCGGGGTGAAGCAGGAGTACGAAATGCCACCTTACTACATCGTCGATATGGCAGAGACTGGAGCGAGCATGCGTCAATATGCGCGAGCGGTGATGCCGGAACTGACTCAAAAACTCCTCGTCAACGCCAATCCAATAGTCCGGAAAACGTTCAAAGAAGCGGAGCGGTATTATAATACTTCAAAGGTCGGTAGACTTCCGTTACGTGTCCACATACACTATGACTAACTCGTCTTGAAGAGCAATCTTGTTGCCGCTGCGTTGATGTTCTGGTCAGCGACACGTATGATTGAAAGGTTCTGGCTGATCTGCGGAAACGACACGCTTGGATTACCTCCAATGGACGAAAATCTAGGCTTCTGCCGTCGTAGTCAGTTCTTTCCCTCAGTTCCCGTTACCCCAGTCATGGATACACAGCTTGACGAGCTGGCCATCGAACACGTTCTCATTCCGTTGAAAACGAAACTTCTTCGTATTCTCAAAGCTCGTGTGTTATCGAAGAAGAAGGAATTTTGGTATGAAATCTACCTTACTTGCTTCATCATTTTGCACAATTCAGAGCGAGTCAATGAGCATATATTAGATTTCTCTCGTAGATTTGGTGTTATGGTAAGTCTTGGGAAGCTGATTCTCACTATGTTGTGCTGGATTCTAATGATTTTCTATCAGCCTACACCAAAATCAAACGACGAGTCATCACTAAGTCAAGCATACTATCACGGTTGCAAGACTATCCTAGCATACTTCCATTTCGCTTCTGGCGGTGCGGCTCCGCTGTCATTGGATTGGGACACTCCGCCTCGAGATGTGCCAGATATGACGCCTGAGCAGATTGCTTACATGCGCGACATAAAAGCGGACGTTCTCCATCAAGGTGCGTTTAATATCAAGACATCAGGCATAAATTTGCTAATCAGTTCAAAGATCATCAACTGCAAATTATCAAAACCTCGTCTATGTATGAGAATGAGATGTACTGGACTCATCAAATGCTGTCTCAGGACTGGAAAGCAGATATGCCACATGCTGGAAGTCTGTTGGAGTTTACTGAGACCGACTTCTTGGTAGCATAAATCTTACTCGCCTTCTTTGAATGGAACGTTGTGGCTGTACGATTTTGTAATCGTCAACTAATTGTGCCAGTACCTCTGTTTCTGTTATTTTAATGTCTCGGAAAGTGGAAAAATGGAAAATGGAAAATGGGTTCAGGCGGCACGTAATCGTCAACCGGGTAACGGAACCGTTCTTCGATTGTGTAATCTAATTTTCTTACAAAAGCTAGCGAGATGTACAGGATTTCTGGATCTATTTGGATTTCGCAGTGGCTCGGAAGTCAGTGGAGCTGTGAAGAGATAAAGCAAGATTTGTGATGCACAATCAAAAAAAAAAAAGAAAAACGGATTTCGAAGACAGTTGTGTTGTCACAATCAATGAAATATATCCGTCATGATTGGAGCATTCTAAGAATCGTTTTGGATCCCCTCATATCACTAACCACACATCTTCCTCTTTCCGGAGAGCCTCAATCGCCGACTCAATCAACAACACTTTCACAGCACTCCTATGCGCTGTCCTACTTAATTAACCCCCACACATCTCATCGACAGACGTAACCTAACGATGAGCGCGTGATATCCGGCTCGTCTTGAACGGCTGGTCTTGTTATCAGGACAGTCTGTTTTTCAATAGATTATGTGCAGTTAGAGATTTAATTTGTTACGGGGAACTCGACCATTGAGACCAGCTTATCTTCTCGAGGTTCTCTCCAGTGCAAGGAATGTGGAGAACTTGCCGTCAGTCGCAAGTATTGAAATTGGAGTCTGGCCAGCTTGAGCCTCAATTACACTGTGTGGCCGAACTATTATTGGCTAGAATCGCTTGAGCTATTGGTATTAGTCTTGAAATATATGCACATGATGTTCTGCTACCACTAATCAGTGCTTTGTTAGATTAGCGACCCAGATATCTTGGAGATGGAGGCTGCATTCGTCGCCAATTGGAGACCTGAGTGCTCATAAGCCGCATGAGATCTAGGACGATCGCACCTGAAGCACTCATTTTGCATGCGAAGAGCTTGATAGGGAACACGGCTTGGATAATGGCAGCCACAACAATAGAAATGATTTGCTATCTCATTGGTGCCCGCTTTAGAATCCACCCCTCATGTTCTCAACCCCACGCCTGTGACAATCAATCTGCCAAGATAGGAACAAGAGTTCGTGCGAGCTGGCAGAGCCGCATCGTGTATTTATGAACTTGTGGTACGGTGTTGAGATGGAGCTAATCACTCCGAATTTCAACTATCCAACATGGCTGCAGCTTGCGCAACTTACACGCCGTCTGAATTAGACACCAAACGTTTCTGGGATATCGAAGCTAGCAGACAGAAAACTAAAGTTGAGATACCATATGGGTTTCCGGCTAAGCTTGAGTCTTCACTGGCGTGGAAAGGTGAAGATATAGATGTCGAAAACGAACAGGCGGAATGGAAATTGGATCTTACCGATGAGGAGATATCGGCAATTGATGCTGCTTTGAAAACTTTTGAAGGTGTGTTATCCTTGCTGAAAAAGTGTCCCACAAATAACCAACAACATATCGAAAGGGAAAAATCATGAACTCTCAGCCCTTTCGGCTTCAACCTTCGAATTGCCATCAGAATTCTCCCAACGTCTGAGGAGCTTGTCCGATCAGCTCTACGAGGGAGTCGGGTTTCAGATCATCCATGGACTTGATCCGACAAAGTATAATTCCAAGCAACAAATGATTGTATACGCAGGTGTTAGTGCGCACATATGTCCTCAGCGAGGTACTGTGGACGTGAAAGGCACAGGTGTTCTGGGTCAGTAGCTTGAAAGTCCTCATTAGACGAACAGTAGCTAATTGTAACCTTTTCAACAGCACATATCGTCAATGTACAAGCTGGTAATAAGTTGAAAGCGACTGCGCCTGCGTTTAGTAATATTCCACTGGTAAGTTGAGTTAAACCCGAGAACCATGAGATCGAAACACTGAACATCTCAAGTCTTTCCATACGGATAATTGTGAAATCATGGCATTCTTCTATCTTGACACAGCCATTGAGGGCGGTGAGACGATGTTGAGTAGTATATGGCAGACTTACAATGAACTGGCTGCAACTAGGCCGGAAGTGTTGCACACATTGACTGAGCCCTGGGTTCTAGATACGTAAGTCCCATTTTCCTGTTTCTTCAAAATTCATATCTCGCTTCACCTGAAACTCAGCTACCTAAAAAAATACACACTAACACAACCAGCTTCAAACCCCTCGACCTTCAACCCCCCCGCCACTGCCGTCTCCTCCAACAAACCGGCTGTCCCAAAATCCCCGTCCTCTTCCGCTTCTCGCGCTACCCAATAACAGGCTGGCAACGCCAACGCAACGCCGCCCTCTCCATCCCCACCACCGCGCAACACGAAACGGCCGACGCAATCCAGTTCATCGCCATGAAAAACGCCATCACGCTGCCCGTCGCCAAGGGCGACATGTTGTTCGTCAACGATCTGGCGTTGTTCCATGCCCGCACCGGGTTCAAGGATGATGATATTCCGATGAAGAGACATCTTGTGAAGATGTATTTTAGGGATCCCGAACAGGGTTGGGATATTCCCGAGGAGATGGAGAATGAGTGGAGGACTTCGTATAAGAAGGAGGAGGGGATGGAGGAGGTGTGGAATGTGTTATATAAGGCGGGGATTGAGGAGTTGTCTATGTTGAATGGGTGATTGGGGGTTGTGGTTGGAAGACTGGGTTGGTGTGTCTGACTGATTTTGTGATACTGATTGTGTGTTAATTATTTTATGGTTTTGTTGTTTTTTGGTTTTCAACTCCTGAGCCGGGTGATGTACCGGTTTGTTATTGAATCATCGCGCTATCTGCTACCCTATTTATTTTGCAAACTCTTGGGTACTAGTCATGACGATCAAGCAGACGTTATGTTTATATGTTTTCTCCAATATTATTTGTTTAATCTCTTTTGATGTACGAATTGTATTCTTGTCTCATTGAAATTGAAGCAAAAATACAAAGTGCTACTACCTTCATACATTTCACCGTCACTTCCCCGTTCAGATAAGCGATTGTCCTTTCCTACAAGTAATACCAGTATGTACCATCTGCTTTTGTGGGATTATTTCACTTGGTATCTTTTGTCTTCTTTTTGTTGTCCGTTGTCCAACATAAAGCTGCGACTATACAACCGACGTCGACATGGATGACGGTGACTACGACGGTTCTCAGAGCAGGCTTCGCTCGATGTTGCGCGATGGTGTTATATATTCCATTCTCAACTGGTATCTCATATTCCAGATAAGATCAAGGATCGCCCTGACAAACGTCGGTCTCGCTTTGATAACGTAAATACATATGTGTATTTGGCATATCAGTCGTTGTCATACCATCCTCATGCTACATTCAACATAGCAGTCCCTTCACGCACCTCCGGACGAATGAGTCTCGCGTTACGAGCCATCAAATGCGCATACACGCTTCCAACCAGCGCATCAGACATATGACTTCCAACCTGTACCGGCGGTCTTAGTCCCAACCCATTATACGTCGGTGCCGGTGGCTCGATAAGATTCGTTGCTTCAACACCAAAATCATCGTCATTGCCGATAAGAGGGACATGCCAGCTATTTGGCGAAATCGGCGCTTGCATTTCGATATCTCGTTGGTGTATAGAGTTTCTAGCGTTCTGTCTATACTGCAAACATCCAACCGTGACGCCTAAGAGCGTTAAAATGGTCGCTAAGATCCCGAAAATTATTGCGATTTGGTTCGAGATGGATTGTTGAGGGTCAGAAGAGGGCATGGTTGTAAGCTCCAAAGCTAGAGCACATGCCCTAGCTGCTGAAAGGTGATAATGTGGTAGAATGTTTTAGTACCAGGGTACTCGGCTTCATACCTAAATATAGAGGTATGTGGAAGTATGATATGGCTGTAATGAGGTCTGGTAGGGATGTAGATAAGATTGTTGGATTGAGTTATGACATATAGATCAATCAGATTAACTTCCAACATAAGCAGGACACCCTTTGATATATACACCAAGTACCAGACTGCCGGGCTCTCCGCATTTGCAAGGTCGTATACAATGAGGCGCAATGAACCACAACAATGACAGCGTCGGTGAGCTTCAAGTCATGTGTAAGGCGAGCACTGTACTTTCGTCGCTATAACTTGCTCTTTCGTGCAAATGAAGCGTTCTTTCCTTCCATTTAACGTTCTCATTGGTGTAGCAATACGACTCTTCAGCACGAATATATTTGCCTAACGACCGAAAAGTAGTTCGCGAACCATCCGTGGGGTGTAGCCTCTGCCGAAACCCGTTTTCGGTCATGAGTAGTAGGAGGCGTATCCTCCCGATATCCATTTACGGTAGGAAACGTGACGTTGTCATCGCGCTTAGACGAGTTGGTTGATATATCTCCGTGGGGGAAAAAGGTATTTATTTGTTTACTGAGACTTGAGTGTAGGGTTGCGATTCCTGTGAAACTTTGTCAGCCAAACATTTGTACGCCTCACTTCTTTGGACCTTTTGTTGGGAAAACATTGAGCTGCCTTTTGTGCTCAACGGGTTTGCCTTAACTTTTCGGAGTTTTTCGACTTTGCGAGTAATGCAGCGGGTACTCGTATGCCAAAAAGAACTCACGCTCATGGATGTTCGAACTTCTGCTTTTGGAGCAACGGCTGGCGAGAAATTCCTGATATTTTCAACAGGAACTCTGCATTCCTCATATCTTCTGACATTCATGAGCATACATAATATATGCTCATAGCGTTAGACTAATGAATTCTGTAAGAGTCTCTGGGAGGTATAGAATGTCCAAGATTCTACAAGCAACTTACCTACGTACCAGTCCTCGCTTAGAGATGAGATATAGTAGTTCGCCGGCTCTGAGTTCCCTAACGAGCACGATCTGGATTGGTTGAATCTTGATCTCGATCATAACAGCAGTTAATTCGAATAACAGCCAAGCTTTTTGTTCATGTAACCCTCTCGACACGTTTTCGATATGCGACATTCCCGATTGGTTATGATTGACTGTCACCTGATAAACCGTGCAGCCTCATGTCTTTTCCTCAAACAACCGCATTTTCAGAACCCTCCATTCAAAGACAGCGGAGTACGAGCCCAACAGAAACGGGCCTCTATGTGGCGTCTCCAGGTACTCGTCAACGTAGTATCAAAAAGTGACACAAAAACTTGCGGCTGATTCCCTCTCCCCGATCTCCGTTTCCGGCCTAGCGCCCTGCCAACGACCTTCATGCAGACCCCCCTACCACCCGCCAACAACCATCCGAACTATTAGTACCAGCCTTCTCCAATTCCTCACTATCAATGACCACATCTCCACGCAACAACCCCCCCAATTCCCCTCCATGGACGTGGAACCACCCAGCCAAGATGTATCGACCAATGAGGAGCCTCCAATTGAATCAGACACCTTACTCGAATCCCAGGCGGCGGCCAGGGAAGGCGGAAATTCAAGACAGCGGTTGCTCATCTCTGCTTTACCGGCTCTGCTTCTATGGTACCTATCCGATCTCCTATTTTGGAATTGTGCGTCGTGACTGATCATGCAGTACGTTTTTGATTCGGTTTGACGGGAGTTTTGTGATTGGGAATTATTCGAGACGGATTGGTAGGGGTTCATGTGTGCTTGGTGGTGACTCGCGTTAATATGCGTATAGCTCTTGATTTACATGATTTTAAGAACGCGAGATGGCTTGTGCTGGGCTTTCTGGTGACGGAGTCTGCTTGTGGTCCCTTGGTACGTATCTTGCACATTTTGGAGCACGTGTGGTTTGGATCTATCAGAATTATGCTAAATTCAAGCAGTATGGCCATGCAGCTCAAGTCTACGGCCACCGAAACGCCATTCTATTTGCAGCCACAGCTATGTGTATCGGTCTCTTCTTATGGTAAGTCACCACCTATCGCCCAAGTCGCACCTTTAGTTAACACAACTAGTTCTGTAAGCTATAGACTATGGCAAGTTTCACTTGCTCGAGTCGTAGTAGGCACTGGTACTGCAGGAGTTGAGCTTCTCGTAGTCATTATAATCAACGGTAATTCACAACCCCATTTTCACATGCGTCTTAGCTAACTCTTCAGACTTCGTCCAACTCTACGAACTACCTCTCTGGACCAGTCTAACCACATTCTTTGGCACCATTGGCCTCATGCTTGGAGGTCCCTTAGGCGCTGTACTAGCAGACCATCTCGGCTTTCGCTCGTAAGCATGCTCACTTTATCATAACCCAGCCAAAGTACTCACACTCCCAGAACATTCGGCATTGAATCTTCCTTCATGGCCATCGCCCTAGTATTCGTCTATCTCACCCTAAAACTCCCAGAATCCCGTCCCAACACCTCCAACCGCAGCGCTAAAAAGATCGAATACCTATCCTCATCCCTCCTCCTCTTATCCGTCGCCGTCCCACTCTTCGCGCTCAATCTCGGCGGCGAAGTATTCAAATGGGGTCATCCAGTCGTGATAACCATGTTCTGTCTCTCACCCTTTCTCGTCGCTCTCTTCTACTACGCCGACACTCGCTTAGCTAGCACGCCTATCGTGCCTAAAAGGTTTGTGCAGGATCGTAATATAGCTATTGCGCTAGCGTGTACATTGCCTATGAAATTCGTGTTTGATCAGGTCAGTTTGAATCCCCTGTTGGCCTGTCAATATGATCGACTTACTGATGCAATACAGCTACGATTCAGTTTCGGCACCTACCTCCAAGCACGCTCCTTCGGCAAAGACTCTTCATTCGACGACTGGGCACTAACCTGTGTCTATCTCGGCCGCGCCCTGGGTACAATCGGCTGTGGGTTACTGATCAAACGCTATCGCCGCTTCAAACCATATTTAAAAGCCGTCATCATAGTTGATCTAATAATCTACTTCTGCTTCGCACTAGGAGTCATGCGTAAGTCCTCACCCCCGAATCAAACCTCCCCATCTAACCCCCCCAAGACGTAGAAAAGCCGAAATTCGCACCCATCCTCGCGTTCATCGGAGCCACGGAGGGCTTTGCCGAGGGTTTATGGCTCGTGGCTATCCTCTCGTTGGTCGATGCTGAAGGTATGAAGTATAACCCTATTTCAACTCTTTGACTCACACAAAGCGCAGATCAACCTTTATTATACGCCTTCTTCGGCCTCTCTCAAGCCGTCTCGGGAGACTTGGGTATTGCCATCTCCTTAGCGGCTGAAGGCACATTAGTCCGCTCCAAACTCCACGCCAAATTATCTGGTTACGCAAATGCCGAAGAGGTAAACCCCCTAACCGCATCTAATTCCTCGCCTAACCTCTCTAGATCATCCGCAAAAGCCTCGAGGATCTGAATTACATCAAAGAGCTGCCTGTCAAAGTCCAGACCATAGTTCTAAACGCCTTAATATCATCGACCGAGATTGCGTTCGGTAAGTAATCGCTATTGTCCGTACATACTTAAAAATTGCTGATTGCTCTAGCGATATCCTTCTTGGTGCTCATGATCAGTCTGTTCTTCAGCTTTTACATAAAAGAGATGCCGCGGGCGGCGAAGGGCGTTTCTTATATCGCGTAGATGTGGACTTAAACCTCGTACTGAGATGAATTTGGAAGTAGTGTTGTCTGGTGACGGCGACACTATTCTATGACTAGTCTGGCCAAGTAGATAGCGAGTTCAAAGACGTCATAAGTTCTGATTCCTTAGATTATAAATTCTATACATCGAAACGATATTAAGAAAATATCATTTCTTCGTGGAATTTTTGTTATATGACTGACAGATATGTCACAACTCACAAAGCCCCAGATAACAGTATCAATCTCTAGAGCTGTATCGTTCCAACCTTCCACTTACTGTACGTTCTCCACCAAGCTTTGAGAGTAGAGTCAGAGTCAAGGAACTAGGTAAGAACCCCTTATCGATTCCGGGATCTATGTTGCCTATGTAGCCTATCACGTTTGATATAGGTGATGTATGTGTCAATTTTTAGTTGCTATCTGCAGACAGAAAACAAAATCAAAAATAGTATCTAACTTCTGGAACTCGTTGCAAATAGACAGGAAATATGAGGCGTTCCTTGGAAGCTTCAGTATGATAATGAAGCAGGATCTCAAGACGGACGCCTTAGCTTCGACATCAAGAGCGAAGCCGTCGAGCCTAGAGTAGCAGTCCACGAAGGCGAAAACAACTACCCATCTCGTCGCGTTCCTTAAACTTTCTCCTCTCCTGATCTGGTAAATCGATAGGCGATTGATATTCGATCCCTATCATTCGATAATAACTCATCCTCTCCAGCCTCACCACTCTATCACGAATTGGACCCTCATAAATGAAGCTGCCATAGTGTAAGTTGTCAAACGCGAAGCAACTTGGGTCGTTTTGGTGTAGGTTAAATAATTATCTGTCTGTATACAAGAGCCCGTACCATCTCTTGCCCAAAAGCTCGACTTCGCTGGCTGATCGATCTGAATACCTATCAAACAAGGAAGTAGATTTGAGTAAATATTTTGACAACCTGGCCTATATTTCCCTAAAATGCGTCAGACGAACACGACTAATGTTGGAAGTGTTTTTACTCACACCATCTGTTACTTCGGAAGTCTATAGCAGCACCTAGCTAGTGAGATTCTAGCTTACGCTGCTATGAGCCAGGCTCCTTGACATGCCTGTCTTAGACTTTCGACAGTCTTCGAAGCTCGCGAAGAAGCTCCTTAGACTTATAAGTCTAGATGATAGCAAAAACACACTTATTAGTCTCCCTATCATACGATTCATACAGATCATCATCCAACCCCCCCAAATCAGCCTCAAACATCCTCTTATGCAAAGGCAGACATTCCTGAACTCCAGTTTCTATGATCGAAACAAGTCCAAGCCGCTCATATTGACCCTTCACGTCGCCCGTCCTACGAAGAAGTAGGCCTTGCGTGAAGTTTTCGAAAGAGCCGAAATGGGGGCCCCATTTGAACGTGCACGGTACAACGACGAGTCGTCCTATCACGTCGCTAGATAGTAAGGCTTCCAGATCTATATCAAAACCTAGACCAAGATCTACATCAAGATGAAGATGGTGTATGACAGGGTCGGTCCGAAGAAGTCGCGGGATCAAGGCTCCTTTCAAACGAAGCGTGCCGGATAGGACTTGGGCGAGGGGATTGTTATTTCGAGTGACCACTGCTACGTTGCAAACGTCGACACAAATTTTCGTGGTGAAATCGTCGGGTGGTGCGTCTGCCTCAGGGTCGGTGATGAGGTCGGTAAAGTAGATACTCCCCTGGTTTTGATGCCCATGACCATGAAGGTGCAATGTACTCTTCGCTGTTCGGCTTCGGCTGGGTAGTTCCAGCCCTCCACAGGAGTTGTGGTATCAGGCTTTCTTCCCATAGTCCTGCGACATAACTGCCTTCCATAAGTGGCTGTATGAGGTATGCAAGCGCAGAAATTGCGATGAGACGGTCAGACTGGTAGGTTAATTTGCAGGATGTGAACTTTTTGACGAGAAACTTCCACAGCTCGACTGCTCCTCCCTCCTCCAAATGCATAGAGTCTCGTCTCAGAGCTCCGACAGACCTTCTCTTGTCACGAATCTTTTGAATCATAGCGTGAACAGCTCCTTTGAGCGGAATGTGAAATCTGTCAGACCAAATGTTTTGGAGAGATAACGGTTTGAGGTGTTTCGGTGGAAGCTCGCCGTTAAAGGTTTGACCGCATTCAAAGAAAATCTGCTGGGAAGCAAAATACAATACTCTTGGGACCAGGACTCGTTCTTGGAAGACCCATCCTCGCTCTAGTAAAGGCGACTCCTCCACACTTTCCTGCAATATTTGCTGCTCCGTGCTTCCATAGACTCCTTCGTGCATGTACCAAGGGTTATTACTTTTCACCTCAATTCGAAGTGGTATATAAGCCCTAAAATTGTCCGCGCTGAAGAGACCCTCTTCAGAAGACGAAGCGTATGCTGCAGCTATGTTGCAATAGCTATTTGAGTAGACAGAACCCATTAGCACGGATTCATTCTGCCAATCCTCATTGGAGTCTTGTATAATGCAGAGTGAATCAATCCGAAGATACTGTACATCCATGAACCTTGTAACATCGTCAGCTTGTCGAAATGTTACAGTCAACTCGACTACTGGAATTTCGTCGAGAAATGCCCGAAGGTTATGGCTTGTGAGAGTAGTGAATTTGTTGTTTCCACAACTGTGACTCAACGTCATATAACGTGTGTTCAGTGGTAATATGCTAGTATCACAGAGCTTTAGAGGCTGCTTCTCAGACGGAGGAACATATATGAGTCTGGTGGGAAGCTTCACGTCGTATTGCTGACTCCCTTGTCGAGGCTGGCAGAAGTGGTGGTTAGTACAACAGGCTGTGACCCAGGATTTGGCTAGCTGAAGGGCTTCTGTTGAGCCAGTACCAGGGCTAAGGTTCTGTATTTGGCTACTGATACCTATAGCTGATCAGCGACGATTAACAGTCATGGGTAGGAAGACTATTTGCTGTCTTACTCGAGAAAGAAACCACCTGTACATCGTTCCCAAACTTCAAGCTTGTGAAAACGAAGTAGAATCCATGACGAAATTGGATCCCCCAATTCCGCTCCCAAATGGTGCGCATTGTTCCAAGATTAGTGCCCGCAAATAATATACCGGAATGATTCGGAAAAGGGTGTCCCTTCTGGCTGCGCTTCGAAATGTCTTCGAATTCAAAGCCACCAAGTTTTCTAGCTTGTATCATCTCTCGATCTGTTGTGGAGAATTTACTCCATATGTAATGACATAGTTGACAACCCTGATCAGATGCAGATATTAGATCCTCGATACAATTGTGATGACAATACAGCTTTGCTGTGACCAAGAATGTGAAGGGCGTGTCGGGACGTTTGCAGTCTGCCGACATCTCCTCGCTCGTTCCGTCAAAAATACGGCGGCACATAGAACAGAGATTATCCATCTTTTGTGAGCTGATACCTGTTGTGATAGCTGTTGCGAACGTTAAGACTGAAATAAAGTAAATAGGTTGTAATACCCATAGAGAAAGAAGTAAATGAAATGATCCGGAAGAAGTAAAGACTTGTGATCAAATTCATCAGCTTGTATCATCTGGTGAGCTCCAGATAAACAATAGAAGATACAAATATGACTGGAAAATCAAGACAAGGCTGCGATAAAGATTGCCATCCACAGCTGCCTAAAAAGCTAACTGTCTCATTGCAGAAGGGTCGTTGGAGCTGAACTCAGCCGGACGCGTTTTAGAAGTTGATCAGAGTAAAGAATATGCAAGCGCGAGGCAGGATCAATTTCAGACCACTTTGAACGAAACTGTCGTCTACAGAGAAAGAGTCCTCACGTGACTCGACCCCGCCTCAATATTTTGAGATTGAATAACCTGTAAATCCCTCATAGATAATAAGCTATCCAAAGACTTTCATGTAGTCAGGTATTTTTCTAGCCCCTATTCTCTTGTGTTGTAAGATATTATGTAAGTCACGTGGTGGTATGACTACGGTACAAGGGCATCGAGGACAACACAACTGTTGTCCGTGCCGTAGTTAATCAGCTTCATACGATGGAATAGGTTAAATATAAGGCTTAGCTCGCGGGGTTCATCTCGGTCTCAGCAGTCCTCGGCGAAGTACCCGCGACTTCACGGATGGATATTCTTGTTGGCTGTCCTGCGCCGCTTGCTTGAATAAGAACTTATTGGTCTGAACTCCAACATTTGGACTTGGTTCGTGGGAAGAGATGCAGTAGTAGTCACCCTTTGCCGGATCTCTGGAAAGCACATTGAAAGTTCGTAAGATAGAGCTGTAAATTCCACATTGGAGGAGGCGCGTCATGTGACTATAATTCGCGGGTGCTGAGCGCTGAGGCCCAGTTCAGTTGTTGTGCGACAATGTGGTTGAACGAGCAGAGATTTGGTAAATTTGATTTGGTGTAAGCTGATTGATTTCAAATCCAAAGGTTGCCAAGATAAGATGTGAACCCCTCATAAGATTCCCGTATGTCGCAGCTTTGTCGATGTATATACCACTCATCAATCATTCATTAAGCGTGACGCCCAACATCAACGTTTCAGTCAATCCCTGTACCCTAAAAGTTGCGGTCTGTACCTTTCTGACGGTTGTGGTGGTGCTTGGTGCGTAGCCTTGTCGGGACATAACATGATCTAAAAATGTAAATTTGTTGCACGTCGCAAAATGAAGTCTAAAAATGTCCCTGGGATATTTTTATCTGATTGCGAAAATAAGGTCAAGAACCCGGTCGGATGAGAGTGGTGTTCCTAGTGGAGGGGTGAAGGATTCCCTAACCGAATCAATAAGGACGGACACACTGGGGATGATGACTCTGTTAATGTTTCTCATAAAGCGCGTGATTGTTGCGGACGTCCTGACCCTGTGGTTAATCGGACTTGTCGTGATCATTTGGTTTGGTGTATTCTAGGTTGCTCTGGTCGGTCGCTTGTGGTGGAGACAATGATCGGATGTGCGATATTAGATGGTAATCTGAATTTGGCATAGGTTAATTCCGGTGGCTATCCATAGTTTATTCGGACGATGGGAATGAATAACTGAGTAAAGTTTCTGGTGGTGGAAATGTTGTAGTGGTGGAAAGCATGCAGCTGCTCAGGTGCGATGTTGTGGCAGGTAAGCTTGAAGTCAGTAACAAAGTAGATGAAGCCAAAGAAGGGAGGTGTAGGATCCATCCTGCCTGTCTGATACCTATGCAATGATGATGGTGTCTCACTGTACCAATCTCCAAAGCGAGATATCTGGAAGGTAGTTAATAGCCATTTCTCTCTAACATAGCTAGTCGCTCCATTTGAGCCCGCTATGCCACGCTCCACCAAGCACATCCGAACCGGAACTTCGATCGCTTCTTAATTGTTAGTGTAGGCTGCATTACCCAACTTCATCTGGAGATAGTCCACCCCAACCCGCACCAAATCGGGCAATTCTGGTGCATACTCCTCGAGTATTGACATGTTGGGGAAGCGAGATTCTTGGACGGTCTGGTCTTCCCGTCATCTCCCACATCACGCTCCGCTCCACTCCGCCAAAATACGGAAAGCACACCGGCGCAGTTCGGGAGTCGGGGCATTCGGGGGTTATCTATCGTATGGATAATTGGCCGTGGTCCTCCTCTGAGTCCTCTCGGATGGCCTCCCTATGGAAGTCAGCACCCTGCGTCATGGCGGGAGGACTGCATCTCTTGGCTCTCGCCCCTGGGTTCGTGTGGAGAATTGGATTTGTTCCGTGGCCTGAAACCGATCTGGCGAGGAAAAAGATGAGGACTCAACGGAGCTGGGGCTGGCGGGGGTGGTCGGGTTTTGTAGTGATGAAGGGACCAGCTGTGCGAGGAAACTCATCCAGGTGAGGAATCGGACGGACAATCGGAACACGTGTTCTCGCGAGATCTTCCAGAAGAAGTCTCCGTGTCACATTTCTGAAGATGGTGGGTAGATGCAGCCATACTTAAAAGATTCGGGTTCGTCGCGATGTGCTTTCGTAGCTTCGTACCTGTGTAAGAGCATCAGCCAGCACCAGCAATTTGGACTGGAGTACGGCAGCTCTCCGACTCTCATCAGCGGAAAAGTGGTGGCCCTCGAAACCGTTCGGACAGCTTGTCTCATTGGCCATAGACTGCATCTGCCCCATAATTAGGATCTCCCTCCAACCCTTTTGGGCCTAGCTTCCCAACGCGATAGCTCGGTCGCCGATGCGCCAAAAATCCGGTGAGCGATAGTTGAGAGCAAAAGAGACAGCTTCTCCTCACACTTTCTCACCATTTGAACAGTGCAGTCAACTCCTCAACTCCTTCCCAAAAACGACATTGCAGACATCGAGGTTATCCCCCTCCGGTCTGCTTCTTCCCCTCTTGTCCTTCAATTCATCTTCCCTCCCTTCAGTCGTTTTATACCCAGCTACAGGAAGTGTCTTTTGGGCTCGGCGATTTTATTGAGGCGTCTTACTTGCATCAATTGCGAATTCAGACGGCCGGTATTGACTTGCTGGCTTTTACATCTTCCCGGAGTAACATCAGACTGAAATTCATCACTGGCGGAACACTCTTAATTGCTCGCCTACCACGAGCGTTGAAACCACTAGAATGGCCCAAGTCAATGGAAGTCGCGGCGTCAAACCTGCCACTAATGGCACCGTTCCTGTCATGAACGGCTCAACTTCATACGCCGCGAAGCACAAGCTAGCAGACCACTTCATCGGTGGGAATAAACTTGAGAACGCTGCTCCTAGCCCTGTGAAGGACTTTGTTGCCCAGCATGATGGCCACACGGTCATTACCAGTGTAAGCCCATCTTGATATCAACAGTCACGGAATATGCTGACAACTTCAAGGTCCTGATTGCCAACAATGGTATTGCAGCAGTCAAGGAGATTCGATCAGTACGAAAATGGGCTTACGAAACCTTTGGCGATGAGAAAGCGATTCAATTCACGGTGATGGCCACGCCAGAAGATTTGGCAGCCAACGCCGACTACATTCGAATGGCAGATCAATACGTGGAGGTGCCCGGTGGAACAAATAACAACAACTACGCCAATGTCGAGTTGATCGTAGATGTTGCGGAACGTATGGATGTCCATGCGGTTTGGGCTGGATGGTAGGTTTTGCCTTTGGTTGTGTGTTTGATGACGGGAAGCTGACTTCACTAGGGGGCACGCCTCAGAAAACCCAAAACTACCCGAATCCCTCGCAGCCTCCCCAAAGAAGATCGTCTTCATTGGTCCTCCCGGATCTGCTATGCGATCGCTTGGAGACAAAATTTCTTCCACAATCGTTGCCCAGCACGCCAAAGTACCATGTATACCCTGGTCGGGAACTGGTGTCGACCAGGTCGAGGTCAACGAAGATGGAATTGTTACAGTCGAGGACTCCATCTACATGAAAGGTTGCGTGCAGTCATGGCAGGAAGGTCTTCTGAAGGCCGAACAAATCGGTTTCCCTGTCATGATCAAAGCTTCCGAGGGTGGTGGTGGAAAGGGTATCCGAAAGGCGGACAGCAAAGATGGTTTCGAAGCTCTATATAAAGCTGCCGCAAGCGAAATTCCCGGATCGCCAATCTTCATCATGAAGCTAGCAGGTAACGCCCGCCATCTGGAGGTTCAATTGCTGGCCGATGAGTATGGAAACAACATATCTCTCTTTGGTCGAGATTGCTCCGTCCAGCGAAGACATCAAAAGATCATCGAGGAGGCACCTGTTACCATTGCCAAGCAGCCAACTTTCGAAGCGATGGAGAAAGCAGCTGTTCGTCTTGGTCGACTTGTAGGATATGTCTCGGCTGGTACCGTTGAGTATCTATATTCCCACGCAGACGACAAATTCTACTTCCTCGAACTCAACCCCAGATTGCAAGTTGAGCATCCAACGACCGAGATGGTCAGTGGTGTCAACTTGCCAGCTGCACAACTTCAAGTCGCTATGGGTCTGCCATTGCACCGAATCCGTGACATTAGATTGTTATACGGCGCAGATCCTTCGACTTCCTCCGAAATCGACTTTGACTTTTCCAAAGAGAACAGCTCCATGACCCAGCGTAGACCAAAGCCAAAGGGTCATACAACCGCCTGCCGTATTACCTCTGAAGATCCTGGAGAAGGTTTCAAACCATCCAGCGGTAAAATGTCGGAGTTGAACTTCCGAAGTAGTTCTAATGTCTGGGGTTACTTCTCTGTTGGAACGGCAGGTGGTATTCACAGCTTCTCTGACAGTCAATTCGGTCACATTTTCGCCTATGGTGAGAATCGTGCGGCTTCGCGGAAGCACATGGTTGTAGCTTTGAAGGAGTTAAGCATTCGTGGTGATTTCCGAACCACTGTCGAATACTTGATCAAATTGCTGGAGACTCCTGCATTCGAGGACAACACCATTACCACAGGCTGGCTCGACGAGCTGATCTCCAACAAGTTGACTGCCGAGCGCCCAGACCCTATATTGGCTGTCGTGTGCGGAGCTGTCACCAAGGCCCATATCTCTAGCGAAGCCTGCATCAATGACTATCGCACATCTCTCGAGAAGGGTCAGGTTCCTGCGAAGGACATCTTGAAGACGGTCTTCCCAATCGACTTCATTTACGATGGCCATCGCTACAAATTTACTGCTACTCGATCCAGTTTGGACAGCTATCACTTGTTCATTAATGGATCGAAGTGCTCAGTTGGCGTCCGAGCGCTTAGCGACGGTGGTCTATTAGTCCTGCTCAGCGGCAAAAGTCATAACGTGTACTGGAAGGAAGAGGTTGGAGCCACTCGTCTTAGCGTTGATGGCAAGACTTGCTTGTTGGAACAAGAGAACGACCCTACCCAGCTGCGAACACCATCGCCCGGAAAGCTTGTCAAGTTTACTGTTGACAATGGTGAGCATATCAAGGCTGGCCAACCGTTTGCCGAAGTGGAGGTCATGAAGATGTATATGCCACTTCTCGCCCAAGAGGATGGTATCGTGCAGCTCATCAAGCAGCCAGGAGCCACTCTTGAAGCTGGTGATATTCTTGGTATACTCTCGCTGGATGATCCATCCAGAGTCAAGAGCGCCCAACCCTTCTTGGGTCACCTTCCAGATCTTGGACCACCACAAATCGTTGGTACAAAGCCTGCTCAACGTTTCGTCCTCCTGCACAGCATTCTCGCCAATATTCTGAATGGTTTTGATAACCAGGTTATCATGGCCTCCACCTTGAAGGACCTCATTGAGGTTCTCAGAGATACAGAACTTCCCTACAGCGAATGGAATGCGCAGTTCTCCGCTCTCCATGCCAGAATGCCACAGCGCCTAGACGCTGTCTTCACCCAGATCGTGGACCGTGCCAGGTCACGATCTGGCGAATTCCCTGCCAAGAATCTTCAAAAGACGCTTTCCAAATTCATTGACGAAAGTGTCGAGGCAGGAGATGTGGATCTGTTGAAGTCAGCTCTTGCTCCTCTTCTTGAGGTAATGGATCGATATGCAGAGGGCCAGAAGGTCCACGAATTCAACGTCTTCTGCAGGCTTCTTGATCAGTACTCATCAGTAGAGAAACTTTTCTCTGGGAGAACCTCCCGGGATGAGGAAGTCGTTCTGAAACTCAGAGATGAGAACAAGGACGATATTATCAAGGTCATCGGTACCGTCTTATCTCACAGCAGAATTGGCTCCAAGAACAACCTCATCCTTGCCATCCTCGAGGAGTATCGACCAAACAAGCCTAACGCTGGAAATATTGCCAAGTACTTCCGCTCATCACTCAAGAAGCTTACCGAGCTTGAGTCAAGACAAACAGCCAAAGTGTCCTTGAAAGCGCGTGAGGTACTTATCCAATGCGCCCTACCATCTCTTGAGGAGCGTGCTGCCCAGATGGAGCATATCCTTCGTTCTTCAGTTGTCGAGTCTCGATATGGTGAGACAGGCTGGGAACATCGTGAACCAGATCTCGAAGTCCTCAAGGAAGTCGTCGATTCAAAGTATACCGTCTTCGATGTCCTCCCAATCTTCTTCGGTCACCAAGACCCATGGGTGTCGCTGGCAGCTCTCGAGGTTTATATCCGCAGAGCTTATCGTGCCTACTCGCTAAAGAAAATTGAGTACCACAATGACTCGACTGAGCCACCTTTCATCGTGTCTTGGGATTTCATTCTACGCAAAGTTGGTGCATCGGAGTTTGGTATGCCGGTTCAATCCTCGGCACCATCAACGCCAGCAACGCCATCTTACGAGGGGGGCAATCCATTCAAACGTGTCAGCTCCATCAGTGACATGTCTTATCTTGTCAGCTCTGGTGACAAGGAACCAACAAGAAAGGGTGTTATTGTTCCTGTTCAATACCTTGATGAGGCTGAAGAATATCTCATGCGGGCCTTGGACGTCTTCCCAGTTGCAGGTACCAAAAAGCCAGCCAATGGTTTAATGCCCGAACTAGGCGGTAGAAGAAAGCCTGCTCCTAAGATCGATACTGAGGATGAGCTTACCGCTGTATGCAATGTTGCTGTCCGTGACTGCGAAAGTCTCGACGACGCTGAGACACTTGCGCGTATCAACACCATCGTCAAGGAATACAAGGACGAGCTTCTCTCTCGCCGCATCCGAAGACTGACATTCATCTGTGGACACAGAGATGGATCATATCCAGGCTACTTCACCTTCCGTGGTCCCAACTATGAGGAAGACCAGAGTATCCGTCACAGTGAGCCAGCATTGGCCTTCCAGCTTGAACTTGGAAGACTCTCTCGCTTCGCCATTAAGCCAGTCTTCACTGAAAACCGCAACATCCACATTTATGAGGCAATCGGAAAAGAAGTTGAGGGTGACAAGCGTTACTTCACACGTGCGGTTGTTCGACCAGGACGACTACGAGATGAGATCCCTACCGTTGAGTACTTGATTTCCGAATCAGACAGACTCATGAACGATATTTTGGATGCTCTAGAGATTATTGGTAACAACAACTCCGATCTTAACCATATCTTCATCAACTTCTCTCCTGTCTTCCCACTTCAGCCTCCTGAGGTCGAGAAAGCCCTTGGTGGTTTCCTCGAGCGTTTCGGCCGTCGTCTCTGGCGTCTGCGTGTCACTGGTGCCGAGATTCGCATCATCTGCACCGATCCAGAGACCAACATGCCATATCCTCTTCGTGTTGTCATCTCCAACACCTCTGGATATGTCATTCAGGTTGAGATGTATGCTGAGCGCAAGTCCGAGAAGGGTGGCGAGTGGGTCTTCCACAGCATTGGTGGTACTACCAAGATTGGTGCTATGCATCTGCGACCAGTCAGCACACCATACCCAACCAAGGAATGGCTCCAGCCCAAGCGGTACAAAGCCCATCTTATGGGTACGCAATACGTCTACGATTTCCCAGAGCTGTTCAGACAAGCTATCCAAAACAGCTGGACCAAGGCCGTCAGCAAGCACGCCTCTCTAGGCGAGAAGCAACCACCAGTCGGAGAGTGCATCGAATACAGCGAGCTTGTGTTGGATGACCAAGACAACCTTGCTGAGGTTGTTCGCGAGCCAGGTACCAACTCTCATGGTATGGTAGGTTGGATCGTCACCGCCAAGACTCCCGAGTATCCTCGTGGACGTAAATTTGTTGTCATCGCCAACGACATAACATTCAAGATTGGTAGTTTCGGACCCAAAGAAGACGCCTTCTTCTACAAGTGTACTGAGCTTGCGCGAAAGCAAGGTATTCCTAGAATATATCTCTCTGCTAACTCTGGTGCTCGCATTGGAATGGCTGAGGAACTTATTCCTCATTTCAACGTCGCTTGGAATGACGCAGACAAACCAGAAGCTGGATTCAAGTATCTCTACCTCACCGCCGATGCTAAGAAGCGTTTTGAGGATGGCAAGAGAAAGGATGTCATCACCGAAGAAATCACTGAAGACGGTGAGACTCGATACAAGATCACCACCATTATTGGTGCCGAGGATGGTCTTGGTGTTGAGTGTCTTAAGGGTTCCGGTTTGATTGCAGGTGCTACTAGCAGAGCGTACGAGGATATCTTCACGATCACCTTGGTAACCTGCAGATCTGTCGGTATCGGTGCTTACCTGGTTCGCTTGGGTCAACGTGCCATCCAAGTTGAGGGTCAACCTATCATCTTGACTGGTGCTCCAGCTATCAACAAACTTCTGGGTCGTGAGGTTTACACATCCAATCTTCAACTTGGTGGAACACAAATCATGTACAAGAACGGTGTCTCTCACATGACCGCCAACGATGATTTCGAGGGTGTGGCCAAGATTGTCGAGTGGATGGCCTATGTTCCTGATAAGCGCAACAACCCACTTCCTATCGGACCAGCTGTCGACACTTGGGATCGTGACATTATCTACACTCCTTTGGCCAAGCAGACATACGATGTCAGATGGCTCATCGGTGGTAAGGAAGATGATGAAGGTTTCATGCCAGGATTGTTCGATAAAGACTCGTTCGTTGAGACCCTTGGCGGATGGGCCAAGACTGTCGTTGTCGGTCGTGCTCGCCTTGGTGGTATCCCAATGGGTGTCATCGCTGTTGAGACCAGATCAGTGGAAAACATCACCCCAGCTGACCCTGCCAACCCCGACTCCATCGAGCAAGTCACCAATGAGGCTGGTGGTGTTTGGTATCCAAACTCCGCTTTCAAGACTGCACAAGCTATTAAGGATTTCAACAATGGTGAGCAATTGCCATTGATGATCCTTGCCAACTGGAGAGGTTTCTCTGGTGGTCAACGTGATATGTACAATGAGGTTCTCAAGTATGGATCTTACATTGTCGATGGCCTCAGCAAATATCAACAGCCAGTTATCATCTATATCCCACCTTTCGGAGAGCTACGTGGTGGTTCATGGGTAAGCTTTCTCCTCCTAACTTTCATAATCATTTCTAACAGTTTTAGGTCGTCGTCGATCCAACAATCAACCCAGACTACATGGAAATGTACGCTGATGAGGATGCCCGTGGTGGTGTCTTGGAACCCGAGGGTATTGTCAACATCAAGTACCGCCGCGACAAGCAGCTCGAGACTATGGCTCGTCTTGATCCTGAGTATGGTGCTCTCCGCAAACAGCTTGCTGACAAGTCATTGAGCCAAGAGCAACTTAGTGATATCAAGGTCAAGGCAACTGCTCGAGAACAACTCTTGTTGCCAGTGTATCAACAAGTTTCACTTCAGTTCGCCGATCTCCATGACCGTGCTGGACGTATGAAGGCCAAGGACGTCATCAAACGTCCAATTGTCTGGAGAGAAGCTCGTCGCTTCTTCTACTGGCGCGTGCGTCGTCGTATTAACGAAGAATACATCCTCAAGCGCATGGCCACTGCCTCCAAGAACCCACTTGCTTCTCGATCTCGTCATCGGGATACTCTCGCGGCCTGGACTGGCGTTCCTAAGTTCGAAACCGCAGATCGTGACGTTGCTGTCTGGTATGAAGAGAATAGAAAGACTGTTCACGAGAAGGTCGAGGCGCTCAAGACTGAGGGCGTGGCTTTCGATGTTGCTGGCTTGTTGCGCAGCAATACCAAGGGTGGTCTTAAGGGTGTGCAGCAGATGTTGAGCATGTTACCTGCTGCGGAACGTGAGGAGGCTTTGAAGTTTTTGAGTTCTACATGAACTGTATGAGAGAAGAGGTGTTTTGTAGTATAGTATAGATATGCTTTTTTTTTCTTCCTTTGGGGATTGTATAGTTTTGGGAAACTGGAGGGGGCGTTTTTCTCGACATTATTTAAGATGTGTTTAAAATATTAGGTGGTTTGAATTGTGGGGTTGTCTGCTTACTGCAGTGCCTGTCGTTAGGAGATGGATTAGAATGAAATGTGAATTATTTCAATTTACATGGGATTTTATTGTGATTACTGTCCTATGGGTTATTATTACGATATTCCTTATGAGCAAAAGCCTACGACGAGAAGAAGAAACACGCAATGCGAGAAAATAACCACCAACTTGAACAGAACTCGCAAACTCCTCACCTCCTTCCTCACAAGTCAATCCCCTTTCCCCTTTAGTCCCCACCTCGATCTCATCCTCCCTCCCTAACCCTTCACAACCTTCGGACTCTCAATCACCTCACTCCCCTCCACCTTCGGAACCGTCATCCTCAACACGCCCGCCCTCAGCTTCGCATGCAACGCCCCATGCTGCACATCGACCGGGAAACTAAACGCGCGGACCACCCGCCCGTGCCAGCGCTCATTCAGCGTGACGTGCTCGCTCTCCTCTGCTGCTTTATCATCGTCTTTCTTCCCCCCTTTCGCCGCGTCATTACTGATAAAACTATGACCCTCCTCCGCGGTGCTCATCACAGGCACGGCGCTCGCTTCTGCCGGTTTAGCATGCGCGTCGTGTGGATAAGCGTCCAACATCAACGTCCTGGAATTCGTCCACCGCAATTTCACTTCCTCGGTCGCTTCGAACCCCGGGAGTTCGACGTCGATGGAGAAACTGTCGGGGGTTTCCCTTATGTCGGCTTTCGGGATGTGGTATGGCGGGCTGTCTTCGAGGTTCTTGAGCAGGTGGCCGAGTTTGTGTCGGGTTTGTTCGAAGGCGTGGTGGTGTACCGGGTAGGATTTTGGGACGGAGGTGGTGTAGTAGAAGTCTGGGGGGTAGGCGTAGAATGCTGCCATGGTTTTTTTTTTGGGAGGGGGGGAGGAGGGGGTGTGGAGATGGGGATTGGGGGTTGTGTGTCTTGGTTTGCTTGCTGTGGATTTGTTTGATTTTGTGTGTTGTATTATTCTGCTGTGTAGACCACTTACTTATACTCCCCATCTCCGCCATCACGATACTGAATGTCATAGAAGAATATCACATCATACGACTCCTATAACCATCACATGTCCCCAAGACCACGTCATTTCTCTCTCCCATTTCCAAAGATTGATCGTTGGTTTATTGGCAAGGTCATACGATCCTAAACATCACACCATGAACATGCCATTGCTTAGCGAGATGGTGAATCATGTAGAAGTTTCCAGATTTGCAAAACATGTTAAAGTAGGGTTATTTAAGTTGATATGATGTCAAGTGACCCATGTGCGGTAGGGTTGTTTGTTGCAAAGCGTTGATTTTAGCTAGACTGGGTTTTTCTATAGTAGCTAGATCTTGAAGAACTTCTAGTAATTATAGCACGGGGTCTTGATATAAGCCAATATGCTATCCTATATTCTTAGTGAATGCTACTAGTAGTATCCAAACTACAAAATTCTATTTATTTTCAAGATTTTGGGATGTGGTAATAATCATACCACTCACAACCCCCCCCTGTGCTCAAGAAGAATCACTACACCTTTCCATATTAACCACTTAAAGATCCCGCATCGAAGATAAACGTAACTATTTAAATACTATCTTATCTCAATCCTTATATAATTGGGTTCCTCCCGTCCAAGTAAGCTTTCCAATAGAAATAATGTAACTCGCCGTATCAACAACCACATGATCACTATGTTAAAAACGTAATAAGCTCAACGTATATGTCCACTACCCCCTAAAAGAATTGATATACCGCACTAATTCGATTTATAAGCCCTCTTCCTATTCAATCAAACTTATGAAAAATACCCTCCCTTTCTAAACTCCCACGACATCACCATCCCATTCATAATGTCCACCAGTATTTGGCAATTGATCTATACTCATTACACTTAAAAAATTTCAGGAATGAGTCAATCACCAAGAGTATTGAACAACACAGGAATCAGCTAATTCCATGCTTGCAAAATAAAATCCCACACCTCCCTTTTTCGAACACACCACAATCCATCCTACCTTATCACCCAGCCCGTAATTCGGTGATACACGTAGTCTTACTCGGAATCACGATACACATGCACGGACGAGTAATTTTCACGTTCTTATAGGAAAGTTCAATACCTACAACCTAAAAACTACAAACATAAAACTTCTTACCCCGTCTTTATATCCATATATCTCATCCACTCTTCCTTAGCTTCTAGTTCCTTGGAAAATAAATAATGGCGGCTCGGCAAGCGGTCTCGTCTGCTGCCTCACTAATTTGAGACATACACATTAAATATGCGTCTAAGGATGGTCTCGTCGTGGAAGCTCGACGTTCGATCCATTTATGGTGGCTGACACAGCGTGACCGAGTTTAATGGCTATACGTGACTTCATTGCATAATATTAACTTGGACAAAATCTATTTTCGTATGGATCAAATAGCGGGGTTCTACAAAAACTTCACATCTACTGATGGATTATAACGCCAGATACACAACCCCTTCCATGCAATTCCTCGCCCGTCAACTCTTCTTCCCGACGGCTTTACATCCTCTCCACAGGACTCAACCCCAACAGCCTCATCCCATTATACAGCACCACGCGAGCGGCATCGTACAGCGCCATCCTCGCCTTCATCAACTCCCTCTCACTCCCCACGATCCGGAGGTGATCATACGAACTACTCAGCGCGTGGGTCATCTTAAATAGATACGTGAGGGTGGTAGTAGGTTCGAGAGTTTTCAGGGTGTTGGCGACGACGTCTGGGTATTGGGAGATGACCCGGATGAGGTTTAGAGCGTGTGATTCGGTGAGGAGGGAGAGGTCTGCGGTAGCGATTTCTTCGGGGGTGAGGGCCGCGCGACGGGTGATGGAGCAGAGACGGGCGTGGGCGTATTGGAGGTAAGGTCCGGTGTCGCCTTCAAAGGAAGTCATAACGTCCATATCGAATTTGTAGTTGTTACCTCTGGAGTGGATATTAGTGGGGTTATGAAAGGGAAGAAAAGGGACGTACCGTTTTCCGCTAAGATCTTGGACCATTACTGAACTGATACCGAGGATATCGGCTGTAGCTAATGGATCTTCAATTTGCTCGTATTTCTTTTCGTTTTTCTGCATTACTTCGTGCATTTTCTCGGCCACATCACGGAGGATATCATCTAAGAATTTTACTGTTCCACGTCGCGTGCTCATTCCTAGCACGAGGCCGAAATTGATGTGTTGAACTTTCTTGGCTAGCTCGTCATAACCCATCAACTCGATGATCTTGAAAAGTTGTTTGAGATGGAGATCTTGTTGCGATGCTACGACGTAGATCATGTGATCGAAGTTGTATTTTTCGACTCGTTGGAGCATTTCTGTGATATCTCGAGTGAGGTAGAGGGCGGTACCATCACGTTTCTTGATGATCGGTCGTTCAAGACTCTTTCCTGCTTTACCCGGGACGTGTTTTGTAAAGTCAATGATTACAGCTCCTTCAGACTCTTCAGTAATGCCCATCTCCTCCATCTTTTTGGCTGATTTAGCCATATTTTCCTCTAATACCTGACTTTCGCCAGAATAATCATCAAAATGAATGTTGAGGCGAGCGTATGTCTCCTTGTATCTTTTGATACTGAGATCTCGGAATCGTTTCCATTGCGCCAAAGCTTCCGGCTCACTTTCCGTCATCGCTTTGAAATATCGACGAGCTTGTTCGTCCAGTCCCTCCTTCTCGATATGTGAAAAGTCCTTGCTTGCCTCTTTTAATGCCGTCATTTCTTCCTTCTCTGCAGTCATATCCTTGTTGATTGAGACATAGATCTCGTATAAGTGGTTGATCGGGTCAGCTTGTAACGCCTCCTCGCTGCCATATTTCTTGAAACCCAAAGCCAGTAATCCATACTGCTTACCCCAATCTCCCAAGTAATTGATTCGGATCACATCCCAACCAGCCCCATCATATAAGTTTGCAAGAAATCCACCGATAATAGTACTTCGAAGATGTCCGGCATGGAATGGTTTCGCGATGTTTGGGGAGGAGAATTCTACTATCATTCGTTTTCGACCTTTCGACTCGTCCGCAGGGTCTTTCAAACCCAGATATCGATTCTGACCGAACAGAGTACCGTGCTTGATGACAGTGGGAATGAGAAGTTCTGCGAGTTTATCGACTTTGAAGAAGAATTGGATGAATGTGCCCATCACGGTTGGTTTGTGTACCAATGGTGACTCGGGAAACTACTAAATCTGTTAGTAGAGCCAGACATACGGGGCAAAGGGAAATGACCTTCTCCACCCACTCAGCAGCCAACTCATTCGGTTTTTTCCCCTTTACTCGCAACGCAGGCACTGGCAGCACCAAGTCGCCCTTTTCCAGCGTTTGTGTCCATTGCAAGGCGGGGTATACAATTGTCGCATCCACGCCAGTAACCTCCGAAAGAATTGACGATAAATGTGCACGGTAAATGTCGACTGTATTGACTTCAGGGAAGCAATTGGGGTATTTGGGTAGGCGCTCAGAAACATCCAAAGACTTAAGCTTTTCCACCAATTCGGAGGAGGCGGCCGCCATGTTGTATGTCGTTGAGGGTAGCAAACGCGTCGAGCTGGAATTGAGTCGCGTTACACAGTAGAAGGAGGATATCTGAAATACTCTGGATTTGAATTTGTGTCGTGATACTCGTGAAATACAAGAGAAGGAAGAAATCATGAATTATGTGGTGGGGGGTTAGTCAAGCGGGGTGACTGGTGACTCAAGAACGACGTGTATGGCTACAAATAAATTTCCAAAATTCTCAGCCTTAAGGGCCCACGAACAGGCCGGGAGGGTGCATCACGTGATTATGTGAAGATCTGCCCCGCTTTGTCCCTTTTCTTGGTGGAGCTGGTGGAGCACTGGGAAAGTCAACCTCTTCCTTGCCATCTCATACTTTGCTTATTAGCTTTGCTTCTTCTGGATAATTTCTCGACATAGCATTTTGCAAAGCAAATCAACCATCATCTGCGAGATCTAGACTAGTAGGTTTAGCGAGTACTACTGCAGATGAATTTTAGATTCTCAATTGAGAGCTCTCTGAGCTGCGACAGCTATGTTCATCAAGAGAGTCTGCTTTGGTCACCTCATGTAACAACAGGAAAAGCACTTATACGAAATTGACAATCTATATTCAGTGAATGGATTTCCTAGCTGCGCTCATTTCTCTCTCTTCCTCACAGATGCCAAAATGCATATTCTGTGTCGTTGATTTTATCCTACCCAGCTAACTCCGTCCTGTTAATGATTGTGGTAATCCTCCGGAATGCCTTGCTGACAACAATTATAGGACGACCTTGTAACCAAAACCCGAAAAGAGAGATACTCCCGATACTCTTCCGTTCCGTCTTATTTACATCCAAAGACAAGACATCTTAACAACGCCTTGAAAAGTTGCTCTTATGACCTTTTAAGAATTTTCTTTTTCATTTTCTCCCTCCAATAAATCAGAAGGACGGAGTTGGCTGTCCGTCATCCCTCAGGATACGCAAAAATGCACGTTCATGAGCGCCTATATCCGTCAGCTGCGTGCTCTACCTCGCTGGAAATTACTCACTTGGTCTGCTGCTACGGCTCGAAGCACCTTCTTCAACCACGATGGAATGGCTGTCAACATATTCTCTGGCTATCACGATTCCGTTTGGAGAGGAGTCACATGAGTAATCCATCTGCATCAAGGTAACTCTGATGCGATAACGACCGGTGTCATGTATGACCAAATCCGGGAAATAGAAATAAGCTCTATCCTTTCCGGTAGGGCCACTGCCGCGTCCGTTATCTGGCAACGGGTGAGCAGAATCAGCGACTCTTCCACCAAGCTGATCGTATAACGTTTCTCCTGAATCCTTGTGGATGAGAGTTACAACGGCCCAAATATGTGCTAGTTCACTGAATATATCGACATCGCTAGCCAGGCGAGCTGCCATGGGGACGGCGACACCTGGTCGAACTCTTGAAGGTGGTTGAATTGCTAATCCGAGCATATTTGCAGAAAATTTGGTTAACTTTTGAGATCTTCGGTATGTTTGTTTGCGCTGAGCCTACATGATCGTTAGTAACTATTTGCATTTGGTTTGATCTTCGCTTTCAAGGAAAGCTGACCACCAAGTGTCTGGATAGATATGCTCACCTCTGCGATCTCAAAGATTGCGAGTGAATTATTGCACTGATTTCTTGATAGAGTTGTTTGGAAGTTTTCTTGGTGGAGAAGCTCAAGTCATGAATTGTTGAGAGAAAAATATAAAGGACGTCCAAGTGGTATTTATACAATTTGCTTTGTCGTAGTGCAATCTATGGGCACCTCACCGGTACGTCGTCTTTGAGAGATATCGATGAATTGCGAGTACAGGTACTTCAAGTGCAACCGCACTTCTATTAGGATGAAGAGCAAAGGTTCCAGTGGGACGTGATGGATGTTCAGAGCACTGCACATTATTGGGAATATTTCCAAAATCGAGCCTTTGGCTTAGATGCTTTTTAACGGGTTCTTCCCTGCCTGCCTCTGGCGAGTTGAGGAAGTGACCCGGATGGTGGGAACGTTACCGCCATGAAGCCCTTTCTTCTTTCTTTTTCCCTCTTACTCGAACCTTCAGCTCTGGGTGGTCGTTTGTTGATGTTTACTAGCCCTGCATTCAATTAACAATTGACACATAAGACAGTGATTCGAACACAATAAAAATTTCCGTATGCGTTTTCAGAATGAGGCGAAGACTCGAGGAGTTGGGGAAAAGTGTCAAGAAAAAAGGAATTTAGGCTTACAACGCTAATAGCCTAACAGCGAGCTTCCGGATGGGATATTGACATGGCAGTTCATAGAACAGCCACTTCTAATTGGGATCCTCTCCAACAATCCTATGGTTTGACAAAAGGTCCTAAGGTGGCTTGTAGTAGCCCCGAGGCGCCGGTCGAAGGGTGGTGAGCAGGCGCGACCGGGATTCCAATATGCAACCAAGACATGATGCAGAGATCTCTCATATTTTTTAATCGTTCCAGATATCGTGTAAAGCAGATCTAGTGTTGCTTTGCACGTCGTTTTGGCGCATGCACGCACGTCAGTACCTTCCCAGAAAACAGCCTGTACGACCGACAGTCCAAGAAAGCCCATCCCATTTCCAAGCACACCAACATGCTGGCAGTGGTTGGAAGAGGATATCTCCCACCCGCTCACCGCGGTTCCAACGCTACAGTACCTACATCCTCTGGCCACATGAGACACTCTTGAGCCCCGATTTCCAACGTAGGAAATTCGTGTTCGGAGATCGTACTATACCATGTGCCTTGAATCTCGGTACGTAGCCGGACGATGCCGAGTTTCTCTGTTCTTACCGTCCATCGGTTCGGGCGCCACATATCCAGCGTCCGAACACAATAGGGACAACATCGCTTAAGAGCATTTGATCCTTGTGGATTTGATAATTCAACACCTCTTCTTGAGCCGATTAACTCATCACACAGAGTTGGTGATCTGAAGAATATGGAGAAGCAAACAATAGCGGTGTGAGGAGAATTATCTATCCAAATCGGCGTGGGGATTTTCATGGTGATTTGAATACGCAAATGTTGCCAAGGATGGACGTAGGGCTGGAAAAAATCATGGGTTTGTAGGCAGTCTCATGTCTTCGTTTTCTGATCACCTCCTATTATTCACTAATTAATCATCATCTGCAATAGATTATTATGCTGGAATGAGATCATATGTGAAATTTGCAGAACAGTGCACTCAAATTGTTCAATTTTGTGAGCCACTCGAGAGCACTTTCCTCCACTACAGTAAGTAAGCGATGATCCTACAGGTCGTTCTTACCCTCTGCTGTCAACAATGACTTGCTCCTCAGCGAAGAACTCTTGGTCCAATCTTCTGTCTTACCAATGTTGAGGATGAAGTAGTTTATTCTACTCATATCATCGTCAACCCTTCGCATTATTACTCAATTCCTATTCTTCATCGAGCGGCATGTCTTATGTATTTGGATTATAACTTCTTGGTAACCGATCACGAAGTTGAATATCATCAGTTGCTTCCTCAATCACAGTGTTATCCTGAACACGTTACTTCTACGTCCTGCCATTCGGCTGCTTACTCTTCTAATATGAAAAATTGGCCATCAATCAAAAGGTTCGAATCAATTCCCATTTGATGGGAGCACATCACTTACATGTATCAGGGGTCCTAAGCCGTTCAATCACTCCATACCTGCTTAATGGCTTTGACAATCAGCCAGGGTCTGCTTTTTATCATCCTCTCTTGTGCAACTGGACTTTGCGTCGGATCCATCATAGTATACATGTCACTGCTGTTCTTTCACCGCCGACGAGTGGAACGGATCGAACCCGAGGAGGCAATGCGTGAAGCCCATCCATACGCCTGGCGAACGACAGTCTGAATATACATCTTTCAGCCGTGCCGCGTGGCTCATGTCGGGAAACTCTCGGGTCAGTGTCATCGGACCCTAGTCTTGGCCACCTCCCCCTCTAGCGGTGAAATGGGGGGAATATGCTGCTGTGAGGAGGAGGATGGGGAGTACGTGCGGGATTTGCGGACTGAAAATGGGTCATCACTCCACACCTAAATCTCTGTGAGCCCTTTCGTTTATCTAGGTTGACGATGCTCTTGAAGCACAACATTACTGCGGCACAACAAGGAAGTAACTACACGATAAGATGACAGTTCAGTCACAAGTTACTGGATAGAAATTTTCACTGTTTCGATCACATTCGGAACTTACCACTGGATACTCCCTGGAGCCTCAGTCATGCTTGCTGAAGCAAGCTCTAGGATTTGCTGACTCTAGCTGCGTGCCTGCTGCGGATGGGTTCCGGAAACAACTGTAGTGAAGGCGTATGCAGCCGCTTCTTGGTTTGGTAGACGGCTTTTGTCAAATCTTCAAAGTGTGACGTCCGCAGACGAAAACGAATTCTAGTCTCCTGTCACCCATAGTCTCTCATTGGCTACTGTTACAATGATGAAGATACGGTTCGCAGCCTGGATGACCAGGTAGATTGCTGTTATTCTACACCGCTACCGAGATTGCCGACATCTTTCGCATTGACGGACAGGGTGGTGTCTTTCTATGTACACTGAGCTGACACACTCATACATGCTCTCTCGTAGGGCTCACTGGGTCTGTCATGGAGTCCAGCTGATCATTTTCATGAAATCATAAATTCTGAGACTCCGGTTAAGTTGGCGACATATCGAGGCTTAGAACTTCACGGTCCATAGAACTTTTCAATCAGCCACTCTAGACTAAGTTGCTAAGATAAAATACAACGTTCTCTATAGCTTTATTTCTATTGTCGCCAAGCTGTTATCAGAAATTTCTGACTTCAGAATTGCTGCACATTCGTCAGCGACTGGCAATGGAGATTTTGTATCACGCAAGCCACGACTGAGAAAGAGATATTGCCCATCATTTCCCAAGACATCAAATCAATTAAATGTCCCCAAATTGAGGCCTTATTGTCAGGTCTCGAAGGTCGTAATTCTGCTGTGTGGAGACATTAAACTCGCTTAGCGTTAAGATCAACCCCGCTATTCTGCTCCACTTTTCATCGTTATCCTCCTAATCCTTTATTTACAGGGTAATAAGTATTGTCAATCAATGAATGAGATCTTTATTGGGATTCCAGCCCGTTTGTTTCCAGCAGCTTCGAAGCCTAGACTTTTGGCGATCAAAGTTTCGTTTTCATGCATTGCCTGCTTCGTACATTTGCGCTTCATGAGACCTTGTTTTTAAACTCCCGGGGTTAGCCTCACGATCATGAAAGCCTTTCACTGGCTATGGTATTATTGAACGCGAGTCAGTTAAAATTGGGTGTTTAGGTTGTATAGATGCAAGCTTACTAAAAGTTTTACGACTTGCAAGTTTCTTTATGAGTTGTATTGTAAACTCTTGGTTACAATGAAGTGAGAGAAAGCGAACAGGAGAAAAATGGGAAGTGTCTAGGCTAGTTGGTCATATAAAAATGTGTTATCGGCATGGCAGCATGCTTGAAAGCAATTAATCACTTGTTCATTCTACAGTATCTATTGACATAATCAAAATACTGAAAATACTGCCGAGGCAATAAATACCAAGTACCAAAACACACCGCAGATTCTCTATCCACACGACACCAAGCCCGACGCGGGATCTCAGACTCCCTATGCGGGCCGAAAAGGTCAAACCAAGTCCGGCTGTCAGCCATCCGACGACAAATGGCTTTTGTGTTCCAGCGAGCAGTCATATTCTTCTTGGTTGGGCCTCGCTTACCCTTTGCAAATATCTCACTTACCCGCGCTACGCATCTTCCGCAAAATTATGGATTCAAGCTACACAAAGATGCGCTTAGGCGGTATGGGTGACTCGGGCGGCTGTGAGGTTTCGGGCTCGTCATGGGGAATGGACTCTACTTACATAAGGTAGATATACTTCCTACCTCTCCGCAGGCAATAATCTGCAAGCCAGATACGTTGGGTTCAGAATATTTTGTTATGAGACCCAATTATTGATTGCCGCGCAATTGATCCATGTATATTTAGAACGGGGAAGCTTCCGCAGCGACGCTTCTTTTTCAGCAAGCTCGACGGCACATTTGCTCTCCGGTCACACCAGATGAGCGGCACCCTGTAGCTATAGCCTCAATCGTAGCTTGGATCACGGACAATGACCTTAATTCAACGACCATCCAGCAAAAGACGGAAGTTCTAGACTCGAATCAAACACATCTTGCATCTGCGGGATTGTCGATCGAAACACCCCTCCGGCGCATATCGATCGTATTCTGTAACCCACCAGCACCTGGCAGGAGAAGCCGTACGTTGGCTGTACCCCCGTATCTGTGCTGCATAGAGCCCATCTTCCATCTCCAATGACGGGGCCGTACACGACTTGCTAAGCGATCCCTGCATGGGGGGTTGGTGTTACTTTTTCCTGGCCGCTACGGTAGACATGTCTTCACACCGTACCCTCTGCCACCCCCTTCATGGTCATTAAAAGACGTCACTCCTCCCAGCTTTCTGATCCGTCCATTGATACAATTTTGTTCCTGTCATACCGTGCGAGTCATGCTCCCGATGTGATGGTTACGCGTTTTGGGCACTGCAAATAGTTGCATGAACGACTCTTGCCCAAGATCGAACTAGAAATACTGGTCTGTCGTGTAAAGATGACGAGGAAGCTTAGGGACGGTGCTCGCCCCGACGTAATGAGGGCTTTTTCGGTGAAATATGTTGATGTCAGCGGACGAGATAAGGAAGGTCTCCGTGGAAGTGGTATTTGGAATTCTCTTCAACTTTGTTCTATGGGTTTCTGTCGTCTCTTTCTTGTGTCTTGCTAACGACCTCGAAGGCGTTATGATCGTCGAGATTTTTACCATTCAAGCTGAAAAGTCGCCTCCTTTAGGCAGGAAATTCGGCCTTGCAGATTTTGCGTCGCTTATTTCGTCAACCCCTTTTTTGTTCCGTTCTGGACAGAATCATCTAGATTTCTCGCTGTTGATACTGGATTCAGATTCAGACGGGAAGAGCAAATTCCGAGCGATTGCTTTGCAGATCTTGGTGAAAATGAGAAGAACGTGTTCAGTTTGTTTTGGAACGTGAAGCACTTTCCATCACGAAGTTATTTTTAGGAATATCTCAGTGAAATCAAGCACAAACTTCATCTCTTTCAGTATACCACTAGGCATCTGTTTGATCCTTGTAAGAAACGAAGAATTTCCAAGCACCGCCCGATTGACAGGTCATAAAAGTCAAGCTTTTTGAACTGCTTTTGTCCATTGATTTCCTTCAAGGTCAAATTTCTGAAAGAGCTTCTTTCGAAACCGTCTCGAGCGCCGTAAATTTTTACGCCGAGTTCGAACAGGATACCCAGGTTCGGCAGGTCAGCCACCAGAAGGTCTGCCTACACAGCACCCCAAGTTCTGCATGGCAGTCAAAGTCAAATATCAGCATCTATGAACAGATTATCGCGTCTGACAAAGAATCTGAAGAAATGCGGGTCAAGTTTCGTTCAAAGAGGAAAAGAACTGGTCATATTGGAACTGGCAAGTCTAAAGAAAATTCGAAATTTTGGTCGCAGGATAGTTCATGGTCATTATCTGTTTTATGAGTTTTATGAAACAAATCTTGAAAGCCTTGCGGCATCAAAATACTCAAAAGTCTTGATTTCAACTCGGACATTGCCCCCATCTCAGTGCTTCCTCCTACAAAGAGTAAGTGTTTCCTGAAAACTTGTTTCACTTGGTAAGAATAGCGCGATTAGCAGAACAGTGGAGACCTCGAGTCGAGGACCATAAAATCTGATGTTCATGTTCTTTGTACTATACTTGAACGAATCGATCTCCCAGAACTTCGGTCATGACGGCAGAAAAAAGCAAGGTTCGCAAATAAGTTAGCAGATTTTCAACAAGATAGTATTCCCTTACCCACAATTCTTTTGGACTCTCACCTTCAGAGCCAGCACAGTAATGTGACATCGTGGCAATGTGTTAACAAACATTAGTGAGAGAGAGAGAATTATCAAGTGTGAATTGATTTCAATTTCTATCCTCCCGAAGGTCTCAGCATTTAAGAACCTCGGTAGACTTTCTTACCCATAAAACCACTTCTCTCCAATCAAAGCAAAATGTGAACTCCATGCAGTACAAACCAGAATAGGCTCACGGGCAAACCATTTCATCCCACGATATCTCTCCAACCAACACCTTTCCAATTACCTCGGATTTTGCCAGCAAAACCCATAACCACAATCAACCAACGCCCATTCCTATCCGCGAGGAATATTATAAGCATAATTCCAACCCAGCAATGAAGGCTGTCCATTCAGATTACTCAGCGATCCATGCGTCCAAGTCGGAGCAGGATCAACCATATGCCAAGCATATCGCTCAACATAATCAGTTCGATCCAACCAAGGCAGAACTTCTTTCATGAATTGGATTTGTTGAGTTTCAGTTGCGCCTGTGAAAGCACCGCCGTTGAACTGTAATCTCAGTTTAGCAAGACTCTCCACATTGTTAAGCTAGGATCAATATGAACTTACCTCCGTAATCCAAATCCTCCGCCCCCCAATCAACCCCTTAACCATCTGCACCCACCCAATAAACTCCTGCGCATTCGTCCCGCCATACCAATGCATATTCACAAAGTCCACCTGGCAATCCCTGCAATAGTTATTCAAGAACGCAGTGATCCATCGCGTGCCATCCGCCGAGTTCGTGATGGCTGGGGACCCGAGCCACGCTTGGTTGCCGAAAGGTTGGATGTACTTGCGGTACGAGTTCGCGGCTTGCTCGGGCCCGATGCAGGATTGCCCGCTGTTGAAACATTGGTCCGGTTCGTTGAAGCCGAGGATGTTGTTGGCGCCGCGGTTTATGGAGTCTTGGGCGTTGCCGAACCACTGTGAGATCAGTCTGGTGTTGAAAGAAAGCGAAGATGAGTTGAAGCTTACGTTTGTGGTGTGAGCTGGTCCATCACCCCAAAGCATAGGAACAAACTGGACATATGGTGCTCCAGTAGGAATCCGGGAGTCCCAATTGTACATCCAGTTTACCTTAGTGCCGGCGCCCCAGAAACTTTGAATATATTTCACATCATTAAATGCAAGGCCTCGCTTATTTTGAGCTGGGTTGTAGACGGGTTTACCGCCTGGGACTGGTAGTGCGGGAACTGCTTCGGCGTCTGGGAGTGTGAAAGAGGGAGGGTGACCAAGTCCTGCTTGGGGTGGGCCTTGAGGTGTTGATTGGGAGGGAAGGGCGGTGGTGATGGAGAGGAGGGTGAGTGCTGTGAGGAGTTGGAAGTGCATGGTGGGCTCTGTTTCTTGTTAGATTGTCTTTTCCACGAATCATGGCTAGGAGATTGAATGTCACTAGGTCCCGAAGACAGCTTTTCTGGGGATTTTGTTAAACGTTGTATCGAGATAGAAAGAAAAAACTCACAATTCTGACCGCTAATCCTGGGATAGGGTTTCAAAGGAGTGTTGAAACTTGAGCCTTGATTTCCCAAAGAATGAATGTCCAAAGCTATCTTCCAATTGAAACAACCAATGATTGCAACACAAACGCCTTGAAAGGGACGGAGGGGAAGTCGACCCAGTACCAGACCGGGTGATTGGATTGTAAAGAGAAGAAGCTAGTCAAAGAGGGGAGAAAAGCCAACTCTATATACTTCAAAACCTACTCAACTCCTACCGTGAATCATTTCAAAACTCCCTCACCTAGTGCTACCCCTCCTTATAACCCTTCAGGTGATCGATGGTGCAATTCCAAAAGAGGACCCGTGATTGGATTTGGAAGCTGAACTCTGCGGTACTTAATAAAGGAAAGAGGTGAAGATGTGTTGTTGAGGCTTTGCTTTCAATTGAAGTGGATGAGAGGGTAACGAGCGAGTATTGATAAGACTAATTGAGATAACAATCAGGAGGGGAGATGAAGCTGGTTCACGAATGGTGATATTTGAGGAAGTGAAGTTCTTGAGATAATACACCTAGAATTTATTTTCCGTTAAAGTCTTGATAAGTAGCACATCTAAAGATCACTGAAGCCAATTAGTGTTAACCTTCCCAACAATTAAACCACACTGTCTTGCTTGAGACATAAAGGACACATAGTGAACAGTCACCCGTTCACAGATCTTCTCTTGGAATTTTCGGTTCGAGACAAAACCTTTGCCATAGTAACCAGAGACACATCACTACCGCAAGTTCTACGCACTCCTTGTAAGAATATTGAAATCGGAGACATTCAATCGCCACTTCAATAAACCCGTACTCACAGCTTTAGCTCTCTTCGAATCACCCTTGTAGCCAGTAAAACCACGGATAAACAAGAGCACACACTAAGATAGTCAAGTGTCAATATCAAGTTTCAATTGACAGACTGAAACCAGAACTCCTTACCACCAACTCCAACCCTCACAACCTCATCTCTCCCCATCCCATAAAATTTCATACTCACGAATAACAATCCACCTAAGCACAAGCCTCAGAATAACTAAGTACCTACCAATCTCACCTTCCACCTCCTGCTACAAACAAAATCTCCTCTTGACCCTACTTCCCTCATATAAACAGACTTAAAACCAAAAAGCCTCCTTATCGCTGACTTAATGCTCACAAACTCATCTCTCTCCCAAATACACCTCCAATTGTTATCAAGCACGGATACCAAAACAGCAGAACACGCGCACCAGGATAGATAGGTGTTGATATCACCTTCCAGTTCCTGTCATGATAGATGGTCAATCATTTCTGAATCGAAAAAAACAGAGCTTTCTGAATGATTCGAAGTAATTTAAGCTACTCCATACCATGAAATTGATTGCACTAACGTCGATGCTGAATAATCGAGTCGGCGGGGATTATAAGTGGTTTATATGTAAGAGACAATATGTAAGAGACTAAAAGCCAGAATTTCTTTTCCAAATTACAAAAAGAACGTGGAGGTAAAGAAACACAACAGAAAAGCTAGAAAAGATGACCGCCACTGAGTCGGTTAAAGGGAGACAAGATGAGTGATATCAGCCTTTTGACTTGGAAGAAAGCTAAGTTGTGAACTCTTTCAACCTTAGTCGATTTTGAACGAGAGTGCGCAGCGAGAGTGCGCAGATTTCTGATGTATTAAAAAGAGAATACTGAGATAGGCGGTGTGATTTTGCTAGAGTGTTTCGATTGCCACTTGTGATATCCACCGCGAGGCGGGTTCAGCGTGCTTCTTTTATGGAATGTGCGACTTAGCTCAAATACAGAATAGCTGGGATCTCTAAATTCCAATTCGTTTGAGGCACTTGCCATATTCCAAATCGCGAAATACAAAATCACATCACGTCACCAAAAAACTTCATATTCCAACATCTCCTATTATCAACCCCATCTAATACCTAACCTCACCCTTCCCACTACTCCCCATAACATCCATCTGGTACTCACACAACTCCTGAATCAAATCCGTGCCCTTCCCCATTAACTCAGTAAGCGGCACTTTCCCCGTATTCTCCTTCACGTATTCGTTGTATTTAGATAAGACGAGATCATTGACATTAATCCTGGTCATACCGCCTTTGATACATTTCTGGGTCGTTTCGTCGGGGAAGGTGTTGGTGCCGTGGAGAACCATCTGGGCTTTTCCTTTGCAGGCTTCGCGGATGGATGTAAGTCTGGGTGTGTTAGTAGGAGGCTCCGTAGATGGTCTTGGTTTTTTTGACAGTCGCGCAAGTCGTCAAAACCACAGAAATCACAACTCACCTATCATACTCCAACCTAATATTCTCAATGCCCCCATAATTCCCATGCACATTCCCAAAAGCCGGCGCCAAAAAGTCAATCCCGGTACTCACAAACCTCGCCGCCTCCTCCCCGGTCGTAAGCAATCCCTCAAGATCCCCCGTATCTTTAACCCCATCCTCCCCGCCATTAATCCGTCCGGGTTCCGCCTCCGTCGCAATACCCTTCCCATGCAACATCTTCGTGATCCGCTCCGTCTTTTCTAAATTCTCTTCCTTTTCGTAGTGCGACATGTCGACCATGATGGAATCGAAATCGTAGTCCGACGCCGCGATGATCTCGTCTTCGGACTGCGCGTGGTCCATGTGCAGGACGATAGGCACGGTGGCGGTACGCACGGCGGCGATGGCGAGATGGATTAGGAGGGGCGAGTAGTGGAGGGCCCAGGGGAAGAGGAGGATTTGGGCTGGCGAGCGCTTTTTTTCGGCGGCGCGGACGACGGCTGTTATGGTTTCGAGGTTGTACTTGGGATGTTAGAATAGAGTATTTGGTTTAAAAGGAATGGACGTACGGAAACGACACCGATGATTCCATAGCCTCCTTCCTCTGCTTCTCGGAGCATTCGAACTGCTCTGTTGTCTTTCATTGATTTCGGCATTTTGGTAGAGGTTGAGATGAGATATCCAAAAAATTTGTAAACGTGAAGGAGTTATGTTAAAGTATGTACAAAATCAAGAATTAAGGATTGGAAATAAGTGGTTAATCAATGGAGAGATGGAAGTGAAAAGGTAGAAAGGAATTGTATCAGTAAAGGCAAAAGAGACCGGGTAATGTTCAACCGACTGTCGGAGGAGGAGAGGTGGGGTGAACAGAAATGACCCCGCATAGAGTGAGGAAAGTTAGCCGAGTGATACTTTTAAAATCTATAACGTACCTGTTGACTATTGAATCCAATTGAATTCAATCACAAGGACATTGACTCTTGAATATTTGTTCTTAAAGTTTAGCAATAGTAAACCTTCCAGGATGTTGTCTTACAAAACCCAACGTTAGCCATTTCTCAGAATAGTTTCCGTCATTCATACATCAATTAACTCTCCAAACACTTTCCTACAACCCACACCTAAAAGACCCTCTACTCTTTCAAACTATCAACATAATCCCTAACCGCCTCCTCAAAACTAACATCCTTCCTAAACCCCAGCCCATACGCCAAACTATTATCAAACTCCGTCCCCCAACTCCTCAGAATCCTCTCCATCTCCTCATCCGTCTCCTCCCTCAAGTACTGTAGTTTCTCCTTCCCCGCCACCCTCTCCAACGCATCCATCATATCCTGCACACTAACCCCGATGCCAGGCATATTAACCACCCTCTTATGCTTCGGCAGCGCATCCGCCCCAAGTTTCAACGCGTGAAATAGATTCTCGGCCAAAGTTTTGGGGGAGCAGAGCCAGGACCGAAACGACCGGTCTTTGAGCGGGATAACGCATTCTTGGTTATTCATCGGCTCGCGGATCATGCCGCTGAGAAAGGAACTCGCTGCGGCGGTGGGCTTGCCGCCTCGTACGCTGATGGTCGGGAAACGGAGGGAGTAGCCGTCGAGGAAGCCTTTACGCGTATAGTCGTTTAGGAGCGTCTCGCAGCATAGCTTTTGCGCGCCGTAACTGCCTTCTGGGGTCGGGAAGACGGATTCGTCGATTACGGCTGGGAGAGGCTGGCCGTATACGGCTTGGGAGGAGGCGTAGAGGACGCGGAGGAGTGGTTGGTTTGGTTTGTGGACAAGACGGAGGGCTTCGAGGAGGGAGAGGGTGGAGTGTAGGTTTACTTTCATGCCGAGTTCGAAGTTGGCTTCGCTGCCCGAGGACATGATGCCGTGGAAAATGCAGACTGCATCGAGGGGGAGGGAGGTGTCGATGAGGGATTTGAGAGATGAAGGGTCGCAGAGATCGGCTTGTATGGGTTTGCAGTTTTCTGGGTGTTTGGCTTTGGGTGGGATGGGTGGTGAGATTATGTCTGTGAGGATTACTTCGTAGGATGGGTCTGAGAGGAGACGGGTTGCTAGGAGAGGCCCTATTAAGCCTGCGCCGCCGGTGATGAGTACGCGAGGCATTTTGTGAGACTGTTAATGTTGTTAGAAAGTAGAAATAATACAAAAGTTGAATGGCCGGCACTATATTTCAAGAGCAACAATGCTTGTTTAATAAGTGTTGATATTCGAAGATCGCGGGGAATTAGTGCAACTCCCCCACTTTACCACAAAATGATCTGACGGAGAGAAAACCGAAAAGAAATATCATTGGACGTACCAAAAGAATAGGAAAGTTTTCCGAGGTGAGATCTCGCTGTTGTCCCCGGGGGATGCTTTGAATTGGATTTAATATTTATACACTATTTCTGTCTGGAGTATTATAACCCGAACCCAAACATTATATCCTTACTATGTAACAACCTAGTTCTCCTACAGAAGAACCACCGTGGCTTGATACAAGTGATCTCCAATATATGATCATCCCAAAATATAGTCCTTCTAATATACACATCCCCTCCATCTCCCGCCCTCTCCCCTTCCCCTCCCATCTCTGAGACATCTTATCCCCCCCCCTCCTCACTTATATCCTATCCTATCCCTACGCAGGAGCCTTCGTCCTCAACTGCACCCCATGCCACCCCTTAATCTCCTCTCCCAGCACCTGATTCACGAGCCTTTGCTGCTTAAGCATACTCAAGCCCCTAAACTTCTCACTAGTAATATCAATGGAGTACATACTCCCGCAACCACCCGATACATCTGCGACCTAAACACATCATTAGCCCATATCCCAAACCACGACTAAACCCTCAATATTCACAACTATGCTCCGAAAACGCATCTTTCCTCCTCTCAAAAGCGCACGTAGAGGCAAAAATAACAGTACACGAAGAGGGAATACATACCTTCAACTCACTAGCCCCCAACTCCCTCATCAACAACCCCCAAATCTCCTTCTCCTTCGCATTCAAATGCCCAGGCGCCTCTTCCATCTTCGAACCACCGACCCCTTCTTCTCCTGAGCCGATTGTACCTTCTTTCGTACTATATCCTCTTCCAAATACCCTCTCCTTCCCCATTGCCCCATCCCTTATTGTTCCCCTCTCCCTATCTATTCCCGTCGCCTTAATCCCCTGCTGCCCCTTCGAACTATGTATCCTATTCGAGCTCGGCAACGGCGATATAGACGTCAAACCCCGTCTCGCAGGACATATACTGGCCGCCAGACATTTCGGCTGCGCAGTTGCTTGACAGCGTAGGATGCGTGATGGGGATGTGCGGAGGCAGTGGCGGAGAGCTGGTGGTGTCATGATCGATTCTTTTCTTTCTCTTCTCTTCGTTATTGAAACTCTTCTGCTCTTCTTTTTCAATTCTTTGCTTCCTATTCTTGCCTCACTCTCCGTCAAACATCATCCGATAATCTACAACATGCCCCAAGCTCCAGCCCCACATAAACCAACAAGGTCCAAGCTCCACCATCCATTCCATCACCGCACATTTCTAATCCAAGACATCACGTGCGTATTCCGGAGTCCAGCCTCACATCGTCATCACCAGCCACAGTATTAACCCCGCGCGAAAAAAGTAAAAATTTGTCGTTTCCGGTGGTTTGGGTCGGAGGACGGGGAATAGGATATTAGGGAAAAGGGATAGGAAGGGAGATGGATTTTCAGGTACGCGAGATGATCTTTGCAGAGTAGGGAGGAGGGAAAGTGATTTATTGTAAGAGTGTAAATGGGTTAGTAGTTAGATAGTACTTACTACTATAGAAATCTTCAATACCCTCAATCTAACATACCAATCGATTAATCCATCTAAACATACATACCTCCTTGTATACCTAGTGTCTAGAACTTATCTTATCTCTCGACCACGCAAACATCTCATCTCACCCAAGAATACACCATTTTAACATCTAGAACCCATCCCATCCTTATCTCTAAACTAAACTCCCGATACCAACACCACTCTTATCTCACCCAAGAACCCACCATCTAACCTAGAATCCATCATCTAACCCAAAAACCCAGCATCTCACCCAAGAACCCTCGATCCAACCATACAACCACCTCATTCCATCTCACACTACACCCAACGAACCACCCCACCCCATCAAAGGCTCTACATACCTACCAGATTAATTAAATTCAAGATCCTAAACCATCTCACCCCCCCACATACTACTCCCAACGAACCAAACCACAACCTCACCTCACCACATCAAAGCTCTACATCAACCAAAGAATATAAAGCCCAGAACATTTCTCACGATCGATCGATCAAATTTCAGAGTTAATACTCAGACCAATTGATACCCACAGTCTAGGACCAAAACCACAACCCACAGAGCACACGGACAACACAATCCACCCCCCAAATAAGTCCACTCCTGGCACTCCCCACCCAAATCCACAACGCACAGCACACCAACCAGGCAGGCATCACCCTTCCCACAACAACCTATTGTTCAAAAAAAAGAATCTGAGACCATGACATGACATCATCCCCTCTCACTCCACCAAAACATCCAGCGCATAAAAGGTCTCGAACAAATTTGCTATCTCGTACCAAGATCCATAACAAACTGCTATAGTACCAAGAGCTATAGAGCCAGGCTACTATACCCATATAACAACTAGTGTTATATAATCCTTCGAAGAAACTAAGTACCCTATAATCGAGGTAGCAGATAAAACATAACAAAAAACATCTAGACGAGATGACAATATCATTAGACTCTATAGCAATCTCAAAAAAGGACATACATACCTACCTAGACATAATCAAAGAGAAGTTAACCTAGAAATCTCATTTGTATATCTATCTCTCCACATATCATCAAAATTTGCAGTCACAAAGTCACACAATAAGACATGAGAATGTTTTTCAGAATGTTTTTTGTTCATTATACTACTTGATGTAGACTTAACTAATCCACACCCCCCATTTCCCCCCATTCAGGCTATATGAAAAAGTCTTCATTCCAGACCAGTCCTGATTTCTTTTCTGATCGGTCTATTCCCCCTAAACTTCTAACCTCTCAGTTGGTAGCAGAGAGGGGTGAAGCAAGGGCGAGGGAATCAACCAGATATCCTCTCCTTGATGATGAGATTCCGTTCTCATATTTTTCTCGTTATGTACGGGATGCTTCGTTGAGACGTTCTCTTCCACTTTTGTCGCCCCACGTGCTCCCCTAACCCCCCTCATTCCGATCGATATCAACGCGCGACTTTTTCTTTCCAAAACCCAATCTTGTATGTTCCCAAGGCAATAATATAAAAGCCTTCAACGATATCCCTCCTTTGCCCACAGGTCTGGTGAAGAGAGCCTGAAACGTAACAATAGAAATATTAAAACCCAGTCTATGATGAAAATGAAACCGCCAGCTGAAACCCTACAGCAAAACGCCCACAGAAAAAACATGCAAGAAACCAGGGTAAACGCTCAAATGTACAAGTAATCCCCAGACCAAAACAAAGGCATGATTGTGCCCGCCGCGCAGAAATGCTAAAATCCCACAAGTTCCGGTTGAGGGGGGTCGTTCCGTATAAACAATAGCTAAGACCGACTCGTAATCACATCTGAGAGTCGCTCACACTTTCGCATGCTGGTGAAGGGTTTCGATAAATGGTGGATGACTACACTCAGTAAAGAGGTAACCAAAATTTTATTTTGACGAGTCTATCGCCAAATTTTCGGAAGGAGATAGATCGTGATGTTGGAAGTAATAATGCAGTCGACTCGTACGGGCCTGAGCTCGATTTACGTTTCATGCTAAAATCATCCTCGAATTGCTGTAGGTGTATGAGCTTCGTGTAGAGAAAAACCAGCATGCATGTTGTAAGGATACATCGAAGACGTACCCGTAACAAACCCAGTCATAGGAGCTGGTGAAGCAGAACGCGAAGACGACATATTCGTTTGTTGATTTCGTGGAGGCGAAGGCTTCTTTTCCATCATAATGGGAGAGCTTTCTGCGGTCGAATCGCTCGAGCCAAGAACATAGCCATTATCATTACTGCCATCATATTGTCCGGTTAATGTGCCATCTTTGAGTTGTGGTGAGCCCTTGGCTGATCCGAACTGTAAAAGTAATTAGCCATAATCCTCTTTACTGTCATCCTTCCCTGGGATAACTTCGGTTAGGAACGTACAAAGCAATATTTGTCCAACAATTCGTTGTAAGATTGTGAAGCAATGACCGGCTTCGATGCACCAGCAGGGCGCGGTGACTCGGTACCGCCAGCCACGGGAGCGGTAGAGATCTTAGCAGGTACCGGGACACTCTTGCGATTGCTCTTCATAGTTAGAGGTGATGGTGAAGCATCATCGGCATCGGCAAGCGCCTTTCCGAGTCCAGCGGTAGCAGGATTCGCGGGGATACCGCTCTTGTCACCCATGACGTTGTTGGCAGCCTGGATGGCAGCAGAGAGCGAAGCACCAAAGTCGTATCTGTTACCAAAGGCCTGGCCATTAGGTTGTGGTGCTCGGCGAGTGAGGGTGTCGGTGCCAAGATTGACAGCCGACTTGACTCCCTTTAATCGGACTGGGGTTTCCGAGTCACCCAGGTAATCGGCGACTGGTTGCTTCAAGTCGAATGGGTATCCCTTAGATTCAAACCCATCGGCGAAGTCGTCAAAGGTAACAGGCATTGTCTTGGCCTGTGTTAGCGAGGGGGATACCCTCTTGTTGCTGCGTGGCAATGAACCAGCTTGCCTTGACCCAGCACCCTGTTTGCCCTTCTTGCCATTTTGAGGTTTGGCCTTCTTTCGGAAATCGATCTGGAAGTTGGTAGAATTATTGTTGTCCCAGTATTCCTGGCCGTTGACAGCATACTTGACGCAGAAGAACATGGTCTTCGCTTCGAGGTTAGCTTGGTCTGCAAGCTTGATGTTGAAGTGGAAACGGTCGTAGCCATCGGCGTGCTTTGGCTGGCGGATATCGTGGTTGTACTCAGCGACGACCTCCGAAGTGGTTTTCCAGTAGTCCAAAGTAAACCGTGCAACGACAGTCTTGTTGAACGCCAGATTGGCAACGGCAACGCTGCCAATCAAGGTCTTGTTATCTGCAGAAAGGAAGACTCTCTCCACCCTGACTGGGAGTGCGAGTCTCTGAGGAGTGTCTGCAGGGAAGTTTGAGACGACGATCTCCCACTCGAATGGAGGACCCCGGGTTGACTCTTCATCGTTGAATGGGAACTCGTTGTCACTCTCGTATGCTTCCACGGGCGATGATCCTGCACTGACTGCCAGGGGTCGATCGACCTGAAGGAAGTGTCGTACGTGCTCTAGGTGAGAGTCGAAGTGTACCGCTTTGGAGAATGTTGGTGTGCCTGGCATACTAGAGGGTCGCCGTCTAGCTGAGGACGGTCTAAGAGCAGGTCGGACCAGCTCCCCAGACTTCTTTCGGAGCATAGGAGGTTTTCGCCGCGATCGAGGCTCGTCCTCATCAGTCAGAGAATCTTCATCGGATACCATGGTAGGCGTTTCGGGTGATAGGCCTGGAGACATGTTCGATCGAATGTCGACAAAGACTGACGAGTCAGTGTTGGATCTGGTATGGGTAATTCTGTTTACAGCCTGCTTCATCTGTTGATCGAGCTGGGCAGCCACTTTGGCATCTTGAACTTTCTCGGGCGAGATCAATGAGAGATGCTGATTAGCTTTCGAGACGTCCTCGGCCATGCGGCTTGGCGAACTCTGTCTGTGCTGCTCGATGGTTCTGATGGCTGCTTGCAACTCCTCCATATTTTCCAGCTCGCGTCCTCGCGGGCTCTTTGCATCCTCGTCATCACTTGAATTCTGAGTTGAGTCGGGCGGTGAGATGATTGCTCCAGCAGGCAATTGTGCCGCGTCCGTCGCTGGCGGAGGTGACTGCCGTATGCTGCCGGACGAGGTTAGACTTGAGATATCATGATTGTCCTTGTCCGCAGTTCCAGGTGGAGTGGGCTCATGGACCACCTCGAACGAGGTGGTCTTGACTGATGGCGTCCGCCTGTGCTGCCGGGTCAAGTATGAGGTCGACCGTGGAAGTTCGGGTCGTGTGGGTGCAGGGCTGCTAGATTGATGCTGGTATCCGTATGAAGATCGACGACTGAGCGCTGGAGACTGTGGAGCAGAAGAAGCTGGTGAGCGTTGAGTGGGTGGTGTGTAAGGCATTCTACGTTGAGACAGCGGGATCTCGTGATCGTTGTGTGGGAGGAAATGAGTGCCGGTCGGTGCGGGAGGAAGAGGATGCTAGACCTGGCTGTTCATGAAAGTCTTCCAACTGTTGCGAGGGGAGTATGTATGTACTAAAAGTCCAGAACAGGGTGCGGTTAGCCGGATGCTCCAGAACAGGTCGAGGAGCTGGTGAATGAAGAAAGAAAAGGAAGGACATTAGGGTTTCAGGAACAACCGCAGAATAAGTTGCTCCATGGAGCGTGAATCAATTCACTTACGATGTGTATGAGTCTGCGAAGCGGATGAGCTGTGAGGGTATTAGTCACGGCGTTTTCCAGCTGTGCTACTAATGAGTTTCTTTGCAGAAAGAGCGATCGAGGATCGTCGAGGTCGTTCGGGGATGGCGGAACTTCGACGAGATGGAGGTTTTCGTTCGAGTTAGACGAGGTGCCAGGACAAAGTCAATCGCGACTTCTCTACCTGTTCCTTCTTTGTCTGGGATCGAATGTTGTTGTTGTGCGTGGGGAGAGCAGCTCGAGGCTCTGCGAAAAAGTGTGGGATGATATCCTTTGAGTTGGGAAAAATGGCGTCCCGGAGAACAGCGGCTGCGCCGAATCGATAAGGCGATCCGTGAATGGGGATGATTATCGACAACGACAACAATCGCAACAACAATGTTCGGATTCGATATCAAAGGCTGGCGGTGGCCTAGATGTGTGATGATATTCTATCTTGAATATTGGGAGGAAGAAGAATTAAGTGTACGGGGGGAATGAGGAGGGTAAGTAGTATGGGTTATTCGTCTGGGTTGATGGGCAAGCAGGATGTATTGTGCCGGGCTAAGAAGCTGCTAGCAGGGTCAGGATTGCGGGCTGGGGTTGGCGTGGAATGGCTTAGAATGGGTCGGCTTTATGTGGGGGGACGAGCAACAAGGTTTTTGGATGCGCATAGCTGCAGCCTTTTGATTGCAGCCGTTTTTGGTCGTACGAGTCTGTTGCCGCTCACCAAACCATCCCAGATTCGCCCGTCACCAGGAATTCGACGCATTTGATCAGGATGCAATTGATAAGATGTCTAACGCATTTGATTGTCTCAAAGTACTTCTCTGCTTTCTGGTGTGAATACCATCTAACATTTGTGAGACAGATCATGACGAGGTTGCGACGGAAAAGTTGGCGCATTGCTATCTCGAAGCTTGTCGCAGACTGCCACACCCAAATCTCGCTGGGGAGCGCTGCTCTGAGCTTGCATCTCACCCATCTCCGACCGGCGCGCACCAAAGACGTACTCCAGTCTCCAGACTCCATGCTGCTGAGTCCTGGCGCTCCAGAGTCGACGTCGCTCGCACTGATCGCTCCAGTCCCCACCGTCCACTGCTGAAACTAAACAATTTAAGATTTCATGACCTTTGCTCACGCAAGCAGCCTGCAGCGCTCACCCCGTCCGTCCCGGCAGCCAAAGAAAGAGACGGTACAGCAAAGTACGAGATACAATTTGACTGCATCTCGTGCCCAGCCGTCTAGTGGTAGCTCCCGGGTTTGGTGCATTTCGACGGCAGAGGGGGAGTAGTTGAGGATCATGGACGAGTCCAGGTCTGGATCGGGCTTCGCAAGTCTCCGCTCAACAAGTCGTCAACCAGGGCGGCCATGGAAAGAGGGTCAACGGAGATGGGAGATGAGGTTATTCTGCATAATGGCTCAGACCAGCCGACTACGTACGACCTTGGGCTGTTCAACTCCTGGTCCTGCCAACCCGTGCTCAGTGCTGGTTCACGGTGGTTCAGTGTGGCTCATGGCCAGGACAGGACGCTGGGAACGTATGAAGATCTGTGTCTGGCGTGTTTGGGCGGGTGGTGTTCAGCGCTGGCCAACAATTTTTGCATCGTCAGCCTCTACCGCCCGCAGCCGGATCGTTGACGTAGTGCTCCTTCTCACGAACGGTTACAGATGGCAAAATTAGAATCTTCACGTCTTCCACGCTGGCTGAGTGACTCCAACGACAATCCAACAATCATCCAGCGACAATCCTCGCAACGCACAACGGGGTACAGAGAGCAATTGGCAACGCGGTCCAGCGTCAAGATAACGGGTGCCATCACCCACCCAATTTTCGCAATTTTCTTGGTCGCAATCAATAATCGCGTATCCAAGGTTTCCCGAGTCGCTGCTCACCCACTCTCACCGGTGTGTTGTTATTCGTTGAAACCTAAAACGGCAGAAAAGAAGTTGGAGTGGAACTTTGGGACGGGGATGAGAAGCAGCCAAGGGAACCAAGAACGCCTCATTTGGCGTACCTTGTATCCTGGGAGCAGATTGCGACCAGCTAAGGTTGCGAACAACATGGGTTGTACGGAGTGCGGACTCGTCGCTCGACTCTGAAGCCGGGATGTGGAAGAGTCGGCAACGATATTTTCGGAGAACCATGGACGAGTACAGAGTCTGGATGTACGAAATATAGGATGTGGCTGCGAGCAATCCAACCGCACACATCGTGGGATTCATCAAAATGCCGAATTCAACCAAAACCACACATTCCAGTCTTGACAAGATGGGCAGCGGCCACCGTCCACACCCACCACATTTTCCTGCTGCTATCGTCGACCAGCTATCTCTACTTATTGCCTCAATTAAGAGTTCGGTCGAGAACATGTTTTGCTGCATCGTACCGCCAAGGATATTTAGTCGCAAGAACGACTTCACTCTCTGTTATTGGCGATTTGAATCTGCAGCTGCATGCTTGCATATGCTCCAAAGTATAACCACCACTCTTCCATAATGTGTGTGTGGAAGGGTTAAAGATTACGACCAAGCAGGATCACTCATCTTCGAACTCTCATAGCAGAGTGAATGCCGCTTTCTTATCTCTGTATACTCACAATGGCACAATGGGTTATCAGCCCTCCATGCACTACTCTATTGTTCAAACAATGCGCGGCTCCATCTTCTCGCCTGCATCGTCGTCACTCAAATCAGTCGTCTTGCATTGCATCAAAACACTCTTTGGACGTACGGCTTTCTATCTTGGTGCAAGGCGCCTAGGGAGCGCTACGAGTACGGGGTACAGCAGGATAACTACTAAAGCAGGCAGGCACTAGATTATCTTGAACTGCTTTGGATGCAGCTCTGATGTGCATGCGAAGGCCAATCCGGATAAGTAATCCTCCTCTTACGAAATCACCTTCGTGGTTGATGCTGTTGAGGACGATCGCTTGTTGTTGAGGGACGCAAACAATATATCAACATTCCAAGTGCCGAGACCCCGAGACGACGAACGAATGGCCATGCGAAGACTAGGTGCGTTACATACGCATTAATAATCTTCACTCCTATACACTCTGTAGGTCGTGTGGCATCTTACGAATATGGCAACAAGAACAGCGCCATCACATCATCCACCACTCTGTGGGTGTCGTCAACTTTGGCTCAGGACACCTGAGCCGGATAAGAATGGGAATCTAGCGTATGCTTCATTTCTAATCAACATGATCTCCCCAGCCCAAGCGTTACGCTACCTTTCCTGTGGCACACATTGGCATATCAACTCTTGTGATACAACAAGCGAGCTGCTCGATCAAATCTCGGTCTGCAGTACTGCAGCCGTCTTTATTTTAGCAGGCGAGAAGAATTTGACGGCAAGATAGCCGTCTCTCTCTCTCTCTTAGCCAGTTGTGAATTACAATATGCAAGATGATCGTGGAATATACTGAGGGCAATACTTCCTGCGGTCGAGTCTGTATGCGACAATCTTCTGGAAACACTAAAATCCAAAGGCTTACGTTGGTATCCAGGATAAACGCACCGTTATCATCATGCCACCAGTAACATATCATCATAAACGCAACATCTTACACAGCACGTCTCAAGCTCTCCAATACGTCTATTATATACATCGACGTTTACTCGTTGTCTTTTCTAGTACTCTCGAACATGGCCAGCCAGATACACTAGATGAAGCAATTCATGGTAGCATCCGCGGGACATACTCGGCATGTACACCATTGCATGCTGCGATAGGGACAGCCTTGAACTTCCACTCACATTAAGAGATAGCTGTGTGACTTCGGCATATCATGGCTATCGTAGGATATCCAAGGACAAGTTCTATATCCGGGAAGTGGCGGTCCTCTGTCCTTCGTATTTCGAAGTACACTGAAAGCATTCTACCGCTGACCACCGAGTGGGAATTGATTATTCTCTCCGCCCACGATATTGACATACTGTATTCGACTTCTATAACTTACCTGCCTAAGCAATCATCTTCCGGTGACAGAACCTGTTATCGGCATGTTTACTAGAATCCCATCCCGCGGGTTTGCTTACCGCAAAGGAGCAGCTGACCGTCTTCTTATCAGGCAATGGTATACAAGTCGTGGGGCATCCAAGGCGATAAAAGATATCCTCTTCACTCGCTTTACTTTACGGAGGCTTGTCGTCTATCTTGCATGTCAGCATTATTCGTGACAACAGCAACTAATCAATAATAATCATTCAAACTTTCATCGGCCATAGTTCCGGCCACTACCGACTGGGTTAGGACATTTGACATCGAACAGGGTTACGGAGTGGTACTGTTGTCGTCCGGAACCCCACTTTCAGGAAGCATCGTGAACCTGCCAATCTGGAGCTACGGACAAAGAACACGATGTCAAAAGTGACATTCCCATCTCACGATGTTCCGGTATTGTAGACCTGATCGGCGATGTACCTGATCACCGGCAGAGGAACCCGCACCACCCAGCGTTCTGGGATTTGCATGTACCGCGGACTCTTTCAGGTCCCGAATAGTTACATATTTCATGACCGCTCGACCTCAGTCACATCATTTGAACCTCTACGTTCGAACATCAAAAGTTTCTTTTGCGCGGTTTATGCTGACATTGGATATTTGGCGATGACTTCATCATGCAGACTCTTTTGCTTCAACCGTGCTTCCAAATTTGCATGACCAAGGGAAAATGCGAATTGATGCACGGTTATTCAGTTGTCCCGTGATGGATTGAACACAGGTGGACCAGAATATGCGACGAATTAAGTTGTGGGCCTATGCGAATCAGATCGGGCAATAAAACCTCAGCCTCGATGAAGCTATTCTTACTTTGCAACAATCAAACGAGGTATTTTGAGGTGGTCTTGGTTGCTTTGCCGTATCCTACGGTGTACGGTCAACCGAGATGTCAAGATTCAAGACTCGAGCGTCTAAAGCGCAATCCGAAGCGCCATGAGAATGGGCAGCTTCAAGAGTGCAGTTGGCGCCTAGATAACAGAGCCAGGACGAGGAGGAAACGCAACACTTTTCTCTTTATCTCGTTGAGTGCGCGGAGACGGCTATCTTCGAACGCAACATGCCCACCCCATCACGCCCATATCCAGGCATCTCTTGAGATGGCGGTGAGTTGTGAAATCCCACACTCCGAAAGTTGGATTTGGACTCCTTTCCCATCTCAAACACCAGGAGTCACCCAACCAAAAGTCTCTCCTCAGTCATGCATCTGGCTATTTCTTTCACGCCTCTCCCAAAGCATCCCAAGCTCATGAACGTCAGCCTTCTTCGATACCTGGACCTTGAGCCAGTCAACAAAAGAGCTGTTTTCACCAACAACTCGCGCCCGTCTGCGCTCCGTGCAGTTCCAAGCTCAAGCCAAGCAGAAAGCCATGGTTCGAGAGGCAGGGAATGATCCTTGCATTGTATTCCCTGCCGAGGACATCTCGCTACACCAAACGTGCAAGGAAACAAAGTGATTTTGGTTTCTCAAAGTATCTTGCATGCACCACTTAAGCGAGATAGCATCGATTCTCCAATGGCACGACATGGAGACGACCGTGGGTCATTGAGGATGTCGAGGGAAGCACAAGCCACGACGCGGGTGTTGTGGTCATCTTCTATTTTATTATCTCAAATTAACAATTTCAACGGCACGGCCTCGAATTTGAAACTGTTGAACGGGCTTGCTCTAGAAAGGTTTACTTGGAGGTTTTCTCTAAATATGTCCGAAACTTAATGTTTTCAACTGACATCACCATGGCTGAAACAAACTGCATGTCTTTGGAAGACAAACCTTCTAGAATCTCTGTTCGCAGGTACCTACCCCGCCATGGTCTCACTGCACCGGTGCCTGCGTATTCCTACTTGAGTGTCTCAGCGACGTTTGGCAGAAGAATGTGTCTTCAAGAAGATTGGCTATCAGCGACTTGAACAGTTGTGGATGTACAAAACAGCTATTGGTATAGAGAGTTACACCATTGCGTGGTGCTGCTTGGGTGGGGTACGGAGGTGCAGAAAATCATATCGGGTGAGCAAAAGCTCTCCGCAACTCCACGAGTCCACCTCCATGTAAATGGGACAGATGACAGCTCACGATAGTTAAAGTTTGGCCATGTTCTCCTTACCAAGCTCCACAAACTCTTACTCACATACATCATGATACACGACATTTCTGAGACCCACGAGTACGTACCTCTCAAGCGATGAAGCTACCCCTCCTCAGCCTCAACATGCTGCGGCTGCTGAAATTGGGTCATAACAAAGCTACCGCGCAGATAAGGCTGCCATCACAACGATACTACAGTACATCTTGCAAAATCAGGGTCCTGATCTGTAACAACAGAGATTTCACATCTTGTCCTACTCATCTTCCATTCTAGGCTTGATAAGGCGTGTTGATCTTCACCGGAAAGAAAATCTCACCCCAAGCCCGTTCCGTAACGGACTTGAATTTAGCGCTACGAAAGGTACCTGCCCCCTCAACCTCACAGTAGTACGCTCACTAACGATCTAGCTGCATCCACCAAACAATCGCATTTTTCGAACATGCAGACCTTGAGATTATTGGCAGTTCGGACCCCGCCGGCTCCAAGAATGTTGCAAACAACCAAACGGATGTACAGCCGTCCGTCTCACGATGAACTTATGAAGCTCTAACCCCATACTCAAAGGTTTGGAGAAGAAGCCAGAGATGCATTTCTGGGGCTCCAACATTAGGAGAGGCACTCCATATGGGGATTTGTCAGAAGGTTGGAGAGTTTTCATTATACTTCAACCTAACAGGCAAGTACATCCCCTCGCTACACTCTCAATATTGAATTCTGAATCTGTTGATAAACAACCCCACCACACCTTGCAAACGCCACACCTTTTCCGACCAGGATCAAGCTCACCGTTATCTTGGGAACGCCACTGTGGCTGAAATGTCTCTCCCAAATTTTCACAGCTGCATTTGGAAATGCCTTGGATGTTTTAACTTTATCGAGAGATTTCCCTACGCGAGGTGAAAAATTCTACGGAGTGCTGCATTGCTGGTCTAGATCCAGGCCTACCAGATGTCTCTGAGGTTCCACTATTGACTCATGTTTCCACTTTACGAGACATATCATTAGTCAATTCCCAACTCAAGAAGCACTTGCTGCACAGACCGCTCTACGCTCCGTATTCTTTCGCGCAATTCTTCGCATGAGTGTGGAGATGATTTTCAACGACATATCAGGTTACTACTGCGCTACTACTCTAGTGATACCACTACAACTATGATACACATAACCATCACTCCATACAGTATTCTCGGTTTCTGGAAAAGCGGTCTGCTTGCTTATTACTCGTATTGACAGGAAAATACAACGGCACATCAACGGCATGCAAAAATGGGAGCCAATCAATCCCTGCGACCGCATTGCATGAAATGGGATTTTCTCTCTGAAGCCGCCTGAGGTGCTGTGCTGTGCCATTCTTGCCCTTTTTCCCATTCTGACTGGATCATCTTTTACGATACCATCGCGCCGTGGCTTGAAGCGAAGAAAAACACACCTCCGGTTGTACAAAGTCGATGATCGGTTTGTGGCGAAGATGTTTAGTTCGTACTGCGCATTCATTTGTTGGCATACCGCGCGTCCAATTATCAGATTTCCTTGATCGGGGAGTGCGGTGGTATTGTGGTGTGAGTATTTTCTTGTTCACCCCATTTTGAGATGGGGTGATGGGATGGGATGGGTAAGCTGCGTGGTTCCATTGGTTTTGCCACTATCTACTCACTTTTTTTGAGGTTGTGCAGGTGCTGGGAGCCTGGGGATGACTAATTGAGGGCAGTGAGGTGAGGCCGATATAGGAGGGGTGTTTTCTAGACGGTGAGATTTGTTTGTGATGGATTCTTGGTACAGTGATATGACCCGTGGTTTTGGGCGTATTTGTGAGCTGTGAGACGGAGGCTTTTTCGTGAAGGCGCAATGGGTAGGGGAAGTCTCATCACGAGGCCTTTGATCACGGCATACTCGGGATATGCAGTCACGCTCAATACTGGTCACGATACTTCGCAATGTGTATCTCGGAATGACTGAGGCTACCTGTTGGCCGTTGGGGATGGCGAGGTAAGGAATGAAGAGTTGGGCGAGGTAAGGTAGGACGAGGACGAGGTGGGTAAGCTTCGCGCTATTTCCCCGCATTTTGAATGCACTGCGGAATTTTGCTGTTGGAAATTGTACGATCGTTCGGGGTTTTGACGTTTCGAATAATGGATAGGGGATGTCGGTTATTACTGGTGAGGTTGTGGAGTTGGGGGGTTCGAGATTTGATGCTGGGAAAGGTTTAATACCTCCAAATAGGTCTCTTAGAACAGTCCTATCGACGTACGAAGCGGTTATCTTACGACTTGTAGGTATTCTTGATGTTTCTTCTGTGTTGTTACCTCTTTCCTTGTTGTTTTTGTTTATTTGATGTTTATTATCATCTCCTTTCCATATCTCTATTACATTATCGCTTTAGATGGTCTCCTAAATTCCTTCTATATCTCCATCTTCTAACATTTCATCTTCTTATCCCCAACCACATCCCTATTATTTGTCTCCCAACATACCGCCATGCCTATTCCCATCACACCCATGCCATCCTATCCTCATATCCACGAATTCCCTCCCTATTCCCATCACCCAAATCCCAATCTCCTCAACACCCTAATAATTTCAATCCACATCACCATCCACCACGGGATTCATACTTATCCTCGTAATCGTCCGTACTCCTTCATCATCCATTCCCAACACCACCTCTGTGCCCACAACCCCCTAAAATCCACCCCATCCCTTATCAACATCCCTAGAACCCAACCCCTCATTATCACCACCCATCCCCTAATTTCTCCCCATCCCCTCATTCATTCCTCCTCAACTTCCCTCGCACAAAATTCATGCCGTTTTTACCGGCTCGCTTAAACCTCACACCGCAGCTGCAGATGTCCTGTATATGCAAGCCACGCATGCAGTGGTTATGTATGTGTGAGAGGGTTGGAGGGTTTGACATGTGAAAATGGGGATGATTGGGAGGTACTTTTATGAGGGGAAATGGATTAGGAGTTGAGGGGGTTTGGGGATGATTTTTGGGGTGAGTGATTTGGGGGGTTGAGGGGGGATGATATCTGGGGGGGTGGAGGAGGGGATTGAGGAGGGGATTAGGGGTTGAAGGGTTGGGATGGAAGAGATTCGGAGGCGGAGAGTTTGGGGTGCGGGAAGGTATACGAAGAAATATGGGGTTTTAGTGTGGTCTATGCAGAGATGTGCGTGGAAGGGGGAGGGACGGGTTGGATATATGTCGTTTATATTGGGCTGTTTGCCTTGTCTTGGAGATATTGTGGGGTTTCGGGGTATGCAGTGGTGTGGTTTGAGGTGGTGGAGGATGTTTGCCTTACCTTGGCTTTCTGGTGATGGGGAGGGGGGCTTGGGAATTGAGATGGTGATGGAGGGTTGAGGGATTATGGAGTATGGGCTATGGGGTATGGGATATGGGGTATGGAGACGGGTTGGATATATGTTCGGTGGGTATGGCTTGGTGTTGGTATTCGGTGGGGATGGGATAGGGAGGGGGATGGGCTTGAGATGGAGGGGGATTAGAGGGGTCTGGGGAAGTTTGGGGACATGGTGAATTTGGTGGGGGAGTGACATAGAATGGATGTCTCATCTAGGTGTTAGAGGGTGAGGTAAGTGGAGTGTATGGGATGAGATGGGAAGAGGAATTTGGGTAGATGTAGATGGTTAGTTTCGGGGGTTGGGGCTTTTGGTTTTGGGGATGTTGGGGGAGTTGGGAAGTCTAGAAGGGGGGTGAAAAAGTATGTTTTAGACCTTACATTAGGTGTTAAAAGCGAGGGAAATGAGAGGGAACGAGAGGGAACAGCATGGGCTTTTGTATATTGAAGTACCGTCTCGCTTATTTTAAGGGGAGGGAACTTGTGAGTACATACACCTTTGCACTCACTATAACACTTTTCCTACCAGCCCCCTTTTCTTTCCTTACTAAACTAGTTTACTCTACCAACTTCATTTTGCTTCTCCCGTCCTCCCTTCACCTGCTAAATTCACTTTCCCCTTTATCTCTCCGTCCCGTTTAACGGCGTGCGTCACTGGCACTTTAAACACCGAGGGTATTGAGAAGAATTGCAATATCCAAGTTTGAAACGACGATCAAGAGAATGTTGTGGATGTTGAGATAAGAAGGATTTGTAAGCTTTGCGTAAGTGTTGTGTAGAGAGGATGGGTGAGGAAGGTTGGGTGATGTATGGTAGATTAACTGTTGGATTGCATGCATGCATATTCGGTTTGCATTTGCATGTTTCCAAGATTTGCGGGGTATGTATGTAGATGTACATTGTTTGTACGATATGTAGATAGGAGTTTTGATGGCATATAAATATTATTTGGAGGATGCTCGCGTGGTTGATGTCGATGGTTTAACCGTTATAGGACAGATGTGAGGTTTTATATCTGAATGCGCATCTAGAGATTGCATTAACGGTCTAGGACGCTGGGGTAGATGGGAGGTCTTTTGGAGTATAAGAGATATTCCTTGACTCTATGAGTGCAGGAATGTGTACTGGGTTTGATTACAAAGGCCTTGTGGAGACTTGCGGGAAGGGTTTACAATCGGGGGGTAGGTAGATGAGTTAGGTTTGGGGAGGCGGGTTTAAGTTAAGTGGGAGTGAAGCTGAGTTGTCTATGTCGAACCGTGAGATGCGTAGCGAGCATGAATAGGGCTTGCATTAACGAAATCCCAAATTCTGCGGGGTAGACGTGCTTTTTGTTTGTGCGACCAGAGTTCATTACTCACTATACATGTTTCTAGAGTGCGTGGAATAGAAAGGTGAAAAAAAATCAACGATTTCCGGATACCTGGCCGTTCATGTCTTTTCTCTTTTCAAAACACACAGAGGGGGGTCCTAACTTGTGCGGTGTAGATGGGCTGGTTCTTGCGTGACGGTGATACAGGGAGGCGGTGATTCGCGTGCTTGAACTGTTGGGAAACCGACGTAGGAATTGTAGCGGGTGGGATGGAAGTAGGGGTAGAGGCTTATGTTAAGGCCAAGATCGCATGGTTTGGAATTCGCGAGGTGGATATGTTGAGAGGTAAAGCTGTAATTTCGAAGGAAGTGTAAATTGGAATGCTGGAAGAATGGCACAGAGGGCTTGCATTAACGAATTCCCGAATCTGCGGGGTATGCATGCTGATGTTTGTATGACTTGAATTGCTTCACTTGGCCTGAGTTTGTGTTTAGATTTGGGAGCTGGATATCTTAGGGACGTTTGACTGTGAGCCATATTCGTCATACAACATATTTGGTTTCAGGCATGAAAGGACATGAAGGCTTGCATTAACGAGTTTCCAGACATGCGGGGTAGATGTGATTTTGTTTGTATTACATATAGATAAAGGAGATTGAAATTGATGCTTTGGTGTATGTTTGTATTAGGATAGTGGATTGGGAGGAAATACTGTAAGCGGGCGGACGTTTGACCGTCATACAACGGATTTAGAACTCAAGCATAAAGGATGAAGGCTTGCATGTACAGATTCCAGCATCTGCGGGGTAGATCGCTTTTATATCTGTGCTACAGGAGGAATTGCCTTTCTGTATGACCGTTTTGTGATCTGATTGATTTCGATATCTTTTCTAGTATACTCGGCGTGCTCAAGGTGATAACGGGCTACGTTGTAAGTGCATGTAGGCTTGCATGAAGGCATTCCCACGTATGCGGGGTAGATGTGCTTTTTTTTGTACGACATGTATGTCATCTAATCTATGATATCGAAAACTTTCGGCTTCAAGTAATGTGGTCAACTGTTGAGAATTCGTCCTACGACCCGTTATGCAACCTACATCACCAAAGGCTGTTTTTGAAGTCCACGGATATTTACTCAATTGCCGAATAAACCCCCCAGTGCGATGAGCAGATAATGAGAGATTAGATAAAAGATCTCGAGAATCACGACAGCGTCAGGTGCGTTTTCACGTGCGACGTGATATGCGGACACCTTCCACGGGTTAAGTCGGTGATTGAAATAAGAGTGACGACTATAGGGTAGGGTAAATGTGGCAATAGGTAGGGATAAAAGTAAAGGTTTTTGGGTGGTGGAAGAAAACCTTTGGTTACACTGCTTTTGGGAGTTTAGGCTGTTGGGGTTTGGAGGACCCTTTGGAGGGTTGGCGTTAATGGGATGGAAGATGGAGGAGAAGGAGAATGAGAAGGATGAGAGACTGAGAGATTCAGTCAGTGATGAATTGTGAGTTTTAAAATAAGAATTGAGAATAAACGATTGAGAGAAAAGTCTCTGTACAAATATACACATTCTACCACAGAAAATGCATCAACCTCAGACTATAACCCCGACGTCAACTTAACCTCCACCCCATCTCCCAATTTCCCCGATTCTCCAACCTAATTTTTAGCTCCCTATCCCGCCTCCGATACTTCTAACCATGCACCTCCCTCCCCATCGAACCCCTTCGTCGACCCGTTTAAGGGTCTTCCTCGGCCGCCCCCCTAAGCTAAGCGAGGTCCGTCTTGTCGATCTAGACTCGTGGCGTTCTGCGTTGAGCGCCACGACGCTAGTAGATAGATTTGGGGTGTTGAGGTTCTCAACAAGGCGTGTTTTGGAGTGACCCGTTGTTTACGAGGTATCCGAAATTTCATTTTGAATTAATTTGGGGTGTGGGAGATTGGGTTGGGGTATTTAAATGTACGGGAAGATGAAGGGAGAGGTGTACACGGCTCGGTTTAAGATTCGGTGGGGAATTAACCGAGGATTGCGGAGGGACGTTGCATTGGGCGTTGAAAATTGCCTCGTTTGCAGAATTGAAGGTAGGTGGGTTGAGCAGAGGTGTTTGTGGTGGATGGGAATTTTTGAGAGTGGGGTTTGAAGGGGACAAATTTCCTGAGAGGAGATAGATTTGGATGAAGTGAAGTTGAGTTCAAAGAAGAATTTGCTGATGATGGAGGGGGAAAAGGGTGGTGAGGAGTGATGAGGAGGTACGATGGTACTTTCTAGGTATGGAATTTGTTAAGGTGGGTAGATAGGTACTTTGGATTACTATTCCCAATACTAGGATTGAATTATTGAACACGTCCCCTCTTGGACTTATACTTAATTGATTAGCGTTACTGTCAATTTTCAAATTGCGGGGGCGATTATCAGATTTTTCAAATTAGTATTTTGTAAGCTCCACGTACGCTTTTTATACTAGAAGGTGATATATACCTAGATTCCATCTTCTATTGAACACGAGCTAAGATTATAAATCCAGATGCTGTCGTAATTTTGAATGTACTTGGATCTTGACATTTGATTGAAGTTAAACAAACGTTTGCCGCATCTCCCAAATGAGTTGTTAGCAAACCCCAATACTTTCACATGACCTAAGAATTCCGTCCGAAGACACAATTGGAAACGGGTAGCAAATAAGGAGTTGAGTTGAGTTTAGTTGATTGAATCTAATGATTGAAGTGGAGGATAGTATAAAACCTGTCAACAGTCGCCTTATTCGCATTCTTAGATATACGTCTATGTCTCCATTTTCAGTCACCCTCTGCTCTACTCAACTACAACAGGAAAAACACATATGTAGTTCTATTCAATTACAAGCGGAAATCTCTAGTTTTCCAGGAGTCAATTCCACTTTCTGGAACCTCCTTTCATTATTGACTAATAAAGGCGTAAGATCAGCGTCGAAATCGAGAAATGAACACAAAGCTTAACTTCGCATCCAGAATCAAAGAGTATTAGATGACTGGAGAACAGATTAGAATTCACAAAGCTAAAGAACTGGGAGGTGATACCTTTAGTTACCTGTCTGTACTTTATTGTGCTTTTGTCCGCTCTGTGGACGTGAAGTCGCCAAAACGCAGTTATACAATACGACATCATCACTGCCGAAATGGAGAGATCAAAGCGAATCTTAACTTCGCATCTAGAATCAAAGAACATTAGACCCCTGGAGAAACGGGTAGACTTCATAAGTGCTAGGGATCTAGGAGGCGATGCTTCCAGTTATCCGTCGGTACTTTACTGTGCTTTTGTCCGTTCTTTGGCCATGAAGTCGTCAAAACGCAGTTATAAAATACGAACAAGCTTTTTTGATCCCGGAGTTCTTAGGCCGTGAGTAGGCAAAGTCATTGGATCGGTCGCTATTATCATAAAAGCTTCACATCTGACAAATATTCAAAACGTAGTCTCAATATCTGAAGATAATACGCGACGCAGTATAGAAAATGAAACGCGAACGAATTTATAGAATATTATATACGTAGAATTATGTTTAACTAAACGAAGCTCTATGCGTTTATTTCAATCACTCCTCAATCGTTGACGTTATAAAATTTATATTGTTTCATTTTTGGAACATACGCTCAAATAGCATGTTATTTACTTACTTCTCACTTATTCAATTGTCCTAAAACTTGCACACTAAGTCTCATCCTAATTTCCACTTTGTGCCTTATTCAGTTATCTCAGGTCTGAATATTATGCGTTCAATTAATAGTATTAAGACTTTTCTGGTTACGTTGTTTTGTAAGAAAGTAGTAAAGATTTAGAAAGTCAATACGAGAGAATCTCGTCCACTTGAAGTTGAAAATTTGATTTAAAAGTCTTCTAATATAATGTGTTTTTGTAAGATTAGACAGGTTTGCAATGTTTGAGAAGCTATTTATTTCCTCGAGCGTATATCCAGCAGTTGTAAAATCACTGTTTATTCTTCTACTTTTGAATTTCGTGATGGAATTAGCATAAGAATTATGAGTTTATTCATAAAATTTTATTTATATTTATCGTTTATCTTAGCTTCTGTATGAGAGTCGTGTGCTACAAAGATAAATCTAGACTTCTACATCTCTTAAACAAATCTTGCACAAAATCACAACCCAGGGTATCCAAAACCTAATCGCTTTTCTCAACGTTCTTTGTCTCTCCCTTCTCCCCCTCCTCTTTAGCTTTTTCCTCAGCATCTTCCTTCTCCTTTTTCTCCGCCGCCTCCTTTTCCGCCTTCGCTCTTTCGTTCTCCTCTCTCATCTCCCTCTCCCTAACCCTCTCCTTCAACCTCTTCGTCTCGACAACCCACTCCTCCGCCCCCCTAACCGCTACTTCAGGCTCCCTCTTATGCTTCAAAAGATACCCCTGCACCTCTGCAGGACTAAACGTCCCACTTGGAATCTTACTCGCAAATTCTTCTGCCAGTCTCTCCACCTCCTCCTCATCCCTCTTGCGTTTCGCCAGAAACTCATTACGGAGACGCAACTCCTCGATTTCGCTATCTTTGGAAGATGAAGGTGTGCGAATGAGATCAGAGGTAGGGTGATCAGGGATGTCGCCTTCGAGCGTGGCGTAAATGCCGCGGAAGATAGTGGAGAGCATGGATGTAGACGCGAGATTGAATTCGACCGTCATGTCCACGCGACCGGGTCGGATGAGGGCTTCGTCGAGCTTGTCTTTGTGGTTCGTCGTCATGATTAGGACGCGGCCTTCTTGGCTGGCTACGCCGTCGATGATGTTGAGTAATGCGGAGAGAGAGATCCGGCCTGGTCGGGACGCTGGAGGGGTGAGCGAGGATATGAGTGTGTTTCCAGGAAGGGTGGTGGTTGTTGGTTTATCAGAGGAGGAAGGGTCTTCGCGGGTGTGTGTTAGACCGGCGGTGTCGATGTCTTCGAGGAGGACGACACATTGTTTGGGGAGGTCGGCGAAGAGGGTGGAGAGGTGTTCTTCGTCCATGGAGGGAGAGTTGAGGGAGACGATGTAGATTTTGAGTTTGAAGTAGCCGGCTATTGCGAAGCTGAGTGAGGATTTGCCTGTGCCTGGTGGGCCATAGAGGAGGTATCCTCGACGGTATGGAATGCCTCGATTTGAGTACCAGCGGCGAGTGTATGGATGTAGATAATCTCTCATGTCATCGAGAAGTTTCTGCTTGACACTCTCGTCTAATACGACTGTCGAGAAAGGTCTCGAAACTCTGGAGATACATCGAGTCCATTGAGGCTCGCTTGCTCCGCCGGTTGATTTCAAATTTCCACGATAAATTACTGTCCGACTTTCATCGGATTTCAAAAACAGAGTACGGCACTCATCCAGTAACGTTTTCAGAATGCTCGGATCCCTCCCAAAACAAGCGACGGATACCTCTTCCCTCTCGCTAAGCGATCCATAGGATTGCTGCCGCTCATCTTTTATTCTTCGAAATTGAAGCAGCTTTCCTTTGTACCAAAAGTAATGAGTGCCAAAAGATGGCGTAAATCGCACTTTCTTCTCTTGTTTCCCACCAATTTTCGCTACTGGATTCGAGTCTTTGTCGAAGTCGATGATCTCATCATCATCTTCATCCTCTTCATCCTCATCGTCGCGCCAAAGATACCACATGCGACTATTGAGATTGGTATTGGCAACAAATTTGCGCGAGCTTTTTGCAAAGTTCTGATTGGCAATCCATCCCATAAGCATATTGTACATTTCATCATCTATGCGGATATCGGCGGATGACATGGCATATTTGTCGATTAGTTCCCACGTCCAATCGTAGAGGTATCGCCAGGAAAAGATGACAGCTCCTGTTGCTAGAACCATTGGTAGGTAGAGTGAGAGGTCGATTTTGGTATATTTAAGTAAACCTGTTGAGATGAGGGAGAATCCTGGAAAGAATGCGTCCAGCAGAGCAGTTTGTGGGTTAAGGCCGCTCACACCAGTAAAGGCTGGAGCCGGTGGACCTTCAGGTATTGAAGCCATTGGTGCCGAATTCGATCTGAATTGCGTATCGCAAGAATTCATCTTTGTGATCCGTCTCGACAAAATATATGTTTTATATATTTCAGACCCGTGACGAACAATCGTCCAAAGTTGGGGGGTAAATTGTGACAAACGACAAACGAGATTTATTAGCGACTGGTTTCTAACCACTAAAATAGTCGTGAAATGGAAACAAAATATGAGTAAAAAAGTTGAAGTAAATCGGTCTGACCTGATGTCTTATGAAGTAATGAGAGACATGATAACTAGCTAGAAACGGAACTAACCCACGAACGACACCGGGCAGTCAGAGGCCTAGCTTAGGTTGCTGCAGCCTGGATCGTTCACGCTTACCTGACTCACCGGTGACAATTCCGGCAGGCCAAAAAAGGCTGTGCGATAGGTACTGTAGACTTAAAAGGTTATCTGGTCGTCTGCATATACCGAGAATGAATTGTGGCCAATGTCATTGCAGACATGCCAAATCTGGGGTCGGGAAACGTAGCAAGCCGTCCTCAACGATGCAGGATAAGCGTGTCTCTATAAAGCTGTGGTGCTTCACCGAGACGCCTACTCCGTGATTGGACTGAAAAGTGTGGAGGATGATATGCCATTGTGTGCGTTTGCATGGTGATTTGGTCTAGACTGATGTGCGATTACATTGGAGGTACTTGTCTTCTTGTACAGTAAGCGAAGTCGTAGAGATCATTGGCTCTGTCGTCAGCCACTCCACGAGGGCTGTGCCTTTGTGCATTGGAAATTCTAAAGAGGCTGGCTGACCGCCACGTCATGAGTGGTTTATATGGTCGTATTGTACGGAATAGTAGAAGTATGTATGGTTGTTTGGGGATGCAGAAAGTGTACTTTTTCTGTGAACCGTTTGCAATTTAGGCCCCCTGAGTTGCCGACGATGAATGGACTAGAATACGATAAGCTTATATCGATACATATGTCAGAAGTTTAATGCTATTAGCCATGGCAAGCAGTAAGACGATGTAATCGCAGGTATTCTACTCAGCTGATAATTCCGATCATTGACAAAGAGATCAAGGTAATAAGCATATTTTCGTATTCTTGCTTAAATCAAGAACGAAAACATATATCAGCAGTTGCACGTCTGCTTCGTAGAAGCTTGCCTTTTCGACCGTTGCTTGAGCACCTGTCAATGCTGGACCATTGGAATGTAACTGATGCTGCTTGTGGCCTGTAGGGAGCCAACTGTAGAGAACTTCCTTAGCCCAGGATAGCCCTTAGGTAACAATAGGCTCAATTTATACCTAAGTAAGCTTTGGTATGTTATGTGTACACGGGTGTTTCGCACTTGCGATGGTTTGGGAGACTGGAAGCAATCTTGAGTCGTCAGGACCGGATGGGTTACCAAGACCCGTGGACCCAAGGCGAAATAATGCTGGCCACGTGATCAAAAAACTTTCTGTATGTTATGAGCTATTCTATTTTCCTTTTCAACGATACACTCAGTTATGTATATCGAAGTGTATGCCTTGCATACTTGTCTTCTTGTAGTTGAATGAGTAAGTATTTTTATATACTGTGGGTAAGGTATTGCTTTCATCACGTGACTGCAAAAAAGCTTCTACCACGATTGTTTGAATGTTTAAAACAACCGAAATGATTGATTACACCAAGGCTCAGTAGTTGTACATATAGAAATCATTATGAGTGATTCAAACCAGCTGACTGTGAATCAAAGACAAACAATATACGTTGTGTTTAATGTACTCCGTACCATCAATTGGTATAGTGTGGGTACGGGGCTCGGCCCGCGTACGGCCCGTGCCCAAACTCGACTCTCTTACTGTAGTTCCGAGTAAAGAGATTCGAGTAGAGGGAAAATATAAGGTATATTAGTGAATTGTAAGTTGGGAGTTTAAAATATACGCATTACTAAGGTTTTCGCGATTTTAATTTAATTTCGGTCTCTCTCCAATGCTCTGGGGCATCAACTTTTCGCTATGCATTTTTGGAATCAAAGATAGTCAATGATCACATCAAACTCTAAATACAGACCCAGCCTTGTATGAAATCTTCCATCCCTGGCCTTTGATCGATTCACATAGTCCACCAACAATTCATCAAACATTACCTGGTCTAGAAATTTACCACGAAACCTTCGTATCACTTTACAATTATCGTTGTCGAATATACAACAAAAGACCAACTCCGTCGCGCGTCTCGCTTGGACCTTAGGCAGGAGCAACACTAAATATTCTGCAGAACTGGATATCTCCCCACCAAAGTTCAAACGGCATTACCGACATCATCTCCTTTCTCCCGTACGGCATTGGCATCTCTACACCGACTCGAGCTCGATGTGGTCATATCTGATCTCTGATCACCTCGAAATAACCCTTCAATCACCTCTCTGAATCCGTTCACCAATCTCCGCTGACGAACTCGGGACGAAACTTCTACCCTCACTCTCCAAGCCACGCTGCACAACTAGAGCTGCAGAGGCAGCTCGCATTCACGACGGCAATCTTTACAAAGAAAAGAAAGCTCTCCCCACCGCCTATCCCGGAGCAGGATACCAATCACGACCGCGATATCCCCTTGGCTTCCGTGGAAGTTGCGCGGGCTTCAGACCCAGACGACCCTCCCCTCTTCGAAAGCCCCGATTCTGACCCAGCTCTTCCTCTTCCTCCGATACCCTCATACTTACAAACACCATCTTTCTCAGGAGCCGACTATAGTTCGTCTACCGCGAGTTCACCCAGTGCGGCATACGCTGGTCTCTCCATTGAGAGCGAGAGAGGCGCAGACACATCAGCCGCATCTCAGCGAGGTTCATCACTTGCCCCGACAAACAGCCATAGGAGTCTATCGCCTGTAGGAAACTTTGCTAGAAAGACGATAATGGGCGGGGCTGCTGAAAACTCGCAGAGGTCGTCTTCACCGTTGAAGAGAAGGGCATCGGATTTGGAGGATCCATCTGAGATAGCGACGACTAAGCCAGATGTTGAAATGACCAATGTTTCCGATGTGGAACCGTCTAACGGCGTAGAAGCTTCAGAGAATGCATCTGCAGTTCGGACATCGACTCAGGCGAAAGCTGCAGATGAGACCCCTCTCAAATCTGAGCCAAAGTCCCCGAATACTGAAGCAAAACTCAAATCTGAGACCGGTATGTGTATATTCTGACGGAATCACCAGCGCTAATTTTATCAAATAGAGGTGCCGCCTATTGACGCCCAAATAAAAACCGTCACAGCCATCGCAGAAGCTAGCAGAGAATCCGCGCTACAAGATGGGGATCAGGCGTACTTAGTCTCCAAACGATGGCTCAAACGTGTCATGGAGAGAGGCACAGAGTCGAGACAGAACAGCAAGATCCAACCAGAGGGAGAGATTGGACCTGTGGACAATTCGGACCTTATCCAACAAATCATAAAGGACGCTGATGGCAACGACTTTGTCCAGCTTAAGCCAGGAGCTTTTGAGAGCCTCGAGCTGTTTCCCAAGGACGCCTGGGATCTTATTGTTGAATGGTATGGCATCATGCCGGGTTCAATTCCCATAGTTCGAGTTGCGCATAATACCAACCCAGACAAAAATGGCATTCCCAACGTAGTTTACGAAATCAATCCTCCGGTCTTTAGGGTCCATAGGTTATGGGGGGAGAACAATCCAATCCACATCCCACAAATCCTCAAAACATCCAACCCAGGAACGCCAATATTTGTTTGTAGCACATCTAACAAATATGTCGATTTCTTGGAGAAAATCAAGGAGAAGGCTAGTATAGAGAAAACCAAAAAAGTCAGGATTTGGCGGGTACCAAGGCTACTTCCAGCTGCCAATCCATCCACTTCAGCTCCAGATAGTGCTACTCCGCCATCATCTCGACCGGGCTCACCCACTTCCGCCAATTCTCTTCCTAATCGCCAGCCTCAGGATTCCTGGAACCATCTATTGCTCGATGTCACCACGTTCCTTAAGCTTCCTAATGGCAACGGCAGAGAACTGGTTGAACAACGTGATGTCAGCGCAGATACCAACTACAACGGTAGCATCAGTTTAGCTGTTGTTGGTTTAGGAGAGGATCAGTCAATTGTCATTGACGAGCAAGTTGATAACCAATCTTTTGTTTCTACACATACCTCGAAAGGATCTACATTAACTTCCACGGCTATGACCCGCAGTGGCGTGTCTCAGAGCGCACCGACGAGTGGTCGAAATAGCCCAGGACCATCAGGTCCCATGACACGGGGAAGAACGCAGAAAAGCGGTAGAACACTCGGAACAGTCGGTTTGAGCAATTTGGGAAACACATGTTACATGAACTCTGCGCTCCAGTGTGTTCGCAGTGTGGAGGAGCTGACAAAATATTTTCTAAGTGGCACCGCCAAGAAAGAACTCAATTACGATAATCCACTGGGAAATCACGGTAACGTCGCGCTCGCATATCAGCGTCTGTTGGAGGAAATGTACAAAGAGCCTGTCCCAGCTTCAACTGCGCCTCGTCAATTCAAAACGACTATCGGAAAATACGCCCCTTCTTTCTCCGGATATGGTCAACAAGATTCCCAAGAATTTCTTGGATTTCTCCTGGACGGTCTCCAAGAAGATTTAAGTCGTGTCAAGAAGAAACCGTACATTGAGAAACCCGATTCTACAGATGAAATGATCAACAATCCAGATCTCATTCGAGAGATGGCTGCGAAGGTTTGGGAGATTACGAAGTTGCGGGACGACTCCGTCATAGCAGACTTGTTCACTGGCATGTACAAGTCGACCCTAGTTTGCCCAGAATGTTCCAAAGTTAGCATTACGTTCGACCCCTTCAACAACCTGACTTTGCAACTACCAATTGAAAACTCATGGCAACACAATGCCTTCTATTTTCCATTGAATGACCCTCCCGTAACTATCTCAATCGACATGGACAAGCAAGGCACTATTTTCGCAATGAAGCAATTTATCAGCAAGAGAGTAGGTGTACCTCCTGAGAGATTATTCGCGGCAGAGGAGTTCAAGAGCAAGTTCTACAAGATATTCAAGGACAAACAAGTAGCTTCCGAGGAGATCTCAAGTAACGATGTTTTGGTGGTCTACGAGATCGAGGACAAGCCAACGAATTGGCCTCCACGACGAGTTAAAAGAGTCAAGTCTCACATGAACTTTGGAAACAACGACTCCGAAGATGACGACGTGCCCAGCTGGGATGATCCGATGGCTGAGAAAATGCTCGTACCCGTGTTCCATCGACGACCGAATCCAGAACGTCTCAACCGCTTCAAGAAAGCATGGGTTCTCACACCTGCCCCACATTTTATCGTCTTAAATCCCAAAGAGGTTTGTTTGCATCAAGAAATACTTCTTATCAATTTTGCTAACTTGTTGATAGGCACGGGATCTCGAAAGCATCAAGAGGAAAATTCTTGAGAAAGTCGCTACATTTAGTACCTCGACTGAATTTCAGGAAGACGAATCAACAGATGCCAGTGTATCGGACAGTGTCGCTTCTGATATTGTACTTACTACAGGCTCTGACGCGGATTCTTCTGGGGATGGTAAAGTAGTGGCGAGCTCTATTGACGGCGAAGATGAGTTGGTAGATGTTGCCATGAAGGATGCTAGTGCAACTTCGGTAAAAGCTACCAATGGTACAGATAATTCAACCTCGTCAGAGGCCGATAAACAATTGTATGTACCACATGTGCTTTGATGCTATCGCTATACTCTGTTGCTAACTCTCATGCAGCACACCCCTCCGAGCGTTTAACAAGAGGCGGCCCAAGCTCCTTGACCCTAGTTCTCATTTGAATCCACGTCTTCAAAACATGTTCAGCTTGGGTCACTTTGCAGCCGATAAGGAGATGATACCTTCTGGCTGGAATTGTGTTGACGATGACAAGAGTTACTCTCCACTGAGCGATCGTCTTCCTAAGGTGAAGTCAGCTTCAGACAACGGTTCCGAAGAGTTCGAGCTCGACAGCCCGCGAGGGAACTCTGAAAGCAGTATTGAGGACAACAGCTTTCGCAGCGATGTGCAGTCAAATCAGACTCGGATGAATGAAGAATCAAGTGATGAGGACGAGCTTGCGCGCCCTCAACCTACCAGAGTAAGTACCATCCGTCTTATAATGTCGAATCACTATTCCTGCCCTTAAATTCTTTTCATAAATCTGTTTTCAGGCGTTCTGACCCAAGGCTAGGCTCTTCCTGTCCGTTCAGTTGGTGGGGTCAGAGTAAGCTTTAACAAACGTCGCGCACATCGTAACAAGAAGACTTACTCAAAGAAGACCAACCAGCAGGATATAAAATCACCTGATGTCGATAGTGACCTCGAAGAAGCTCCAACCAAAGATCAAGGCCCGCTTGTTCGACTGGGAGAAGGAATAGTCGTTGATTGGCACCCTGACGCTTGGGAAGCTTTGTTCGATGGGACTCCTGGGGATACAATGAGAGGCTGCGATACTACCAGTAGTATCCCCACCTTACCGGATCCTGAATTGGAGGCCAAGAAAGCAGCCCGTCAAACCAGAAGGAAGAATGGCATTACGTTGGAAGATTGCCTGAATGAATTTGGCAAGGAGGAGATATTGTCGGAGATGGACACTTGGTACTGTCCACGATGCAAAGAGCATCGGCGAGCAAGCAAGAAATTCGAGTTGTGGAGAACGCCTGACATTCTTATAATGCACCTCAAACGATTCAGTTCTAGTGCCATGCGACGCGATAAGCTTGATGTGATGGTTAACTTTCCAGTTGAAGGTCTGGATCTTACCTCGCGGGTTATTGAAACTCAAGACGGCAAGCAGGAGATTTATGATTTGATTGCGGTTGACGATCATTGGGGTGGACTTGGCGGCGGGCACTATACGGCCTTTGCAAAGAGCTATGTTGATGGGGACTGGTACGAGTATAATGGTAGGTGCTCTGAGACTTATCGACTAGAAAATGCTAACGGCTCACAGATTCGTCTGTCACCAAAACGAATAACCCCAACTCAGTCGTCACGCAGGCAGCATATCTACTCTTTTACCGTCGGCGATCAAGTGAACCACTTGGTGGTCCAAAGTTGAAACAGATCATAGATGCTTATGATAATCATCAAGATTCACAAGACGAAGAAACAGGAGATTCGGGGGAAGACCAGGGCCTCGGCGGAAATACCTTCCTGAGTGGGTCGTCGAGCGCCTTGACAGGAGCAGGAGCAACTCACCGTCGGCCAAATCATGGTTCGGCTAGTGCGGGAGTGACAACAATTTCCCCCGCACAATTGGAGAGCTTACCTGCTTACAAATCCCACGAAGAAAACGATGAAGATGCAGCACCACTTCTTGCTGACGATGCAATGATGAATGATGGTATACCGATGAACAGTATTGAGGAAGATGAAGGTATTAGTATGGATGAAGACGGCATGGGCTTTAACAACATGAACTACAATACAATAGGGTCTGCTCCTCCCAACTATAACATGAGCCAATGGAATTTCAATGGATTGGCCAATGGGCGTGGCCAAGTATCAGGAACTGGTTCCGACGAAATGGACGATGGAGCCAGCGATAAAGTTAACATGAACTCTTCGGCTAGCGATGCTTCTAGGGAAGATAGACTTCGAGACTTTGATGATTCAGTTCCCATGGAAGACGGTGTCCCTTTCGAAGATCAGTGTCCAGTTCCTGATGCTTCCGACGAGCAGCAAGCCACTATCATCGACATGCACCATACACTTGCGGAACACAGGCTTATTGGAGAGAAGGGGCTAGGTCCCTTCCACGTGGAGTCCGGACTTGACGATGATGATGAAGAGCCTGCTGCAGAGATTCATGTTGACGACGAGCCATGGAAAGCGGAATGAGGATTCCGTCGAGCAATATGATAAGAAAATATTATCTACTCGAGGGGAGCCAACCAGCCACGTGCTTTTCGTACGTCTCCTGAAATCGAGGTCGCCGTTCAAGTCCCCGCAGCAGCAGCTTTATTGACCCACTGGATGCACATCTACCCCACATGAGAGGACACAGTGATATATGATTTCATGGAATGATACAATGGATGACCAGAAACGATGAAGCTGTCGCATACCCAATGAAAGATGTGGAGTTTATGTTATATTCATGACTAAATACATCGGTTCGACGGTTTTGGCTGAGTTGGTCGGGGTTGGTTGGACAAGTCAGGCTTGGGCCTGAATTGTATCCTATCACTATAGAACTTGTTAGCGTGAATAGACGAGATGAAAGAAAGTTCGTTGGGTTTCTTGAGTTGCTTTTACTAGGGCTGTGAGGATATGATTGCGACTGGGGAGTGATTAGGAGCCCGAGCATCGCTTGGTGAGTTTGCTATGCCTGTTCATTTTGAAAACACTCGGTGTTCTTTACATATCTCTCCGTGTTTTTCCACAGCCTCGCAAGTGCGACTCGTCCAAGACTCCAATTCTTTCCTATGCACGGCAGTCACGTATATTTATGTGCTGGGGGTGTGCGAAGAGCTCGTCGGTCGCTAAGGCTGTACTACCATCCTGTTATGGAAAATCCCTCATTTGATGTGCATGCGTGCGTGATAGTGTTGCATTTTTGCCTGGTTCTTGATGTACTGGTTGTTTGTTTGGTTGAGTGGTTTGAGGGCATGTCGCAGTCGCTGTTGAAATTGACCCGAGGATTTGGGTCTTGGGTCGGATTATTGTTTTCGAGATGCCTTCGTTGAGGATGTCCCGGAGGTGTATGTGGATGCTGTTTGGTCGGTTCAACGTCGATTCCCTTGCAGTCCCATCACTCTGGTTCATGGAATTCCCATGTCTCATCCAAGACCAGTTACATCTATCAGTCTTGTATGGACAGACTGTATACCGGAAGACTGAGATGATATAGCTGTGTTTCCGAAACGGGAAACCACCCGCTCAACGCTCCGCCACGGGCCCGACGGTTTGGTTCCCCGCCTCCTGCATACGACTTACCTATCACATTTGGACCTCAAGCGGGAGCCTTCCCGTTCTGTTAGCAAGATTCAATGGTAGATGTCATGGGTGTAAGAAGATACCGCGAACGTTGGCCTTCTTTGCAGACCCGATAATTTGGTTGCCCGCTTCGTCCTCATCATACCTGCATGCTCCTTACCTATCGGGTTCAAACGTCGAGCGGGAGCTTTCCCTAGTTAGCATGGTCTAACCGTCTGAGGATGAACGTGGTTGGCTTTAAGAGTGTCGTCCTGCTTTGCAGACCCGATAGTGTGGCTGCGCGCGTTATCCGTGTTAGGCTTTTCCGTTGGGATAAACTTTCAAATGTTCCGTCCAAAAATATGTATCGACTATACTCGTCAATCTGCGTTACGTTCGGTCCTATTGCGAAACTATCCTGGTCAACCTGACTGCAACCTAGTGATCTGGTCCTGGGATTCTGATATTTTGACCTGCAAAGCTATCACGTTTGTGTCTTGACTGTGATGACGAAACGGGAATCTTCAGCTTGACGCCCCGGAAGGTTGGCTCCACAGACCCGACAGTTTGGGTCCCCGTCCATCCTTTCTCCATCATGAAACACCTGCATATCTTCTGCCTATCATCTTCAGAACTAGGCTCGTCAGATTCCACCATGGAATAGAACCCCCAATCATGTCTAAGTTTTGAAGGCGCTGACGAAACGCCTGACCCGGCAGTTTGGTCTTCGCTTGATCCCTTCTTCATGAGGTAACACCTGCAGATCTCTCACTTATCATACGCTTCTCTTCCCCGTTTATGTCGGCTTTCGCGCTGTCGATTATGCTTCGAGCTGATGAAACGGGAAACTTCCCGCTCATCGCCCACAAACCCGGCCGTTTGGTTGTCGCCACTTCCATCGGTACTTCTTTCTCATTCGAGAACTAGCTACATCGCTCTGGCTTGCATACATCTCACTTATCCCTTCCATCTTAGCAATTCCCGTTGCTGATTATGCTTGTACGACGCCCTGTCATCGACCCGGCAGTTTGGCTCCCCGCCGCTTCTTTACTCGTTCAAGAGATACCTGCATGTCTCTCCCCTGCAACCATCACACTTCTCACCTATCACTCGCCTTTCTTTACCGTTCACATCAACTTTGGAGTTGTCGATCATGCTCGTCGTACCCCAATAAGCTAGCTCCGGGCGTAAAACGCCATCGACCCGAGGGGTTGGGTCGGGAGTGGTAGCAACAGTACCGGCGGGGTGGTTCTTGGTTTTATGCGGGAATTTGAGGGCCGAAAATTTGGTTTTGGCGTGTAGGAGTGGTGGTGAAAGATAAGGGGGTGAAGGGGTGAAGTAGCGGTGTAAAGTGCGGAACGATTGAATCGGTTCCGGTGTTGCATAAACGGCAGGTTGAAGTGCTGGCGGCTTCAACGCTTGATGACTTGTGTAATTTTTCGTCGAGTGAAATGATTTGATGCTGGTAATTGAAATTGGCATTCTCTACCATCAATCGCCATCAACGGTTTGAAAGAGAAGTGTTGAACATAATGAACGTGTGCAAAGTTGCTCTATACATAATGTCAAGCAAAAGGTCTTCATCATACTACATAGCAATTGCAATTCCTGCCCAGCGATCACCAAAATTGTAGTCCCTGGTTTTTGTTCTCACGAGCACAACCATTCCCTTAGAACCTCAAAGATATGAACTACCTTCCCTCTTGATCAACCTGTTTTCAAACACTATATCTTCTTCCCATCCCATAACGTTTTGGACCATGATCTAGTTTGTTTACAACATCTACAATATCTCAGTCCCACACCAAGCTAAAATTGAGGGGAGGAAGATCAATCAAATCCATACTCTGTTGAAAGTTCGCTCTACGAAGTGCCATAATTGCAAAGATAGAAATCGTGGTAGACATAATGCCGAATGTAAGTGCTATTATGTCGTTGGTCGATACTGGAGTACGGAGTATCAGCTTCACTCCATGAAAATATTTGAAATACTCACAAGCCATATCTGCGATAAAGGATATTTTGTGGAAAGCAAGCAAATAGAGTTGAGAGCAATGAAGTGACTTCACAGGCAATACTGCTAGCTAAATTCAATCAGTCAATTAGAAAGAACCATGTCAAGGAGGTACTTGATTATTCCGTCTTCCGATCCCAAGAAAGCCGTTGCAGACTTACAGGCATTATTGCAGCACCATGCATACTTCCTGTTCAGTGAGGCTATGTAGCATATTGATGCATGCAATACGGCTGTCATATACCACATCTGTTAAGGCAGACTTCCTGGCGGATTATGAGTCCTTGTAGGATAGGGAGAGGAGGAGGGTTTCTAAGCAACAAGTCTTCAACACGCGCATTTTGTGCTAACCGAAGTTGAGAAGTCCTGCCAGAGAATAAGCTAGAGTACGTTGAAGTCCGAAATTCCACAAATTAGTCGACTTTGGGTTAAGTTTCCATTTTTCTGATCGCAGGATAACAAATAGTACGAAGGTAAGTGTCTCTATCGCCAAAATTTCACTTTTGGATCCGTTGATACCAGGTAGTTAAAGCAGAAATTTTAAGTCGTTGCCAGCTTGAGATGTTTTATACTCGTAGTTCTAGATTTTCCTCCTACTCTATGGAATGCTCGCAAAAAGCCATATAGCCCGCTCTTGAGAAGCAAAAAGGACATAACAGCTTTCTTCAATGGAGCACGTCGATGTATTCCACCAACATACATAAAGTTGCATTCCCCGCATCCCTGTACTCGCTACACGAGTCCTTTGAACGTCTGGCGCGTGTACTTGTGGTCTGTCCAACAGAAAAAATGCCAAAAAAAACGAAATTTCTTTGCTTGGACCGTGAATCGAACACGGGGCCAATGCATTCATGGATACCAGTTGACTGGAACCATTGGCAAGCATCGATTTTACCACTAAACCACCCAAGCTGTTTTTCTTCAGTTTACTTTTATTCAAAGATATATAGTCAGTGCATCCATCATTCGTGCCACCCGGGGTTTTTCCGCAATTCACCCCCATTTTTGGCCTCTTAGTATACGTCTCATAGTAAAATACTTATATAATACTTGCATATGGGCGAAAATTTTCGCTGCAACATACCGTAACGCCGCATTAATACGGTAAGTATTTGCCACTATAGAGGAGTAAGGTTACACAAAGCTTGACGGAACCGGATCGGAGCCCGAATAAAGGAAGGACCCACACCAAAACTCGGATAGACGACTTTTTCGGAGGATCAGATTTCACTATTCACTGCTAGCTCGCCAACCGTGTTGTCAAGAAAGTAGTCGTCAAGATATCCTTGCCCGTGGCAGGATATTTGATGCACGCTTAGAACACTGGCGTCTAACCTGGAAGGGTTGAGGTCGGGCGACTAGCGTTGCTCCAGCCGAATAGAGTATTGTTTCCTGATTAGAACAATTTTCGAAATGTACGGTATTGCGTGATCGACAAAACGTACGAGATTTTGTCAACCTGATCGCGATTTTTGACTTCCACTTACCCTTTCCATTGCGAGCGCTCATCAGCCGACGTCTCGGAACACTTTCCATTCTCCAACCTGAGTAAAACAGCATCAAAATGGCAGAGAAAGGGCCGGATTTGTTAAGGGATCCAGAAACTCATACACCTCGAAGTTCTTTAGTCTCGAACTCTAGTCGCACTCCCGAACTACCGAATTCACAATCAATTACTTCATCGAAAAATATATCGCGAAAACTTAAATTGCCCCTATACGGTCATGGGAATCCTCCAGAAGATATCCAGCAAAACAAACAATCTGGATCTCATGCGTACGTTTCATCTCCAAGATCTATAGACCCCGTCACTGCGATTCTCAACTCTAACGATTACACAGATTGTCCACTTCCGGTGCTTCTCGAACACCGGGAAATACTTCATCAACCCAATCTACAGTTGATCAGACAAGTAACTTGAATTCCTATCGATACCTTTCTGGGACATCTGACGAATGGGAGAACTTATTTTCGAGAGATAAGGTACGACATAACTTATTATTTAATATACACTTGTTTGGGTATACCACTACCTAGGAGGTTAGATTTAGGTAGGGTACTCTACCCAAATTATCTAGCCTAGGTTAGCACTAAGGTATACTCTACCTAGTGAGGAATACTAACATCAGGAATGAGTTTAACGACAACCGACATCAAGCGAATTAAGTAGTGTATAAAAGCTCGACTCCTGCTTATTTTACTTTCAAACTCTTCTTCCTTTCTACACTATCATTCTCAACCTTATTCTCAACCTTAACTTAAGTTTATGATACGCGCATTATTCACAATACGCAACACTAAATCGCCTATCCCACATAGCATTATTGCTCTACCTCCTCAAATTCATGTTTGGATTTGTCAGTATGAGGGCCCTCAGTCTAGCAATTCTCGGGGTATTTAGCCTCGTTTTCTCCGGTCTAGCGCAAGAGCCGCAAGCCAACTCAGTCCCTGTCGCTATTACCAACGTGAGCTTTTGGACATATTGAATCTTCTTTCTAACTCTTACAGCAGCTTCCCACTGTAACTGTCAATTCAGACCTACTGCCTGACGGTCCTGAGTCTTCATTAATACCGTCCAACCCTCAATCTTCAAATGTCGAGGAAACGCCTGTATCTGATGGCAGACCTTCAGTACCCAGCAGTGGTAATGCTTTGGATAGCAGTACATCTACGGCTCTGCCGGTAGGCTCTGGGGACGACATATCTACGGCCAAGAGTGGTTCTGCTTTCCTCGATTTATCGCTTGACTCTACTATCAATCCTACTCAGTCTGAGTCTCAGTCCCAGATCTTATCTGCATCAGCCAATTCTCCATCTTTGTTCACCGCCACCGGAAAAGACTCTCAAGGATCCTTTAGAGGACGGTCTAAACGGCAAATCGACGATTCCAGCAAGCCAGCTGAAAAAGGATCAGAAGGAACAGCTGACGAAGTCGATAAACCGTCTACTACACTTTACCACATTTCCCCGAAGAAGGGAATACCACAACAAATTATAAACGAATTTACAGAGAAATTAGAAAAAGAGACAGATCCAGGAACTCTTTGGACTAATGGGTTTGAAGATGAGTTCGTTGTATTCTGGGCGCAATACCTTACACCAGAACAAGAAAGCTTCTATAAGACTGAGCCTGCGGTTAGTTATTCTCTTCTGGAATTATGAGTAGGTCTAATGAAAGAAGGTTGAGACAATTAAAGATCCGAGCAAAGAAAAGCCGCGCCGTCATACTCGAAGGTCTATTAAAAGACCTAGCTCTGCAAAGTTCCCCCAGAAGAAGATGGAACATAGAAATGAAAGCACATTACGGAAGCGGACAAGACCAGTACAATTCCTTCCCCCAGAAACCCAGAGCCATCAACATGGTGCAGTGGATGACCTAAAGATGGTCTCTCAACCTGACGGTGTAGACTTGGCTGATATTGATACCTACTCATATCATGCTTTTGAGCAACCTAGTAGCCGTGTTTACGTGATTGACTCTGGGTGTTCGGAGGAGAGTAATGTTAGTACAGGATCTATTGCTATAAAGCCTTGCTAACGGGAGTAGATATGGGCTGATATCGACCCAAATCACGTTGAATGGCTCCACCCAGGGGGTCTGGCGGTTCCCCAAACAAAATCTGAACGCTTTGAGACTGATTCTACAGAAGATGACTCGTCAAAAGGTGATCATCATGGCACAAAGATACTCTCTAAACTTATCAATGACCCTTATGGGACAGGGAGGTCAGTAGACGTAACGATCGTACGACTTCCGAAAGCTCTTCCTACTTCAGAAGACGGAGAGGACGATGAAGAGATTACCTTCTGCCATTCCTGCCTCTACCATGCATACCAGCTGATATTCCAAGATATAAGACTAAAGATGGCGACGGGCGGTCCGAATGCCTATGTGAATATGCGAACCATAATTACCAATTCTAACGCTATTGAGTTCGACTTAGATGAGCCAGAGGATAGTCGAACCGGCTTGATCCCCGCCGATGGAGATTTTAATTTCCAAGAATACGACTGGCTGTCGAGATTCACTCGACTAGGAGTTGTCGTCACAGTATCTTCTGGAAGTAATCACCCTGACGAAGATCATGATAAGAGGTTTAATTTGAGAGATGTCCCTGCAGTCTGGAGTTCTTCTGCATCAGCGGCCAGCAGTCCTGATTATTTACCACTAATTGTAAGTTTCAAACATAAAGCACCATGGCGCATCCTTGCGAGAAGGACTGGGAATCCCATTGTGATCAATACTTGGTGACTTGGTTACCTGGTCGAATTGCAAGCTGCGACTAAGCCGGCTAATGATATCTAGGTCGTTGGAGCATGCGGTACCGATGGGACAAGATTCAGTGGTCAACCGTAAGCTTCAACTCAGGACTCTACCTAACTATGCAATTGATCAGTCAAATGGCTAATAGCCCTTAACTTAAGGTATTTGCCATGGCCAGATCGTTGGCCGAACGCCCAAATCGACGTGTATGCGCCTGCCTACAATACCGACGTCAGTGATGACCTGTATGACACTACGAAGGTGTCTGGATCCTCATACGGTAAATAAGACACACTATAGAAACTGGTTTCTGAAATCACACTAATAAGGAAACTTAGCCGCACCAGTGGTAGCCGGTATGATAGCAAATTTCTACAACTCCGAACACATGAATGAATTAGTAAGGCGTTTTAATGGTTTTCCCCAAGAGAACCGTGGAGGTCTAGACTGGGTCAAACTGGTCAGAGACTACGTCAGGGAATTATCATGGGAAAGAACACCAAACCAGCCCGGCGGACTAACAGTCAATCTCTTATACAACGGCGAAAATCCTCTACTTCGGAATGGTGCTCCAGCATGCCAGGTATCCGGTCAAACTTCTAGACGGCAAGATGACCAAAATCAGCCTTGCGTGAAGAACGACCCTCAACAAGCTTCCTCTACAAGCGTCACGCCCGTTGCTTCAGTGACAAGTGTCGAATCCGTCAATAGTGTGGCATCAGCATCACCTGAACCCCTTACGAGCGCTTCTACCAAACCTCTTGATACCACTAAGGCACATCATGTAATTTGCAAGCAAGGAAATTACACCTGGGACGGCCAGCAACGGAGTGAAATAACTCTATACACTGATTATGATCCAGTGCCCCGCGATTCGGACGCGTGGCATAGTATGATATTTCCAAAAGGCCCAGGTCACGTCAAAAATGGACCACCCAATGATGAGTTCGTCACAGACCCTAATATAGATCCTCAGATTGGTAGTTCTATATCGGGCAAGTTCAAGGACTTAAGCTTTACTTTTGTTCCAACCGTTGCCGCAGTCATCAATCTGGATGCATACTATATGCCAGGAAAAGGTTCTATCTATAACAAATGGAATCAGTTAATCTGGGATTCGGAATCAGGTACTCGCAGACTTTTCGATATGTGTCTAGCATCAGGAGTTGGCTTTAGTAATTACGGAAATGTGGACCCTCGACTTTTTTGGCCATTATAATGGCGCAGATTAGATGCTCACATGGAAAGAGATTCAGCGCTCATTTTGGGTGAAATTTAGGAGTATAAAAGCCGGGCACGTTCCGGGTCAGGACTCTGGGTATGTAGGTGGCGATCCTTTCCTTACCTGTAGGCTCCTCAATGATTAACGATTAATGATTCATCACGATTAATCATTATGAGTGATTTTATAATTAGCTAGTAATTTAATCATTGATTATTAGTCGGTATTCACGATTAATCATACAGTGGAAAAATATATTGCTAGCACTTTGCGTCTAGATCTCGTCCTCTTTTCTTTGATAGGGGCTTCTTGATTTTGTTTCTTTCTATGACACTGTGATACGAAACTTCCGCATCTATTAGATCTGGTTAATGACTGATCGTTATGTGGCATAAATCTTTTGAACGCACTGTACCAAGAAACTGTCGAAAGTGGTTTGAATCCAGGATCGCCAGGTCCATTTAGGGGTAGCGGGGCTCGCTTAATTCTCGCCTGCTCTCCTCGTCAGCCAATCATTAGCGAAGTAGGGGGGGGTGGAACCTCGAAGACAGTATCTTGGATATGTATTGAATAGAAGCTAATATCGCATCAATCATCTCAGCAAAGTTATAAATTCAGCGGGCAGACTGTGATATGTACTTTCATTGAGAAGGAGTTTGACATAAACGTTTCGCATTGAAAGGTCGCGTGACCAAGTGAGCACGCGCGCGGCACTGGTGACGGTCTCACCAACAACGACCCTCAAAATGGGCCAGTCTATAATTGGATTGGGATTGTGACATTCGATGTGAAATAAGAATCATCCACCAGCCCAAATTTTGTGAGTCGCCAGATCCGGACAACTTTTATTCACCAACAACATCAACAATCGGCAAACAAAGAATTGTTAACAAAGAAACCCCCATAAATCAGCAAACATGGTCCACCTCATCCCTTCCTTCTACAACTACAGACTCAGTCCGCCTCCAACATTAAATCCAAAGTCCTCGAGTCAAATCGTCAATATGCCAGTCAGCAAGAAAACCAAGAGTACCAAGAAATTAATCTACAACTCCGCAACAAAGGACTTCAAGGTCATCAGCGAAGAAGAATTCAACAGGTTACCTACGAGTATGTGTATTTTCATTTCTTGTCTACTAGATGCTCGAAGCTGACATGTTACATTAGCACCCGATGAAGTGAATTTCATACCAGGAAAGAAAAGCGCCAATATTGAAGTTCCTGGGAGCTTTGAAGCGCCGTACCCCGGTGCCCCAAGTGATAGCGAGACTCCGAAGAGGAAGACTATTCATGTTCCAGTTTGGCTCAGACCTGTTATAGAATGGGAGAACATTACTACTGTTTATGTTCTGTAATGAATGCGAGCGTGTTGCATCGAGGCTAATGGATGTTTTGATGGTGTGGTGATTGGTGGATAATTGATATCGGAGATGACGAAGTGTCTAAAGGTTGATGGAGAATAAGAATATGATATCTTGGCGTCATTTTTAGTCTCTGTGGCGGTAACTAATGATAGCGTAGCCTCTACTTCTATTACTACGCGCTCTTCGTGTAATGTGACTTTCCTCATTCCGTACCGTTGTCATGCCTGGAGGTAATGAAGACAGGCTCTCATCTGAAATAAATACCTAACACATGCCGCGATGTTGTCGTGGCTACGAGAAAGCTAGGAGTCTGGTTCGTCCAAAATGAGACAAAAGAGGAAATGCAGGAAAACGAGAAAGTTCCAGGTTTGTGTTTGATCTATGAGATAAACATTCGTTTTCATAGACCATCGAAATTATATTCCGCTCTAAAATTGTTACAAAATAACAGTTGTAAGGTACGTCTTCAGAGGAAAACGGGCAACGCCAAAAGTTCCAATTATTCACATCAACTGCCCACTCGAAATCAGCTGTTTATCTCTACACTAAAAATTGGATCATTTGATCGTGGCTGCTCCTCGAGTGAGAGAAGATTACGAGGATATCATCAACCCTTGCATGGCTTCCTGGGTGATCGAAAAGATATTGAGCTTGAGAGCTTTCTGAGCCTGAATCATGGCGTTAGCGAAATATGTTACAGAATCATGCTAATGACCTACATCCTGCGCGATAGCTCTCACGCTTGGTGCATTTTCTTGCTGGTATTTGATAAGCTTGGTTTTTTTCGCATCGATGTCTTGCTCAGTCAGAGAGGTGCTGGTGAGACCCAATGAGCTGATCTCTACAAAGCCGGGCATGATGTGCTTGTTGGAAATCGTATGGTAGGCGCTCGCGACGTGATGCATAACCAAGAACTGACATTTAATGCTGGTTGTTACCGGCTGCACCATCTGACAGAAACTTTAGTTCAAGACCCTTCACTAGGGCGATTGGATTCTTACTTGTTCTAGCACAGCCATTATTGCCGTGTCGTTGATCTCGTTGCTTCCCAGGGCACCCATATACTCCGTAAATTCCCCACGATAGATGTTCATCAGAACATCAACGAAGCTTACTACGTTTGAGAAGAAGAGAAGAAGACACGCAATCTCGTTTTGCAGCTCTTGCAAATTTCCAAGAGCAAGATGTAGCACGTCCTTGATTCTGTCCTATTACGGCATGGTAAGCAAAAAACTCACGCATTATTATTTTACCATGGCTTTATCTGTGTTGAACTCTTACCAGTGACTTTCCGCTCTTTAGAAATTCCTCAACTTCTACTCTAGCCAGCTCTTCCTGAAGCTGCGCCTCTTTGAGCGCTCTCAACTTCTCCTCATGCTTCTTTTCCGCAGTCTCGCACTTGTCGTCAACAGCCCAAATACCGAAAACCGTGATGGCGGCTAGACTTAACCCTAGCAATGGGTGGATGGTTGAGGCGATCCCAATACCGGCACTCACTGTGGCTTGTCAACGACTGCAAAGTAGCAAGGGGTTGATTAGGTTCATGACATACTTGCCACTCCGGCATCTCCACTCAACTCGTCACCCACGTGTTCTCGGGTTGCATATGCTTGACCCAACTTATACTGCTGAAATCCTAGTTCGCGTGCAGCCACATCTTTAGCCAATTTGGATTTGTCTACCTTTTCCCTCTCAAACTTTAGCTTTGTCTCTGCTTTTGTAAGGGCCACCTGAGTGCCCACTATAGAATGTTAGCACCAAGTCACCTTGCAGCAGGAAATTCCCTGCACTTCTTACCCGCTTCTTCTTGAACAGCAAGATGCAGTGTATCGGTCTTGTCCCTCCAAGCTTTGAATATACCAGCAATTCTCTTCGCTTCCTCCTCACAAGCTATCGCTTTGTCTCCGAGAGCCTTCAACTGGATTTCAACGAATTTCGCGGACGTAACGCTTGGTGGGAGACGCAAGAGCTTAGAGAGATTGTCGAGCTATAGCAAGAGATTAGCAGAGCTGTTACTATCGATTGTATGGACTCACATTGCGCCCAAGATCCTGCGACAAGACGCTAATCTTTGCCATACCAATCTCCGCGTCCATAAACGCGCTGCGGCCCACTTGCGCGATGTCGACTAGATTCACTCTCAAGTATTTTGACCTGTTTCACGATCAGCGGCCATCCAACCGGGCTTGTAGTTGCACACTTACTCCAGCTTCCGCGAACTTTTATTGTCCGACAAGGTGAGTGTTACAGCATTTGGCGTCGACGAAAGCAATATGCAGCGACCGATAATCACGATGGCAACCGGAGCAGAGCCCAGCGTCATTGCCCAATCTGTTTCGAGGACGCTGATGGAATTAGTTTGGACACGCTTCACTTCTGCTACGATAAGCTCCATCTTCTCAGGAGAGTGATCTGCGTGATTGTGATTCATCGTGATTTTGGATGTAAAAGACTATTAGGCCAGGGATGAAATTCAAAGGTCAGGTCAATCGGAAAGCATAACGCTCTGCCTTTATGACTTGCAAAAGCAAAGCTGGTGGCGTAATATTGCCTCAGGAAGCTACGTCTTAAGCAGTGCCCTCGATAGACAGTCACAGTTTTTGCGGCTTCTTAATGGGTACTCACCCATGGAGAGCACGAGTTTTAAACGGCGACGATCTGAGAACGCCTCGCTACGATTGAGCTAGAGAATCAAATAGAATCACTATTGGATTTCGGCGCCTCAACTGCAGATTCCTTGAGAACATACGTATGTGATTTGCTCGATGCAGGTCATCGGGCAAGGCTGGAGCGAGAACTCCCCTTTGGAAGTGTTTCCTGGAGGTGAGAATCACTTGGTGGTGGCTCATCACAAGCCTGCATGAGCATTCCCAGCTGGGCGCTAAATAACGCTCAACCCATTCTCATCACGATGAAGATCATACCTCCGTACAGGATCTATTAAAGAAAAGGCTTCTAGCAGCACTCTTATCTTGCCAAAAAATGGGCTCGGAAATGTCAATTGAGTCTTTGCAAGCAGAGCTGAGAATCAACCTATCGAAACTCGAACAATCCATCACGACTGCAGAAAACACACAAATCCACGACGAAGAGCAATCCGCTTTGGCCGCATTCCGGGTAGTCACCACACTTGCACAATTTACTACAAGTCTCGCGAATCGGACTCCCAAAGATGTTGTAGACGCTGAAGATGTGGAGCTCGCACTGGTACTATCAGCGCTGGCCGGTCAAGATGATCTCCCCCTAACCGCTTCCCAATCGAATATTGCTTTTACACGCCTTCAAAGCGATATTGAGGGATTGATAGCTGCGCTTAAGATTCAACTCGATCACCACATGCAGGCAACAGTCCAGCTTTCTCAAATTTACAGTTCTGATGTTCTCGAACTTCAGAAAAAGATCTCTTCCAAGCAAGCGAGCATTGAGTTGCAACTCAAAGAAGCCGAGGACTACGTTCCAAAAGCTATCCAGAAGGTCAATCATATGGTCGCTGAAATCAGAAGTCAACAAAGTCAGCTGGAATCCCTGGGTTATAGTATAGAACAAAATGCTCAGGCTGCGAAGGAAGATTTCATGGTATTACTCAACTCTGCCGTGATAAGAAGGAATATGCTGACGGGTTATAGGAGGGCACCGCTGCTGGTGTTGTGGGTCTTGGATTCCTTGGAGCCAGCGCTGCATTCCCTCCGTTGTTAGTCGGCGCTCTAGCTTTTCAAGCAATTAATTGGTTTAAGATCGGAATAGGTAATAGTAAAAATAAGAAGGCGTATGCACTTAGTCTAGACTGCCACGACAGAATAATCCAAAATCCCGTTGCTAACCTGCGATCCCAGGAAACGACTTCTCGAGATGCACAATAATACAGCAAAAGCGATCCAGGATGAGGTCAAGACGATAGAGCAAGTAGCGGAGAAGTGTAAAAGCCTGCCAGACGAGATTGAAAAAATAAAGGGACTTCAAGGACAAGCAGCCAAGTTGGTCCAGCATGCACAGGATATGGTAAAACTGGCACAAGACGAAGAACGTGTAAATGCCGAAACCCAGAATAACGCAGTCGGTGCGATAAGAGCCGTTCAAACATCATGTCTGGGTGTTCACGCTGTCGATATCACAACCACGAGACCAAGGCTAGTGGAAGTCGTCGGGTTGTTGACGCTTGAGATAGGGCCAGCTGCTTACAGCCGTGCTCGAAGTCTGAAAGCTCCTCAACAGGAACACGTCTGCAGATTGGCGGTCTTGAGTCTTCTCAAGGATATAGAGAGGCTAGGAGCTTGTATGCCACCATCTGACTCGCTGCGAAAAGTTTGCGGCCATGTGAGATCGCAGCGATTGAAATTTGAGAGTCAGCGCCGGTGGACAACGTTAGGAGGTATCCTTAGGTTTATATGTGAACCACAAGCAAGCGATATTCTCCTATTGATAGTTCTGGATTTTGGCGTCACTTTGCTAGCACGGTTATTTTTGTGGTTGCTCCGTATTGTTCTTTAAGTGGAGGGGGATTCTTTTGGATTTACCTGTGTAAGAAGCTGGGTCCTAACAATTCTTCTTGGACCTATAGGTTAGACTGAGCAACCTTAGATCTACACTGAACAGTTTAGAACGTCGGGACCAACAAATTAGCTTAGAGAGTATATCTCTACATTCGGACTCTGAAACATTGGTGGGTATTGTAGCTGTGACAAACATTTCATACCACAAATGCGTACGTATTCGTTTCAGCAATGACAACTGGACAACACAAGCAGAGAGGACAGCAGAGTACTCCCAATCCCTCACCATAACTGCGAAGGACGGGAGGGACAGGTTTGTATTTAATGTTGACCTTGGTAACGACTTATATCAGGGAACGAATCGGTTTAGCTTTTGCCTTCGTTACGAAGTAGACGGGCTAGAACTCTGGGACAACAACGGAGGCAAAAACTACGAATTAGCTTTCGATAAGTGTTTAAAATGTCCTGTAAAGGAATAAAATATATGAATTATATCTTACAGTATTATAATACTACCTGTTGTCAACTATATGCTATAGATAATATTAAAACTACATACTTTCGCAATCAGAATTCTTTTCCTTTCTTCATAGAGAACTATCTTAGACTAGTTAAACTAATACTAGTATTAAGTCAGTCTTCCTTGTTACAATTTCACCTCTGGTATAGACACTTACTTCAACGGTTGACAATAAGCTGTAATTATCTTCTGGTTGTGTCTCTGCAGGAGAATAAAACAATCCAATTGTGCTCAAGTCTGCCAACGGCGTGAGCATCAGATGCGGCCAATAAGATGGCAAGACCATTGAGAATATTGAGCTTCAACTCTTGGTTACAAGAAAAGTAAGGAGTAGTGAACTTCCCTTCGTGGGCAAATCACGAGGATAAAACGCGTCTGATAGCTCTTTGAAACAGAGGTAAAACGCGACTTCTATGAAATAACGATGCTAATAACTGGTGGATGGCCACATTCCCAAGGGGAAATGACTGGAATAGAGATATCGAAGAGTGACGACTCGCTTAAGCCAAGGCATGAAAAGATCCTTATTGTATTGTAAGTTGTAATTGTTTGGAAGGAAAAAAAACCAAAGGTAGCAGCATACCAACGACCAGAAAGAGCAAATTCATAGTGTTTTGTACGCTTCCCAAGTTCTCAGGACCTCGAGATGTGATCGTCAATTGTCTTTAAACTTTCGTCCAGTCGACTTCTCCTACTTCAAACAAATGTATGTGTAAACCCTCTCCAGTGCTCTTCTCAATGAAAATCGGATTATCGATTAGATGATCCAAAGCCTCCCCTCTTCATCGAAGTCCTTCGCAAAAGCAACTCTTCGAAAATAACACCTTCTTGCCTGTATTCTATAGCTCCTCGGTTGGGACTGCTTGCTCGACTCTCAAGATCTCCTGTAGTGACCTCTTAGAGTTTGTTCAATGGTCAAGTCACTAGACTGCTAACCTTGCGACTTAGACAGACTCCTCGTATACAATAAAGCAGCAACTCCGACGACCAACGAGCCGAATCCAAGCGAAAGGGTGATAATATCGGTAGACGATACTGGGTAATCAAGAACCATTAGCGGTGCAAAAGTGGTATGTGAGAAGGACTAACACATCCTGAACTGAAGCCAATGGTTTCCACAAGTTCGAGGTTCAAAATCACTGGATTGAAGTAAGGTTGAGAGAGCACGGGACTTTTGTTTCAGAGAGTACCGAATTTGGAACAATTCGCCGACAAAAGCGGTGATAGTGGCCAATAATTTCAACAAGTTGAGGACACTAGAACAAATGTAGAGAAGTTTCGAAAAGTTGGAAGCAAACAATATTGGAGGTGACGTGTGATTGTATTGAAGTATGAGACTGAAAGCAATCAGTGGAAGGAATGGGACAATTCCTTTATATGTTCTGGTGCATATTATCATTAGGTGTGAGCAAGGCAAGTATCAGTCTTGCCCACCGCCTGTTCTGTGCAGGAGGGGACGCGACCCCTATAAGTGCCGTGCAGTGTATGTTCTCGCGTGAACATGAAGTTGCCGTTGCCCAATCAAGAAAGCCTCAAATTTGCGCTGCCAATAGATACCCTTGATAATTGGCTTGCACCACGAGTCTGCGCCACACCACGCTCTACGTAATGTGCCCAAACATCACCTTCAGCCATACACATCAAAGGGCGATTTATACTTCGACTTCACTGGTTACCACCGTACATGGTGCCTGGTGTAGAAGACCCTAGGGGCCGATCCAGGTCAGGGCCAGCACACCGAGGTAGAATTGCAACAGCATCTTAACATCATTTTGGACACCTCTAGGATATGTATCGAAAAAGCGGAAGCAAACTATATTTCAGATGGCTCGAAATCCCCAAGGTTTTTGCTACTGGAGAATTCAAACACCTCATCGACCACACTTCATGATTTATAATTGTTCATGTATAATTAGCCAGATGTTTAGCTCGAAGGTCATTTCTAGAACTCGTCGTTTAGCTAGCACCACTGCACTAAATTGACAGGTAGACTGTGTTGACTGCCCAAAATCATTGGAACTGCAGATGAAAATTCAACGAAATCGCCCACATCTGAAATCGCCCATGCTCTCAATGTGGAACACATCACCTGCATTTAGGTGGCCAAGCGAACGACTGCGGGGGACCTCGGAACGGGAAGCGAACGACGGGCGGACCTTGGCAGTGACGGGCGAATTGAGTAGTGAAGTACTGGCGGCCCAGTGCAGCTCAAACATCAAATCTTGACCTGATCAGATAGCCATCCTATGTAAGATCAAGAAGCTAATTTTCCAGTGACAGGGAGGTGTACGCGCAATCGGGATCACCGTTTCGCTAGAAGTTGGCGATGCAACTAACAATAACTCACAAAAATGAAGAGTATTGAGGTACGTCGTAACTTGCAATCAAAGAGTAATACAAGACGCTCGTAAGTGAAAATCGTACCAGGTATTATCCTATTAACGTCAATGTATAAATAGAACAAAAGTAAACCAAACAAATAACCATCGGTCCAATCCATACGGTCTAGCCAAGTACGAGAACACGATAGACAACACTCGTGCGCAAAAGGTAAACTATACCCGCCATTTCAGGTTTATTCTGTAGCCTTCATGGTACAAAGCCTAGCCGCTACACGGAAGAAATAAGATGGACTTCGTTCTACCATTGTATCCGTTTGTCGAAGATGAATGGAAGAAGTAGAACGGACTTCATTCTAGCATAGCACTAAACTGCTTCAACAGGATAAGTCTGAATACCTGGTTCGCCTTCAGGTGACTTGCGAACAACACTGGTAAGCTCTAGTGGGGCCTTTACCACCAGATGGAAGGCAAATGCACTTTTCTCTGACATGTATTCAAGAAATGAAATCGGTGAGCTATACGCAGCGCGCTCTGCCTGATTAACTTCATAGCGAGAAGCATGGTGTAGACGTCTTAGAGAGAGTGGAGACTTGTTTTTTGTTACACTTAAAGCTTCATTATGACTAAATGCACAGCTTTGTATATTAGGTAAACACAAACCTCGCTAGTATTCTTGTTTATACCATATGCAGAACAACAGCTAGGATCCAAAACCTCGTCTCCTCACAAAGCTTCTCCGTAGAAGCAACTCTTCAAAGATTATATCCTCTTGCTTATGTATCGTGACGGCTTGGTCCGCGTCATTGGCTCGATTTTCGACATCAACTGTAGAGTTCTTAATACACATCTTTCGTAATATGTATACCCGGGTTCTGACCTTGTAATTTATACGATCTCCTTGTGTAGAGCAAAGCTCCGAGGCCAATTAACATGGAGCCTAGCCCGACGGAGAGCGCGATGACATCGGCAGAGGAAGCGGCTAAGTAAATTGATGGATTAACAACTACTCCGAAAGAAAGAAAGATATAACGAACACATTAAATTTGAAGCAATTGGGATTCTGGATCGAGGCCACGCTACGAGGTATTGTAGAGAGATCAGCGTAAATCTGACACTGTGTGAACAGAAAACTTTCTAGATGCAATGTTTGATCGCGGATGTATTACGAGATCGATTTCTTGGTTGGTCTGAGCATAAAAACTGTTTGGTATACTAGAATGACGGGAGGAAAGGGATCTAGAAATATCAAACGAAAACAGGTGCGAGGCTACACACAGACGGAGAGCTCCAGCGAAAGAAAACAGCATCGCCCAATTGTGGTTGCAGGTTGACGCCACAGCTTTCCACACCACGACGCGAAAATGCCAAGCTGGAGGTGCGAGGATTACCTTTTTGGGAGGTGCGAGGATTGCCTCATTTGGACGAGATCTCAAACAGCGGAAATAGGTCCTCCAATCTTCGTCCATGTAAAATCGTTTGTTATCAGCCACAACGCAGACCTTGCTAACATTAGCCACTGACAGTCGTTGCTCTGTTTGGAAGTATATCCAACGCGCTTTGCCGCACAGCGACCGGAATTGAGGCCATCATGAATAGACGGGCCAGTCGGTTGGGTTAATGAGCAACGGCTGAGACGCAAGGCTGGCTCCTTCCTTGTCGTGGGAGATAACCTCACACATCGAACCTGGATGGAAGTTCTGTCAAGCCTTCCATGGGATGTAGTGTCACGTCACAGGTAGGGGTTGGTTGGAAAGTGTAACAAACACAGCCTTGAAAAAATTTCGAGACGGTGTAGGACGCGCAGAATTCTTTGCGGCTTATCTTCTTGCTAGTGATTGAAGACCCAAAGTGGAATTAACAATATAGTTGCTTCTCAAAAACCCAAGAACAAAGATGATCCAATAAAAAGCACTCGATCCAGAGACTCCTGAACTCCTGTATGGTAGAAGAACTCTTGACTTGACCATTAGCCAGCTTTCACCTCGTGCACCGACAGAAAGATCATGCTACCCTACAAGAGCTCGTGATCGAATCAAAGAGCACCGTACTGCCACCAACGTGCATGGATGCAAGGTACCGGGACTTAATAACAGCCCACTGAACAAAGCCCGGGAGCGGCGAGGACGTGTTGTATTGACACAAGGATGACCCGCCAATAGAATGGGCCTCTCCTAAGTCCGCATGCCCGCTGGTACATCTAAAAAGAAAAAGAGCACTTTGATTGAAGGAAAGATAGCCATATACCAAAACCGAGCAAAATCTGATAAGAAAGACCACAGATTCGCATCTTTTTTAGCGGATCATCTTTCTTGCCTTCTCTAGGAATATTAGACCGAAGGTTTATCCAAGTGCTGAACAGCTTGTAACTGACAGAATTTTTACGCAAGCGTGGGTCTCTATATCATGGTCGATTTCAGTGAGATCGCCATTTCCTCACTCGCTTACAGTTAGAGTCTGCAAACAGAAAGTGTCCAAAGAAATAGATACGAAGTCGTAACATTTTCGAAACAAATTTTGACTCCAGGGGGAAAGCCCATAATTTAGTCGAGGCGTCGAAGACCATGGAAAAGGATGGAATTTTACACCTATTTCTTTTTTAAGACGCTTGCTTTCTCCATTTCGGAGCGTATCGAGGGAAGGAGGACCAGTTTTTGACCGACCATCAGTTTTGAGGAGTTGCTAAGGAAGCATTAGACAACGAGAATTCGGCGTGAAGGCGCCAAAATATTGAGAAGGAATAAAAATCAAGAATATCGCAAATCAACAGGACCCCCGGCACCAAGTAGCACTTGCAAAGCTGTAGTGACAAAATATTTCTGAGAGGGAGCGTAAAGATGAAAAACGCAAGTAATGAAAAGTCCCCATAAACGAACTAATTCAACGACCAAGGGAGAAACCAAAAACCAAATCAAAACCAAATCAAAAAGCAAAACTCAGTCACAACAATACATTCACAAAAACAGAAAAAAAAAAACCGTCCCAAAGGACTTCATCAACAACCTTCAATTACACTTCACCTCCCAGGCACACAATCTAACAATCTAACCCCCAAATTTTCTCTACCACTATCCTACTCTACCCTATCCTATCTAACACGTCGCCACTCTTCTTTTCTCTTCTTTCTTAATTCACTTCTCAATCCCCTCCTCCCTCCCCCCGCCCCCCCTTCATCTCACTAGCCACCCAGCCCTCCAAACCCCCCCTCCACAACCACATTTCCATCCTGCCCAACCATCTCAAAGCATCCACGTCCTCACCTCCATACACACGAATCAAAACAAAACAAAAATCCAGTCCAAAATAAAAATACAAGCTACACGCTAAAAATAATCCGACAATTCGCTCTTGTTCTGGTATACACTGAGGCATTCACCTCCCTCCCTGCTCGCTGGAAACCCATCTTTGCTTATATGTGCGCTTATGCCATGTTTGCGTTCCTCGGCCATTTCACAACCACACCCTCTTATCCTCTTACTGCCTCTCTACTCACATCCTCAATCCCCCTTATTCCAATCCCCCTTATTCCAATCCCCTCCTAAATCCCCTCATTCACCCAAACCTCTCCTCACAACTCCCATCTCCGTCACGAACATCTCCTCCTCCCCAAACCGCCCCAATCCACGCAAGCCACGCGAATCCACAAAACCAAAATTTAGAACGGTAAGTGAATTCACAACCTAACACGAGCGAGCCAGAAAGCTCAAAAAGAACAAGAAATTCAACGCCAAAACAGCGCAGTGCATCCAAGAATCTCCAACGTCAAAAAGTCCCCATGCCCAAAAAATTGTAGAAATTGGTATCACAATACCCGCCGCGAACCGCCCCCCCAAAAATCCAACGTAAAACACCTGAAGTGAACGCATTTGAAACAGAGAAAAAATTGTTTGTGTTGTGGCGAAGTGAACAACGTGATTCATCCTGTCGACGAACGATAGCTGCCTAGCCTTGAATCGAAGAAAGGATAGCAGCCCAGTCATTCGCAGGAATCTAGTGTTATAACGGACTCATCACGCCCATCCCGCACTCCACCACCTCTTCCGGCGTATCATCCTCTCTAAACCTAATCCCCCCCTCAACAGCAACCCCGCCCTTAACCCACTCAAACTCCGCAACTCTATCCAGCGTCCACCGACTCCTCGCCCTCTTAAGCAGATTCTCCGTGACGACCATCGCGCCCTCCAGACCCCTCTGCTTGAACTTCTCAGGATCCGCTTCGTGATCCCCCTCGTCGCCCGCGTATTCGATCCAGCGATACTCGACGCGCGCGATGCGATGGCTAGTGCGGGATCGTTGTTTGTGGCTTTCAGGCATGTTGGGGTGCGGGTCGAAGGGGAGTCTGCTTTCTAGGAGGGCGTAGAGAAGGACGCCAAGGGACCAGGCGTCGGTGGCGCGGCCGTCGTAGGGTTGGCCCATTATGACTTCGGGTGCTGCGTAGTCGTCGGAGCCACAGCGGGTGGTAAGTTTTTCATCATCGGCTACACGTCGCGAGAGGCCAAGATCTGTGAGTGTGACTACGGAATATGGGTATGTTGCCCAATCGACCGTGCGTGATAACTCTGCTGGTGGAAGATTGACCAGGACGTCTAACTATGTGAGTAAAATGTTCACGTGACTTGGACTATGGGTATATCATACTCTCGAGCTTTATATCCCGATGAACGATATGCCTGTCATGCAGATATCTCACCGCTCCAACAAGCTCAGAAAACATCCTTCTTAATAATCCAGGGACGAGTAGATCCCTATGCTGGCTTGCCACTTCGAAGAGATCACCACCAGCACAATAGCTTAGAACCAATATCGCACGAGTTTCCTCGATACTCCAGGCCAGAAGATCCACTAACGATGGATGGCGTATCGATTTCATAATCTCCAACTCTCGTTTCAGCGACATTTCGACACGTTCCTCAGAGGCGCCTCCCTTTGGCCCATGCTCACATATTTTCACCGCCACGAGCTTCTTGCGATCAATTTTGGTCTCTTGAACAGGCGTCATGATACCTTCCATAGGCTGTCCAAACACATGATCCTCATCGATAGTATCGTCTTCCGGTGCCTGGCTAGTCGCAAGTACGACTTTACTGAAAGTACCTTGACCCAGCACCTTCAACGCTCTCCATCTTCTTCTCTTCGAATCCTTGCGTGTATTTGCTTCAAAAAATTCATAACGAGACTTCCTTTGTGTTTTTACACGAGTACTTGATAACGAGGAATCGCTATCACTACTCTCGCCGCCAGTCCGACTTGATGGTGGGGTAGGAGGTTTAGGAACAGGTGCCAGACCTCGCTGAACCGCCAAATTCGGTTCCCTACGCATTGTGTCCACGACTCTATCGTTCTGCCCGTCTAATGACACATTGTGGGTTCCCGAGACAGCGACATGGCGTGCCTTTGGAACGTGCATCGAATCGGGGTTATATTCGCTCACGCTACGGTTTCTTGTGTGTCCTCCAATAGCCTTTTCTTGCTCACTTCCCATCTTTGTATGTACCGGCTCTCCAGCACTAATAGCCAGTCCTTGATATGCCTTCCTCTTGCTTTGGTTTGCTATCGCAGCGGATAATGATTCGCCATTTGCCGTCACCAACGCCGAATTCGAAGTCAACGGGATATTCATATCTCTTGATCCAGGTCTCGACCCAAGCTTCTTCCATGGTCCAGGGGAATCTGCTGACAGAAGTGGAGAAGGTAGAGGTGTTACATCTGCCAACGCATTGAGCATAGGAGAAGACAATGCTGAGTTTGGTGTTGATGCAAACCCCGAGTTGCTTCCCATGCTAGTACCCAATATATTCTTGATACTCGGGGTTCGTTTCACAGGTTGAATAGGTATATTCCTCGAGGTGGAGTGGGATTTCATCGAGTCGGCCGACGATCTCGTCGCGGTGTTGGCGCTCGCGGCAGTGACGGTGTAGTTTGGTATTATATCGGTCTGAATTCGTAAGCCTGCACTCAATGGGCTTGGATGTTGGGTATCTGAGGTCGGGTTTCGCGCGGTCGTATCGAGCGGGGCGAGACTCGAGTTATTATCTGGAGGGGGTGAGGCGCGGTTTGGGGGCGGGGACGGCGCAATCGTGTTAGAATGAAATATAGTCGGGATTGTAGATGATGCTTCGTTAGTAGCAGAAGGAAAGCTGACGCCAACCTCAGCGTTCGTTCTTGCAGCGTGCTGATTCACAACGTCTGCCTTCCCATGTCTCTGTGGTGCTGACGCATCCATCTGCGCGTTGGAGTAGACATCGTGGCTGCTCCCCTGGATGTGCTGCGATCTCGGCGGGTGAGAGTTGGGGGTGGACATGGCCAGAGGACGGCGAGGGAGGGCCTGGTAACTTTAAATGCTGCGGATTCTGGTGCTAAGATATACTCTGTATGGCCTACGAGATCTCCTCCGTACCGACTGGACCAAAGGAATGCGACAAATGCAGTGCAACCTGCGACACCGTGGCAGATGAGGGATAATTGGGTATGGGCGAGGAGCACATGTGAGCGACACGAGACTGGAAAGGAAGGTTGAAAACAAAGGCGTCGTTGGAAATTGCGCTGGGAGAGACGAGACGTGAGGTGTGACGAGATGAGGGATATGGAGAATGTACCGCCCCCCTCGCAACATTAGCGCGGTATGAGGGGCCCCGATGTCCGAATTGGATAGTCAAATTTAAAAAGAAGAACACCAGGAAGCTAAGTGAATGCTCTAAACACGAGCTAAACGGCCAGAATAAACTAGTCTGATATCTTAAATTGCTATCAAAAACGGAGCAATGTCCTTTATGATGCATATGCACTCGCCTAACCACCATTGAGATATCTCCAACTTATCTCACAAGCTACAAGTGAAAGCTTCAATTTACCTGCCAAACATTCACCCAATTATAAAGCAAAGATATTATTAGCCTCATAGTGACGCCAAGAATAACCGTCGTAACGTTCCAGAACTCCTCCCACGAGTCCAAGCTTTATAAATCCCACCTCGTTCGTAACGCGGCGGCTCGGTAGGGCGGACGAAGCCCACTTGGCTCTTCAGAACCACATTTCAACGAGGAGCTTGAAATAGATAGTTGCCGTTTGGCAAACGTTTATTTACAATTTCAGCATCTTCTTTGACATGCTTCAAGACGTGGAATGACCTCACAAGCTATATCTTCGGCTAATTCCAGCTTATGCTTTACAGTCGAGATGGAGGAAGCAGTTCCAACGATCCGTTCGTACACGTTCGCTAGTGAGCAATACCATTGGTACAAATCTCGCTAAAGATATATGCCCGTTGGGATGCGTGGCTAAGCGTTTGTTTCAGGGGATGTGATGCAGGACGGGAGCGGTTGTCAAACAAGATATCTAAGTAAGTGAAGGAGTCACTTGGAGAAGGACAACATCAATGCATTTCAGCATAGGAGAGCATTTTCGAGGAGGGAGAATGAACGTTATTATTCTTTGCCAGAACTCAGTCGAAATTAGGTAATATGCGTAGGCCAACTATCTCCTGTGGATTGTTGTCGTACGTCAAAAGAGTCGCAGCTGTCGGTAACCGAAGATTAATAGGGGTATTGCTTCCGCTAGCATAGCAGTTCTCCCACCAGATCCTATCCTCTAAGACCTCTCTCACAAGTCAAAAATACCGTCCAAACAGCTGCATAGACAACCATCGCAGTGAAAACATCCTGCTTCTGAGCTTCACTCATCCAATACGCCAAAATCAACCCCACAACCATAACGAAAGTACTGGTTACAAACACAGCAGTGATCATTCTCGGGTCAAGTACCATAACCAAGACCGGAACAGCTAGAGCAGCTCCAGCAATGGTTGCGATTATGGACTTAGGCACGATGCTGGAGAGTCGAGGCTGGCTTTCCGTCCGTTCTTTGTCAGCCTTTCCCAACGTCTTGGGTCGAGTCCAAGCAGTGTGTAGTTTTCCTAATAGAGGATTGCGAGATTTGAAAAGTGGTCGAGACAATTCCTCGAGAACTGCTGCTGAAAGTTTGTTTCCTGATTTGTTGGCATAATGCTGAGCGCACTCCAAAATTGCCAATGTACGACCCCAAACACGAATACTAGGTGGCTGAGTCGTTGTTTCCACGTCAGTGTATTGAACTTTGCAGTTCAACCAGCGTTCGTAATTTTCAATTGCCTTGACTTCTGGCTCTTAGTATTCTTTCTTCGAATAGTGATAGGGTACTTACCATATCGTTCAAGGTCTTCGTGAATGGTGTCCCAGCGGTCCATCGTTTTCACTATAAATCGTCTCAGTTTCCATCCTTCGTCGTGTTTTTGGACAACATACACTCTTTATACCTCTCATTCCCACCTTTCAGTATCCAATTATGTCTATGCAATTTCGCCGTCGCATAATATATATTATCAAGAAACATAGCCTGAACCATGGTTTTATGGTCCCTGCTAGGGAATCCATCGCCAATCAACGAAGCCTTTAGCTCAAAGTCCTCGAGTACCGATTTTGCCTGAGCAGAAGCAGGAGACGTGTTAGCGAAGACCCCGCTGTCTCTTCCAAGAGTACTTGTTGAAGGTGTCCGAAATGTTGGAGGGATTTGAATGGGATAAGTAGGGAGATCTATCGAGGATGGATTGGTGTAGGTAGGTATTATTGAGGCGGATTTGGTGCAGACTGCAGATGTGGGCTCTTCTTTTACGCTTGTGCCTTCGAAGTCGGACGGCCGCCCGGTAAATAGGCGCATTTTACGGTAGTTTCCGAGCTGTTGAGAATAGGTGATGCCGAGCATGAGTATAGGTTGGAGGATGAAGATGGATGAAGATGTTGATGTTGTGGTGAAGAGGATCTGGTGTTGTCTGGCGGAAGTCTGCGAAATCAAGGGTAAGTCGCTCCTGCTTCGTTGGTTGCTAAGAATCAGCAATACTGAGCAAATGAAGAACTCCAGCCAGGGTGCTGAGAGGAAATAGAGCATACAATTCGTGAGGGTCTAATCTAACTAATCTTATCTAATAATCTAATTCTAGTTGTAGGTCTTTGCTGGAGATATCCAGCTCTATATTGTATAATACAGCGCACTCGATTACATCATTACAACCTCGCCCTGAACCTCGTATTCTCTTCCTTCAGAGGCTCTGCCTCACTCGGGTCAACTTTATCATCAGTACTCTTCGCTGGGCTACCGGGAGTCGCCTTCTTCTTTGGCGCGGCGTGATATCCACCCAACTCATTATCCGAATTTGTGATATTTCCATCAGCGTCCCTTGTGATACCAAGCTCAATCAATTTGGCAAAGACTTTGGTAAAAGCCGCGAAGAACGCCTCCTTGTCTCGTGCATATAATTCAACATATTTGATGAACGCCTTGTCTTGCGTCAACGCAATATCAGTTGGCAGCATCATCAACTCTGTTCCAGAATCCTCGTCGTAATTGACGAATTGCTCTACGCCGTTCTTGAGGGTCTTCTTCTTCCATTGCATGGATAGCATAAGTCGAAAGTACTGGTTGGAAAATCGGGTCGGGTTATTGACCCACTGGCCTTCGAAACCAGATCGATCACTGTGGCATCTTCCGAGGTTATGCGCTCCGGACAGGGCAACTATTTCTTGGTCATTGAATCCCATTCGATAGAAGATCCACCGTAAGTGGTCTGCACCTTTGGCGCCATCTGGTAGTCGACCTCTGGGAGGAAGCTTTGAATCATCAACGTAGTCTGTTCGTCCGCCGAGCCATGGTATCTCAGGTCCTCCCATCTCCTTGATCGCAACGACACCTGCCAAGGTCCATAGGTCTGCGTAGGTAATCCAAGGATGCTTTGATTTTACGGGCTCCAGAAAGACGCGTGCATGCTGTAGACCGGCATTCGCAGGGTCGCCTCCCTCAGCTTCATATCTCATGCCAGCTCCGTTCGAACCTCCCGTATCTGTTTCGGCATCGTATGTTCCAGCAGAGTGCCTGTCTTTTGTCAGTAACAATTCCCCAATCGCGAAAAAAATATAGCTGCAGCAAAAGTTTCATGAGACTCGATTTAACTGACCATGCCAGTCGCACAAGCACAGGTCCTGCGCTTCCATCATCGTACTCAGGTTGGTGTAACAATTTGATGATATCCTGTCGGACAGCCTCGAAATCTCCCGTCTTGCCACCCATGTCTGCAGTCTAGAATGCGGTCTAAATCAAGCGAGAAAGTATATCTAAAGAAGTCTAGTGAAAAATGCAACACAAGAAAGAGTTGGTTCTAATTGCGCGAAAGAATTTACAAAGATGCAACAACAAAAAAGATTCAGATGAGAAAATGAGTAATTGAAGGAAATCGAAAGATAATAACAGTGGAGTCATGATGCCGAGGCTCGCACTTATCTGATGACCCACAATTCAGGAAATCACCCATGACACCGAGGGAGTGGTTCTCGTACTCGTGTTATTGTGGGTCTGTACTAGTGCATTACAACATCACGGCATTGAGAGACGACTATTTCCCTTGATACATCTTCATGTGAGGTTGGATCAACCAGTTTGGTTTTCTACCTCGGTTATACTTTTATAATCATTGGAGAATTTATGGTACCATCAACAGTCAGTAAAAGTAGCCCCTCTCCTTCTCATTGATACACAATCACATCTGAATCATTTCAGTTTTCGTAAAGACGTGAATAGTAGGCTTGATAGTATTTTTACTCATTATCACTAACATAAGGTAGCCGCTATCAAAAATATCATCCACCTACCAAACTTGCTATTGCGGTGTCGTTTTTCGATCTGGCGGTCTGGATATCGAGCGAGTGTTTTGCAATTCTAGAGGAAGAAAGCCTCGCGATTGGTAGCTCTGATCTCAAAGATTTTGCGAAAACAAGAGGTTTTGGCTAAGCACTTGAAGCTCAAGCTAAAGTTTGATATGATCTGCTCTGCACTGGAACATCAATTTGGCTGTTGGTTACGGAGCATCTCCTATTAACCAACTTCAAAATTCGAAGGCAGCTTTGACTCGTTTTATTGATGCAAACATCAACAAAGGTCGTGTCTAAATTGGGACTCTGCCTGAAGTCCTCTAATGTGAGAGGAACCAGATCGATAAGTAGAAGCTACTTGCGCATACCAATGTTCCCGGAAATATCTCACACCGATGCACATTAAATAAACGCAAAAAATGAGAAAGAATTCTGCTTCAAGACCTAACTCGAATGCTAAGTGCTGAATGAAAGCAAAATATCAAATCTGTACTGGTGGTGGTTGTGAAGACAACCTCTAGAACTTCATTCTTCGAGAAGACAAGCAGTACTAAAATCCGAAGAGAAAGACTGAACAGAAGAAAGAGGAGTATTTCTCAAATGGAATGAAATCTACTAAGAATTTTCACAGAATCAATTGAAGGAGGAAAGAGGAAGAAGAACGAAAGGGGCGGAAATATTTCTCTAGCGGCCATCAAAACTCCGTCGACTGGGATTGTTAGCAGCAGTAAATTACAAAAAGGGCGAATAAACAAAAGAAAGAGAGTGTAAGTCTCTGATGATACGATTGAGACTGCACTGAGCAGAAGAAAAGTGGAAGCTGTCAGCTGTGTCTTTAAATAAGATTTCGCTGTCTTTTGCTGATAGTTGTAATCTCGACTCCGAATGGTCAGGCATATGCGTGGCTTCACAGTTGGGGAGGAGTCAATGGCGCAATTTCTACCAAATACATCAATCGCAGCAGGTTAACTTACTCCCAGTTCGCTTTTTCGAGTGAAATTTCCCTAGGATAGGGGTTCTGCAACTAACGTTTCGCAGTTAAGTTCACCTAGCCGTGTCATGAAAGGTGTCGACAATCTGAGATAGGTTGCGTCTACTCATGCATCGCGTGTTTTTCCCCATATGACAACCTCTGTGTTATGAGGGATCACATCGAATTTTCAGCTTTCTGTGCTAGGTTTTTTCGATGGAGAATTCCAGCTCATCTGAGGAAGGTGCGTATGAGGGCACATCTTTTCCGCAATGTGAGCGTATCTCAGGACAAGATGTATAGTCGATTATGATGCGAAATCTCAAATTTTCATTGTTTCGAAGTTCGCAGGGGTTTGTCTATTTTGGCAGTATTTCATGGGATATCGACATCTATTATATTGTTGGGCATTGTACAAATGGCCACACCGGAACCAAGAATTAGGTATTCGCTTGCATTGCCCTTCAATTACGAGGTCCGTCGGGTGTTCGCTCTTTCCTATCCAGAGGAACGAGTTGTGTTGGATTTTCATCCTCACCTTTTCGAGCAACCGCGTCAAACATCTCATATACATCAACATCGCCAGAACTTCAGTCACTCGCCTTTTTCACTCACATATACCTATCCAAGAAATACTCTCACTCGTTTATCAAATTATCATACAAACATCACATATCCAACAATGCCTGGCCACAGTAGAAGAAACAGCGGAGTTCCTACTTCCAGTAGCCCACCGAACGAGCAAGTACCCCCCTGGAGGGTAGCAAGTAATAGAAACCCTGGTTTAAGCCTCATTCTCATGAGACAGGGAGACACGACACGTTCTAACAGACCACGTTGGATCCAACGGAGTAGACGCCTTCGCGGAAACGAGGATGGACAGCCCGAATCTTCATCAGCAGCTGCAAGAAGCATCCGCGAATTCAATGGTAGCCTTGTTGCACGGACTCGAAGTCTAGCAAACCAGTATATAAACGAACGAAACGGCGAGAGCCAAAATGGACAGGCTGAATCTTCAGCGGCATCAGCAAGAAGAATCCGCGAACTCGAGGGCAGCCTTATTGAACAGACTCTAGATCTAGCAAGTGACTATGCAAACGGACGAAACGGCAACATTGCAAATGGACGGGCTGAATCTTCAGTAGCTGCCGCAAGAAGAAACCGTGAATTCGAAGATGGCCTTATTGAGCAGACTATTAATCTAGAGAATGAAAACGCAAACGGACAAGACCGCGGTGTTCCAAATACCGTTATCGAGGAAAGTTCAACTGCACTAGTTCAACATACGAACGGACAAAACGGCGATGTTCGATATACCTTTATTGACGAGACTCCAAATGTACAAGTTGGGCATGCCAACGGACGAAGCAGCGACATTCCAGGCCACAATATTTCTGAAACTCAAAGTCGACGGTTTGGCGCTAGAAGCAGAAGCCGCAGCGAAAATTTAACTCCAAATCTGCAAGCACAAGCTGCACAAGAACTTCAATATATTACTCAAACATTTGGTATAAATTTGCGCCGCGAGGTACATGAATCTTCAGAACCCAGAGTAGAAGATGCACCAGCCGCGGAACGACTCAGACTCGCACTCGATGTCCAAGAAGTGAGACCCTCGACGCTCGCGGAAAGATTTCAGCTGAGAGAGTCTCTCGTTGACAATGCGAGCGCTCATATTAGAGAAACCTCGCTGAATCATCCAATCAGCAGACTCGAAATACGAACTGAGTACCCGACAGAGCCCATGCCATTCCTAGGAGCTGGATACTCTCCAAGTACACCGACAAGAATCGAATCCCACAACACACGTCAGGAAGAGCCCAGACGGGATGATGCACTTCCGTCTATTTCAAGAGACCTATCTCCGGGATTCCAGCCACTCGTACGCCCGGAAAATCCTTTTATTGTTCTTCGTGGCGCAGAAGTAGATCCAAATGATACACCTAGTGCTACGACTGATTTATACTATACCACTTCGATTGCAAATCATCTTCTGCTGTCCACCATACAGGGATGGAAACTTTCTTTTAACGATTCTACGAGAACGACGGACACAGAGGAAAAAAAGAAATTATGTGATTTCAAGGAGAAAATCATGGCTGTGATGGCTGCTCATCCAGCGTATCGAGATGATCCCGATCAAAAAGTCACACGACAGGAATTGATCTCGCGACTAACGGACATGGCTTGGAAAAATGCAAGAGTATTACAACGCGTCAAGCACTCTAATCAACCACTCGAAGCCTTCAAAAACAAAACCATGCGTGGTTGGTTTCGAAGTGGTATTGATAGTTACACAAATTACCATCTCGTGAGTAGCTACAGACAACTTACCTGTGAGGTGGACTATGGGACACATATTAACTACGTCGCGAACTCTTGGAGAAATTTCTTTGGGGAGAAAGTGGAAGGATTCACAAATTTTGAGGATTGGCTTCATTCAAATGCTTGTGTGGAATATGAAGCCGATCCCTCCTTTGCTCCTTTCTTTTCTATGGTACAGGATGCGGCGCTCTTCGACACACCGCCTGAGTGTATGAACGATTTTGACAAGGTTGAGGAAGCTGAAAAATACATCACTGCAATGTTCTTGAAAGCAGGTCGACCAGATGCGGTTGTGGAGATGCTTGGAACGTTTCGTAAGAAATCACGGCTCCAATGATGTAGCCACAAACTGATTCAAATAGGTCAAAATCGTGTTTATCCACATGCAGTAGGCAATCTAGATCATATGCAGATGAGTCATGCTCGCGCTTTGATCAAAAAGTATTCATTGTCGACAAACGTGGAACTCAGGCGGTATTTGGACTATTTCGCCGATCAAAGGGGATTGGAAACGAGATGCTTTGGATTTCCGAGGGAGGATGGACTGGAAGAACCGTTTGTTCAACCGAAGATCCAGTACAAGTAGCTTGAGACTGATACGACGAGAGCTTGGGGTCATGATGTGTTTCAGCGTAAAGTATTGATGGGAAATTAGCGGAAACCCAAGTAGGTTAGATGTTATTGGACATCGTTAGATACATGTTATGAAATAGAATGTAGCGGCTCAACAGCGTCTGTAATCTCACTCTTGATGGGCTCAATGACCTTGCCGGAGCATTTCCTTAAACTAATCGACATTACCACGTTCTACAGTATGAAGGCCCACCTCCTTCACCTTGAGCAGGAACCTCGCTATTTAAATCAGCCTCGTAAACTTGCATCATATTCAATGATTCAATCTCACAAGAATGCTCCAAACTCCTTTACCTTATGTTGGTGCGCAGTTGCCCCGCAGCGAGGAATCCAACAGTTGGAATCGTATTAGTACACCGAGTACTGCGTTACCGAGTGCGCAAGGGGGAAAAAAGAACTTCAAGATAGCGGTCTTCGGTTCTGGAAAGCATAGCAGAGAAAGTTCAAGAACTTTCTAGAGCATCAGAATAAAGTGTCTTCAGACTGTCACCGATATCATGGCTCCTAACACAGAGTGAGTATTTACATTCCGCGAGAGAAAGAAGTTAGAACCCTATGACTAACAAATTTCAAGCTCCCACAAAATGAACGAAGAAAGCGTCAATCATCTACCAAAACCCATCTCCCTGAAAGCGGAGCTCAACATATCCATTTTGGACCGCCTTCAAGCTGCAATAACCACCGATCCTGAAGTCTCACTCTTCGCAATCTTCCCAATAGTATACAAAACCGCCGTTGCCGCGCAAAAGAAAAAGATTAAAACCGCAGAAGCATTAATCGAAACTTTCAAGAGATATGCACCACCGGACTTCTGTGCGAACTAGAATTGTCGAGGTCATTCATCCGCTCTCGGAGGAAACTGACAGATTTCTGTCTAGTCTTACTGAAAAGGAAAGCACGACGAGTCTGAAGTCTTCCTTATCGCATATGATACTAAGCAGCGAGAAATTATGGGAATCTGTCACTGGAGGCGTAGTATTGAAATGTAACGCCAAACTCGTCGCGAAAATCATACGCGTGAATGATGATTATACGGAATACACAACCCTCCAATACCTCGCCACGCACGCTGCTGATCTACCGGTTCCAAAACCACATGGGCTTGTCAGATTTGGTAGTGCGAGGATTATGTTCATGACTTATTTTCCAAACATGACTCTGGAGGCCGCTTGGTCGGGTCTGACGATCGAGAATAAAGTCGGGATTCAAGTGCAGCTTGATGGTATTTTTACTAAGTTGAGGACTTTAAAGGGCGAGGGGAGGTTTGGTGGGGTGAATGGTGAAGGCGTTAGAGATGATCATCGTGAAGATCACACTAGTCAAGCAATCATCACCACGATAGCTGAATTCGAGGATTTTCAATTCTCGATTCCACCGTATAGTCGTATGCCATGGATTATGTTTCTGCGGAGTTTGCTCCCATCCGCCTCTTCAGGAACGGTGTTCACGCATGGTGATGTGCGGACGGCGAATATCATGGTGGATAGAGATGAGAGCGGGGATTACTTCGTTACCGGAGTGATTGACTGGGAAACTAGTGAATTCTATCCAGAGTATTTCGAGTCTTCGAAGATTCTGTATTTGTTCAATGTCCATGATCAGTCGGACTGGTGGAGGTATATTCCGGAGTGCATTGCTCCGGCAAAACATCCGGAGAGATGGCTTGTTGGGAGGTTATGGAATCAGTGCGTTACGCGAGATTGATGGAATGGATGGGGATGAGGTAAGGGGACTTAAGTGGAGATTTGAGGATGGGCCAAGTGGTGTTGGTGGTATTGAAGAATTTGTCGTAATGTGCATGTCCTGATAGGAGGAGAGAGCTATGGATATCTGACGAAAAAGGGACAGCCAACAGAGATAGCCATATGCTTACGACAGCCGGCAAGCCGCTAAATTCTACGCCAAACAGTAGCTGGGACAGTAAGAGACATCAAATATGCAATTTATCATGCTGAGAATTCGTACTGCCTATCGACCTTCCAAGAAAACCTTAGTGCCCTCAAACCAATGACATTTTCATGCAATAATGAAACCTTCATCCATCAGAACCGGGTATACCATCCAACGCCCAATCCCATCATAAATCATTAAACCCATCCCGAATCGCTCTCAAGACCGTCCCATCACAGCATTAGTAGCCAAAACCTCAATCCTCTTCGCATACAGCTCCATATTGTGACACGACAAATCCCCCCACACCACGCCCCTCAACTCATCATCCGTCACCATCTGCGCAACGACCGCATCATTCATACGATCTCTGACCGTACGAAATGACTCAAAATGCACATGTCTCGGCACGCCGCGCAATAGCACAAGACTTCCTGCGTTACTGAGAGTTGCTTGAGGCACTTTCCAGATTTGCGAAGATGTTGGTGGTGTGTACGGAGAAGCAGGTGCGAGCGCGTTACTGAAGTAAGCGGCGCCGTAGGCGAGTGCTTGAGTTGATTTTTTGGGTTTGAGAGGCGGTGTGCTGGGGGAAATTGGGGCGGGTGATTGGAAGAGTTTTGTTAGGGAGAGGAAGTAGACCATGTCTGCTCTTGTGACAGGATCACCTTCGTTGACGAAGGACATGAAGAGGGATTTTCGTAAGGAGGGGCTGTTTGGTTTGGAAAGTGGAAGTAGGGAGACGGGGGGCGCGCCGAAAGTGATGCAGTGGATTCGTTTGAAGCGGTTTGTTAGTTCGTTGAGATCGGTTTTCGTTTCGCGGTTGGTGGAGAGCATGTGACTGTAAAGGAGAGCTGCAACGGCACCACCAGCGGAATGGCCTGTGATCAGTAGTGAGTATTTAGACCTTTGATCGTTTTCTCGCAGTAGCTGTCGAAGACGTGCTGTGATGGGTCCTATCATCTTTCTCGCAACAGTGAGAAAACCGGCATGGCAGAGATTGCCTACATCGTCCTAGTTTATGCCATTAGTGTAATCCACGGCTTCTAGGAAGTAGGCTTACCAAAAATCCATTGGGTGACGCTGGTACCGTTCTCAAATTGACTGCCCAATCCATCGTTCCTTTGGTGCCTCTGATGGCCAAAACAATAGTGTTCATGTCATCCATCGGGACCGACTTGATAACCATGGCTTTTGTTCCCAGATTCCAGTCAGCATCTATATGGGACTCTTTCTCCATATACCTTGGCTTGTGATAGACACTTTCTGAATATTTGGCTGCCAGGCCTATCAATGGAAAAGTCGATACATATCTAGACTGTGTTAGCAACGCAGTAAGAAGATTCGGTGTACTTACAATTTCATAGGTTTCAGATTCGGTGGTAGCCTTGAATTTGCATATAGATTGACCTTACTAGCCAGAGTTGTCTTCAGATTCGGTGAGGCATAATAGTTATTCGGTTTCCCACTGGACTTGCCGTAGCTGACGAGCGCACGACTATTATCAGAAGCCGGATTCTGTTCCAAGCGACGTGGCTCATTACTAAATGAATTTTGTTCCCCTTCACGAGAGCACGCGCCATCTATCAGTGCAATGATGTCGTCGAATGTCGAGGAGAGTCCATCGCACAAAGCTGCTGTTTGATTCAAGAGCTGCGTGCCACAAGGAACCGGAACATTGCACCGTTGCCCACCAGGGGTACGATCAGAATTGTTTCCGGGCAAAAAATTCGAGACAGACCCCAAATTTAGCCTGCTGGTAGAGTTGTAAGGTTTGTTTGGACGTTCCGGCAGTGGTGGCGTGATGAGGAAGTTTTGTGTTATTTGAATTGGCTGGTACTGATTTGGCATGTTCATCGAGTGAGCATTGTATACATTTTGCGAGGATTTTGAGGCCTGCTGCCGGTTGTATGGATTTGCTTGAGCATCGTCAACATACTCGTCATGCAACTTGGCTCGAGAAGTATATTTCGGATCTCTTCGACGTGATGTCGTCTCTTTGCTCTTCTTGGATCGCCCAAAGATCGGCATGATGTTCCTGTGCTGTTGGTCCGTGCAAGTCTATTTATATACTTTGCTGCCGAGTGCTCTTCATATTCTTCTTGCCCCTCCACAGACAGATGCTTCAAGCTAGCATTTCTCCAGATAAGTATCGTGGCGTGGGATAAGCATATTCATGAAACAGAAAGGAGGAGGGGCGGCCTTTAAGTACGAGGTTCCAGTCGTCATGCAAGGCTCAATAATCTAGCGTCAAGACGCCTCACGATTCGCCGGCTGCGCCCCCAGACCGTTTCCTCAGCACAAATGGGGCATTTATCCCCGTCAAAATTCATCAACGTCCGACGAACCACATCTTTCGAAGGCACAATGCTCTGCAAATGCATGCGAGCCCATGTGTCGCCAATAGTAGCCTCTCACACGCCTAGGCAGGCCCATTGTCGACACAATCAAGCATTCATGATGCGGCTAGCCGTGCACTCTCGTGGCCTGCTCTCCTCGCTTGTTGCTTGGTGTTTTTAGAGTTTTAAATATCATACAGCGGTGTGGCTTCCAGGTAGAAATATCATAAAATCTTTCAATCGAGATTTGACCACTAGCAGGGTTATATTTGTAATTTGTATGCGTTGGCGATTACATATTACAATCAATGTTGCCATTATTTTAACATGTCAAGTCTAATGTTTGGTTGACTGGTGTATAAATCTAGGAGAGACTCGAATTTTGCATCATGACTTTTTATCTAACTGATTACGAATAGTGGCCTGAATCTAAACAGAAGACGGATGATATTTGCAGGATCGGTGTACTCATGCTACACTTGTGCTGAGAGACTCGAAGGTTGACTGCACAAACTCAGGTACCGTATGCTACTCCAAATATCATCTAAGTGGAAGGAAATCATCCCAACAGTCACTAGGCTACTATTCCCTAGTACAAAAAGGGATCATACATTATCGTATGTTTGGAACTTTGGAGATAACAACTATGTGTAGCCCTCCCATCAAGGTTTCCACAGCCCGTGTACAACCTCTAGCAGTCTTCTTCACAGTCCTGTAGAGACCCATGGTTGAGTTAAATGCATGCCAGCTCATACGACCGAGCACCCAATTAAGGTCTCTTGATTTGAAAGAAATGAGGCGCGACTGGAGTCCAACTAGGAACTGTGATTAAGGTTTGTGTGACACTGAAATGCCGGGCCAAGCAGACTCGAGCGAAGTTTAGAAGGCTGGTAAAGATGTCAGTCATGTTTGCGACGTGGGATACAATCATGTGCCTCTCGTATATGCATTTGAGGACCCGTGATCTTAACACAACAAGGGATTTCAGATTGTTTGTTTGCTCGAAACACAGGAGACATCAGTGACAACAAGTTACACATACAGCTAGGCCACCCGAATATCATTTGGAGTCGGAACGTAGCATAGCTAGTTGTACAGTCATTGGATATAAGGAGCGTTTGATCAAATGCCTGACAGCTTCGACGGCCAGGCTGCTGGTCTTGCAGTCGGTTTGCCGCCATTTCCCATGAGAAACCCGCCCCGAAGACCGCGGCGAGGCAGCAAGTTTATTGTCGCCATACAGAAGGGAGAAGAGAACCGATATGGCACCTTCCTAGTCCGAAAATACCCGGCACTGCGAATTGGACAATCACGCGCACTTGCGGTACTGGCGTGGTGCAAAAAGAAGAGAGCTATCAGAAGTCTGTCACAGCTTTGACCACGAATGACAAGACCGCACATTGATATTCGGCTTATCCGGCAGTGACAGGGATTTCAATATGTTGAGAAATGACATGACTGAAGCAAACGCATGATGTCCGACAGGAAAAGCTTCAGCAGCTGGACTACGACCTGTTGCAGGCAAAAAGGATGAAGAATGAAACTCGAAAGTGAAGTCAGCAATAATGTTGAGAACTTCCAAAAAGGAAAATAGGAAATATGACATGCTGTATACAGCACTTCTGTAATAAGTCATATAAACATTGCAACAACATGGTTTTTGCGTATTCGTGGCTCTTCTGTTACTTGAAGTGATTGAACGGATATGAGCAGACGCAAACGGTAAGCGATCCAGTTGGCGATCTTCTCACCTTCGGTTTGCTGAAGTCCAAGGTTCCGCCGGTCAAGGCTTCAACTTTACAACATCACTTTCCAATAAAAATGGCGGCAGCTGCTAAGCGTCAGTTTCGGCCATCTGCGCTTGATAATGTCGAAGATATCGAGAATTATCGTCCTGGGGGTTTTCATCCTATTCATATAGGAGATGAGCTTCAAGATCGATACAAGATTGTCCACAAGCTAGGGTACGGAGGTTTCTCTACCGTCTGGTTAGCCAGGGACAAAGTTGATGAACAATACGTTGCGTTGAAGATTTTAGCAGCAAGCAGCCAGCAAGAATCTAAGGAACTTGGAGTTCTCCAGAAACTAGTGGAGCCATCGACTGACCATCCCGGACAAAACAGCGTCCTCTCTCTTCTCAATAACTTCGTGATTGAGGGGCCTAATGGTCGACATCTCTGTCTCGTCGTACAGGTTGCTGGCCCAAGCATCGCTGCCTTAAATTACTCGCCTGGAGCCGTCGCTGGAAGTCGTCGATTGAGACCAGAGCTTGCTGTTAAGGTCGCCAATCAGACAGTCCAGGCTTTAGACTTTGTTCATTCTCAAGGCTTCTGCCACGGAGGTGCGATTTTACCCATTCATAGCCTAAGGAAATTTGTTAACAATTCTACAGATGTCACTGCTTCGAACATTTTGATTCGACTCGATAAGTCCATTGACACCTGGTCACAAGAAGACGTGTATGAGCGATTGGGCCTACCAATAAAAGACGAGATTGGCACTATTTCTGGATCAGCTCCAGGAGCGTCAGCTCCTAAATATATCGTGGAACCCTGCTCTCTTCTCAATCCACAGCTGCTATCCGAGGACATCCTGCTTGCTGATTTTGGTTGTGCGTTTCCTTCGAATAACCCACCATCCAATCCAGATGAAATAGGCCTCACAATGTCCTATTCTGCGCCTGAGGTCATTTTTGACTCTAAAATGAGTGTCTATTCTGATATTTGGGCCCTCGGTTGTGTCCTTTTCGAAATCAGAAGCGGCGCTCAACTTTTTGGAGACTGGATAGGGACGAAAGATGATATACTGCGGCAAATGATACAAGCATTTGGGAAATTACCAGAGCCGTGGTGGAGCTTGTGGGATCAGCGCGGCGCCTTTTTTGACGATAATGGAGAGCCTAGGACGACTTGGGATGATGGAATTGCTAGAGCAACCAAATTCGAACTGAATGATATGATAGCTGAAATTGGTGCTGAGGATGAAGAGGAAGATGACCCAGAAAGGCCATGTGCTGTGATGCTGGAACCTAATGGGGTTACAGTGCCAGAAGAAGAGGCTTCACAGATGAAAGACCTATTGGAAAAGATACTAAAATGGATACCAGAAGAGCGCATTTCCATCAAGGAAATTGCAAAGCACTCCTGGCTCTCGTAGATATTTGCTGGTAAGAGCAATACGCTGGGACAAGTCAGTTGCAATAACAACATCAAAATTATGCTTGTCAATCTAAAAAGTCGTTAAATCAAACTGGTTGTAGGGCCTGTCGAGAGAGGTATTTCCACATTGACTAGAATTTTTATCTGTTGTCCTCAATCTTTATCGTAGACGTTTGAAATGGCCGTGACTTTGTAGAGTTATGATGTTGTGGAGGTATGTGATGATGTGGAGAGAAAAGGCCGGGCTAGCTTGGCGGGAGGACCAGACCAAAACAATTCCTAGTCGTAGTCGCGTCATAAACTCTAACCCAACGCGACGCGGGAACAAACTTGATCAAGACGACTATCTTACAACCACCACACACGACAAAACGGTATGCGATAGTAATTCTGGAATCAATAGCCTGTACGAAATCTAATCGAGTACTTTCTATTCAACAATTATGCCGCGCCCAAAGCGTACCAAGGTTGCGCCTTCAGGTCCAACCCAGCGCGCCCGCAATCCCCCTCACGATGCGACAACCTCCCCGAGAGCTTCAAACGCTCCCCAGAGAGAGTTCGATGACTTGTACGATATCAGCGACCCCGAGGACAGAGTAGTTAGATCCGTGCAACACGTTAAGAAAGGCAACGCGCGGGAGAAGCCTGCTGCGACCACTCCAGTACGCGGAAGAAATGTAGACGCGCCGACTTCGAAAGGCAGGAATCATGCCAGTGAAACCATCAATGTTTCACAGCCAACGGCGGATACGGCTTCTCATGTTGTAGAAGAGGAAAACGATATTGATCTGTCTAGTCCGAGATCGAGTCCTGAAGTTGAAATTGGAAGGCGGGAAAGGACTACACCTGCCGTTGCGCGATCTGCGATCAAGATTGGAAATTTTAAGAGACGGCCCCGTGAACCTAGTATTTTGGGTCGCAGAGAGGCAATGGATCGCTCCAGTAGCTTGGATTCAGATATGGCAGATGACGATGGTCTAACAAGTGTGGGGAAGAGGAGCGCGAAGAACGCTGGGATCGGAGATTCTCACAGGAGACAGAGGGAGCTCAGTGTAGGTGACAGGAATACGACAACGATGGCACCAAGCAGTATGGCACTTCCGATGGATAAAGGGACAACTCCGGCGCGTGTTGGATCAGCTCTAAAGCTGGGAAACTTTAGAAGGAGAGCCAGGGAACCTAGTATTTTAGGAACAGGCCGAAAACCACAACAACCACGACCTGATGACGAGGATGAGGGAGATGATGATGATGAGGACGATTTTAACCCGGAGGACGAGTCGACACCATTGAACGCGTCGAGAAGTAAGGCTATGACCAGCTCGAGTGCATCAGGATCAAATTCAAGAAAACGCAAACTATCCGCAGTACAAAAGCCACAATCAAGTCCAACGAATCGATCACCTAGACCTCAAGCATCGGAAGAGCGAATCCCCGCCACGGCATCTGTCAGAGATGAAGAAGAAGCCGAGGGTGACAATGACATGTCATCGTCACCACTGAGCACCCCCATTGCTTCAGTAGAAGCCCCAGATACCCCAGAGCCTATGAGCGAGACCATGGCGCCTCCGATGAGCAGCAGTCCGGCATCGTCACCAGAACCCGAATTACCTCTCACAAGACCATTGTCACGAGGCCGAGGCCGACGACCTACCAGAGGTCGGACGCCTATAACTCGAACACAAGACTCCCCAATATCCTCACCGCCATCTCTGACACACTCGCCCAACCGACCGTACATGACAAACAACTCTAAATCTAAAAAAGTGCTCCCACCTCCAAGCGCCTTCTCGACAGCCCAATTGCAAGCCTTACTTCCACGGCGACGGAGAAGAGGCGAACAAGATCCCTTTGACGTTCCCAGTTCGGATGGTGAAATCGACAACACGGGACTAGCCTCCTCTGACGATGAACTCTCCCATCTCAACGTCCGTACGCGCCGTCAACGAAGCGTGGTCTCACGAACTCCCGCTCCCTCAAGGAAATCCAAGGCCAAACCTCCCCTCAAATCAGCTGCTAAACGTACCTACGGTGCTCGTGCGAACCCAGCATCAGACAAGGAGAATGACGAAGTCGATCCAGATGACAGCTTAGCACCGTTACGGGATGATATCGATAGTCCGGAGGATAGCCAGGAGTTGGAGGCGAGAGTTGGGAAGGAGTTGAAGCAGGCAGCTAGGAAGTTTCAGGAGGTTGATAAGTGGGAGTTGGAGTTTGAGGAGGTTACTGCTAGTAGCAGTTCGCCGAGGGATGCTCGTTGATTCCCGTTTGAGGCAGTGTTGGTAATTGGTAATGCTCAATGTCTGGCGTGGGTGTTGAAAGGTGCAACGTGGAGTATTATGGTTGGATTTGCATGGATTCGGGTTTGCATGTTTAGGGAATTGGGTGCATTTGAATTTCGGTTGTGTAACACTTTTGAATGTTTGCTATTCAAACATGCTTTTGCTATCGCATAGGCAACAATGAACTAAATTATGAATCAAACCCTACGCCTCCTCCTCTTTCCTACCATCTTGAACCCTCTTTTAACAAATCCCAAAACTCCATCCCTCCTTCAACGCCCAGTAGTCCTCCTTTAAAGCTCCAGACTAGGCGTAACAGGCCTACTCTCCCTCTCAAAAAAACTAATATTCTCCCTCAACGCAACATACTCACTATCCGCATACCCCAACAGTCCCTGAATCTCCCCACTCCTCACCCCTTTAATCCTCAGCACCTCCGCAGCACTATAATTCACCAGCGCCCTACCCACCTCGACCCCCGGCCCCTCCCATGTTTTTCCACTAACATGATTTGCAGGTAGTCTGTCTACGACTACTAACCGCACAGCTTCCTGCTGCGCGAAGGAGCCTTCCACGTCGACGACGCCGACGGGGAGCAGCCCGGCTTTGTTGGCGAGGGCCCGATGCGCGCCGCTGTCGATGTAGATTGTGCCGTGGGCGGCAAGACCATGGAGGAGCCAGAAATAGCGGTCGCGGATTGGGTGGGGGGAGGCTATGAAGCGGGTGTGTAGTGGTGCTTTTATGGGTGATTCGAGCTCTAAAGTCTCTGTTGATTTGGAAAGGGCTTCGTCGATGGATTTTTGAGATGCTACAAGCTGTAACGAGGAGGCAGATTTAGATGCTGAAGTAGCGAGACGACCTGATGATGGCGAAGAGGGAAGAGATGAACGACTGCTTTTCTTGGATTGGATGTATGACACTATGTTTGCTATGTTCCCAGGGTTTGAGGAGCGTGTTATAACTGTTGTTACACCCGCCGAGGTAGCGAGTTTGGCGGCGACGATCTTGGTTGACATGCCGCCTGTTCCTAGGGAGGAGCCGGCGCTGGATACTGTAGAGGTTAATACATTGTGTATTTGGGTGGATGTGAGGACCTACCATCGGCTTGAAGAGCATAGATATCTTCGACGACTTCAATAGCTTTAGCGTCGGGGTTGGTACGTGGGTTCTTGTCATATAGACAGTCTACATCCGTCATGAGAAATAGGTAGTCTGCGTGTACCATTGCGGCCGTGATTGCTGATAGTGTGTCGTTGTCTCCGAATTTGATTTCCGCTACGGCGAGGGTGTCATTTTCGTTTACTATGGGAATTACACCCATATCTAGTAGCTCATTCAAAGTGTTTTGAGCATTTAGGTATTGTGTCCTCTAATAAAATGTAAGTAAGAAGGTATCAAATACTCGGAAACTTTGAAAAGAGCAAAGTCTTCACTTACATCAGCAATATCACTTCTTGTTAGAAGAATTTGCGCAATTGGCTGTCGAACATGATTAAAAAGACTATCCCACAAACTTATGAGTCGACACTGTCCAATAGCTGCTAACGCCTATTATAAATCAGTCTTTGCTCAATTGCTAATTGAAAATATTGCTTACCTGTACTTTCGGCAAAAATTTTGGTCGTCTATCAATATCCATTCTCCTCAAACCCACACCAATAGCTCCCGAAGATACAATGACGACTTTGTGGCCATCTTTATGAAGCTTTACAGCAGTCTCAACAATCAAACTTAAAATTGAAAGTAAAGGCTCATGTGTTTTTTCGTCCACAATCGAGCTTGTCCCTACGATATCTCAGTGAGTAAGGACGCACGAGGTTGAAATTCAATTTCTCACCTAACTTTATCACAATTGTCAAAGGCTTTGGACCCTTCATTTTCGAAAGAGCATACACTGTTTTTTAACCGACTTTTGATATCATAAACAATTTCTCATCGAGCATGCTGACTTTTATGCGTCACTCTTTCTTCACGTTCCCACCGAGATCGCAACCGGCAGAATCAATAAATCCCCACCCAAAATAGGTCACCGCCCTATCTTTCCGCCAAAATAAGTCAACACCACGCCCTGACAACCACATTTTAGTTTCAATTACATCCACTACCTACGCTATCACTTTCCCCTGCCTTCCCTCCAATTCTAATGTCTTCCGAAACCACACCCCCTCCCAAAACGACGCCCGACCTAACAGGCTATACGCCCGAGTCGCCCTGGAGCAACACCTTCAACGTCTTCCTCGGGCGCATGTCGCAAGCCGGGCAAGAAGAATTCCGCGAAGAACTATACATCAAGCACGAGCCGCGGGACAACGCGAACGCGCAGCAATGGCGGGACTGGTGTTTCCAATACTCACCCACGGTGATCTTCCTGCGGAAGAATATAGAGGCGTTGAATGGGGACATTAGTGCGAAGAATGTGCATTGCGTGAGGTGTCCTGGGAGGAGAGACGAGGAGGGACGATGGCATAGGTCGAGTGGAGGGTTCAATCCGGATGCGGGGATTCGGATTTGTGCGAATGAGATGAGGGATAGGAAACATTTGGAGGATACGCTGGCGCATGAGATGGTTCATGCGTGGGATCATTTGAGGTGGAAGGTTGACTGGTCTGATTTGAGGCATGCGGCTTGTACTGAGGTATGTTTTGTGAGATAAAGTGGTTGTTGAGGAGACTAAAGGTGTATAGATTCGGGCTTCGAGTTTAAGTGGTGAGTGTCGATGGACCAGGGAATTCTTCACAAGGGGAAACTGGAACTTGACACAGCAGCATCAGAACTGTGTGAGGAAGAGAGCTGTTCAATCAGTCATGGCTCGTCCTAATTGCAATGACCGGGAACATGCTACGAAAGTTGTAAATGAAGTTTGGGATTCGTGCTTCAACGATACCCGACCATTCGACGAAATTTATAGGTAAATGGCTTTGTAAGATATTTGTATCAACACATAAAGGGAGCTTCGGCGTACAGGTCATGAGATATATATTGGTAGGCGTATTGGGTACGCGCCCATGAAAAACAAGATTCCCAACTCCAAGCAAATAATGTATGCATCCACCTTACCAGACAATCATTATCGGTATTCCAACGCCAACGCTATGCTAAAATCCATCACTCACTCTTCGGAAGAGTTTTTGCTACCAGTCGATTTTGACTCTCTCATGGTCGCTCTCTCGCCTTTAACACAATATTTGATAATCCATGGATGTTCCTGAACTTGGTCGAGGGATATACGCTTTTCTGGGTCGAGGACAAGAAGCTGCGACTAATTAGAACCTCAAGGCCAAAAATATGCGGAACAAAACTCACCCTCTTAATCAAATCTCGTGCCTCCGCGCTTACAAAACTTGGGACAGTCATCTCCCCTCGAGCAATCTTTCTTTGAGTCATAACAGGTGTATCCTCAAATGGCGCTTCACCAACCAAAAATTCGTAGGTAAGAACGCCCAAAGACCATAAGTCGACCTTGTTGGAATAGATATTCTTATCGCGTCCAGGCTTTAACATCTCTGGTGGAAGGTAATCTAAAGTTCCACAGAGTGTACTTCGGCGGTTGCTAGGGGCATGTACACTCCACCCAAAATCCGATAATTTGATCTCCCCATGGATACCAAGGAGAATGTTCTCCGGCTTAATATCGCGATGTATAATGTGCTTCTTGTGACAGTACTTCAAGGCAGCTGCCATTTGAGAAACATATTGAGCTGCTTTCCATTCTGGAAACCTGTTTTCTCGTCGGAGGTGCTTGTATAGCTCTCCCTTTCCAGCAAATTCAAGAATGAGGAAGATTCGTTTACTGTCGTGGAAGTGGCCGAAAAGCCGGAGGATATTAGGATGTCGCAAATTGCTCTGAATCTCAATCTCTCGTCGTACTTGTGTTTCCGCATTCCCATGCTTCAATTCGTTCTTGTGTAGAACCTTGAGCGCACATACGAAACCAGAGCTTCGTTCCCTTGCGAGGTAAACACGGCCGAATTTTCCTTTTCCAAGAGGTCTGCCAATCTCAAACATGCCCAGGTGAAATACTTTAGGTTTTGGTGCAGTCTGCTGATCCTCATATGTTGCTGCTGACTTTCTTTCGGCGCGAGCGCCATCATCAAAGTCCGCCCTTGATGACCGCCATTGTGAAGACTGTGAGGGCACAGAGACAATTGTGTTTGTTGTGTTTTGATTTAGAACTGCAATCTTCAGAAGATTGGCTCGGCTTGCGGTTTGCGACAATTGAGATGCCGAAGTCGTCGAAGATGATGTGATCTAAATCATTTAGTAATGTTGAAAACCTCCAGTGCTGGCTGTCTTTACCTTTGACTTTTGGTACTTGGTACCATCATTAGGGTCGTTCTCATCGTTCACCGACAGATGTTCGAACCTTGACTCGAGGATACGGGTCGCCATTGGAAAGTGAAGAAAGATATTGAATTGAAAAAACTCTTGTTCGCAATCCAGCTGCGCTGTTCAGCAACTGTTAGTAGTTGGTGATATCTTCGTTTGGAGCTGTTGCTGAATGTTGGTGTTCCACGGCAATGGAAACATCACTCGTGCATTCTCAGTAGCCACAGCAACCAAAGCACAGGCCTCTTCCCCAGTGACGGATTTCACCCCACCACACCACGGTCGACACTGGGTCGCGACATCTTTCCATCTTCAACTTGACAATTCCCCTCGACATCGAAAAACGAACTGCATTTACAACGTCGCAGCACAATTAATCGAAATGGAATTCAAAGGAGTGATCAATGAGGCGTTTCCAAGACCCGAAGACTTGATATCATTTACAGTGTCGCATGTTCAAAAAGGGTTCAAGATTAGTGTACGAAAGCTTCCTATCTCTAAATCAGGACCCATTGACGAAATGTCTGAACGTCTGAGCATTCCAGTTCCGGAGATGATTTTTGGTGATAATATGGTTGCGATCGAGCATCTTGCTACTGGATGGCGGATGGAATTCAACGCCTATGATGCATTAGACCGAGTGGACAAGACCGACAAGAACATGCTAAAAGTTGCATATTCGCAGGAGTGGTCTAGCAGCAGGTTTGTAAATTCATTATGGCTTGGCATATGGCTTACATATTCTAGGGAGAAAACGCACGAAGGCATTAAGGAGGTGGTCAAACCTTTTGATTGGTCTTACACAACAGATTATAAGGGCACGATCACAAAAGGCAAATCGTTTGAGCTTCAGAAAGACAATGCGGACCCAATTCCGATAGAGCTACTCAAACGCCCGGATCCGATTTTGTTCTTCGAAGAGGTGGTGCTGTATGAAAGCGAACTCGATGACAATGGCATATCACTTTTCTCCTGCAAGCTACGCGTGATGCCTGACCGCATGCTGCTGCTATGTCGACTCTTTATGAGACTTGATAATGTCCTTATCAGAGTACGAGACACCAGAATCTACGTAGACTTCACCTTGGGCAAAATCATCCGGGACTACACTGAAAAGGAAGATACGTTCGACGCAGTCAAAAAGGTGAGCCCAAACATGAGGCCTCTTGCGCCCCTGGGAATCCTCTCCAACTATTTTCTTAATAATACGCGTATCTCTACTGGTTGCTAATGAACATCAGAACCTTCTGCAGACTGGTACCATTCCGACCGATTTGACAATCGCATTACGGGATCCGAATAAAGTTGCACACTTAATTCCGGAGGTCACTCACACACTCGAAAGTCTGACCGTTAGCTGAAGTTTATAATTCGCCTACCAAATCACTTACCTCTGCCACGAATATGAGATTATTACCTAGGGTCTGAGCTTTATTATATCAACACGAATACATTATCATCTTGGCATCGCGGAAATAGCTTATGGACAGTAGGAGAGCCAGTGTGCCTTTCGCACTTCATTTATTTCGATGACACGGCGTAAACCCAGATGATCAGAGTTAGTAGCCCTTAGCTCGCCCGCTTCTTGCTGGATCTCCTCAAAAAATGGCTCATTTCGAGCGACCACCTTCTGGATTCAGCTTGGCCATTTATTCGAGACGTTGCAGGACGCAACAAAACAAAACTTTGTCTCCATTCTTCTGGCTGGCTGGCAGTGCATTTTCGCAACACATATGCTAAGCTCGTGACATTTATTTGTTTGCGAGGTCTTAACTGGCGGGATATAGCTTGCTTCCATGGTCGGTACTTGTTTAGCTAAAACTCTCTTTGGGCCTGGATCTTAAAATACTTTCTGACGTTTCAAATACGACCCCGCCAATCAAATTTGGAGCAGACAACGACAATACCAAAAATGGGTGGAGACGATCAGACGGTTCTCATATCAACCAGGATGGGCCATAAATGACAACCCGGAAGCTTAAATACTCACAGACTGCCATCGAGCAGATCTAAATGATCCGATGATGAGAGCGTGTAAACGAGGTACGATGTCAGGCGATCCGGCGAAACAAACCCCACCTTTGATATTGTGATTTCTAGAAAAACTTTCTCAACAACATCAGCAGCGTACACTCTGGAGCATCATGCCTCGGCATGCTGGTGGGATAAATATGCTTCCATTTGCTAGGCTCTCTATTGGAATATCGAGCCTTTGACCCATCACAATGCGCAAGAAGTCTCTAGACACTCAAAGAACATTAAGAAGGCCGGGCTCTGGTTTGCCCGGGCATCGAACTATTCAAGAGGTTGAAAATCTGATGCTCGACTTCAACGTGGATGCAGATGTTCATGCAGGGTGCACACTATGTATTTGGGTCGACTGCATAATGAGAGCCACTATATCTCCCCCACTAGTCGCCCAAGTCCAGATGTTGAAGGGATTAATGATGGATGCATGATCGATGCGTTTGAGTAATGGTGGGAAGCGTACCTACGTAGCTGTCTCGTGCAAATATCTTAGCCCACCGCCGTCTCTTTAGATTATTTTTAAACGTCGATTAGTGATTAATGCTCACAACCTAAGGATTCGTGAAATCGGAGGCCGACAAGACTTGTTTAGTCGTCAACCATTTCTCTATGGTTCATTTTGGAAGTTTTGGTTACAAAATCCCCAAGTTCCCAAGGGCCCGTCATAAATTAGCTCTGTAGAGGTACTGCGCTTCATGAATCGTGATCCAGCTACACGACATGGTGATTTTCGTTATTTGTCTTGGTGATGTCCTCGATGTGGACGCAGAGTCCGCGGTGGACGAGATCTGAGGTAACTATTAGCAATCAATCTGAGTTGTAAGCGTCTTCCAATGATAGCAACATCCGCGATGCTACAGTTACTTCATGCGAGGCTTGGAGTTAGAGCATCGTGGGTCTCGTTTTCCGTTTTCCCAACCTTATCACATCCGCGTCGACTTAGCATCTGCGGCCCTGCTCTGCCCAGTGCCCCTCATGGTCCCAGCATCCCAGCTCACGGATTTTCGGGGCATTGATGGTCTTATAGGCAGGGAAGATGGCTATGAGACATGGGGAACCGAACGCCATGGCGATGCTGTTCCAGGGTGACCCGGGGCCTCTGGTCGAAAAGATGCAGTCGAGCCATTTTCAGACGATTTCACCGCCCTTCGCACGCTGCTCAATGGTCCTCGCGGTGCAGCAAACATTGTTGCTCCCCCCTCTTTGGTCTCTTTGAGCCAGTCAGACTAACGACATGTTCCCTTTTGGGAATTGCAGCTGCGCGGATGGAGACAGAGAAGCAGAGCTGGGAAAATATCGATTAATCGCAGCGCAATAATTGCGTGGGCTGGGGGCCAATCCGACGGTCCCACGAGGGCAGCTGGCTTGACCTTTCCGCGTCTCCAGGTCCTCGAGTAAGTGTCTGCTAACTGACTGGTGCGGGTTTGTTCGTACGCCTTCACTCACCATCGGCGCGTCAACCGCTTTCCAGGACCACGTTCCCAGATCCCATTTTCGAACTGCCGCACAAGAACGCTGAACCACTCAATCTGCGTCAAGACCGTTCCACCATCCACTGCTGGGTCTCTAGCTCGCTCCCAGCCAGGAAGAACCACGAGTCCGACAGCAGCATTTGGCATTACCAGGTGTCAGGTTACAGTTGCGGGACTCTAGACGCGGAAGTGACTATTTTCCTCCCGACCCTCGTCTCTGGTGCTCGCAAGCTCACAGCTCTCGCGCGCTCTCTTTTCTTTTCTTCCTTCACAACTACATACCCTCTGCCCCGGCCACGAAAACTTCACAAGCTTCGAATCCTTCTTCCTCTCTCTCTTTCTCTCTCGCCCCCTCCTTTGCCCTCCCCTCCTCGTGCCTCGGCGATTCTCTGCTCCCGCGAAGACCTGACCTCGATCGAGCTGCGCTGCACCTAGCCGGGCGCGGAAACAAACATTGGTTCGCCCTGCCAGTCGATGAATGGCTTTGTGACCACTAGAATCTGCCTATACCGTGGCCATCGAGCATTCGCATCGTCACATTCACCTCTCCAAGGTCGCCCGAACAATAGCGCTGCAAGTAAGGAGGCCGACTCGGTACAAACGTTGGGTCCGGTCTCGTCGCTGCAACCCGTCCAGCAGACTCGAGATCATCGTCTGGCGTCTTCACAGCGACCTGCAGCATCACACATACAGCCTGTATCCCTCCCAGCAACCGCAGAAGCGCTTCGTCGTCCATTGACAGCCCGCAGATCGACCACCAACACTTGCGGTTCATCCGCACAGACCGCGTCGCCATCTGCTGCCCAAACCTTACTCTGGTCCGTTCGAGCCACTCACTTCGGCGGGGTCTATTCGATTCTTCAGCAACCCCTCCACCCCCCGCAAACCTCAAATACACCGTGCTCCCGGCACCACAGACTGAGAACTAGCAGCCTTCCTCGCCGATTCTTCTCGACGACTTCGAAAATGCCTACCGTCTCCCAGCCTCAGACGCCGGCGTCGCTTGACAGTCCCCTGAGAGATACTCGCCATCGTCCGGTGGAGCGGCTGACAGACCGTTTGGAAACGCCTTCGCTCGATGACCGTTCTTACAGGGTTATACGGTTACCAAACCAGCTCGAGGTACTTTTGGTTCACGATGCAGAAACCGACAAGGCCAGTGCGGCTATGGATGTTAATGTAGGAAATTTTAGTGATGAAACTGAAATGCCGGGCATGGCCCATGCTGTCGAACATTGTAAGTATTCTGCAATTGCTATATTTTGTAAACCACTCTAACGCCTTTTTAGTACTCTTCATGGGAACAAAAAAGGTACGACTTTAGCAGATGCTACTCCCTCAGCCTTGATACTGAGGACTCTATAGTAATAACAATTGACATTTCTTAGTATCCAGTCGAAAATGCGTATTCTCAGTACCTCTCTTCCCACTCGGGAAGTTCCAATGCTTACACCGGAGCTACGTCAACAAACTACTATTTTGAGGTAGCGGCGAAACGAGCTGAAGATGCGACGGAAGAAGAATCTTCGCCTTTGTATGGAGCTTTGGACAGATTCGCTCAGTTCTTCATCGATCCTCTTTTCCTAGATTCGACTTTGGACCGAGAACTAAGAGCTGTAGACTCGGAGAATAAGAAAAATCTACAGAGTGATCAATGGCGTCTTCACCAGCTCGAGAAGTCCCTTTCGAACTCCAGGCACCCGTATTGCCACTTTTCTACAGGAAATTTCGAGGTCTTGAAAACTCAGCCAGAAGAGCGGGGAGTCGATGTACGAAAAAAATTCATGGAATTTCACGAAAAACATTATTCAGCCAATCGGATGAAGCTGGTCGTTCTTGGGCGGGAGTCACTCGATGTACTGGAGGGTTGGGCCGCGGACTTGTTCGCAGGTGTACGCAACAAGGATTTACCCCAAAATCGTTGGGAGGATGAGGTACCTTTCGGGGAGAAAGATTTGTTAACACAATGCTTTGCAAAACCCGTAATGGATTCCAGAGAGTTGGATTTATCTTTCCCATTTGTTGATGAAGAAATTCTCTTCGAGTCCCAACCGAGTCGCTACATCAGCCATCTGATCGGACATGAAGGTCCTGGAAGTATCATGGCTTACATCAAATCCAAAGGATGGGCCAATGGTTTGAGTGCAGGTATGTGCATTATCTCTTTATTTCCTTTTTCGCTGGCGGAGGGCAAGGGTCCGACACGTATGCATTCTGTTGGTGCATGTCTAATTGCAACATGATACGAAAATCTTCACCGTTTTTTGAGAAACCATGGGCTTCGCTAAGCGACGCTTGGGTTGGAAAAAGAAAGTTTTGGGCGTTGGGAAATGCGCAGCTAGTGCAGAGTCGCAAGATAGAAATTACCCCTTCTAGCGATTTAACGCTATACAAGCTGATTGGCTGGAACACGCACGTTTAATGTTGCTAATTCCTTTGCAGGTGCATATCCAGTCTGTCCAGGCACACCAGGGATTTTCAACTGTCAGATTCGTTTGACTGAGGACGGATTGAAGAATTATCAAGAAATCGTAAAGGTGTTTTTCGAATATGTCTCTCTTCTCAGGGAAACGCCCCCACAGGAATGGATATTCCAGGAGCAAAAGGGTCTCGCCGACGTCGCTTTCAAGTTCAAGCAAAAGACCCCAGCTAGTCGGTTCACGAGTAAGATCAGTGCGGTTATGCAAACACCTCTACCAAGAGAATGGTTACTTAGCGGGCACAGCAGACTGCGGAAGTTTGATCCAGTCAGAATCGCAGAAGGTCTTGCTTGTCTCCGACCAGATAACTTCAGAATGACTGTAGTGTCTCAGAAATTTCCAGGCACTTGGGAGTCCAAGGAGAAGTGGTATGGTACGGAGTATACATATGGGAAGCTGCCAGCAGACTTTGTTGCGGAAATCAAGAATGCTGCGACCAGCACCAATTTAACTAGGTTGCCGGAATTGCATCTCCCTCACGTAAATCAGTTCATTCCAACCAAGCTGGAAGTCGAGAAGAAGGAGATTAAAGAACCCGCCATCTCGCCCAAGTTGATCAGAAATGACGACTTGGTAAGGACGTGGTACAAGAAAGGTGTGTACGTTTCCAGTCATATGGGACTTCCCTAACATGTTGAATAGATGATACTTTCTGGGTTCCAAAGGCAAATCTTTTCGTCAACTGTAGAAACACCTTACCAAATGCAACGGCGGAGAACTCTCTGAAGGCTCGTCTTTACACCGACGTCGTAAGAGATGCTCTGGAGGAGTATTCCTATGATGCCGAGTTGGCTGGATTGGACTACTCAATCTCAAGTCACTCTATGGGTATTGAAATTGCTGTTTCCGGATACAACGACAAGCTTCCTGTTCTTCTCGAGAAGGTGTTGTTGACCATGAGAGATCTGGAAATCAAGCCTGAACGATTCGATATCATCAAAGAGCGGTTAGCACGAGGATTGAAGAATTGGGACTTTCAACAACCATATAACCAAGTCGGCGATTTCACTAGATGGCTCAACAGCGAGAAAGGTTACATCACCGAGCAATTGGTTGCAGAACTACCACATCTTACCGCGACCGATATTCAACAGTTTTATCCTCAATTACTTCGACAGATGCACATTGAAACCTTTGCACATGGAAATTTGTACAAAGAGGATGCACTAAAGTTGAGTAACCTTATAGAGAGCATTTTGAAGCCGAGGGTCTTACCGCAAACACAATGGCCAGTCTCACGATCTTTGGTTTTCCCACCTGGGGGTAACTATGTTTATCATAAAACATTGAAGGATCCAGCAAATGTCAACCACTGCATTGAGTATCTGTTGTACGTGGGTGATAAGTCTATCCGACCACTACGAGCCAAGACACTTTTGTTAGATCAGATGACCCATGAACCGGCTTTTGATCAACTACGAACGAAAGAGCAGCTTGGATATGTTGTTTTCAGTGGTGCGCGATCAACTTCGACAACCATTGGCTACAGATTCATCATCCAAAGTGAGAAGACGCCGGAGTATTTGGAATCTAGAATTGACTCGTTCCTTGCTGGGTTTGCGAAGACTCTTGCAAGTATGAGTGATTCCGATTTTGAGGGACACAAGCGAAGCTTGATTACCAAGCGACTTGAAAAGCTGAAGAATCTTGATCAGGAGTCGAGCCGTCTCTGGTCGCACATTGATAATGAGTATCTTGATTTCGAGCTTGGTAAGCACTTTATATAATTCCCTATCAAGCCTTTTGCTAATGTACAGCAGCCTACGAGGACGCCGCCCAAATCAAGTTACTTTCAAAAGCCAACATGATCGAATTCTTCGAGCACTACATCATCCCCTCCTCCCCCGCACGTTCCAAACTCGCCATTCATCTTAACGCTCAATCAACCAGTACCGAAATCGAGAACGGTGTAAAAACTCTTGCTCTCAACAAAGATAAGAAAGACGACGAAGACGGAGAAGTGGTCGAGGTCAAGCAGGAAGGTAATGGCACCACGCCCTACATCATCACGGACGTCCGAGAATTCAAGTCAAAACTTCAAGTCTCGGCTGGACCGCAACCGGTCAAACATATTAGCGAGTTTGAGGAGTTGGAACCGAAATTATGAGATTAAAAAGATTTTCCTAAGATATCTTATATCATGGATGTAACCTCATTTTTTATACTATTCATGGCTTTTCTGGTTTGCTGGCTGGCTATGGTATCTTTTGCATCACACATCATATCCGGAGCGGTGTCTTTTTTTCGCATCAGGAAATACCATTACGTTTTGCGTGTTTTGTGGGGATGGGATGGGATGGTAGGGTAGGGTCGTTGAGTTGGCTTCTTTGCTTGGGATCTGGTTGGCGATGGTGGCGGATGGGGAGGTGGTGAGGTGAGGTAGAGTGTGAGCGGCGGATACATGGGGGAGGATGAGAGATATGTGGTTGTGAGGGGTAAGAAAGACGTGATTGTTGAGTAAAATGGAGCGGAGATGAAACCGAGGTTGTAGATACCCTTCAATTTGAGGAAAAAGCTTGTTATGTATGCATTCTCTGCCTGTGCTTGCGAGTGACCTCCGTCATACAAATCTCGACCAGAGAAGGTTTTGTATCGTTGACACGAAAGTAGAACTACGAGTAGGTAGGGAAATAAAAGTACGTACCAACGGCACCTCCCGACGTCACGTTACGGGACGGAACGTACCTAGCTAGATACGACATCCCGTCGCCAGGCGTGGTCTCCCTTTACCAGTTCCACTCGTAATACCTCCCTTTCTTCTTGCTTATTCTTCTACTTTGGAAATGGGTTTGTTTGACTGACTTGCAGAGACCTCGGATTTAAAGGGGTTTCCTTGCTCCGAAGGCCGTACTGTGAAGTAGAGAGATGGGATGGTTATATGCGTGGGTAGGGAAGTGGTAGGTTGATATGTGTATGTAGGAAGGTATGCAGTGTAACCCTCTGTTGCCCTTCACCTCGCTACCCTTCAAGTAGGAGCGGGTTTCGGAAGTTTCTCCGCCGTACTGTCTTATCAGATCATTCTTCTCGCCTCCCTAACCCGCTCTAGATATTAAACTCTTTGATCTTATTTCGAAAATAGCTTCTCAAAGCTAGATAGAAGTCCCGCGACTCTTTATTAGCTAGACGTTTGTTTTCGTTTTTTTTCTCATACGCGAAATCTGTGCTGGTATGTTGGTATGCAATGCGAATGTATGCGAGCGAGGGTGCGTGAATCACGTAGGCGTCTAAGTACGCACAAACCGTTTATGCATAGATGCGTTTAGATTGGGAGGGAGGGGAGATCACTGGATGGAAATGTGATGCGGTTTAATATACCCTCAAAAGTATACCCTCTTTTTGAGCGGGCAACGGATCTGAGATCTTGTTGGGCATGAGGGATTCACACGGACTTCGTAGATGTGTACGTGCAGGGTCAGAATCCATCGCTACCGGTATGGGTTTAAGAGTCATGAAGTGTCTATATAACTGCAATGATTGGGTATCGAATCATCTTATATTACTTCGTGTCTAGGACGTTGAGCTCAGGGTGAAGATATATGTAGGCTCTGAACCTATACCCGAAAATACGCGCGTCTACGTACACTTGATACCCGATCACTTCCTTCGTCCGAAGAATTTTCCTGAATCCCGATGAGAATAACATACGCACCCACCCCTCTGCATTCCTCTCACTTGTCTTTTTCTTGCTCGATGCAAGCACGCCTTCCATCTCTACGCTTTTTTTTTCTTTCTCGCAAACCTCGTATTGGCGTGTCAAGATGCGATGAAGTAGTGCGGATTTTGCGCTCGATGTTGATTTGATGCGCGGCAGCAGTACTGCTGTTGAGTATCTATGCGTTTGTCTCGAGTTTTGAAATTACCTACGTACTGTACCGCGAGAAGCTTCATCCATCAATGCCAATTCAATCTTCCGCTTCGACGCATCACGGTCATCCTCCTTCCTTCTTCTCACCAAGTTCCTTTCCAATTTACTTCTCGGTCCCAAGGTTTCTCTTTCTCATCATCCCAAACATATCTCCATCCTTCATCCGCAACCCTCCTAATATCCCCAAATCACGACCACAAAAACCCCTTCACAAACCCGCCTCACAAACCACCCTAAAAGTTGGTTACCACCCAGACGTCTCACAACTAGCTCGACGCTATAAATCTCGATATGCAACAATTTGTTTTGCCATTTTCACTACTGCAGTTAGGCTTACCCAGTTGTGCCAAGAGGGCTTTCTAACTCGATTCGCACATTTTGGGGGGTTGATTCGCACTCGCTTCGCTGGTTTGAGACGAATGAGCTCGGTTTGGGGGTTTGAGGCGAATGTCGCCTGGGCTTCACGGGATACATTCGGGTGGTGCCGAGTGTGTTGGGGATTGAGATTGGGGTTGAGAAGGTTGGTTTGGTGAGGGTGTTTTCTTATGTTTGGTTCGGTGTGTTTGTGGATTTTTTGGTTTTTTGTTTGAATTACTTTTACCAGACTCAGGAGAACTCGAAGTCGAGCCTCACTCCCCTCACGCCTCACATCACACGTTTCCTCAGCTTGTTCTGGAACTACGACTCCCCCATGCCTGCAACACCATCCAACACACACGAGATGAATCAAGTTAGACGACCACATGGCACCCGCGTTGAAGAACATTTCGGCTGACGATTCGGGCTGAGGTGGCGTCTGCGCCGCATTATGCATCCGTTCCGAGATGGACGGGCTGCCGATTGGGAGCTCTCTGGCTTATCTCACAACGTTTTTCTCGTGTGATGCTGGATTTTGCGAGATTGGTATCACGTCAACCTATTCCTCGTCACGTTTTCATTAGGTTACTAGTTCATGCTGTGCTTTCTACATACCAAGTTTCCCCTCAGCGATCATGGCAAATGTTCTGGAAAGAGATAGACGAGGATGGACTACCATGGACTATTGTAAGCAGATCTTCAAGGGGGAGATTAAGCTTATGTTTAGGGAGTTTACTTCTGTGGTACAATATATAAATGAAGATGGAGTATTTGGGATTTTGGACGTTAGCTTGCTTTTGCATTCTCTTTCTGTCACGGTCATGTTTTTAAAGAATTTTCTTGCGTCTACTGTGCTTACTTTGACGGCGATTAATGTTGTGGACGCAAAATATGGCTTGGTGCCTGTAAAGACGGGTATTAATGCGCAGACTGGTGCAAGGCCTTTTCGCAGGAATATTTTGGATCTTCAGAATGATGCTCCTGCATGGTAATTTCATGATTAGGAATTAGACGTACAAGTTCTAATTTTGTAGGTCTCTTTATATACAAGCGCTAAATGCTATGCAAGCGACTCCAGAGGATGAACTACTTTCGTACTTCCAAATCGCTGGTGTGTAGAATGGCTAAATGATAGATCACTTCGTTAATGACGGTTAGGAATACATGGACGACCCTATTACTCGTGGGATGGATATGAGTGGAATCCTGACGCTCCATTGATAGGGTATTGTACACATCACAATACGTTGTTTCCCACGTGGCATCGTCCGTATCTTGCTTTATTCGAGGTAAGTATCACCTAACTTTCAAAACACTCAACTAACACAAAACAGCGAATTCTAGCAGACCATGCTCAAAAGGTAGCTGAAAGCTATAACCTCCCTCTCTATCAAAACGCAGCAGACAATCTCCGCATACCCTACTGGGACTGGGCCGAGCTTCCTAACCTCCCAGATGTAGTCACCACTCCTAACATCACGATCACCATTCCCTCTGGACCGACCACCGTCAAGAATCCGCTCTACGAATACGCCTTCCAAACATTTCCCCTCAATGAAACACTGTTTCCTGGCGATAAAGACGCGAGATTGTCGACTTATTCGCGGACTGTGAGACAGCCGGATAATGATGGGGTTTCGCAGCATGGAGCGGCGAATAGTGATCTTGGGGGGAGGTCGTTAAGGAAGAATACGGTGAGTGAAGCGAGGATATTGCCGGGGGAAGGGGAGAGATGGAGGCTAATGCGTTTGGGATCTAGTATGATGTTTTCGCTAAGGTGAGTAGTTATAACACCATGGCGACTGGTGCTACGGCGGGGGTTTCTTTTGAGTATCCACATGGGAATGTTCGTAAGTGTTTTCTTGTAGTGGTGTTCAAGCAACCAGGCATTAACGGGAATAGATACGTCGATTGGAGGAGGTTCTGGCTTTTTTGACGCCGGTCATAGTAAGTTCATCTCAATAATATCTTCGTCAATTACATAAGTAACGGTTTCAAAGTGTCATCAGTAGCCTACTCAGCATACGACCCCATCTTCTGGCTCCACCACACGAACGTGGACCGTCTCACCTCCATGTGGCAAGCCATCAACCCGTCCTCCTTCCTCGTCCCCTCGCTAGACGAAACAGGCACCTTCACCCACCCCATCAACCTCGACCTCACCGTCTCCGAACCACTCATCCCTTTCACCACTCCCAGTGGCTCACCTTACACCTCCACCTCCTCGCGCTACCTCGCCGATTTCGGGTACGCATACCCCGAACTCCAGGACTGGCTCCTCAGCCCCGAGGAACTGAGGAAGAACGTTACCGCGTGGGTGAACACGCACTACAACCCAGCTCCCAAAACTCGAAAGTTGAGACGCCAGAGCGCGGTGCGGAAGGAATGGAGTGTAGCTATCTCGGCGCTGGGAACGGCGTTTGGACTCACGGAGAAATACATCGTCGAACTGTCCATCAACGGCACGAAATTCGGTGATGTGTTCGTGGCGCCGCCTGCAGCCGCAGAGGCAGAGGGTCATAGTTTGAACGCGACGACGAATTTCGAGGTTGATCTTACAGACGTCCTCGCTAAGCACAGAGTTAATGGTGAGGATGTGAATGCCGTGACTGGGTTTTTGAAAACGGGGTTGGGATGTTCGGCTAGACAAGTAAGTTTTCATGATGATAGGTTGAACGGGGAAGGGCTAATTTGAATAGGGCGATGGAACGATAACGTCTGGAGAGAAGGTTCCTGGCCTGAAGGCGCTAGTGAGTGAAATGGCTGTCACGCCCGCGGGCGACGTGACGGAGTTTCCGGGGTATGGGGAGAGGAGGGAGTATCCTGAGATCTTGGCGGAGATGGGGGCATAGATGGGAGTTCTTTGTTGTGTTAGATTCTGGGGTTTGGTGCGGGCGTTGAGGGGGTTTTAGCGTGGGGATTAGAAAGGATTCCTGGAAATTAAGTATGATGGAATACTAGTTGAGATTTGGTTGATACAAGTAAACCAGCATCCTTGTTTTATTTCAATGATTGTCAGGTGCCTTGAACAACTCTCCAAGACCAAGCAATACAGGTAAAAAAGTATAGGCTGATTCACACGCAACTTAAGCTATACCAGACCTGACTACATTTGTAATCGAAGTAAACAATACTACTAGGGCAATGTTTGTGTTGGAAGCTCCGCCAAGAGGGCCACCTTGTATTAACTATACTACTCTCTTGATCCGATCAGTGTTGATATCAAGCCAAGTTCAACACGGTAAATCTTCCAGCATAGCATGAGTGAAAGTATCGATCTGACACCAGATATTGTATACCATCCAAAAACGAACTTGCTATAGAATTATGAAATCCTAAGGAGCTAGGATGTCGTTCCGACAGCTCATCTTCTCGAGTATTTTCTGAGGTTTCGATTCGATAGACCACTTCGTCAGGGGTTCACATAGAAACTAGATTCATACCCGGATTTAGGTATATTTCCGTGAGGTAGATGTAACTGAATCAAACTAAGAGAGTGATAGCTTTTCATTTCAAGCGTTATTTCCATGTCGCAATCGAACGATTTAATCACGGTTCTTATTCTTCCCTCCTCCATCTACTACCATGCCTTTATACCCCCTCATAAAAGTCCTCCGCCCAAGAACACGTCATCGTAGCCCAAACATTATGATATACCCCAATCTGTCCACCCATTCCCATTCCCTCATACCCTAATCCATTTCCACTCCCACTTCCACTACCACTACCACTCCCCTCCCACCCCCCATAACTATTCTCCATCATATTATCCCCGGCAAAGCCCATTAATTCGCTATCAGGGGCGGGGTAAGAGGTTAAATTGCTCTGGTCGAAGGATATGTATGTGTTATCGGTGTTGAGGGCTGAGAAAGCGAGTTTGAGACTAGGGTCGAGGATCGGACATTGGCCCTTTGTGGGACCGGTTGCGTTGCCTGACGGGGAGACTGGGTGTGTTAAATAAGGGAGGGAAGGGGGGTGAATGAGGGCAAGGGAGGAGATAAGGGGGGGAAGAGGGAAAGGGGAAAGTAGGGACATACCTGTAAATGAACCAGGACGAATCCCCGAGACTCTCCTCTCATACGATTTCTTGACCGATCCGATCATGAGTTTAAAAACATACAGAACATCCGGGTTATCCGGGATCTTTTGATCGTCTTCGTCTTTCGTTCTCTGCCACAATCATCACCACACATCCGATGATTTTGGGGGAAGGGGGGCAACTCACGCTCAAACTCCCAAACCTAAAACTCAAACAATCCAAATACATCACCAGCGGCACCTCCGTCCTCGTCCTGCTCGCATCCCAACCCATCTCATCAGCCATCAAAAACGTAAGACGACTGATCACCACGATGGCGTTAATGACCTGCCCCCACTCCACGGTTGTGAAGGCCAGATATCCTTCCTCGGGGATGGAGAGCAGGAATTCGAAGAAGCGTTTGAGGCTGTCGAGACACTTTGGGAGGTGCGAGGTGGTAATGAGGGATTTGTAGGGGGAGTGCGGGAGGAGGTGCGTTTTGTAGGGTTTGCGGAGGAAACCGAGTTCGTAGCTGTAGATGCAGACGAGGACGAAGAGGTTGGAGAGTTTGATGTTGGCTGGTGTTGTTAGATTCTTTGTCATCTTAATGGTGTTTATAGGATGAAGGGTATTGGCTTACGGAGATTTCGAATATCCTCGCTAACGCTTTCACTCCAATCTTGTAATTCATTCAAGAATATCTGGATGTTCATCTCGGCGTTTATAGCTTCCATTTTGTAATCAGCTGCTGGGGTCTTGCTTAAGTGGATCTTGGCAATTCGTTCGCGCAAGTGTTGGAGCTGGACAAGAGCGAAGAAATCGCAGGACGGGGAAGAGCGGAGAAGCGCACGTCCGTGATCGTCCATGAGGTTTCTGTATTGGAAGTTGTTTGGTTTTTGAAAGCCCAGGGATAGCCTGTTTTCTCAATTAGTGTGAGATGGAGAGACATAGACGAGCATTAGGTACGCTGAGGAGAGATAGTATGTTCCCAAGTACGCTTGCTTAGCAGCTATGCTGTATCCGCCTTCTTTTGTGTAAAGACCAGTCAGGTCGAAGTCGCTGAAGGCTGATGGGTTGGGCGTTTCGCGATCGAGGCCGAGGTCTGTGACAAGACTTATGGCTAGATTCATATACATGAAAGACTGGTTGTTCTTGGGATTGGTGTGGACTGGATACCTGGTGAGGATGTAAGTTTATTGCTACTGCGTGATGAAGGCACAAAAGAATAGTGAAGAGCGGCAATAATATTCGAACTCGGCGATACATAAAAGCAAGATGGCAGTATGGTGGGAGCAAAATTTATAAAATCAAAACGAAATTTCGCAGCAGAGAGTTACTTACCAGGCAATGTAAACCAACAATCCTTGCAAAAAGTCAAGACTCTTCTTTCCCTCGACAATAATCTTTCCGCTTAACACCCTCTTGAACTCATGTTCCATTTGATGATATAAATGCGGATCATTGATAGCCGCACTATTCAGAATAGCCAACAGCAGGAAAGGTGATTTCTTAGAGAGATGTGGCACGGTGGCATCTGAAGGTACATTTACGAATGGGAAGAAAGACGCCTTCTTCTGATATGCTGATAGCAGCCTTTCGGCGTCGCCGAGAGTAACTTTGCGAGGCTCTAGACGTTTTCTTGTAGACTCGGTTTTGACAGGCACGATTGCGGTGTTAGGATCGCCGAGAAATTCGACATGGTGAGCGTGGAGCTCTTCGACACCTCCTTTCGCGTCTGGCGCTGCTATGGAGGGGAGACTGAGGGCAAACTCATCGTTGAAAATTGGTGCTTGACTCTTGTCTGGATTCGCTGACGAATGTCTGGCGAAGAATTAGCAGTCTAATATTTTCTCTTGTCATCTACTAATCAGAATTGAAGCCGCGGAAAGGGACCCAGAATATATAATCATTAAACTAACACTTGGCGGGTTCTCATCGGACGTGCCTTCGTCCGCACTATGCACCGACCTCTATTTATCTCGCATCTCTGACATATTGCTTGCTGAGGTTTGAATGTACACTTGCTTTTGCTTGCCCGACAAGCTTCGCATGCGCCTATGATACTATCAGCAAGCCTTTAAAAGAATGAAGCACTTTCGAAGCGTTCTAGCTGCAATAAAAGTCTTGTAATTACACTTCACGCGCCTGATTCTCATAACGACGAGAGGTTGAAATTTGAGGGTAGGGGAATTAGAATGCTTCGTAAAATGAAGTCCACACTTAAATAGACAGGCTTGACTCTCCGCTCTACTTGATACTTTAGCAAGTAATAACCAGTTTGGTGGGAACTGCTCAGTCACCCCATAGAGATAGGCCAGTAGTTCTGTAGAGATTATTAAATCCCACCGGGCCTCGTCGCCGTATATCCGAAGCTTTCCGACCAGAATAGCCCTATGACTTAGGTGGTCTGCAGCCGTTCCCATTTATGAGGCTGAATAAAATGAAAGAAGCTAGAGACGGGAGTCATTGATTCTCAACAGAGGAGAAACCATCGTCAAAATCATCTTCATTTTTGAAGGAGTCATTTGACTGAATGGCTGATTCGTAAAACAAGCCAGCGTTTCGCATGGCTCTCCCAAGAAAGAGGAACGATATTGAAATCGGGTTGCTCACGAGCGTTTCTCAGTTTCGAAGTTGGACTAGGCTCGATCATGGTGGAGCCAGAAGACATCTTTTCTTGATTTTGATTTGGACAACCACTTCGGTGAGATTAGAAAAAGAGGATGCGAATGAGTGTCAACGCTTTAAGCGGATGTTGAGGGATATAGGCCGGATGTAGGATTAGCGGGATCGAGGTGTGTGTATTGAGTACATAATCCTGTCCCATTGGACGACTGCTAAATGCTGACAGTGTTTTCGTTCAAAACTTGGTCTTTAAAATTAGCGGAAAACGAATGTGTAAAATCTGTAGAAGTGACATTGTTAGCATGGTGTTCTCGCCGTGGGATGTATGATCAATACTTAGTCCATACAACCTACAATTCTAGGAGCAAAAACGCCGCAGGTGGAATATACTATTACCCCAAAGCCATGGAGTGATTGCCAATGGATTTCATCAGTCAACAACTACCTTGTCCAGTAAAAGGTGAAACCTTTCAACCCCGGGTAATTGGATTGTGAGGTCTGGAATATATTGGGGTCACCGCTTACAATAAAATATTTGAAGAATATATGTCCATTTCAGAATACTCAATAGCGGATCCGCAAATCTGCTACGCAAGCTCGATGATCAGACGAATACACACCGTCATCAAATCGATTTGCAAGAACTGCATAGGTGAGGTAGCTGACATGGTCTCCTTTTCTTGCAAATATGAAATCGATTCGACTCGGTGTATTGTCCACATGGCCAAACGAGGTGAAGGTAAGCTCATTACCGTATCTTCCCTCTTTCGGAACCAACAGGCCAATGTCTTCCATAGGAGAATCAGAATCAGTCATGATCTGATAGGCGGCATCGTCAGGAGGGCTATTGAAGTCTCCTCCAAGCAAGACTGCCGCAAACCCTTTTGTATTGGCTTCTTTCTGTATGATGTCTATAATCAATTTCGCACTTTCCTGGCGAGATTTAACCCCTTGATCATCGAAGTGGGTACTCATGGCGAGCACTGATTGTCTGGAGTCCCGATGCTCAAAGACTCCAACTGTGACAATTCTTGTGCTGGCAGCATCCCATCCTTTAGACGGCTTATCAGGAGTCTCGCTCAGCCAGACAGTCCGCCATTCAACAACTTGCCAAACCGATTTACGGTAGATAATAGGAGAGTATTCTCCAGCTTCTTTGCCATCGTCTCTGCCGACACCAATGTAGCTCCATTTACTCCCAACCGATGATGTATTCAGCCATGCCATGATGTCCATCAATTGGCTGTGGAGTACCTCCTGTAAGCAAATGAATGTAGCGCCTATGCTAGTGGAGTTGAAGACAAGCTCTGAACACAACCTTGGACATCGAATAGACCATCGCTCTTCCCCTTTGAAGGGGGATTCAGTGGCATATCTAATATTGTGAGTGATAATGCGAACATCGAGGGCGTAGTGTCTCTTATAATCATCGTTCTGTAACTTGTGTTTCGTAACATCTGGTGATAAAACTCGAGTCATGACGCATCAGTCGGGACGTATCTGACTTCACCGTAATGAGATAGCAACACGTCCTTTTTGATTGCTCTGCCTAATTTTCAAAACTTGTGTCGATATAGCGGTAATTAATTCAGGTGGCTTGATTGCATCTGGTATCTTGGAAACGATGCGCTAGTAGCAAAATGATTCAAGAAATTATCATTTGCGTGCAGTAAGGTGAGAAATCATGTGACGCTATGTGGAGCCATTATGCGCTAGTCCTGTTTTGACACTTCCATTTCTGCACTATTCCTCAACATCGTCGTTGTTCGACTTTTACAGCATCGGTCTCTGCCCAGCATCTCAGTCGTATTTGGACGATTGCAACTTTCTGATTATTTACACTTTAAAGTATCTACGATGTTCATCACGGTTGGCTTGTCTATGTCACAATCTCCTTCGACTCAAGAAGATCCCACGTCGGTCTCGGCCCTTCCAAAGCCTGCTGAGTTTGATATCGACCAGCGTCGGTTTTCATACGCACATATTCCCTTGCGAAGTCCTCAATCACCGTCCAATTGAGTTGCGACGTACCTACGACTTGGCCATCCTTAATCATTTCCGTCAAGGAGTTTTCTATCCAGCTTCGACATCTCCAAGTGGGGTTGTCGTTCACGATAGGAATATTTCGAAAAAGGCCGTTAAGTCGTTGTTCATTTTTGATTTTTGCAATCACAATTCTTGCGAGCAAGTTTGGCATTGTACGAATGTCTTCCAGCTTCTTCTCCTCATATATCCATCCTGTCGGAAGGTTCTTGGCATGGTATTGACTGCCTGGAACAGGAATTTGGGAACCAGGCTCTAATTTTGGTCCTGTCAAGAATGCCCAGTGGTATCTAGAACTGTCAGCTTTGGCAACAATCAGTAGACAACCCAATTGCATACTTCCTCTCCTCGTTGTTGGATACACCACTGGGAAACAGAGCCATATAAAGTCGCTTCTTGCCGGGCACCATTTCGATTTCGATCAAATGCAAATTGGTGTCTATCTAGCAGGCGTAAAGACACGGATGCGGTTGGCAATCTCCTTCCATGATTCTTGGTTTGGTTGTGTTCTTGATGCTCTGTAAAGCGACAACAAACCAACACAGGGCGAGCAAAGTGCTTCACGTGAGCAGCAAGGACTGCTCACAAACTTGGACGCTACTAAGCAATTCGTTAGATTATGCTTCAAAATATCCATATTTTCTCTCCATGTTTTTGGCGCTGCAAGAGCATACATGAGTCACGTGATAACGTGCCTGCATCCCGTGTTGCAGCGCCAAGCCTCCATCTCCGCCACCTTCTCCTCACCGATTCTGCCCTCCCACTCGAGCGAATCTGGCCATTTACAACCATCCATATTGCATCCGGGGACCTCTTCCGGTTCTACCACAACCTTTAAGTCTATGCGTCCACGCCGCCGAGTCACGTTAAGCTTGAAGAACGCGGCTGATGTGGCTTCAAACAATCAAGATGTCTGTCACCGGATAGGCTACAACCTTTATCTCGCACATAGCCATTCAGCTTCCGAGTTTTGCCCTATGCTACGCCCTTTCTTGATTGAAAAAGACTAATCGAGAGACTAATCGAGTCACGTATGGGGGCTCATATTCGTATTTCTTTCGATTGCTTTCCAATTTTGGTCGCCTTTTGCGCCTATGCCCTCTCGCAAGTGCTGAGTGTGCTGATGGAGGGTTGTCTCACCCACGAATGAATCACCACGCGGTCACCGACCGTGGCGCATTAAGTGGTCCAAGGCTTCAGCATGACCCTTATAAATGTCAGTATCCCATATGTTTGTAGCTATACCTGACATCTTACGCTTCTGCTTCGTATCCGCCGACTCATTGAAAGCCAGGGCAATCCACCCTGTTTGTATCATTTGCTCATAGGGTACTACATTACTTTATATATCCAAGAGGATACATAGACCGGCCGCTGAGCCGGATCTCTAACGTATTCTTTCAACGCGCATATTTGTTTGATTGAAAGAAAATAATTCCCAAAATGCCGTTCAACGAACTCCAGCGGCGAGATTCGTGGCCACCAACCATACTACATATTCGAGATAATCATAACCAAAACACCGACACATACGATGCAACTGCGATTGATGAGAATCCTTTCTCGTACTTCCTCACATCGCCAGAAGATCTAGATGACTTTGATGATGAAGATCTTTCCGCCGGCATTGAATCGTCGTCCACCTCCAAACCAGTGATTCGCGAAATCTCGCCATCATCACTACAACGAGTCCCACTTATAATCGAGGAAGACGAAGACGAAGAATCGTCTTTCATAATGCCACTATCTCTCAAAGACTTTACAACAAAGCACATCAGTGGCCGCAAATCGCGAACAGGATACCACAAGGGCGTAACAGGCCTAGGAATATCGATCCCCGAAACCGCATCCACGCGTGGCCGTGCTCGAGTCAAACTCGCACCAACTCGCGCAGCTGGACAAGGTCGTGGAAGGGCACGAACTCTAAGTGCAAGACGCCCGCAGAGCTGGAGTATGCCGAGTCCTGATATTTTCCCGATCGAGGAGGAGAATGAGGATGAGGTTCAAGTCGCAAGCCAGAAGACACCCGAGATTGTGGTCACCACGCCAGACGAGAGACATATCTACCATCTTGCTCCCGCGGCCTTCAAGCCGAAAAAGAAGAAGAGAGTTCATTGGGCAATTTGAAGTGAAGTGATGGAATTTTGGAAATTGCATATATGAGGGAGGATTTTACATTGCATGGATGGCGTTTGGGGATTTGCGGATTTTATTGCATGGACAGACAGATTGCATTATATTTCATTGTCATGGTTTTACATCAACTACTTTCCGCGAGGTAGTTCTGCATTTTCGTTGTCTACTGTTTCTTTTTAGCTACACTCTGTGAGGTAGTGCTGCATATCGTCTGGACTGGTAATAGGGCACTGGGTACGGGAATTATTTTAGCAGGATTGGAAGTCACTTTTCATACATGACCTGAAATTTCAAGGTCGAGGGGTAAATCAATACATCAAGTTGTCTCCCCCATCATACCATTACAATGATAGTAGTCTCTTGCGTGATCGTGTACGTCTTTCAGCTCACCACATCTTCGGTGTTCCCGGCTGCTTCGCTCTCCACGTTCTCGCTTAGGCTTGGATACAGTCAGGACTGTGTATTTGTGCCACCTCAGCCTTGCTTCTGAAGTGTGGAGTGCATATTCAATATTGAGAGGAAGACAGGGTGTGTAGGACTGAGGGATTTGGGGGATAGTGTGGTTGAGATGGATGGGAGTGGGATGTGTCGGGTTACTCGCAGTTTGTTTTGGGGATATCTGTTATTGAATTGAATTGAAGATTTATAAAAAATCAAACGCTTGTTTGCAGTGGTTACTCACCGATCTGCTAAACTAATCAAATAATTCTCATAGGAATACCATATTATGGTCATCATGATACACTGGACAAAATCTAGACAGCGGTCAGATAATCATGATTAATTACGTGATTACATATTCAATACTATACAAACTTAGAGACTTGATTCATTTTATCAACTCTGACTCTAGAATTATATGCTTCCTGATTTTAATAGGCTATCTGTTTAATGCTATAAAACGCGTTCTACCTTCGCTAGCGATCTATAGCATATCACACTAGACTTTCTGACTTCGAGTATATCATTAAAATTGTCACTCGTGTTTCTATAGAACAATATGGCCTATCTACGTTGATGTGTTCATTTGATGTTTTTACCACTATTTGATACCTGATGCCGCTGGGAGTCAGTGGAAGATGTGTTAGAAGCGGATATTTTACGAATTAAAGATTGACCTGAATAGCTCAAGAAGCTTAAGAAAATTGTAAAGACAACATAATTGCAAAGAAATCTTGAATGTTAATGCTAATTAGAATTATTCTAGGATGGATCAATAAAGATTAATAAGGACACTACAAGCGTGCATCGAATAAGCTTAACGCCTATCTCCGGGGGTTTAGAACCTGCCCGCAACACCGAGGCGAGCGAGTCCAGCCTAGACCTTCAATAAATGGAATTCAACCACTTCCAGGCGTTATGGCATATTTGACAAGTAATTGGCAATAGTTACAGGTTACCTATTCTGAATCGCTCAACGCCCACGATAAAATGGCAACCTCCCCAAACGAAGCAACAAGCCGTAGCCAAACAACCCTTTCGCCCTCCCAATCGCAAACCCACTCCACCCAGGACGTCTCCCTCCAAACCCTCGTAACTCATCTCCTAGCATCGAAGCGCTCGCTCTCCTCCATCGACACCGTCTGGCGCGCCAACGAAATCGTCACCGCTGATCGTGCCGCCCTCGAAGAAAGCGTAATCCTCAATGCACGAACCGAGTTCCTGCGGAATGGCATCTCGGGACAGGTCAAGATATTAAGGCGGGTTAGAGGGGGGATTGAGAATGTTTATAAAGATGGACAAAAGGATTTTAAGGTGCGCGGATATCGTTGATGTGTGTGGGGGATAGGGCTTATGGTTTATAGAATGTTATCCGCACGCTTGATGCTGCGAATTCGAGGCTGGAATCTACGATGGAGGTTTTGAGGTCGACTATGGTGGAGGCGGCATTTAGACCTGAGGGGGAGGAGCCGAGGAATTTATTGGATTTTGTGGATGAAGAGGGCGTGGAGAGTATGCGAGATGCATTGAAGGAGTCGATTCGGGAGACCAAGGTAGGATACTATCATTCGGAGAAGTATGGAAGGACTGTCTCTAATGAACTATTAGGAGGCACAAACAGACTTCGATTCATCCATTCTATCCTTCGACGATGATCTTCGCGCCCTCAAGATCGCCATGACATCCTCACCAACCAAACCGAGCTCTTCCCAATCAGATATTGATATCTCGTCCCCATTACCGGAACACCTTCATACCCTCGAAAACAATGCGCAAGAGATGGCTAGTCTGCTTCAGTCACTCGTAGACCACTTTGATCTATGCGTAAACGCAATTCGAAACACAGAAGGCGGCTACGCAGCTGCTCTAAAAGCCGCCTCAGATCAACCACCAGGCGCAGACAAAGTATCCGTCTCCGGAGTCATGAATGCAGACGGCGAATCTGCTCACGAAGAACCGATATCCGAAGAAGAGCGAAAAGAAATGCTCGACGTCCTCGAAAAAGACGCCTCCCAAGTCGACGACGTAGTCATGGAACTACGCGAATACCTCGCCGACATGGAAGTCCGGCACGAAGCCATAATCGCGCACGTAGCCTCTCAAAACACCACCTACAATGAAACCACGAAAGCCTACACCATCCTCGAAGCTGTCGGCTCCCGACTCCCCACCTACATTGCCGCAAGCCAAGACTTCCGCCTCCGCTGGACAGAAACAAAACTCCAGATCCAAGATCAACTAGCCGAACTCGAATCCATGCGTCTCTTCTACGAAAACTACCACGCCTCGTACGACAGCATGATCATCGAGGTCTTCCGGCGCAAACAGAGCGAGGAGAAGATCCGCGGCATCGTGAAGAAGGCCATGGAGCAGATTGAGAAGGTGTATGCGGCGGACACGAGGGAACGAGAGGGGTTTCGGTTGGATGCGGGCGAGTATTTGCCTGTGGATTTGTTTCCCGGTGTTAATACGCCGGCGCCGAGGTGGGAGTTTGTGATGGCTGAGGGTCAGGGGGGCGCGAGTTTGCCGGATGTGGAGATGGGCGTTGTGGAGGCTGCTAGTAGGAGGGAGAGGGAGAGGGAGAGGACGGAGAGGTGATTGCTATTTGGCAGGGAAGAATCTCAATTTGAATGATGTTTAGGCTTGTGGGGTTTCGCTTGTGTGGTTTATGGCCTTTTTCCTTTAGGACCTTTTGTTCATTCAGGAGATTTTCCTGACCAGTTTAGGCTTGACAAGTGTCACGTCTTTTAATTCGTTATCATACGTGATATCTAGAGAAAGAAGCTTGAGGACCTTACCTTATCTCAATCTCTTATGATTTACAGAATCCCAGTTATCTTATTTCCTCTAAGTATCACATCTTAGACTCTTCCACAGGCATATCAGAAGATCGCTTGTATTTTCAAAATCTATTTCCAAAGCCTAGCATCTGCTCAACATATATCATCACCAACTCAACTCTAACTCCCATTCGCTAAAGCTCAACTACCAACTTCCTAAACCTTGATAACAACCTTTCCCACAACCTTCTGATCCCTATAAATCTCAAAAGCCTTCTTCGCATCCTCCCACTCGTACACCTCAATCGGCGGATGAATATCATGTTCCTCAACAAGCACCACCATATCCTCCACCATCTTCCGACTAAAGCAAATCACACCCTTCACTATTGAAAATCAGCAATCTCCTTCTCCATCTCATATTCCTCTCTCATCTCTCACAACAGATTGAAGGACTGAAAAAGAAACTTACACGTCCGCGCCTTAAACATCAAATCAAAAACAACATCCACTTCCTTCGGGGGCGCCAGAAAGCCAATACAGCACGCCGTGCCGCCCTGACGTAAGCTCTTGATGGTCTCGCCGATGGTGCCGGAGCCGCCTACGTCAGCGACGAGATCAACGCCGCGGTTGTCGGTCAGACGCAGGATGTCTTCGGACCAGGAAGGGGAGGTGTTGTAGTTTATCAGGTGGGTGGCGCCGAGCTTTTGGGCGATGGCGAGTTTGGCAGCTGAGGAAGACGTGGAGATGACGGTTGCGCCGAGTGCGGATGCGAACTTGGTGTGTGAGATGAGGGTAGGAGGAGTTTGTGGAATGGGGGATGGGGACTTACCTGGATAACAAAACAACTGACCCCACCGGTCCCCTGTGTTACCACAGTCGTACCCTTCTCGACATTAACGCTACTCAACACATTAACCGCCGTAGCACCCGCACATGGCAAACTAGCCATCTCCTCAAACGACAAGTTCTTCGGCCCAAGCACGATCCATTCATCCTCGATAACTACATACTGCGCCAACAAGCCCTGGATATCGCCCATGCCCCTCGTGGTCGCGAAGTCGTAATTCGATACGTTGCCGTCGATCCAACTATGTGTGGGATGGACGATGACGGAAGCTCCGATGTTGGAGGCCCATTTGCTGTTCTCGCCGACGGAGACGATCTCGCCGGCTCCGTCGCAACAGGGGATTAGGCCTGGGACGGCGCTGACGGGGTAGAGAGGGGAATTGGCGACGATGAGGAGATCGCGGTAGTTGAGGGAGACGGCGCGGATGCGGAGGAGGACGGAGTTGGGACCTGGGGTTGGGATGGGGGTGGTTTTGAGGTGGAGGTTGTTAAGGAAGGTTGGGGAGAGGTGGGATTTGGCTGCGTCGGTGGGGAAGATTTGGTAGGATTGTGACATTTTGAATGATAGTTTCGAGACAGATATCTTCTTTTTGAGAGAGTAATTGTTTTTGAGGTTGAGCGATGGGGATTGATGGATGTTGAACTGGATGGTTCTCGGGAAGATATTGAGTTTCTTATATGTCCAAACTCACAGAGAAGGACCCAGTTTCCTCCCATTCTCGGCGGAAAGACATTGATAATCTCTTGTTCATATTTCAAAGCAATTCTGCTTGAAACCCCTAGCCATGGATTTACTTTGAACTGAGGTGGGTTGATAGTCAAATTGTTGTGTTGCTGATTGGTCGTTTGGGCAAGAAGTGCGCTAAACCCAATCCATGGTATTTCCACGAGCTCCACCATGTTTCCCCACAGCCAACTAGTACTGATAGCTGTTCACAATGGCTGGAGAAGTTGACAAGTAGGTAAAACTGTGATGGCTTTTGCAAACGTCTCGCCCTTTCCATGCATGGATCTCATTGGTAGCGATACTTTCGAAAGCAACCACTTCGCTTCTCGTGACTTCGGGTCGAGAGCCGAGTAGGCGATGTCGAAAATGAACATGCTTGTGAAACTGACCATGAATTGATCAGACTCGACATGAAGGTATTCTGCGGATCGAAAGATTTCATAGGCTAGACCTTGATAGTCAGAGCTGAGTCCTAAAAGCGGGACCTGACTGTGAGGATCATTTGGGGATTCGAACCCGGTGGGATGAGCATGCGACCGCGGGAAAGTTTCTTGCAACTTTAAAAGTAACATCCGAGTTGCGTTATAGGTACACAATGTGTATGCGGTATTTAATCCATTGTATACGAGGATCGTTGGAAAGATGACTCCTTCGGCGTCTTTGGTGTAAAGGGTCGAGTCGGAATCGATGGCAAATTCCCTACAAGGGTATGGATTGAGACGTATCCAATATTTCCACCACGTATCGAGCTGTTGGAGAGAAGCAAGGACTTTTGCTTCAAGCTCAGCAGATGGAACGGGTTTTACACCTGCCTGCTTTCTACTCTCCTCGAGGTACATAGTGATATCGCAGAGAATGTCGAATAGATAATCTAGAGGTTCTTTCGAAGTCAGATCATTTTCCCACGGAACATTTTTCCAAATCCATTGGCTTAGAAAGGTGCCGTGACCAGCGAATATTGCTTTCGATACCTGTTTAAGTCAGAATTCGAAAGTACATAGTGAGGAAGGGAGTATACCATAAGAGCACGCTGCTCAAGAAATATGCTCTTAAAAGGATATTGCTGAAACAGTGTAGGACCACTACATTCAATGAGAGTGCTTAGCCCATCTGCGTGATATCTCCAGGCTATTTCAGAGCGACGATCCGCAATCTGTCATGTTAGATTGTTCCGCCCCATCAGATTTATATTGACTTACTTCATACATACAAAGAACCGTGACAGAAGCTAACGTATCGAAAAGATTCATTTTCGCATTATCAAGTAGATTAATTCTGACGTCTGAAACTGCCTTGGAGTAATACTTTCGACCTTCTTCAACCATACGAGAGCATCGGTGTACATGCCCAAAAATGATAGAGGCCAATGCGTTCAATGTGTTTTTCGAGCTATCAGAGACCCGACTGACCCAGGTGCTCTTGTCTGCAGACTCAGTCCGTAATAATTGTCCTCCACCTTGAGCAAGCTTATACGCCAGGAAAGACAGAATAATTGGGTCCTTGAAACCTACGAGTGGTATGTCGCTAGATATGCTCCGTACTGGCTGTATTTTCGACCGCCTCTTGAGCTGACTCGCATGATGCATACAGGAACCAGAATCGTGTGCAGAGGAATAATTCCTCTCTTGTGCCTTCGAGATAGCAAAAGCCTTTTCGACTCTGGGATTCTCATCGATCCATATTGCTGTGTTGTACCCTTGACAAATTATTCCAGCTTTCTGGCATCTCTTACAAGATCCAAGCTGTTCGTCGCATTTCACTCGTCTGGCTTTACATGTGATACAGCCATTGCTACGAGCTCCCATTACTCCTCAGGACTAAGGCTGCTGAGATTTGCACTCCGTTGACAGATTCCGTTGTCGTGACCTTTTGGTATGTGTTGTCGAAGACCTGAGAATAAGCATGAAACATATTGAGGTGGACATGGCATTGTCACATGACTAGGACTTTTCCGACCAACTAACAAATCACTATCTTTATTATTAGAAGTAAATCCAATCAACTCATGAAATCTTGAGAAGTGATCACTGATATCTTGTAAACACATACGCTAGATCACTAAATTCTTCACTCCCGTTTATACACACTGATAATCATACATACGACTTTTAAGCTTTGAAACCCTCTGTTAGATAATTAATATGTTACGCCAGCATACTTTGAGTTTTTGGAACCCTCCGTACCTCTCACACACCAGGTCACTAACGCTAGCAGAATGACCTGAAAACTTCCAGAGTGAGCGGAATCAAGGGCACCGTATGCCTTGCAGTGGAATCGCTTGCGGAGTACAGTTGATGTGACACAACCAGCGCATAGATCGCTGATAATTCAGGTAAAGGTCTGTGGTAGAATTGAAAAAACCCATGATCGTTACAGTTCCCGCTTAAAGTGACTGTAAATGATGACTGAACGACACTTATGGCAAATACTTTGAGTTTGAGATAGTCATCACCGCGAAATGATACCAAACTTGGATCATGATCCTGGGCGAGAGCTGATCACCTACCAGATTCCTAGATACGTTCTGCTTTGCTTTTCCAACTCCAGACTAATGGAGCGGTATGAACAATAAATCAACACAAGATCTGGTGACTTCCTGGCGATAATATCTTAGTCTTACTGCAAAGTTGACATGTCAGGTATTTCGACTCGAATATTGACCGCAATTATAATCCAACCACAGGCTGTACACTTGCTAGATTGCTTACATCCTATAATATCCCAGGACAATCTTTGGTATCAGGTTTGAGCGATGAAATCTTCAAACTCCACAATAGGTCGATTTATGTGTCAACATACCCAGAATAGTTTCATCATTGCTAATCAGCACACATCGAATTTGGATCCACGAATAGACTGGCAGCGCCATGACGAACGAGAAATATAACTCAGGTTATAGCCATTGCGTCTACGCAGCATGGATAACGTGATCGATTTTGACGACAGTGACCGGTTATTCAGGATTTGGGAACAGGAAACCCGGAAATCCGGTAGCTAAGTGAATATCACAGGCTGAATGACGAAACAGGACTTTGCACAATCGGTGCTGTTGAAGATAAGTGATCTCCATCATTCTTATCTCTAATTCGAATCAATGAATCGGAGTGACGGGATGTAGTCCGTTTAAAGTAGTCCTGTGAAACCCCAGGTTTACTGTACAATATGTTAGTCATAGGCAGGTAATGGCTAGTTTGAGGTCAGGTTGTATCATAAAGCCTGTTTGAAATCCGACAAGCTGTATTCCTATAGCTCGCAAGAGGCTGACAACATATTTGCAAAGAGTATGGTGGGCGAGTTTTCTCTGGCAATAGATGCACGGCGTTTGTTGTACGAGTCCGGAAGGGACCGCGGAGAGGGGAATATTAGTAAAGAATTGTCTGGGTGGTTCTGTGGTTGGAAAAAGCACGCAAGATTTGTCAATGAAAACGTAATGAGGCCAAACGAGCTTTCAAGGCACATATTCAGGCACCCAGGCAGCAATCTCGCAATCGCACCCGACTCCGGCCCATCAGAAGGCTCGTCTCCATACCTTTTCCAGGGTCCAAATGCCAGCTCCCCGCCGAAAACGACGAACCGGCGCCATCATATTCAACTCTTCAAACGCCGCCATATACGAACTCGTCGATACGATAGACACTCATTCTGCGCCCCCTTCAGACCGAACATCATTCACTCACCGTTATTTGCGCAATATCGGTACACGAAAGCTCACACCAGCTGCTCACCGTTCGCATTCTCCAGCCCTTCCAATTCGCCATCGGACCTGCGCTTCTGTAGCACGCCATCCACTGCTAAGTCACCTCAAATACCTGGCCATCTGGCCCCTGGACGCTCAATTGCTTCGCGCGAAGCAGTGATCAGTGAGCAGCACCAGCAAACTCAATGCGCTGGTCACGCCTTCGCTACTAGATCTTGACCTGGAGCAGCTTTCATGGTGCCACTCGGCTGAGAGGTCTTACTCTCTTGCCTCCTCCGCGGCCGTTATGGCGTCAATGTACACCGACTTCATGGCGCTGCGCCAATCTGTTGAAGTACCGAGCGATCGCTCTGGGGAGCATATTTCGAAACCAAAACCATCTCCTTCTGCGCAGGGTACATCATCGCGTTCGAGAATCGAGTCGAATCACGCAGTAGAAATCATGGAGGAAGGAGACCCCCCTTTGAAAGACAATTGCGGGAGCGACAGAATGCACGATCATGCCGGCTCGACTATTGCTCTGTCTTCTACGAATAAAGTGGCCGGTCAGACTGTGGCGCCTTTTCTTGCCAAACATATCCCCGAACAATACGCTCATCAAGGTATCCCTATCGCGCCGAAGGACAACACAAAGGACTCGATGAAGAAGAACCCCAATACAAAGTACTGTTACAGACATCGGCCGGACTCGAAATGTAGAAGGACAGCGGATGAGCCAACTATGGAGAATTTACAGAGGGTGCGTACAAACTATTGGATGCTACACCTTAGACTAACAATATGTAGGACCTCGAGACACTCACACACGCCGATCAGCAAGGTATTTCCCATGTGTGGTCACTCTTCTCTGCCGCGCCTGCGAAACAGAGAAACCTCATGCTTCAGGGGATTTTGGCGCAATGCTGCTTTCCGCAACTCTCTTACCTCTCCACAACCGTCCGAGATCTTATTCGCATCGATTTTGTCAGCGCCCTCCCTTCTGAGATATCTTTCAAAATCCTATGTTATCTAGATACCACATCGCTTTGTAAGGCTGCTCAAGTGAGCCGAAACTGGAGAATATTGGCGGACGACGATGTCGTATGGCATAAAATGTGTGAACAACATATTGACAGGAAGTGTACGAAATGTGGTTGGGGCTTGCCATTATTGGAGCGTAAACAATTAAGAGAATGGAAGCGTCAGAACCAGCTGCGAGGTGCTGGAAGAGGTCTCAATCAATGGTCGCCTTGTTTAACCCCAATCGCAGACGAAGTCCAGCAGGACCATTCGGAACCTCAATCGAATTCTCTTATTCTCCCAGGCAAGAGATCTGCAAGCGAATTCACTGCGGATGGTTTAATACCAACCTCACCGGAAGAGTCAAAACGCCGCAAGGGCAGTCCAGAGGAATCATATTTCGGAAAACGGAAATTTCGGCCTTGGAAAGATGTTTACAAAGATCGGTTCAAGGTTGGAACAAACTGGAAGTATGGCCGTTGTACGACAAAAATTCTTCGTGGACATACAAATGGTGTTATGTGTTTACAATTCGACGATAATATTTTAGCGACTGGTTCATACGATTCCACCATACGGATATGGAACATTGATACAGGAGAATGCATTCGCATACTGCGCGGCCATACGTCGGGAGTTCGGGCTCTCCAGTTTGACGATACGAAGTTGATTAGTGGCAGTATGGATCATGATGTTCGTGTTTGGAATTGGCGTACAGGGGAATGTATGAGTGTAATGCATGGCCATGATGCTGGTGTGATTGCTGTCAATTTCGAAGGCAATATTCTGGCGACGGGCTCTGTTGACAAGACTGTCAAAATTTGGAATTTCAAGACGCAGCAAAAGCACACTCTTCGTGGTCACAAGGATTGGGTCAATGCTATTAAGCTTGATGCGGCATCTCGTACTGTGTTTTCGGCCTCAGATGATTGCACTATTCGTCTCTGGGACCTCGATACTCTTGAAACTATTCAAACATTCGAAGGACATGTTGGGCAGGTGCAACAAGTGACATTGTTGCCAGCCGAATATGAGCCCGACGATTTCGACCCCGAGGACGATGATGGAGCAAGCAGCACCGCCACTTCTTCCGAAATCGACCCCAACTCACCTCGTCCAACCTCTTCGCCATTTGACGCATGGCCATCCGATCGTCCCAGACCTGCTCATTACATGGTAACGGGAGGTCTCGATTCGACCGTTCGGCTCTGGGATGTCACTACTGGAAAATGCTTAAAGACATTTTTCGGGCATCTTGAAGGCGTATGGGCTCTAGCAGGTGACAGTCTCCGCGTGGTTTCTGGTGCCGAGGACCGTTTGGTCAAAGTCTGGGACGCACGAACCGGTAAATGTGAGAAGACATTTGGTGGACACTCGGGTCCGGTCACTTGCATTGGGTTGAGCGACAGTACCATGGTCACTGGTAGCGAGGATTGCGACGTACGAATTTACAGCTTCAAGAACGAGGGCGGAAGTGATCATTCCGTGGACATTGATGTTCCTACTTCATCAGCGGGGAGTTTATGAATTTCTTAAGTTTCGGATACCGGGATGGTTACGATTTAGATGGCATTTATGTGTGCGTTTTTCATTCTTGTTCATAGAGATACCTTTGCTGCATTTAGCGAGCTGCTGGCCAGGATGACATCTTCTTATTTGCTTTGCCGTTTTTGGGTAGCGAGGGATATGGATGGGATGGATAAGATTTGGGCCAAAATGCATGGCTGGCGTTTGACATACCAGGAATTTGGTTGTGTGTTGGTACTTTAGATGGTACCGCTAGGTTCAAAATGATAGCTAAGATGATACTTAATACAATTATATCTGAGAATGTCGTTTTATGTTTTTCAGAAGACAATCGCCGCTTTGTTGTGACCTATATGGAAGGGCACCCAGGTCATGTGACATTGAACATGCTCCATCTTGTTTGTTTCGTGTTTGCTTTCTCCTTCGACACCAACAGCCATATACTCACGGGACCTTTTCCTGTCTCCCTCCAACTTATACATGTCGCACTGTCTTTGAGATTACACCAACTGAATGAGTCGTTACCACTTCGACTGGCGGCCGCATCTTCGTTGACAGTAACCTATCTCGCGGAGGAAAAAATCAGTGTCAGTCACCTGCCCAGTAATCTTGGACTAAATAAGTCGACTTCGAATAGAGCGTAAAAAGTCTTATTTACTTAAAATGATTGACGAAATATCTAATAATGTTCCAATTTGATACACTAAATTACGATATTTCGTCAACCTAATCGAAGAAATATCGCGTTTCGACTGCCACTTATTTTGTCCACCGCGAGCCTATTTCAAGGCTCTGTGCGATGCGCACCATTAGCCACAATGATGGAATTCAAGCTTCGGGCCTGAAGATGGCGTTCCTGTGCCACTTTGCGACAAGATAAGCATAAACATTCTCCAGCCCTATCCAGTAAGGTTGCAGGCGACAGGGCGTTTCATCCTAATCAACATGGTATTTCCTGAACGCGTGTGTTCCTATTGGGCTGGGCCGCAGGCTGATGCGGCGCAGATTGGAAGACTAGCAAAGCGGATTCAGTGAGGCAAGATCTACGGGGTGATATAGGTCTTTATGTCAAGAGGTTTTCATTCTTTTGATTTCAAGCTGTTTTTCGAGAACCAAAAGTTTGGAGGGAATTTCTGAACTTATGATAGAAGAATTGTCGCAACAATGGATCCCCATACTGGACAGGAGGAGCGATTTATTGAGGGTGGGGACGATTCAGGAAAAGCTAATAAATCATACATCGGAGAGAAACTACGGCAAAAGGTTGCGAAACCCATACAATCGAGATTCAAGACATTCATGGCACCATCGGTTTCTTCAACGGATTTGACAGACTTGGAAATGAGTACAACGAATTCGAGTTTACCAATCAGCAAATCTGCTGTGTACGAACCGGTTGATCAGAAACTATCACCCAAGGAAACAGGACTCACAGAGTACTCGGAGCATATTCCAGCCAAACAGTTCGAAAGACGCACGCGATTTATCGGGATTGAGTTTGGGAAATGGCGGGTTTTTGCGCGACATTTCTTCGTCTTCGCAGCTCTGGTGATTTGCATCTATATTCCATGTTGGTACCTGCCAGCGGGATTTCATGTCATAGAAAAGAACAGTTCGCATCCTTTCATGTACGATTGTTATGGGAGTGGAAATGGATGGACCTGTAAGATCCCCTAGTTATCCCCACCTGGCAAATCCTAAAATCGATAGTTCTCGCCATCGATTTAATTGTGGCCCGCAATTTCAGTTTCGGTACAGCGAAAACTCTCGATCTGGCTTGGAATTGGGCTGTTGGTAGAGGAGTTCAGGGACTCTTAAGTCTGCTTGCCTATAGAGTTTTTAGTGATGCGTTGCTTCGGATGACTGAGCTTACGCCATTGTCTTACGAACTCTATGCTAGTATCGCGCTTTATTCTAACAGATTCGAGGTGATGTGGTATACAATGAAGGGCCTAGGCAGGTTTGGAGGGTGGAGAGTCAAAGCTATTTTTTCATGGCTTTTGCTTTCTATAATCTACTTACTAGTGTTTCCAAGGTTAGTCATTTGAATTACGGTACGAGAGATGTATGATGGCTGACTTGGGTGTTGTAGTTTACTAGATGCTACGACTGGTTACGATGCTGCCCAGGTTGCAAAATTTACCTGGCCGAATGGAACGGTGCAAAGTTCCGAGGATATATATGGATCTGCTGGATTTACCATGGATGATAACAGTAAGCAAATCCTGGGACTCTAACGCAACAAGTAAAACATGATTGTCGCAATTACAACTACATACCAAAGCTTTCTTGCTGACTTTCAGCAGGTAGCATAGTTACGATATCAGAAATATGCGTCACATACACGTACACACCGGACCAAGGAGTTTCAAACTTCAGCTACACACAACCTAGCTGGTATAACTATACCTATAAAGGGCGCATCTCTAGAAATGGCACGAATACCACTCGACCTTTGCACACAATATCTAGCTTTGGTTGTCCGGACACGCAATCTTCCGACAACTTGAGTCATACGACTTTTAACGTTTACAATTGGACAGACCCTGATCTAAATAAAGCCTGGTGGTCACACTTTGAATCTGACCCCTGGACTTCACAGAGTCATTATTGGAAAGAATGGGGTTTCGCACCTACCAACTCCGATAATTTCTCATGTGACACGAAGAATAACGTGTATCAGGTAAGCCCCTATCACTTTCATTTGTTTCTAATACTTACAATTCACAGTGGGGTTTCTCATATGAATGGTTGTTTATCACCGTCATCGCCAACAGCGTTTTTCTGGTGGGCTTATGGATACTATGGTTGGAATGTGATATCAACAGCGAGCTCTGTAAGAAAGGTCGAAGACTTGGGATTTGGCGTGCTATTGCCGATTTGTCGGAGGCTATGAGAGAAGACCTTGGAGATGAGATGTGCGCGTATTCGAATGGGGAATTATGGACGGAATTGAACAAAATGCCTCCCGTCAAATACTACGTTACGGAGAGCGAGCAAGGAGAGCCGGCACATATTGGTCTTTCATCAAGGACTTCTGGGAAGATGAGGTTGAGGTGGGGTCAGAAGTATGGGAAGAAGGACAGATGAGATGATTCAATTAAAATGCGATCTTCAACTTACACCGAAAATTATCGTCGTTCGTGCATAGTACTGAGACTTTGATCTCTGCTCAGCAAATGGCCAGCATTAGGGAAGAATTGATATTTGGATTCTAACGCTTCCATCTGAGGTTCTCGTTCAGAACCCGGAGAAGGAAGGTACGACTGTCTACAGTCTCCAACCAGCATCCATTATCCCACATCTCACTCAAAATCCTGTCCTGATCAACACAACAATATATTCTACAATCGCTTAACCCCCAGATATCGCTCGTTGGCAGGCATATTTCTACATCATATCGTATATCGAAACCCAAGCACAACTTCAACCCACCGAACCACGTTACTCCAGCCCATGTCTACAAACCCACTCATACCGCATCCTCGAGCACCAATGCGCCGACGCACGATTCGGTGGCCATCAGGAACATCTGCTAGTACTCGGATAGCAAAAATCTTCTGTTGTTGTAGGAGGAGCACGGGTACGTGATCAGACTTGAGGGGGTTTGTATTTGTATTGATTGCAGCAGCTGTAAGTGAAGAACAAGCATATGATGAACTACCTGGTTCCAGTGACGAGGGTCCGGACGATCAACCAAGCGTCAAAAGTGAAGAAGAGGCAAATGATCAACCTGCTTCGAAGAGCGATGAATCGGAGGACGACGCAAGGTCTCACGAGGATTCAGACATCACTTTTTTCCCGGACTTTGATGGAGCATTCGTGGGCAGCATCCCTGAACCTTCGATGCCGTTGGATGTCTCCAGCCAAGCCATGAGACAACCCGATATCGATGGTTCTCCAGAGGTGACGAGACATGGCTTACCTTACCCGAGCTACGACAAAGCAACTCCAGTAATAAATTCTCTCATGGATGCGCATTTTCCTACAGATGCGCGTGTCTCGGAACATATAAAATGGCTATCAGCCTCAGATCTAAACAAGCACTGCCTGAATGCAGCGAAGGCAAACGCAGAAGCAAATAACAAAAAGTCAAGAGAGAAACAAAGAGAAAGGGATAAAGGAAAAGGGATTGCTGGACTTGTTGGGAGTGGGTTGGAAGGGGGTATTGCTGGCTTAAATGGTGAGGATCCTGTGGTTTAATCACCTAGATGACAACTAATATCGACAGTTATACCACGTCCACTCGTAGGACAAACTAATGCACCACTGCTGAAGAAAAATGAGCCGCCCACGTCTCAGCAAAAAGGGGCAAAATTGAACACCACGATTCCACCATGGAAGCCACTGCACAATGCTGGACAATCAACAGCGAATGGATTTTCAGGACCCCAAGTAGAGCCAAACGCGATGCAAAATCGGTCAGGATCAGACTCAGTTCACAATGATAAGATAGAACCGACAGCGACTACACCTTTGCTGCAAAACAATAGGTCTAAGCAAGCGGAGCGTGTCGGGGAATCCGCAGCTGGTCATGATGTGGGATCGAATTTCACATGGACTAGCTCATGGACTGAGACCTGGAGTGAAGAGGAAGATCTTCCAGAGAAATATCGCATTGGACCAAATTTGCCCCCCTCGACGGGGAGCCCTTCGAGAAGCACTGAGGTGACTGGATCTCCTGCGATGCAGCAGCCTCTGACTGTATTCATCATGCCAATGATTGAATACAATACCCCTCCAGAAGAAATCTACCATGATCAATTTATACAGCCCTTTAAGAGAGAATGTCCCCTGAAAGACAAGAGGGGAAAATCTTTACACCACCCCCTACCTCAAGTCCCTTCCGGCCTGCGGCTAGTAAAGGATGTCCCAGAAGAGCCAGCAGCTGACAAGGGACTTAGATCTCACCCAATGACTTGCCGAGGCAGACCATTCCTTGAAGAGACGCTATCATGTGATAGGAACGAATTGCGTGTTTTTGCCGCCCACAAAAGCTTGCTCGCAGTTCAAGCACCTAATACACAGTTGCAGAAAGCGTATCAGAATGGTTCCATTCCTACTGTAAGTCAACGCAAACGTTGGGTACGTGATTCGGCGGTAGCTTCCGAGGGATCACAAACCAAAGACGCTATTCATGAGTTGTTCCCTGCTCGTTCCGCTGAGTGTGCTGGAGAGAATGGTACGTGGCTGGGTCCTGGTCTCAAGAGGGAAGATTCTGGGTATATTTCGGATTATGAAGAATCAACTCCGCAACACGTTGAGTACGTCGGCGAACCTAGCTCCTCTAGACCCAGATTTCAACTTGAAAGTGATGAGTCGCCAGACTATGATCTGGAAGAACAGTTTCTCAGCGAAGCCGCATTCTGGGAAACTTTGGATCGCGAGGAGAATGAAAGCGAATTCAATACTTCTAAATCTGGAAAGTCACCACAACATCAAGCTAGGGAGAAAGATTCTCTGAAGCATCCTGTTGGGGTAGCGGAGGAAGACGGATCACCTGCAGGTGAACCTCCTTTCACTGGGATCTTGCAAACCATTGAACATGCAGAGGCATCTGATACTCAAGATGCACCACAACTCAGTGACGATGTTACGACAAACGGCGGGAACATCACAACCATCTCCGTTGAAGTTGTGGAATGTTCTTCTCCTGAAGGTTCCCCTGTTTTGCCTAATGGATGGAATCCATTTGACCCGGATCTAGATCTTTATGAGGCCACACCAGCCAGGAGAGCCGGCCATAATTTCATACCGTCAGATGATTTAGACATTCTATCTAACAGACCGGGCAGTCCTGACGATTTATCACTAAGCAGCGATGAGAATCTCATACCAACGTGGCTCTTCTCGTCAGATTCTGAGGGATCCGTCAATTCTGACCGTAATCCTGTACTGTCACGCTTATCGCCTGATTCTGAAAGAGTTGATACGTCTGAACGCACGCTAGATCGTCTGTTCCGTGAAGTAGCCGATGTTTACTCGGGGACTTCTTCGTCTGTAAATAGTGATGAACAGTCTCATACTCCAGCCTTATCGGATTATACTGGTGACACGCCTGTGTCTGCTACGGTAGCAGCTGAGGTTAAGGAAGATCACGGCACTTCGGATCTAGGTGATACATCAACTCTCAACACGGACCCATTCACGGCTTATCCGGGGGTTCTGAAGATGTATGCAAACCAGGAGATTTCCCTGTTGGAAGATTATCCAGCTCTGTATGCTGATACGATTCCGCTGGCAGCTTTGGTCTCTGAGGTCGAAAATAATTTGTCTGAGTACGCTACACCTGACAATTCTCCTCCTGTAACCGAGGACTTTCTCGGGCTATACCTTACTGGTGATAATCGTGAGCCTAATGCCATTGCTCACGAAGAACCAACAGAATCAAGGTATGAAGATGGGGTTGCTGATGAGGAATATCATGATGCCCTCATGGTTCTACAAGCTCGCATACACGGTCCTGATGTGTCACTCGACGAGCAGATGTTTAGTCAAACTAGGGTACCGTACGAATTTGATGACGAGATTGTGAGTGAGGGTGAGTCTCGATGGGAAAAATACATTGCAGAGAAGCCACTAGCGGAATTTCCCGATGAGTCGTGTTGCGTCTACTCTCCAGACAGTGAAGCTTCAAAATCTGATATGCCTTCGCTAACATCGTTGGAGTCTCGTGGATTCAGTAGAACTCTGTCCGGATCGACTATTTGCTCTGAGAGTTCCAGCGCGTCAGTTTTAGATCATTGGGAGTATGAGCGTTTATCATCCTGCCAGTCACCGATACTTCATCCTTCTCCGATCTATGGCTGGATGGATGATCTTGGTGTCGCTAAAGGCTCCAAAGACGCGCACATTATTTCTCCTGGATTCCAAAAAAGAGGAACCAGTAAAGCACAATGGCCTACTTTCGATGGAACCCGATCAAAACTTCCGGAACCAGTTTCTCCGCCTATTACTCCACCACCTGCAAATTCAACAGCGTTCAAACCAGATCCCACATCACCGCCATTCATCCCTACGACTCCTTCTCCACAACTCAGCGACGCAAGTCAGTTTCTCTATGAGCAGTGGAAAGCTGAACATCTTAAACCTCAAGAGAGGAAGTTACAGGCGTTTAGGGAGAGGATGAAGGAGGTTAGAGAGGAGTATGAGAAGTTTGTTACTGCTGATTGTGAGGATGAGATGGATGGGTATTGGAGCGATGATGAGTCCTTTTATCCGGAAGGTGCGGCTGGGAAGCGTGGGTCGAGGTAGTTCGTGTGTGGGATTGGGGGGTGTGATTGGGTTGGAATGTTCATGTGATGTGGTTGTAGAGGTTGTGTATGTGGTTTATGTTGTGAGATGGAAGGTTTTGTATTATCTTTAGAGTCGGAGAGGTATACTTAGCGATTAGCGGTATTTTTTAGACTATCTTGGGCGTCTGAGGATGAACTGAGGTACCTAGCGAGATTATTGAATTGAATAAGTTACAGAAACTCTTTTTCGTTTTTGGGATTGAAAAGATCCTGGATATACAGAAAGGTAAGACGAAGTGACTTGCTGGGAAAATGGTTTGATTTCTTTAATTGATTAAAGTAAAGAAATAAATTCGAAATGCACAATAGCTCTCTTTCCAACTTGCCTCCTTCATCTGACCCCTAGTGTATGACGCTCGAATGCATGTATGTACGTATATGTTTTACCCGTGTTGGTTTGGTGTTGGAGGATACGCACGTCCAAACGCTCCTTCACGACTTCAACAAACCCAAATTGTATTGTACGCCAAGCTGCATACATCTTACTCTCAGTAACTTTTCAAGAACACATCATTTGTCCCACAAGTTCCAAGATGTCATCTACAAATGAAAATCTCGAAAGCGTAAACCTGGCCGCAGTCCTCGAGACTGCCAAAGCTCGGGTTACCCTTCAAGAACGCCCAATTCCAAAGCCCGGTCCGGACGAGCTTCTCGTGAGGAACAAAGCCATCGCTGCTAATCCTGCTGATTGGAAAATCCAAGACTACGACTTTTTCGTGGACAAATATCCGAATGTTCTCGGGAGCGACGCCTGTGGGTATGTTGTCGACGTCGGAAATGCCGTTACTCGCTTCAAGAAAGGTGATCGTGTCACTGGCTTTGCCGCCGTCATTTACAACTCCAACATCGATCATGGCGCGTGGCAAACGTACACTATACTGCGGGAAATAGCAACGTCTAAAATACCGGATTCGATGTCTTTTGCTGAGGGATCGGTGTTTCCAATGGCGTTCGCTACGGCTTGCATGGCTCTCTTTGTTAATCTGAAATTTCCACGGCCACCCGCCGTATGCACGCCAGCTAGCTCAACGATACTGGTCTGGGGTGGCTCTTCGTCAGTAGGATCGGCTGCGGTGCAGATTGCGAAAGCTATTGGACTTCATGTGTGGGCGACGGCAAGTCCTTCTAATCACGACTTTGTCAAATCAATGGGCGCGACTCGAGTATTCGATTATCATAGTCCGAACGTTGTTTCGGACATCTTATCAGCTGCTCAAGAGGCTGGTATCATCATCACCAAGGTTTTCGACGCTATAAGTGAGAAAGGGAGTCTCGAACTTGCCAGTGGTGTTCTGGCTGACGGAGGTGAGATGGCTATCGTGCTCGATTGGCCGACTGGAACACCTCAGCCGCCAGATATCGCGGTTTCCTTGACTGTTGCGCTGAGAACGGGAAAAGATTGCGAGGATGTGGGAGCTTGGTTTTTTAATGAGTGGCTGGAGGAGGCGATGGAGATGGGCACTGTGGTGCCGACGCCGAAAATTCAAATTGTTGATGGAGGTATTGAGGTTACACAGAAGGTATTTGATATGTTGAAAGCGGGGGTTAGTGCGACGAAGCTTGTGGTTTTGCTTTGAGAGTCGAGATGTGGAAATGATTATGTCAACTTATTTGTGGGACGAAAACTATATGTAGTTTACATTAGGATGCTTTTTGATTGAGCAGAATATTAATCTTGAGTTGTCCGTAATCTAATTAAAAGATATGTTTCTGGCTTCTAATAACGGTCATTAACAAACCCACTTCTAGCACATAATTCTCCCCTCGCTTGTGAGCTTTTGACTGAGACAATGTCAAAACTTTACATTGTACTTCTCAACTATATCATCAGATTCTTTGAGCGATTTCATTGGCTAAAATACCACACGCTTCTATCATTAGCGTTCATTTAATTCAATTTGAATTAGGCAAAATTAATAAATTTAATATTCTATCCCTAATCATGGACCGTAATCTACAATTTTGTATGCTATCCAAGGTAGACGCACACGCCCACACAACGATACAATTCAGCGGGCTGGTGCTCTCGGCCTTTCCCATTGGAAAGTAAGTTCGCATTGATTTACAAAGTGTATGAGTGGGTTTTTCGCAAGGGATCTCAATCAACATTTAATATTGCTTCCAAATACTATAGGGGATGCAGAAATTGGTTGGGTGTTTAAGGACTTTTTCGCTTACAAAATCACTCAACGAATCTCTGTACCCCCTGTGGTATTTGGAAGCTTGTCCTACACTCAGTAAGCAAAACGGCTTAGTACGCAAAATGGCTGATTTCGGACTTTATTTTTATATCGCCGACTACTAAGATTTATAAGCTTTAGAGGCTAAGTAAGCCTTCTCTATTACAAGTTATACAAACCTCGAAAATTCCAAATTTAAGAACTGAGCAATATTAATGTGAAGTCTGAAATAAGCTATTTTACGGACTAAGCCGTTTTATTTACTTTAAATATACGAAAAAGCTCTTATCCCAAGTGGTAACCGAGTATCAATGCCTGATATCACGTTCAAGCATTAAAAAATCCCCGAAAACTAATAAATGGCAGCAATGAAACCCTACGATTTCGTAAGCTTCCAGCCCTGTATATAAGCTCCAAGAAGGCGCGAAGCATAGAGCTATAAGATTATCGCTTGACCTCACTGGGTTCGTAACTCCATTATTAACTCAACACCTTGTGATCTGTACCTCTGTTTAGCATTCAAAATGCGTTCCCGTCATCTATTCTCGATTTTATTTTTGGGCATCGTTACACTCATCAGTGCAAGCGCAAACTCGGCCACCGTTACACGAATCCTATACCAGTTTCCCAACTTAACCTCTCTCGAAAACATCGCTGTTCGCAGTAATGGGCACCTTCTGTTAACACCAGTGACATCCTCTTCGCTATATTCTCTAGATCCATCTTCCCCAAAAGTCGCAAATCTAGTCCACACGTTTCCGAATGCGACATCTCTCCTGGGTATCACCGAATATGAGCCCGATGTCTTTGCGCTTGTTTCCGGGGCCGACCCCGAAGATCCATCAATTCCTTGGGTGATTTGGAGTGTAGATTTGAAAGGGTATCTTGAAGGATCCAAGAACCCACTTGTACGAAAAATCGCCACTTTACCAAAAGCACTCTTTCTTAACGGATTGACACATCTCGCACCGGGAAGTCCTTGGATCCTTGCTGCAGACTCGCAGCTTGGACTTATTTGGCGAATCAATGTCAACACGGGGGCAGTCAACGTCGCAATCTCGGACCCCTTAATGGCACCGGTGACGGAGTTTGGCATCGCCTTAGGAGTGAATGGTATTCACATCTTTCAATCCCATCTCTTTTTTACCAATATATTCCTCAAAGGAGGCTTTTTCGCGAAAATCCCAATTGATCCAAGGACTGGGACGGCTCTAGGAAAAGCGACTATGGTAGCGAGGAATGGACTTTGCGATGATTTTGCCATAGACTCGAAAGGCAACGCGTGGGTGACTCAGAACTTGTTGAACGGGGTTCAAGTCATTAAGCCTGATGGTTCTGTTCGGGTACCCATTGGTGGTGTCAATGACACCATTCTGGAGGGTGCAACTGGAGCTGTGTTTGGGAGAACTCTCAAGGATAAGAATGTTCTCTATGTGTCAACCAATGGTGGATCAGCGGTTCCTGTACCTGGAACATTTAGAGTTGGTGGAACTGTGGTTGCTGTTGACACAAATCTCTTGTAGCTTGTACGGAGGTGTTTGATGTGAATGTGGTTTGTTGATGAGTGAGGCAGAACATATAGATATCTAGACAATGAACCTTGTGATGGAATTCTTTGACTTTTTGATTTTATGATTAAGAATTGGAGGAAAGTTCCAAATAGATAAAATTGAAAATGTACTCCGCCTCAAGGCAGGGCGCGGTTCGATACGGTATAAACAAATCCTTGGAACATGTCGTTGTTTCTAAGAACTAAGCGCAAGGAGGGGAGCTTTTATTGTTCTGGTTCCAAGATAGGCTTATAGGTAGTTATTTATTCCCGGCGAGGGCGGACAGTCGTCGTAGTATAAACGAGCCCTGTAATGCGGAATTTAAGACTAGTGTTAAGTAGATTGACATTAACAAAATCTCTTATTATGTCACAAAATCCAGCTACAGTAAAACTCTACTACAAGGATATAGGGCGAAGCGACTAAATATTGAGGATATAAAAGGTATTCTTAAGGTAGGGTCTTACTAATTAAAGATATGTCCTAAAGTAGGATGATATTTCGGTAAATTAGGAGATATTTATAAGATCTCTAGGCAATTCTTTAAAACCGAAGATAATATACTATCCTAATAAGGATTTTCCTATTTGGATTTACTTCGGGGAGCGAAAATATAAACGATATCCTAGGTTGCAGATTTATCCTTATTTTACTACTAAAATCGGTCGGGAAGTAAGATGCGAAAAGGCTATTTCGCCTTTGTCTCTTTAAAGTTCTAGCCCCCGTGTGGAAGAGTTAGAAACTATTCTCGCGGAGGACAAAACAAGTGTCAGTTACCTGTCTTCTAATTTTGGGACTTAATAAGTCGACTTCGAACAGAGCCTAAGAAGTCTTATTTGCTTAAAACAATCAAAGAAATAAGTTATATTATTCCGAGTTAATCCAGTAAATGAAGATATTTCGTTAACTTAATCGAAGAAATATCGTGCTTCGACTACTACTTATTTTGTCCTCCACGCGCCCCCTCGCCCCCCCCTGGGCCTCGCTTAATCTTCATAAGCAAGGGTCGTTGGGAGCTGAACCAAGAAACCACTCGAACCATGCAGAACACCAACGGCGGAAGTAGTATCCAGCAATCTTGCACTCGACAACTGTACTCGGTCTGAGCGGGAAAGATTTTAAATGTTGGTTTCGTTTTGATATCGTATGATCTGCGTACTGAACAGGAAGGAGGGCCTCCCACACACATGCACCCCCAATCAAATTAAATCAAAACTACTACCCCAACAAGTTGCCTTTAGAATCGGCGGTTGGCTGCATGCGAATCAAAAGATTCTGTACCTCAATGGCCCATGCATAACTATCTGTCGACAGCGCTGCATGGACATTAGCAGAAAACCTCGTCGACCTCCGTTTTACACGACCGATCTGCTTCTCGTCTTTTTAGCATCTGTTGCGAAACCTCACATTATTGAGGAGCACTGTTTGTCCAATTGAGTTTACACGCTCGTAAACTGTTGATTCGGCTACCAAACCTTAGCAAATGGCTCCGAGCATGCCGAATAACTATGAGCTTGAGGTTGTCAGATCTGCGAAGAAAGGGGAGTCGATATCGAAGATCACAACCAGAGACTTGAATGTGGATCGTGACAATGACGATTTAATTCGCTTGGGTAAAAGGCCAGTGTTGAAGGTATATACTCTTCTAGACATTCATCGGGTCTAGTAATAACGAATCGATCTAGCGCAACTTCGGGTTTATGTCAATCTTGGGGTTTAGTTGCACTATTCTTATAACGTGGGAAGGAACTCTGATTTTGTTTCTCTCTGGTTTTCAGAATGGTGGTCCGGCAGGAGTTGTGTACGGATATCTTCTCGTTTGGATCGGAACATTGAGCGTATTCGCAACGTTGTCAGAATTGGTTTCCATGGCACCTACCTCAGGTGGCCAGTATCATTGGGTTTCAATGCTCGCACCTCCTTCCTGCGCAAAGTTCTTAAGTTACATAACAGGTTGGCTCACAGTCGGTGGATGGCAAGCAGCAGTTGCTTCTGGAGGGTTTCTGACCGGAACACTCATTTAGGGCTTGATAGCTTTGACCGTGCCGGACTACAATCCGCAGGCATTTCATGGAACACTAACATTTTGGGCCGTCATACTCTTTGGGGTATTTGTCAACACGGTTGTCAGTAACCAGTTACCAAAGTTCGAAGGGTTGATTTTGATTCTCCATGTTCTGGGCTTTTTTGCGGTGTTGATACCACTGGTGGTTCTGGCACCGCACGGTAACTCGTCGGACGTGTTCACAGTATTTTTGAATGGAGGAGGCTGGCCAAACCAAGAATTGTCTTTCTTCGTGGGGCTTCTCGGAAATGTGTTCGCGTTTATTGGAGCAGATGGAGCTTACCATGTAAGTAGATCTAGGATGTATTATTATCTGGCTGACAAGAAAGTAGATGTCAGAAGAGATACACAATCCCTCTATTGTTGTGCCCCGATCCATTATGCTTAGCGTTATCTTGAATGGCATGATGGGATTCGCTATGGTGATTGCGGTACTTTTTTGTTTAGGTGATATTGATACCGTACTTGCTACGAATACAGGATATCCCTTTATGGAGATATTTATTCAAGCAACTCATTCAGTAGCTGGTAGCGCTGTCATGGCAGCAATCGTTACTATGCTTGCTCTATGTTCAACAGTCGGCTTGCTAGCATCAACGTCACGTATGTTCTGGTCCTTTGCTCGAGATCGAGGTCTACCAGGTTGGAAAACCCTGCATAAGGTAAGGAAAATTGCAATCCTCCCGCTTGATTCCGTCTCTTGAAAATCTGACCGTATTGAAAGGTGAATGCACGCACGTCAGTCCCTATATGGTCGGTGGCAGTTACAACAGTGATATCCTGTCTGCTTGCCCTTATCAACATTGGATCAGCTACAGCCTTCAACAACATCGTTTCTCTTAGCATAGTCGGCTTGTTCACCTCATATCTCTTAGCCGCTGGACTCCTTCTTTTCCGAAGGCTGACGGGATTTATCAAACTTGCTTCCGACTCTCCCACAGAACTTGTCAACACAGCAAATGCAACTATAGTCTGGGGCCCATGGCATATACGAGGGATTCTTGGTGTTGTCAATAATACCTTCGCTTGCAGCTACTTGATAGTGATTTTATTTTTCAGCACTTGGCCACCAGCTACGCCAGTTGTGCCTTCAACAATGAACTATAGCAGCTTAATGCTTGGTGCCGTTATAATATTCTCTATCGCATATTACTTAATTTATGCGAGGAAAGAATATCAAGGTCCTGTGCTAGAAACTGAGCAGCCGATATATGGATCGTAGCCAGTTGGCCAGTTGGCCAAGACAGTAAGGAGGAGGTCGAACGTTGCAAACATTATCAAGTCTAGGTGGAGTTTTCTACTTAAGTAATAAATTTGAGCGAATCAGAGTTTCCAGTGTAGATCTTCGAATGATTCAGTCAAAATATTCCTACCTCAAACGTCTATGTCAACTTGAAGATCAAGCATAGCATGCCACAGTCCTGAGACCACATTATCATTTCTTTCACAGGGTAAAAGTCTTCTCAGGTATACGCTTCTAAGAGGAAATGATTGCATCAATGGAATTGTGTTTAATTCAGTAGTGCTCATTCTTTGACTTTTTTCCAACTTGATTCTGACTTGATTCGTTCTTGTTAGAAAATTACGCGAAACATATTGCTACGAACGTTGAAAAGACGCTCTGCTTCGGAACATGAACAGCTCACTGTTGCGTCGATGAGGTCAGCTGCTTGGGGCGGAACATTGCTGACAGAGCTTCTGAAGCTGTTCACCAACCAGATTCATGTATCAAACCGCCACTGGACATTTCTTTCGCAGCCACAATCAGGCTCTGCGGTAAAGGACCCTCCCTACAATAGTAACACTTTCCTACAATTGATCTAGACGTTTTCTAAGATGATGGGGTGTTGATTGGTGAGAACGGAGTGGTGCATGAGCCAACGCAGACACACCTCAATTAGTGAAAAGTCGTACTTCGACTCTCCCCATCCGGTTAAGTGTGTTGCGTTCTTTTGATGCGGGAGTCACTTTTCCAGCCAAGAAACCGCTTCCGAGAGGGTTTTATTGCAATAAGAACCAGGTTAGAATACAGAGGTTCTCTCATCACAAGAGCAACGTACCTGACAGCGCGGCATGCAGTGGTGAGCTTGCGTAAAAACGGGATCAGTGTTTCTTCATGGCCACGTGTAAGAGCTTTTCAGTGGCCTAATTATACGGATGATTTTTCATAGCCCTTTGAGCCACAGATTGCAAGATATGCCGCTTCTTGTTCTCTGGAACAGTTTTTGCGTGCTACAAGTGAGATTGGTCAACTTCGCACTGCAAGTTAGTTAATAGAATCTTAGAACTTTTGGAAAATGTAGTAAAGCTTCTGTAATTAAAGTGGGATAATGTTTTAGCTTATCTATAAGAATGAATTTTCTTTGTCACATTAAAGTAATAGGTGATAATTATGAAAGTTGCTTTGCTAGAATACTCACAAGCAAATGTTATCGCGAGAAATAGTGATATTCAAAAACAACCGAGGTACTCGTTATAATTACAAAGTAGACAATCACCGTTCATTGAAATAGTGGAAACGTAAGTAAGATACTATAACTCTCTTATTTGGAGGGCATATAATACTCTGGTACTCGAAGCGACTCGGGTTTTATAATAATATGAAGACCGACTGCAGTGGTGAGACCCGTGCAAGATATGTGTCAGTATTTGACAGCTTGAATTTTTCGTCCCCGGGAATCGCGGGTTTTATATTTGGTCGAGGTTCGGATATAAGGGAGGTAGTCCTTGTGCGAGCCCTGCGATCAGGAGTTTTAGACCAGTGATTAGGTGATTAACATTGATGATAACTCTTATCATGTCGCAAGATAAATCTACTAACTACCGGGGATTGGCTTTTGACTACCGAGCGGTCCGGTGGCTTGGGAGAAGCTAGTCAGGTTTAAGGAGAAGGGATCATCGGGTAGGTGGGGAGTCATGGTTGCATGGCAGAAAGGGGTGTGCTATTGTTGATGGGGGGAATAATTCAGAAATCAATGTAGGGGTTTCATCTGAGGTATGTCGATTTTTTGTGGTTGTGTGGTTGTGTGGTTGGGTAATGGGGTGTGAGTTGGCAAAGGCATGAAGTTGAGTTCATGAGATCACAGGTGCTTTATTATACGCGTAGCAGTCAGTTGCTACATTGCTTGTATGAGTTTAAGCTTCGTCTGAATCGATAAGCTTCTTGAAACCATGAGTAAGCCTCATTGTTTCATGCCCAGATGTTTCCGCAAATAAGAAATTAAGAAGGGTATTCGAAGTGGATCAGAGGTTCCGTCAATCACCTTCGTAGCGACACAAACATGATGTTGACGATGAGACGAAATCAGTTTCCGCGGATCCGGGTCTACTTCGAAGTAATTGTTTTCCGCATCTTATCTGCGGCTTTTGTGGGGCTCTGATTTACTGTGGAGGAGTTCGGATTTAGTACGGTGGGGGATCGGAGCGGTAGTTCCTTTAGTGGCTTTGTGATTGCCACAAGGAATACTATCCACCCCCCCCTTATTAAAGGTAATACGGTGGGTAATGTGGAGCTTGATGGACGAGTAGAATTTGTCGGATCGAGGAAGACTTACGCACAGTTTATGTGGCAAAGATGAAAATTTGGTG